TTTTCTAATTTCTAATTTTCTTTTCTTCTAGTCTGATGACAGTGCCATTGTCGAGGAATGCCTCGTTACCATTGCCCGTCGTCAAGCCGGTGTCCATTTCGTCAAGCTGCACCAGGAGATTGCTGAGATGGATCACATCAAGGCTCCTGCTTTGCTGGCCTATCGCAATGGCGATGTCTTCACTACCATTGTCGACATCATTCGCAACATCCCCAAAGGCCGCAGCTGCAGTGCCGATAGCCTGGAGGACCTGTTGAAGCTGTAGGTCTTCTTATCCACTCTGTATAAGGCATGATTCAACTACTTACCCCACATCTAGGAACCGCGTGCTCTAAATACAATACCCAACACATCAACGAGCAAACATTTGCACCGAAACGCCTTCACCCCCCTCACTCTCACTCTCTCACTCCCTACCCTCCTTCCTTTCATCAACGTGCCTTCTACTCTTTTCTACCTAACGTCTCACATCACTGAACATTTCCTTGAATCATTTCCTTGTTTTATCGGCCAAAGAAAGAAAACGGACTACTGGCGTTGGATCTGGATCTACATAGACCGTGGAACGGGGCTTCTGGATCATGGGCTGTTGTTTTTTGTCTTTTTGTTTTTGTTCTACATCCGCTCCTGGGGTTCCTTCCTTTCCTTGGTTATTGCGCTACCTTTCTGCCCGCGGTGCTTGACTGTGTCTGGCTGGTCGGTCCTGTCTTACTCTTAGTCTTGATCTTGTTTTTTAAGTTGAGATATCCCATGTTGTCTTGTTTTGTCATTGATTAATTCTTTTTTCTATTCTGCCTGCAGAGGTAAACTCGGGCTGATGTATGCCCTACCTGTGTTCGCATTCACTTCACGTTGCCCTTTAGCCCTGAGCAAATGTAAATGCTGGTCATTTGAGTTTGTTCTCATTAAGCATCCATATTAAAGGTCTCTCCGACCCAATAGGAAAATAGAAAGAGGAATACATGCCATTGCCTTTCAAAAGTCCAACCCACTCCAGTGCAAATGGCCGATTGTGTTCAGTATCCGTGCCAGGATCTACGAGAAAGGAGAAAGGCACGAAAGAAAAGTCCCAGCCAAGTTCCTCTGAGGGCCGCTAACTCCCCAGGATCAAAGTATCAGAAAATAAAAGGAAAAAAGCATGGACAGGAGATCTTAGCCGCATTTCTGCAGATGAGGAAAAAGGAGAATCGGAATCAAAACCGAGAACAGAGATGCCTTCTAGGTTTACAGGAAGCCGCGCTCCGCCGTGAAGTCCCAGAGCATCTTGATGAGTGCGTCTGGGAGGGTATACAGGTCGACGTGGAATTCGCCCTCTGGTGATGCGTGTCAGTATAGTATGGAGATCTGGTATGAAGGTAAGAGAGACTCACGCTCAACGTCGTTCTTGGTGTAAGAGTCCGATGACTTGTTATCGTGGACCATCTGCACAACCTGCAACAGGTCGTCCTCGTTGAGTTTTTGCAGGCCATCGGCCAACTTGTCCATATCAACCTGAGATGGGTTATCAGCTCGGGGGATCTCATTTCGAAGATGAATTGAATGGACCTTACATTCTTGTCAGTGCGCTTCTTCTTCTTCGCGCTCTCTTCGCCAGTCGCGCCACGCTTGTTCTTCATGCCATTCTCATCACCGGGGACGGGTCCGGTCTCGCGCAACTTCTCAAGGAGAGCAGGCTTGGGGTTCTTGAAGGTCTATTTGCGAATCACCACATCAGATACGGCTCATATGACGAGTGAAAGGCAAAGAACTTACAACGACATGCTTCGACTCATAGCGCTCCTGAGCAAAGTTCAGATCGTGCTGAATGATGTGGGACTTGTCGGCGACGAATTCAATCTGCATGTCGAACTCACCCCATCCCTCTTCTGAGATACGGAAGGGCGGTCTAGTGAAGGCTGGATTTCGGGTTTCATGTCAGCTACCATTCTTCCCAACCATATCCTGCAGGCGCACACTGAGTGAGGATCGAATCAACTTACTCTGGACAGCACGACTACCAAAACTCGGATGAAGATGGTAGATGACCTTCTCGAAGAGAGTCGCAGGAACCAGATCACCCTTCTCGTTGACGGCATACACCTCAATAGACCATTCTCGTTGAGGGAATCCCTCCACCTCGGAGGGCTTGTCACTGTTATGCAATCCATCCGTCAGCTAGTGCGCCAATCCTCTCATGTGTGCATGTTATGGTAGGATCGAAGGTAAAGCGCGAGCGAGACAAGCTCCACCGTCTCCGGTAGAGCGCGTTCTCACTACAGCCATTCACTCGTATCTTTATCAAGAAATGCGGACTCGGAGGCACGAGTGCTTATTCGTTTCGAGGGAAGAGAGGGTGAGGTCGATCACGTACATGATGTGCTGCGACGTCACAAGACGGACATTGCGCTTAACCTGAACGGCGAAAAGCACGAGTTAGCCCAAGCACAAGCAAAGCTCAGAAGAAAGGCCAAAGCCGTGAAAAGTCGCAATCGACGGGGCGCGAAGTGGGTGCGAAGAGCGCCGGGCGCCAGCAATTCCGCACGAGCTTCCACCAAGCCAGCGGCTCCAGAACAGGGTACAATGGGGGCTCGAACGAAGACTCACGTCAGGCATCTTGAATGGCCGAATAAATAGCTTCTCTCGAGGCTCTTTTGGGAGGGTGTCGGGGACAGAGGGGTATGCGCGGAAGGTGGATTGGTTTAGAGAGTTCGCGCGAGGTTCGCGGCAGGTTCGCGGCGAGGCGGTATGCAAGATTCACTTCGCCGTTGAAAATCACTCGAAAAGGGCCGAATTCCAATTTCACGTGTTTCTTGGAGTCGCCAATAATTGAAGTGGATGAAAGGGACGGGGGGAGTGGGGAGGAATGAGGTCGACGGGGAGACAACTCAGATCAGTCCGCCCATTGACATCCACACCGATCTCATGCACTTGGCCCTCATTTGGCTGACTGGACGGATTTCGTGCAATATTCGAACTATCCTTTTTTTTTTCTTTTTTTAACTCATGCTACGTCTTAAATGCTGTTTTCTAGACTCCCATGGGAAAGATGATGTTTCCTCGGGGTCAAGCTACCTTGGATGCCTTGGTATAGCTTTTAGATTAGCTACAACGACCTAAATACATCCAGAGACACTCCGCGGAGTTCATGAGTGATGTGCAGGGTGTATATTCGAGGGGGTTTCTATCTACTGCCGACTGCGGGACCTGGGAACTGCCCTCCATTTCATAATCACATCACGATGGTTGTGCAAAACAACATCATCGCTGCCTCGTTCATCGCGTCGTCGGGGGAGGGGAATGGGTAGTAATGGGAATATGGGGTGAAAGGCATAGTTATTGAATAGTTGTTCAAGGGGTGGCAGGGGATTTCAGGGCAAGCTCCTGTCCTCGGAGACGGCTGGCGACAATGCGCATCACGGTCGTGGGTCCTTAACCATTGGTGCAGAGCAAAGGGGCGAGGCTTAAATCAGGAGAGTGGCAGATTTACTGCTCACTAGCGGCACCGAAGAGCTTCTCGTTCTCCTGCTGGGCCTTCTCAAAGGCATCCTTGAAGAGGTTGGCGTCTGGAGCTAGTCAGTAACGCATCTCAGACAATACACGGTTTATGCAAAAACTCACTCTCGCTGTTGGCAAAGCGGATAGCCAGAGTCTGAGCCTCGGGCTCGCCCTCGCTGACATCGGCGGCGGCGTTCCAGACCCAGCTGCGGTCACTGCCGACGTTGGGGCTCAACTTCATGTCGGGGACAACTGAATCCCAGTCAGTTAGATGTCCCTGAAAGCAATCCATGGATTCAACTCACTGTAGTGGTTGGCGCAGACCTTGAGGGTCTTATCCCGGCGCATGACCAGGCGGGTCTTCTCGTTCTCCTTGTGCTTCAAGAGACGGACGTCACCGGTACCACGCTCCTTCCACTCCTTGCTCTCACGGTCGAACTTGAACAGCTTGGCGCGCATCTTGAATACCTGCTCCTCGAGCTCCTCGTTGGTCTTGGTCTCAACCTTCTCGGTCAGGCGGATGACGGGCTCGAAGTGGACATCGGGGGATTCGGGGGCCTCATCCTCGGGTTTCTAAAGAATAATGCGATGTGAGTAATCTGCCTGAAATCACCTAAGGAACCTCCGGTAAATGGTGTGGGTGGGCTAAAGACTGGTTGAAGAATGACCACACAATATGCAGGGACTAGAAAAACAACCCCCGCCCCCGCCATATTGTTGGTCGCAACAGACACGTCTCATAGCTATAATCCCGCATCACCATCATGCCGGATAGCGAAATAGCTTACCTCGCTCTCCTTCTGGGCCTTAGCAGAGCCAGAGGGCTCATCCGCACCCTCCTCGGTCTCCTCCTTCTTCTCCTTCTTGGGGCCGCCTCCGAACATGGAGAAAACGGTGTCGGAGGTCTTAGCAGCCGCGTCCTTGGCGGTATCGGCAGCCTCCTTGGCCGTTTCGACAGCAGCCTCAGTCACGGTCTTCTCGCCCTCGCCGGTGGTGGCGGTCTCGGGCTTGGTCTCCTCAGGAGCCTGAGTGGTGGGGTCGGGCTTGATCTCCGCGGTGTCAGACATGGCGGGTGGTGGATGGAACTTTGATCAAAGACAAAAAAAATAAAAAAAGAGGAGGCGAGAGAAGTGATAGACACCGAGATCGAGGTAGAAATCAGGGGAAGAATTGGCTTTGTTGATCAGGGAATGGGGCAATGAGGGGGGAAAAATTAATGGTTTGGGTGCGCGGGCAGAACCGCCACCGCCTTGGGCTGACTTTGAATGCGAGGGGCGAATTTCCTTTTTTTCTACTATTTACTCCGAACATGTTTGATATGACCTGTACACTAGCAAGGCACGTATCTGGGGATAGAACACTATTCGTACTATCAATTGAAGTTCATTGCGCCGAAGAGACATTCGCGTGTACCCCGTTCCAAAGTATCAGACCCGCCCCTTAGCCCGATCGCGCCGTAAACAAAAACAAACCCCACCATTAGCCAAGATCAAATCGTGAAGAAGCAAGAAAAGAAGCAAAAGCCTTCAGCACTTGCGGCGATCGCCTGAGCAATCAGAGTTTGCAGACTGAAGCCCTACAACCTGACGTGCGCGTGTCTGAGCCCGATTCAGCGTGGCATAGTTCGTACTGCGCATTCGGTCCATCATGGAGCGAACATTGACCTTCGCAGCAGATTTCTCCAGGAAGCTCCACGCATCGCCGAACAGCGCCCTGACCTCCTGATCAACATAGGCTGAGCGGCTGTGTAGGACAGAAGAAGCACTGCGGAATTGTTCAAGAGCACTGTGGGCAAAGGTCGAGAGTTGCTTCGAGCTCGACAGCACACTTTCTCGAGCATGACGGCCATCCAAGCGAAGACATTCAGCGTTAGCCCGCAAGTGGTATGATCTCTTGGCTACGCCTCCCGCAATTGACTGGAGGTCGGTGGAAAGATGCCCGTAGAAATCAGTCAGGTCGGTGGTCATATGGCCGTAGATGTCAGTCAGGTCAGTCGAAAGTCGGCCGTAGACCTCGTTGAGGTTGCTTTGAACGACCCCCAATTCCTTTGTCACTTGCGAAGACACGATACGGGCTGCCCGTCTCCAGTTGGCAATCTTCAGCCATGGAGTGCCAAAGTCGACCATTGTAGTTTGGCCGATGGGGGTCTTTGACTTGGCAGTGACTGTAATATTGACCAGGCCGTACGCTTCCTCTCGGTCCAATCGCAGCGAGTAGACATCATGAAATAGCTGAGACAACTCATAGGGAAGGGCTTGGTCGTATCGATGAACGCTGACATTAAATCGCGCCTGCTTCTTAGAAGATGCAAGGTTTCGAGGAGGCTTAATCACCACATGGCAGTCTCCAACAACTTGGATTTCAAAAATGTCAGGGTTCTTGGGTTCTGTAGAGGCTGCAATAGTAAGTCCGGTGACCTGCTCTATAATAGAATGATCCGAAGATTGGCTTTGGAGCAGTCCCAGTTGACCATCTGGATGAACGGACAAGGCAGTTTGTCTCACACCCTGCAAGCTCATTGCAGTCGTTGGAATGGGAGTAAGTGATGGAGAGGATATGTGAGACAAAGTGGACCCGGCAATGCACTGCGCGAGGAAAATAACCACGGTCTTGACAGCGGCATAGCCGATTGAGAGGGCGATCGCCGAGATGAGGGTTAGTGTGACCAAACGCAGTATCGGGGCAGCATCACAGGCCCTGCTGGCATACGCCGGGGGAATCCAGTTGAGAGGGTATTTCTCTGGGTCGGTGATTGAGCATCGTTGAGCCGGGCTTGGAGTATCGGCGGTTGTCTTGTGCAACTTGTTGGGATAGAGCTGCATTAAAGAAGCCAAGTTTCTATTGAGCTGACTAGGGGCGATACTCTCGAAAGTCTGCAGATCGATTGGGTAACGCTGAAGGAGTGCTGTTTCTCCGGTCTGAGGGTTTCGAGACTCCAGACACATGTGGAGGCTGTCCTGGTTCAGCGGAACGGTGTCACCTACAAGCTCCCACATCGGCTCCTCCGAGATGACCATCGCGGGTATTGCATGTCGCTCCAAGAAGGTATGAGCGAGCCGTTGGGTTTGCTTAACTGAAGCATCATCATGGCGAGACACAAAGATGATTGCCATGTCTGGAAGAGTCCATTCTGATGCCGATGAAACACAGTATTTGTCTCCGTTCCACCACGAGCGACAGGTCGGTCGATTTTTGAATGTCAAATGCAGGGTACTCGGCTGGTCTTGCTGGGGCCCCACAGTAGCTTCCATGCACTCGTCTACGACGAGCTGAACATGGATAGGGAGCAACTCGGCAAAGTTGGGCACAGCACCCGCTCCAAAAGACGTCGGCACAACATGGTAGCGCGAGGACTCAGCAGAGCTGCTCGGCGATCCAGTAGATGAGCTGGATACCAAGACATCGCCGATCTTGTCCAGAATGATATTGCGGAATTCAGGCTGGCCAATGTATAGCACGCGGAACGGCTTGTCAAGGTCCAAGCTGTGCTTGGTCATGGTTTGTTGGACTGTGGCCATGAGAATGGAGTCGGTTGTGTTGGATGGCAGCAACATGGCAGATAGTCGACTCTTTAATGCCGCCGCCATTTTATCGTCGAAGATGCGAGTCGTATGCTTAAACTCAACCCGCTCATTCTCTGGCCACATCTCGGGCTCTGGAAATTCGATCGACTCGGATGACTGACGAGGTCTGGTTGTGAGTCCGCTATCGTCGATGGCCGCAGCATGAGTATAGAGCTTGGGAAACAGTTGCGACTCCAGGGTGCTCTGTGCCTCGTCGCGATAAGTCTCCTCGTATTCCTGATCATGGCGATATTCCTCATCCGGACCATCGGCCTCACTGCTGCTGTATCGCTCGTCGAGACTGGCGACATCGTCGGGGGTGGTTTGGTCGATTAGCGAAGCGGTGTCTGTTTGCTCGGACCGGCTACCATCCTCTGAATGTAGGTCAGAAACACTAAGAGTAGCCCAACTATCACTTAAGGACTTGTGAGGAGGCTCGGAGGGACGATCAGAGGCCATGTTGTTGGTGGGGCGAGAGTGGGATAGCCACTGCTCTACAGAGGCCGTGAGGGGCGGGAGGGTCGGATACTGAAGATGGGAAGCTGCGGCACTCGGTGGACGCCTGAGCGACTCCGGAGTATCAGTCATATTGTAGAGACGAACATAAAGCGAGAAATAAAGTCAAACAAAGAGAGGGGCAGAACAAGAAGCCTTAGCATACGTTGATGAGCGGGAACTGGGAGGCATGTGCCCCCGGTGGGTCCGCGGGGAGTTCGCTCGTCAGGTGGTGTCAGGGTGTCTGACTCAGGGCAAGAGAGACACGTAAAGGGAAAGACACCAGGCAGAACAAGGCAGGTTGGGCAGATACTTGGGAAAGAGGGGGAAACCTTGGGGAAGCTGTAATGGAAATGCACTTTGACCGTTGGAGTTGATAAGCATAGAAACGACAAGAGGTAGCGGGGTTGGATCAGCTACAGAGTACATGGTACATGGTACTTCCAAACTGAAGGCGCAACGGTACCTTAAGGCCGTAGCTAGCAGTCTGTATATCTTATTTCCACGGCTCTTTAATACCTACGGCGCTGATGATTGCTCCGACAATAATTACGTCGCCGATAAGAAGGTCACTCCACTCAGCCCCACCGATCTCCCTCGCTGCGGGGCTTACCATGTTATCAACGGCTGAGAGGATTCTCTTAACTCGGGTCATATCCATTTGAACCGCCTTCTCCATTTACAAGAGTTACAATCACAACTCGGTCCAGTAGTCTAAGGCCCTCCTTATCTCCTTATGCCCCGGACTAGATTAATCAAAATCGACGTCACCTGAGCTTGGCTCGTCGATGACTAGGAACGCTTCTAGCGCCAATCTAATAGTCATCTCTCACGGTCACAGAACACTTCACACGAGGAGTTGAGTTATATTTGTAATCAGGAGTCATCACACATTCAAATATCGTTTCAAGCCTCACGACTTTAAAGCACAGTCTAGTAAACGAAAATCCCGGAGACTACCTACTAAACAACGACCTTCACAATCTTCCCAATAACCATCTGTATGTACCATAATACAGTAGGCTGCATCGAGAACCTGCTATATTCTCCGATCCAACTGTGCCATTCAGACCAAGCCCGCGCAGCAAATTCAACACCACAGCACAGACCAACTCACATATATGAAGTTTACGGAATACCATCATCTTGGTAGACCCTGAGATATGATACGTGTCAGTTAGCAAGCACATCACATCTCCACGACAATCACCAGGACATACCACCCCTAATCAGGGAGACCTGCGCCCTTCTCCACCAGAAGCCAAACAATAACCTCCAATTCCTTATCCATCGCCATTTCAAGTGGGGACGCCTTCAGATATCGATGCTCATTTTCGACATTGGGATCGGCCCGCATCTCCAGTAACATCTGCACCATGGGAGCATCACAGTTCTCAATCGCGGGAAACAATGGCGTATCTCCAGATCCATCTTTGGCATTTGGGTCGGCTCCGTGTAAGAGAAGCACCTGGGCGCATTCGATATGTCCTCCATAGACAGCAATATTTAGTATTCGGCGTGAAGTGTAGCCCACAAGAGGTTCAAAGTTTGGGTCCGCTCCAAGCTCGAGGAATCGTTCACATGCTTCGAACTGACCGTGTTGACATGCCCAGAGAAGTCCCCTGTTTCCATTCTCCATGTTTCGATGGCAGATGTAGTCTTTCAGGTGGTGGTTAAGACGCAGACTTGTAGCCATGAGCTCGACTACTTGCTTCTCTGTTGGGATACAGTCGGCGATCTCGCGGATGAGTTCTGCTGGCAGAGTGTCTAGGGATAACCGGTGCTCTTGACCATACATCATAAACGGGCTCTGGAGAGTGTTGTAGCTTTTTTGTGTGAAGTTGAAGATGGTCATGAAAAAATATATATTCAAGAGTGGTATATGAGGCCCTTATATAGACAAACGTCTATGTAGTCCCAGGGAAAGGCAAACACTACCTGTGTGAGTGGCATTCAACAATTCATTCCCAAGACACTCGTAATGTCAATTCGCTTCCAAAGTTTCTCTACCATGGTGTCTTTTTAAGGTTCTAGGCGTTCTGAGTAACACCTCAATCCGATGCCAAAAGTAGCAAGGGCATGACGCGGGTGTGATGCCCTCAGATCCCCATACTTACTGGGTCAAATATTGACACTCATTTGTTTATGTATAACCCAACGGGTACTGTACAACTTTCTGATGAGTTAATGTTTCTCGGTGATCTCGTAGGCTTTTGCAAGAATTACGTTATAGGTGATATACATATTTTTAAAAGCCAACGAAGATCCTTTTCTCGACATTTCGTATTAAGAACAATTGAGCAATGCTCTAAGATATGGGTAATCAAACAACTTCTGTCTTGAATAGGTAGAATTAACATTCTTCTGGCAGCAACGATTAGGTCGAAATTTCTTATATGTGTATGTAGAGGAGAGACAACTTTATATATATCCATGAGTATCCTTTCATCCTCTTGTCACATTCATCTTCATCAATTGAATCCATGAGTCAGGCGTCAAATTCAACAACGATAATATCCGTCTCTAGCGCATGTCCCCCCTCCTTGACAAGCAAACCCTTGTCCAACTTCCAACCCCCAGACCCCCAAAGCACCTCCTTGACGACACTAGCACCACCAGGTAATTCGATCGACACAGCATTCGACCAAGAAGGCATCTGAAGAGCCAGAATACTAATTAACATCCTATCCTCAACCCTCCAACCCGAAACATCTATCTTAGAATGCCCGGTCACTCGCAGCGGGACCGTAACCGCACCCAAGAAGAACCTCGCAATCCGATCACTCGCAAGAACCTGACTCAACTTGCTCGTGATATTAGACAGCTCATTGCTAGTAGGATAGTCCCACATCACAATTCCCTTTGCATTATGATTCAAACTCAGCATGGTCATGGTCACTTCTTCCGCTGCAGTGGGATAGCGCGTCCAATAGGACTCGTTTCCAAAGGCCATAGGCACACCCCAGAAAGTTTTCGGTAAATTTCCGACCCAGGATTGGTACTCCGCGAAGATATCTAGTCGATTCGAGATATCTTCCATATCTCCATGGCAATCATCACAGCCACAGCAGCCGTAGGTTGTGTTGCAGACTGTGTCGTAGACGGTAGACCAGCTCGTGTTGACGGCAATGGGGTATACATCCGAGAGAATGATATCTGCTCCGGAGGCGTACTCTTCGTAATAGAAGTTGTAGCAGTTCAAACAAAGTGAAACAGGGTGCCATGGGTCTAGCGACTTGATCAGATCGTACGTGATCTTCGTCGCATTCAACGGGTCCCCTTGACCATCAGGTTCGTCGCCTGTATACCAGAGAAGCAGGCTCTTGTGAGTCTTGAGTAGATCAACTTGATACTGAACCGAAGTGAGGTTTTGGTATGTCCAACGCATGTCATACATAACCCACAGACCGACCTCGTCGCACTTGTCGAGGAACATCTTTAGCTCGGTGAAGTTGAAGGCTTCGTTGGCGAGGCCTGCGTTGGGTACAATGTGGATGATATTGTAGCCTTGATCTTTGAAGATTTGGACATTGCTTAGGGACTTCTCGAGCCAGCCATCCCAGCTGACGTAGTAGGAGTATGGGAGCAATGGGCTCCATGAGGAATCTTTGGTATAGTCCTGCACCAGAAGCCCGCCGTAGAGACTGTCGAGTTTCGTTATGCTGCCGCCATCTATTCGCTCCGGTAAATGATAGAGGTCTGTGGTGGCAGAGTACGCATGGCTACCGTCCGGGCGATTGGCTCTGATAGTGACACGGTAGGGCTCGAAGCGGGGAGCCAGACCATGCAGGGGGAACTCCAGCTCATTTGAAGAGGTATTGACAAATACCGAGTGCGTCAGATGTAATTTTGCCTCGCCAATCGAGAGTTCAATATCCAGGCTCTGCGAGTTATGGTCTGTGATCTCCCATGGTTCACCATGAATGTATGAGATCTTCGTATCAATAATAAAAGACCCTTTGCCATCACCCGGAGTATAAAGATTCATGCGCGGACGGATTTTCAGATCCAAGAGTGGCACATCAGACCAAGCTGGACTTTCCATCCAGCCTCCAGGCTCGAACGAGGCATTGCTAAGAGAGTATTAGCCTGATTCCTGCAACAATTGGAGTCACATACGTCGAGCTATAGGCCTTGCCACACCAAATTTCTACACCAGGAGGATTGTTAAAGGCCGTTGCCAGGCCTATAAGGAGAAACAACCACATCTTCGGGAAATCGTTGGGGGAGTGTTCAACATGAAGAAAGGGGGTTTGTTTATCGGCATCTTGCCCGTTATAATCAACTATCACCCCCCTCACCCCACACCTTCCCCTCTTGAATGTTCCCCTCTTGAATGTCACCTTGCTCTCCGACGCTGGGTGGGCCTGATAGCAAATGTCGCATTGCTATTCTTCAGAAGCAATCTGGGTTACTGCTAGCGAATCACCACTGGTGATCAAGTCTATTTGACCCACTAGCTAGTTGACTTTCTTTCTCGCCTTCGTCACACGTCCTCTATACCGATAGATAGGCAGATTGATGAGATCGACAACGTTACAGTTTTATTCTCTATAGTCAAGGGTCTTGGGGGCCCACTCTTTACCTCAATGTGGAGAGGATGTCTGTGCTTTTTCTAAGCACTATAGCCCCGTCTTGGCTTTGGAGTGGATCAAAACACGTAGATTCAATTCAATCCATGTAATTCCAGAACATCTCACGCCAAAGCGGTAGCTATAAAACATTCAGAGCTATACTGACCTACGTCTACTTCCTCTACCCCACCAGCTAAAAAAAGTTAGAAGGAATGCATTATACTGATCTCATTCTCTGCGTAATCCACCGGGTGATTATTCCATACTCTATAGACAGCCATGCTCGAATCTGGTATTTGCGAGATTTGGAAACAATGCGAAAGGGGAGACCCGTGGGGTATGCCACGAGGGTTGGGGGAAACAAGGTATGTACATTTCATGGATGCATGCTGGAAAACAGAACCACAGGTGCGACGGTCGGGGAAGGCTGGGAAGAGACGGAGAAACAATTGGAGGTAGTAGTGACAAATAGGAAAGTACCAGAAATAAAACACATAACAACGCAGGAGGGCGAGATTGCTGCCACCCTTCTTCCCGGCTAAATCCACCCCATACCACACCTGCCGCATCACCACTGACACCGAGTCTGTATGTCCATTAAGGAATATGACCCCAAGAAAGATATTGGGAAGGGAAAAATGGGCAGTCCATGCGAGATAGTAGCAGGCATATATAACCATCGGCGAACAAACGTTGGGTCGTGTGGTATCGTCTGGGATGACCAGACGATGGCCTTCCGTCGAGCAACCAAAAAAGAGCACACAGCCAATCCCAGTGATGTGGACAGCATGCTAGATGAATATGTCAACATGGATGATGAAAATGGTCGCGCCATCTTTGAATAGAAAAGCCGTCAGATCCATTGAACGCCGCCCAAAAAAGAAACCCCGGCCAACATACGTAATACGCAGGTTTCAGCAGAAAACTCCCAAGGAACAGGCCTGGGTGATGCTCGCAGCCGAATCAAAAAGCATGGAGACGCAGATAAGGAAACGATGCATAGACATGGCCGAGGCGCTTTTGATGGCTTTACGGCGAGGCCCAACCGCCGGCGACCTCCACCCATTCGGACAAGCAGCTGCCCTGCTTGCCTTCGACGTCGACGATGTCGGTATCGCAGCGGCATCGGCATCCAACACCGTTCTCCTTGACCGCGTCAGGTGTAGCCCAATACTCATCTTCTTCAATCCGCTTCTTCTCATCGTCGGTGGTCTTCTCAAGGTAGGGTTCGCGGGGCAATTGCCGCGCGGGAGCGTTGGCGGGACAATGCTGGATGGTGGTGTGTCGGTATCCGAAGTCTCGGAAGTAGTGGATGTCCTTGACATCAAGAAGAGCACCAGCCGCAAGGGAGTGGATGGGTGCATCACCCCAACGTTCATTCCAGAATCCACCACTGCGGTCCATCATTTGGAAGAAGTCCTCATACTCCTTACTGCGGAACCAATCCAGGCGAGCAATCTCGAAGTTACTCCAGAAGTGACACATGTTGTAGCTCTCACCCTCCATGGCCTCTGGATCAATGTCATCGAGACCATTGTCGCCAACCTCACTCTGAAGAATTTCTTCGGGCAGTTTCTCCTGCTTCTCCACCTCTGGCTCGGTGAGCTCCTCGGGGCGCTCCAAGAACATCTCCCACAAGCCCTTGGACGGCAGGTTGTTTTTGCGCTTGTAGGCTGATGCGTACCGGAAAATGTTCGGAACAGTCTCGCGAAGTTCCTTAACGGCAATGGTGAATCCGTACGTCTTGTTCGCCTCGATCATCTTGAGGAAAGGATCACTGCTTTGAGTAAGTAATCGAACGGGCCATAAGATAGATAAGGCAGGCTTACTATGTGATATCACAGAAGTACTTGATCTCGGGCTCCAGGCGCCAGTACCATTCGTACTTCATCAGAAGGGGGTGCTTGTAGAAGTGTCTGTCTGCTGTTAGTATTGAATGCACTCCAGCAGTCAATATGGTTACTTACCCGGAGTAGAAGCGGCACATGTGGTGATAACTCTCCATGCCACCGTACATGATGGCGGCATCACCTTGTTTCCGAATACCCTCCTTGGCGACCTCATCGTCGACCCAGTCGGGATAGCCCCACATGGAGTTATCGATCTTGCCGAATTCCACGGGGGCACTGGTGTAGTTCATCACGGCGGCCTTGAAATCATCGTCGAAATCACCGTCGTTCAGGAAGACGTATGGATAGTGCCACCAGCGGTTGAAGTGACGCTCGATCGACTTGAGAGACTGGATAACACCGTCCAGCTCCTTGTTTCTCGCGAGAACGACGAAGGCAGCGTTGGCGCGAGGGGCCTTTTTGATTTGATCCATATCGATGGGCAGACAGCCGGTGGCGAAGACTTTGTCATGCTTTTCGCTGATTTTGCTGTATTGAAGACACCGCGGTTAGCTATTGCAACGCCTAGACTGTGCGATGAGGGAACACGTACCGAATGGAGGGCGGAGTGCCTGCTGGAATTAAGATACCCCCGGGAGACGAAGGATGTCGGACGAAAAGAAGTAGAATGAAGACAATTACAAGACATGGAAATAGTAAAACAAATCCCAGGGGTATAGAAATGGAAGAATTGCCCTTCAAGCGAATGCGCCGGCGGAAGAAGGCGAACCGCGGCGACCCGTGGCCCTTTTCATGGGAGACATCTTCTAAGGGGAGGCTAGGCGCACTGGGCAGCCGTTTGGTGATGCGCTGAATGAAACTCATGGGTGCGACGGGGGCACGCGTCGAAGACCCCACGATAACCAAATCAACGGGACCCAAGCAGCAGGGCCGGAATCGGTTTGTGTCGGACCCCAGACGAGGATCAGGGGAGTAGAAAAGCCGCGACTTGTCGACCGGTCGAGAGGGGAGGTAGAGATAGTACCGGAGTGAACGGGTACCTTTTTTTTCGGGAGAGTGACGATCAGATCTCACAAGACAAAAACGAGTGGCCGGAGGAATGCCTCCTGTCTCCTTCCCCCAACTAACCTTCTCAGACCCAAGATGGAGAGGAGGGCGTCGGGAGCAACGCAACGGAGGTAAACGATGAGGGAGATAGGGGGGTGGAGGACATGAATAGAGTCGAGGGGCTCGAGGAAGTGGAAAGAGAAGGGGAAGGGAGATGGGGATGGGAGAAGTGTCTGCCAAGACCAGGGGAGGCGCAAGCGTCTGTGGCCCGTCACACCGAAACCGTTAATTTCACTCTTCGCCCCCCTGTTCCGTGTTGCCGCTCTAAGGTGGCGTATTTGCCTTGTACGTACGGCGTATTCAACCTGGATAGGAGATTTTCCTTTTCTTTTTTCTACTATTTTTTTTTTTTTTCGTGTTTCCTTTTTTCAATCTCTTTCTTTCATTTTTATTTTCGGGGGGTTTCTTTACTCTTTATTTTTGCCCTTAAAAAGGACCAATTGTGGTTCCAGTTCGGTCTGGTTTGTAATTTAGTAGTTGTGTAGCTGGTAATAACTGCGGTGGACCTGTCCCTGCGTAGCGCTGTGATACCCACGCAGTGCGCGGTCAATGTAGGTACACCCGAACTACAGCAGACTTGGCTTCTTCTATAAGGCTTGCTAGTCTATAAATGGACTGTGTATACTTAGTGCTGTGTCTAAGTGTCTAGGTGAAGATCCAGGCGATCCTATCCACCGCTATGGCAACAAAGATGGCAAAACACTCCATAGTTTTTGCCTACAGTGTTTACCCATGTCCCGAGGTACCTCTGGACGTATAAGTAACTCGTCCACAGGCACAGACAGGAGCTGTAGCTCACAGTAAGGGTTCACTCGTGTGCGTTGCGCACCTGGAACTAGCGTATGTCGATCGGGGTCTAGGGGCACCAGGGACCTCCTGGCCGTTACGCCGAGTGCGGCCGGGGCCAATGGCAGCGCCGGTATATACCTACGAGGATTGTGCTGTACTGTAGTTGGGGAGTTGATCCAGATATGATCATAATAACAGGGAAATGAAACTTGTACCGGTACATGGCTTATGCGTATTAAGCATGCGGGAAATTAAGTACACAGTACCGGGGCCGAGGCATTGCGGCTCCACTCTCTACGGGCGATGTGGCCTGAACATCTGAGGGTCTGGACTCGGGGACTCTGGACCCTGTTCGTGTGCCTGCTTACTCGAAGGGATCATTGGCATGTAGGTTACCAAGGGTAATCCTGGAGTTGGACTCCATCTAGTATGTGTCAATTGCCTAGGCAGCCACATTGGTACCTAGATTATAAAGCCAGAAGCTCTACTTGGGAAGTACTAGATCAGCTGGACTTTATCCATGGTCAACCTTGGAATGGATCCTAGAATGACTCGCTCCCGCCCTCAGTTTGACATCAGACCATTATATTATAATGTGACCCTCGCCTCTGTCCGGGTCACACCCAATGGGCCTTTTCTCTCGGTCAGGCCTCTTCGTGGGCAACGATCGTCCTGCACAACGTCGCGGGGGTTCCCCCTTTTTCCTGAAACCCTAGAAACAGTGAACCTTGATCTAGACCTCTTTCCCTCTCCCTCGTACATGTCTTCACAGCCACCATGAATCAGGTACTGGCTCGTCCCTCGCTGTCGGAGGGACAGAGCAGATCCCCCGCCATTCAAATGCCCGACCACTCCGTCCATTTCCGCGCGCCACCCTCCCGCAACGGTCACGTCAATCTGGATACCTTCTCCCCCGTCAACGAGAACGGGAGCTTCGAATTCGACCGAGTCTTAAAATCCGGAAAGGTCTCCCGACGCGTCAAGCACAAGCATGTCTTCCGGGCCTCGTGGAAACCTGCCTACCTCGTCCTGCGGCCCAATCTTCTCTCCGTCTACAAGGACGAGGAGGCCACCCGCATCCGCGTCTCCATTAGCCTCTCCGAAGTGACAGCCGTGGCCCCAGTCAAATCTCCCCGCTCCAATCGCCAGCACGTCTTCGGCGTCTTCACCCCTTCCAAGAACTATCGTTTCGAGGTGCTCTCGGAGCGCGACGCCGATGACTGGATCGATCGTATCCGCGCCGAAGTTCCCGGCAACGAGGACGAGGCCGCCTTCATGGCCCTGTCCAAGAAACGTGCGCTCCCCGCAATCCATAGACAGCTGATTGAAGATACGACGGATCACTCCGATTTCGATGTCGCCGGCCGTGCCAGCTCCCCCGAGCTAGGTCGAACTCTATCTCCTGGCCCGTCAGCCCGCAAACCCTCCTGCATTCAGGAATATTCAGGAAACGAAATCACATCCTACTCGGAGCTTTCAGACGGTCCCTCTCCCTCCCGGAATAGCCGTCTGCGCTCTATGCCGTCCATTCATACCTTATCCCTTTCTGCCCCGGAAGACAAACCCATGTCCTTACCGCGTGACGTAGGCTTACCACGCGACACGAGCAGACAGTCCGAGCTCGGTATCTTACGCGATCCAGAACGGGTAGTGTGCCAAGGGTACCTACAGGGACTACGGATCAAGGGAACCGTACGGCAATGGAAGCGGCTCTGGGTGGTACTACGATCGAAGAGTCTGGCCTTCTACAAGGACGAGCAAGAGTATTCCGCGCTCAAGATCATCTCCATGTCGCAAGTGATTGATGCAGCCGAAGTCGACCCCATGTCAAGGTCCAAGACCTTCTGTCTGCAGATCATCGCCGAAGAGAAAACCTACCGGCTTTGTGCTCCGGACGAAGAGTCTCTCGCACGCTGGCTGGGCGCGTTGAAGAGCGTCATCGTCTTCCGCAAGAAACTCGGCGCTACCCCTGCTGTTGCGACGTAGGCATTGTATATCTGCATGGATGTACTTTCTCCCCCTCCTCTTTTCACACCATCTACCGATTACCATTCTACTGACCCCGTCTTTCTACTACCGTTTTACCCTGATATCCGGTCTCTGGCCCAATCCTCTCTTTTAACATTTCATCCACATTCACATCGTTCAACTGAATATACCCAGGTTTCTAGTGTCGAGGGAGCAGACAGGCGTTGAATCTTTTGTACTTTTCATCAAGGGTGGTTTTCTTTGCATTCGTTGATCTCTTCCCTTATGTTTCTATTATCTACTAAACTCTCTTTTTCCATTGGTTTAATACATTGAAGGTCCGAGGCAGATGTTTTGATGCTCTGAGTTACTAATCTCTTGGAATGCGAAGCGTTGTCTTTTTCTTTCCATTGTTGATATTTGGGTGCCCACGTACTTATGAGTCGAGTGGCCCTTGGACATACGAAAATAATCTGAATTAATTGAAAGCTTAGAATCCATTCTTAGTGCTGACTAAATCAATGCCGTATCTACTCTGGTATATCTGAACATGCTAAAATGGAAATATTCTACGACAACACCGGCCGTACAGCGCAAAAAGGACAAGCCGGAAATCATAATCCTGGAGATGCGCTAGAAAACACAATGTATAATGAAAGAAGCGTCTACCTATCTTCATCGCGAGGAATGCTTTCATACTCCCCAGAGGACGGCCGGGCTATCTCAGCCGAGGCCTCATCCTCTATGATCTTGCTTTCGTGGTTGACAACCAAGAAAGACAGGAAAACAATAGCAGCGCCGACCCAATAGACTGGACTGGCATATTGTGATTGAAGCACGATCTGCCCGACCAAAGACAATGGGATAGTCAGGCTAAGGCCGACGGTCACGACGAGTGGAGTGGTCAGGAGCATAGCGTACGCCCATGCTATATCAGAGACGAACGAGGAAACGGCATTAACCAGGATAATCGTCCAAACCCGCTTCGTATCCGGAAGCGAGAATTGTTCCACACCAGTCCAGTGCAGAATGAAGAACCCAGGCCATAGCATCACGAGGTTAAAGAAGCCGACAAGACCAAAGAATAATGGCATGTTCACCTTCGACTCGTCACCAACCTGCTTCTTCATGACGATCGTGTACACGCCGTACATGATTGAGCTAAACGCAGCCATGGCGTCCCCGAGCGCCATCTCCGCGGTCGACTTGTGCGGGAATGAGCCTTGGCTGCCATCTGCGGTTGCGTTGGCATCCTCTGGTTTGGTGAGGTCCACGCGCGAGATCAGGATGATACCAATCAGGGATGCGACCACGCCGAGGAATTTGCGGACGGTAAATTTCTCGACGCCGATTACGGCTCCGAAGATTAGGGTCCAGACTCCTGTGCAGTGATCAGTCGCGCTGTACTTTGAATTTTAAGTATCGGAGGATTCTTACCGCTAGTGGATGTCAAGATGGTCGTGCTTCCCACAGTCGTGAATTGCAGACATCCCATAGCAAAGTAGTTCGCCTGTTCAGTATCACGTTAGATTCACAGCCCCGAGAATATGATATTAGCAAATGACATACAGTAAACTGGAAATTGTTAGCAAATATCCATTATCCGAACATCAATGATACATACCCAAAGCAAACAGAACTGGAAACTCAGCTTAGCCGTCGCCTTCAACCCCAGCTTTCCTTCATCTGCCTTCAGTCCCAGATCCTGCTCATCACCACCAGATTCATAGTCCAAGGACCCAGTACGCAGATACTCGCGCTCCTCGCCACGTTTCGGATCATCCGAGTCCAAATGATGCAGCAGGCTCCAGAAGGAGGTCACGCGGGAGATACCATTGGTGCGCCAGAGGGCCCATGTGCGGCTGATAAGAATGGTAATGAGGGGCATGGTGAACAACGAGGTGTTGAAGTAGGTCACGAAGAAGGGCTTCGCGTATGTTTTATCGGCGAAGATCGTCTGTATAGTATTTTACTGTTAGTTAACATTCATTGTATAGCGGGCTGAATGGTGCTGTGGTGGGTGCGCGTACGCTTCCGAGGAAGTTTGATGCTGTCCATAAGAAAACCACGGCTAGTAAGAGGGCTATTCCTAGGGTTCGTCGGGCTATGCCGAAGACCTTTGGGCTAGGCGCATCGGCGGTGGTTGCCATGGTCGCTGACTGCTGACTTGAAGGAGCACGCGAGCGGTGGAGGAAAAGGGTTAGACGGGAGCAGAGGTCTGCCGGGTCGGCCTGGGTGCTTGAAGAGTGCAAGTCGCGACCATCGGTCAACTGAGTGAGAGGCAGGTGAGACAAGGTGATGAGGAGCTGAGGAATGTCGTGGTGAGAACGTGGACAGGGAATGCCAAGCCCTTGTGGGATGGGGAGCGATAAGAAATGTCAAGGTCCTATCAACGATGCAAATGTCCCGAGTAATGCATAGATGCTCACATCGTATTGAAGTCGAGGACTTACGCTCGGGCTACGGATAAATTATAAAGAAAGAAAGGAGGATGAAAGCACATGACTACCTTTCACAGGAAACGATCGTATTGCAGTAGACAAGAGAGAACATCTGACCATCAAGGCAAGAGCAGTCCAACGGTAAGTCCAACCGCTGTATAACGAACCGAAAGAATCTACAAGACAAAATCCAAAACATATCGATGACCTTCTCTACAAGCGGAAACCAACGGAGACTGAGAACCACCAGCAACGGTATGACATAAAAAAGGAAACAGAGGAAAGAGGATATCGCTGAAACGTCATGAGTATCGGGCAAGGGTATCAACAGGCACAGCCATCGCGCTCATTGTCCAGATGGATGTTGATCGGGTCACTGAATTCGCCACTGAACTCCTCGGCCTCTTCCTGTGCGAGCGCGCTCCGGGCAATGACTAATGTTAGGTTAGCATGGTGAACACAATTCAACGGAATGGGTACTCTCACCCTCGAATGCCTGCTCAACGTTGACTGCTTCCTTGGCACTGGTTTCGAAGTAGGGAATGTTGCCCTTGGACTGGCAGAATGTCATGGCCCGTTTCCCTGAGATCATGCGCTTGTTCTCTTCCACGTCAATCTTGTTTCCAATCACCACCTGCGGTAGTCCATTAGTACTAGGTTCTCATTCTATCTATCGATATTTACCGGGAAACTCACAAATGGGAAGTTTTCCGGATCACGAGGGCTAGCCTGGATCAGGAACTCGTCCCGCCAGCTGTCGAGTGCCTCGAAACTCTTGGAGTTGTTCACGTCGTAGACCAAGACACAGCAGTCGGCTCCTCGATAGAAGGCAACACCCAATGATTGGAATCGCTCTTGACCAGCGGTATCCCAAATCTATTTGTGGCACGTTAGTCGAATGCTCAGTCTTGGTGGATGCCAGAGCAGTCTTTACCTGCATGGTGACTAGTCGGTCATCGACAAGGACTTCTTTGGTGAGGAAATCGGCTCCGATAGTGGCCTTGTAGCTCCCACTGAACTTCTTGTTGACCTAATTACCCCAAAGAGCGACACGTTAGCGCTGTGAAAATGGCAAACTGTCGACGGGCGCTAGCTGGATGGGTCGGGAAGAAAAAGAACGCACATATTGGTTCATCAGACTGGTCTTGCCGACACCACTGTCTCCAAGGATGATCACCTATAGCACAAAGACAGTATATTAGCCAAGAACTGCATTAAAGTATCGCGTGCCGGAGCTGCTGCGGAGATCGTACCTTGAGGAGGACCTTCTTCCGTGACGCCATGGCAACGGTGTGAGGAGGAAGTTGAAGGTTGAAAGAAAAGCACCAGATATAGGCCCGAAAGCAAATTCGAGCAGTAGGTAGAGCCGGGGCTGAGGCGAGTGAAGATTGCAGGAGAGTTGGAGTTGGGTTGCAGCGGGTGATGATGCATGGCCGGGCGGTCGAGGGGGGCGGTGGAGGCTGATAACAGATAGCGCCGACATCATCGCATTCGACGCATTCCTCACCCGATCTAACGTTCTCGGCCGATGACCCTGTGGAGAGAGGAGTATCTGGCTGCCCTGGCAGTGCGAGATTCAAGGGAAAAGGCCAACTCTGCGCTCTACGATGCCTGTTCGTTCTCTCATCCACGTTTGACCCCCGTCTACATGTTCCTGACAGCTTCATAGATTCCCGGCTCGCAGATCGCACTGCCAAGCTCACCACAACACTAGAATCCAGCACCGGTCCAGGTCGTCTGAGGTCCTCTGGCCATGAAGCTCACACGGCTCCGCCTCCGGTAGCGCCATCCAAGAAACAGCCGACCGACGGATCTTCTGCCACAGACCTTCTTAACACGACCCGTGCAGAACTATCAGCGGCACAGCGATCCCGGGCAGAACTACAAGACCGCTTGGACAAGGTGAACGCAGAGTACGAAAAGCTGCGCAAGAGAAGTGCCCAAGAAGGCCGGCGACTTAACACCCTCGACCATGAAAGAACCCATTTACAGATGCGCCTAGAGGATAGAGACGAAGAGTTACGACAGAAAGCCAAATTACTTGAGGTAGGCAAATTCTACAAGGCACAGACTCTACCGAAAAGAGCTTAATAATTGCTCGGGTGGGAACTGCGATTGACATGATCTGACCGGTTCACCACAGGATTTCCAAGACGAGATCGCGACACTGAATCTACAGCTCAATATGGCCGATGAAAAGACAAGCAAACTCCAACGCGAGAATCAAGAACTTGTTGACCGCTGGATGGCACGGATGGGCCTGGAAGCCGACGCCATGAACGATGCGTCGAAATTTTGATGAAGTTTAGGACTCTGTCGATGCTTGAGAAGTTCTAAATGGCCAGCCCATAGATGTACATTGACCAGAACAGGAATTTACTAGCTTATAGAACAGACTGTCTTTATACAAGTCGAAATGGTATCATACAACAAACCGGAGATATGTCCAACGGGAAACATGATAATATACACAAACCATAGAAAATGTCCATTTACAATCCGACTTTCAAACCAAAGTGATCGGTCGATCTCTAAAGCATATCATCCATAAAGCGCTTCAGTCGAGAGCTGTCTTTGGTGGCAATGAAGTAGGTGCCACCAACGTCGGTCCAGCTGACATTGTTGGACCAGTAGTTCTTTTGCTGGACCTTGAGAAGGTTGATGGGAGAGTTGAGATTGCGCGACTGGATCTTGTGGCCAGCGGGAACAAATGACTTCAGAGAAACAATCTTGCAGCCTTCTTTCATGTCGAGGAAGTGATTGATCAGCTCATTGTTGAGCTGGGGTGTGAATGCTTGGTTGTTGATAAGCACCACGTCTGCTCGTTTAAGTACGTTGATGATGCTCTCCTGCTCGAGGAAGTCACCACGCACCAGATGCGTCTTGCCCGGCGCGATTCCCCATAGACGGCAGCGAGCCTTGAATTCAGATTGTTGCAGTTCGGCTAAATCGCACGCGTTATTCATCATCTCGCAGCCCCAGCTTTCGCAGCCAATTTCAAGTGCCGCTTGGAGAACAACGTTGCCCACGCCGGAGCCGAGATCAACAAAGACCTGGCCTGACTTCAACTTGGTCTCCTTGAAGATATTGCTGATAAACCTGGGAAGAAGTTCGCCGTACACATTGTCCGTGCCGTTCTCGTACTGCCGAAGGGATTCGACGCGGGGAGAAACCGTGCGCGCATAGATCTGCGTCAAAATGCGCTCTACCCAAGGCAGACCCATGCGCTGCGTTGTGTCCAAATGCTTCGCAAGGCTACCGCTTTCTCTCAGCTTAGTGATGGCCTTGTTATAATCTTCGACCGCCTCGCGGAACTGGGTCTCCGATGTCACAGCCAAAGCACGCCGCAATCGCCGTCTGATCCCAGTGGTTTCATTGTTGAACTCGTCGGCTTCTTCAGCCTGAATATAATTGTCGGAGACGGTCTCGATGACCTGTACAATGTCGTCGATGGGCCGGAAGTCCTCATTGTCTTTGGGTACCATGGAGTCGAATCTAGTCGTCAGAAATTAGCAAAACCCCTTCTCAAGTAACGGTCACGTTTAGAAGCGCATACATTTCTTTTTGCGAAGCACTGGGGTACTGCAAGAGGATCTCCGTAGATTTGCCGGCGACCCCAAAGGCCGGCTTAAACTTCCCAGCCTTTTGGCCAGACGTGATATCCACCGCATGTACCATCTTGAAAGGCCGACGTCCTTCATCTGAAAATGCCTTCACCGAGCGAATCCGTCTCTCGGGGTCGGGTTCCGCACTGGCGCTCGTGCGCGCACGCTTGCGCACTTCAAACGAGGTATCACTGTCGCTAGCATCGTCATCACTCGAAAGGCGTGTCTCCGGGGTAGGTCGCTTTCGTATGCGATTCGGGGTGGTGAGTCGTTTGGCGGGGCGGGCGTCTGCGTCACTCGAGACCGATCGGGCTTTAAGCGCGTGCGTCTTGCGGCTCCGTTCTGTCGAAGACTGGACTTGAGATGACCGGGAGTCCGAATTTTGTGTCGCCGACCGTGCCGGGGCCGGGGCTTTTTGAACGACTTTGCGGATCTGAGTCTTCTGAGGCTGTAGAGAGAAGGCCCCTCCTTTCTGAAGGTGGTCGAAAAAGCCCATGGGGAGTAGTGGGGCGGGAGATAGGAATGTTATATAGACAAGAAAAAGAATAGTTTATGATATGCAGCAGGCATGAGAGAAAGAGCAAAAAATGACAACTATGAAGACCTTTCAGGCCGTTGGAGGAAAGAGGAACAATCGATAAGCCGCCACTCGGGGAAGTTCGAAGTTTAGGAACCCGCGTCTGCGGCGGTGGCTCGGAGGTCTTGGCGAACTTAAGCTGTTCCGGTCTTTGGTCGTGTACACCGACTTGTGTATCCAGTTTCTACGTACTGTATACAGATCATCCAGAATCCTATTTCCTTAGAAGTATGGGTATCTCCCTTGACTATGTAACGCTCTCTATTCACAAATGGTACATTTACGCCTTCATCTTCTTCTTCAGTCTCTTTTGTGCCCGGATATCCTTCTTCATACGCGAATCGACAATCTTGTACTTGCCCTTGACACCCTTAGGACGACCAGAGATACCACGGTTGGCACCACGAGCAACGACCAGCTTGACCTCCTGCTTGGGCCTCTTCTTGGTGGCCTTGCTCATAAGCTTGGTGATGGCCTGGGACTTGTCACGCTCACTGAGCGCCTCGTCGTCAGCCAGGAGAGCAGACTTCTTGCGCAGCTTCTCCAGCTTCTGTGCAGCCTTGAACTTCTTACGGCCCTTGGCTTCCATCACCTTCTTGATCGGACGGGCGTTGATAGCGCGGAGCTTCTCCTTGATGGCAGCCGCGGCAGCCTTGGTAATCGGGCGCTGCATCTTGCTGTGTTGACCCTCGTCATCCATGAACCAATCCGGCATGCCGTCCACGTCGCGGAATGAGTAGCGGTTAAAGCCATCGTCGACGACGTCGGAGGACTTCTTCTCGCCAGTGACCATCGATTGAGCCAGAGCCATGGCCTCTGCGGTGATGATGTCGATATCTGCTTTTACGTTAGAACTATCTCCGTATTCATCCACAGTAGATTGTGACTTACCAAGCTGGCCGTTGGGCTTGCGAGGATCTTGCTCCTCGGGCTCTTCGTCAGAGTCAACCCACTCAGTCTCCTCCTTCTTTTCCTTCTTCTTGTTCTTCTTTTGCTTCGGCGCAGGAGCAGGGGCCTCTTCCATCTCAACGTCACTATCCTCCTCCTCCTCTTCTTCTTCATCCTCCTCTTCCTCGTCGCCAACTCCTTGGAAGATATCTTGATCGAAGAACATAGCGGCGTTGTTCGAGAGGTTGCCAGGCTGAGGGGGTGCATTGGCCGTTTCCTCCTCTTCTTTTTCCTCTTCCTCTTCCTCTTCCGCCTCGTTATCGCTCTTGTTCTCGTCAGAGAAACCATCCCAGGCCTCAGACTCGTACTCCTTGCGAGCCTTCTTTGCGCGCAATTTTGAGTCTCTATCCTCCATGCGCTCTTGGTAATGCTCGTACATGGAGTCGAGTTCCCGCTCAAGACGATCGCCATCATCATCGTCATCTTCCAAATCGGATTCCGACTCGTCCTCGCTGTCGCTCTCAGGTGCCAGATCACGGGCATTGACAACCGCATCACGAGCACCCGCCCGATCCACTCGCTTAAGAGAGAATGTGGTGTCGTCACCTCCGGGACCATGCTGCTCCATGCCGATATCCATAGGCGTGGTCATGTGCATCTGCATGCGAACAATCTCCTTTCGCTTCTTCTCATTTTCCTTGCGGCGCTCCTTCTTGTCACGGGTGCTTTCTTTTTCGCGCATACGCAGCAGCTGCTCTTGGATAGCCAATTCCTCGTCCATTGGGGCAATCTCGGCAACTTCCTCGGACTCTTCCTCCTGAGCCGACTTCTTCACGACAAGGCCAAACTTCTCGCGAACCTTCAGGCGCCATCGCAACAAGTTGCGGAACTCCTTCCTACCAAGAACCTTCAGATCCTCGCTGCAAGTTTTAATTTCTTCTGTAGTCTCCTCAAGTCGGTTGATAGTGGACAAAGCAATGTCTCCACTAGGCGGTTCAACGAAGCTGAGTTTGTTGTAGGAACCCAGAATGGCGATGGGGTCTGTGGTATTGATGAATTCAGAAACCGGGATTTCCTTAAATTGGGTGTAGTCTCCCTCCTCGTAACCTTCACGTCTGCGCTTCTTCACCTCCGGGTTGAAAACCTTTGCTTCGTTGTTGGGTGTGGGAGCTGAAAGTTCGGCGAAGACATGCTTGGGATCGAGGAACTTCGGGTCGAGGCGCTTGGGGGCCTTATATCCGCGGCAGACGACGAAAATCTCTGCAGAGACGTTACGCGACGAAGGGGGCTTGGTCGCCTCCACAGATGTGAAGAGCTGCTTGAACACCCACAGAAGAGGGTTGTAATCCTTAGAACGGAAGACCTTTGTGACAAAGTTTCCACCCTCTGCCAAGAACTCTGTAGCCAACTTTAGAGACTCCAACACCAACTCTGCTTGCGAGAAGGCATCCTGGACCCAGGCGGTACCGACATTGGGTGCACCGTCGTGAAGAACCGTATCAGCCTTCCAGTGCTTGAGGTGACCTCGAATGGTAGCGCGACACTTGTCGGTGGTAATATCGCTCTGGAAGGTAATTGCTCGGGGAATGGGTTTGATGGGGGCGAGATCGACACCGATAATAAGACTCTGCGCGGGCATGCATTCCGCAGCGACTTGACACCACGACTAGATGGTGTTAGAAACGAAATCCTCCAGGAAAGAAAACCTGTGAAAAAACGAAAGAAAAAAACTTACACCAGGCGCAGCACAAAGATCAAGAAGAACTTTGCTCTTCTCCAAGAATCCGTATTTCTTGTTCAACTGGATCAACTTGAAAGCAGCACGGGCACGATAGCCCTTCTCCTTCGCAAGTCGATACCACTTATCCAAACGACCTTTTCCGTGCTTGAGAAAGTCAGTACAAACGCAGTGGAACATGCGCCGACAGACATACCTTTTTCTGGATCGCCATCTTGAATCACGGGCGGTCCTTCTGGAGACCTTAATGCCCTGAATGCAAGAGGAAAAATGAGTGACAGAGATTGTATACCCTTCGTCCCCAGCGGCTCCGCCGAAAAAAAAAAAAGTCGACTTATCGCTCACCGCCTTCAGGCACAAGTTATGGCCTCAGGCAACAGTAACAACCCCAGGCACCAAAGAGGAGCATGTGACATGATATCAGCTATCCTGGCTCGTGGCGCTTTAGGTTTCTAGATCATTTCGTTAGTGTGTGTTGGCTGATGGGACTTCATGACACTGTCCTCGCGTCCATGTCACCAAAGAGATCCCGCAAGAGAGTGAAGCCCAGCCCTGGCGCGGACTCACCGTCCCCCGCGTCCCCGGACAATGCTGCCCGAGATCGCTCGGACTCTCAGCCTCAAAGGCCTGGAGTAAGTCTAGAGGTTCCAGAAACTCACTTTGGGACATTTCGCTAACCACTGGTGATCATTCCTATAGAGCTGGTACCCTGGAAACTGGTCTGCCATCTCGCGGGTCTCCAAGGCGGCTCCAGTTACCGAGGTTGCCCGTGAGAGTATATCGGTCGCTCAAAACGTAGCTTCCAGCGTTGCAGACACCTCAGCCTCCATCCTCGACGCTTCCAAACAATACAGAAATCCATCCATTCAACTGACCCGGAAGGCGGGTGCCTCAACTAGATCACTGCCCGCCAATGTGACTACAACCCGGGTCAACATAGTATCGGACGCATCGGCCTCTACAACGGCTTTGGACAAGTTTGAGGATCCGGCAGCCCCAGGAACCTCGACACCCAATAAAGAGGATACCAAGGAAGAAACACCAAAGCCCATAGAGAAACCAACAGAAGCGCAAGAGGCCAATCCTGACAAAGCTGGCCCCGAGCCCAACACGTCGCAAGCAGATCAGACTGAGCAAGCTGGCGGGTGGTTTTCTTGGCTATATCGCGCCGGGAACACCGAAAAGAGCACTGACAGTGGCCCGGATCCTACGGAAACGACAGAAACGCAGCTTGAGCAGGACGAGGCTACGAAGCAGACCGACACACCACCAGTTACCCAAGACTCGCCCGCACAAGAGCAAGAAGAACCACAACCAGATCAGGATTCGCATCCCACAGATAATACAACAGAAACAACTTCTACGGCGCAGAAGCGTTCCTGGCTGCAGATGTGGTACGGTTCGGCTTCATCTAGCAAGCAGGGAGACCAAGCTACAGTGGAACCGAGCAAAGCCTCTCCGGCTGAACCCCAGATTTCTGTGAGCGGAGACGTGGATATGTCACCTAAAGATCCACCGGGAGAGTCCGATGAGGCAGTTGGTCAGACCAAGCCTCCCACTGGGAACACAAGATCCTCCGGATGGTCATTCTGGTCCAAAGAGTCGAAAGACCCGTCTGTTTCAACCCCACAAGAAGTTGAAGGGGTTGAAGCCACAATCGATCAAAATTCACCCACGCGTGAGACGTCACTTGAGCCAGACCCAGACACGAATGTCAACATTACCAAGAATAACAGTATCAAAATCAAGCCGCCGAAAGACAAGCACGCTAAAGATGGGTCTGCATCTGCGTCTGCATCTGCTGTGGCCGCAACCTCTGCCTCCGCACCACTTGCCGAGCCTCGCCCGGCCGATGTTACCGCGTCAAAGCAATTGCAGAAAATCCTTCCCAATCAAGTGCTTCCGCGTTTCGAAGACACGTATACTTTGGAAGAATCGCCATCCATTTTGCAATCTCTTGGGCGAATTCTCCATTACTCTAAAAGTCCTGAATACAAGCATGTTTCTCGAATCAGAGAGGCTTCTCGCATCAAGCGAGCCTTAGCCATTGGTGTTCATGGTTATTTCCCCGCGCCTTTTATCAGAAGTGTATTGGGTCAGCCCACAGGTACATCCATTCGATTCTCAAACATGGCCGCGGATTCGATTCGAAAATACACAGCAGACCATGGCTACTCTTGTGATATTGAAAAGATTGCCTTGGAAGGCGAAGGTCGTATCTCCGAACGAGTGGACCTGCTATGGAAGCTACTTCTCAACTGGATGGAAGAGATTCGCAAGGCTGATTTTATAATGCTTGCTTGCCACAGCCAAGGCGTGCCTGTCACAATCATGTTGGTCGCTAAGTTGATATCCTTTGGCTGCGTCAACGCATCGCGTGTGGGCATCTGTGCCATGGCAGGTGTAAATATGGGCCCTTTCTCTGCATATCGTTCTAGGTGGATTAGTGGCTCAGCCGGTGAGCTCTTTGAATTCGAGCTTCCTTTCAGTCGAGTCTCTAAGGACTACGAGGCTGCATTGAAGTGCTGTCTTGACTTTGGAGTCCGCATATCCTATGTTGGAAGTATCGATGATCAACTAGTCTCACTTGAGGTATGTTCGCCTATTGTCCCAGATTGTGAAACCTTTCACTAAATTTCTTTCATAGTCTGCCTTATTCTCTCCAATTTCTCACCCATACATCTACCGATCTGTCTTTGTAGACGGCAGAGTCCATGCTCCGAGCTTGTAAGCCCTTTTACTACAGAAAATCGTTATCAAATGTATGCTAATTCACCTTTCAGCCTTTCTCATCTCGTCGGATTTGCCCTCAAGCTTCGAAATCTCGGGGTCCAAGACCATGGGCTTATCCGCGAACTCAGCAGCCCATTGGCCGGCAGTCTCTACACTGGGGATGGGCATTCTCGTCTGTACGACGACGAAGCCGTGTACTAGTATGTGTCTCCATGCCCATCCCAAGCGACAAGTTACTGATCATTCTTGTTATTACTAGCATGGCTATTCAATTTGCCGTGGAAACCACTACCCTCCCAGAAACTAACCTATACATCAAACGGTCCGCCCCAGGCATCCCCAACCCCTACATCCTCCCCTTCGCCATGCGCGGTATCTTAGAGGAAGAACACGTCCGACGCGAACTCCACGAAGAAATGATGGAGCTCCTCCGCCAATTCGACGACTGGAAGCCAACAAGCAAAGTCTTGAAGGATGTCAAGTTCCGCCTCGAGGGTATCCGATCAAAGCTGTAGATGCCCTCTTTCAAGGTTCCCCCCCCCCCTGCTCTCGTTATAGCGTTTCCTTTTAGCGACTACATAGAGGAAAAATACAATTCCTTGCGCCATTTATATTATACAATACCATCCTTTTACTTTGAACATGTGAAAATGAGAGAAGATCGTTCGTTTAAAGGGTATTATATAGAACTTTCCGAGATACCTTAAATTCATGCATCATAACCATAAGAAGACTGAGACACCAGAACCCGTTGCTCAAGTGCCATGGATGTTCAGTAATGTCGCTAGTGGAGAAGAGGGAAGTGATCGCAGGAAATGCAAGATTCGCTTGAGAAGACTGGGCTCAATTAAACAGATGCGGGGAACGCCGTTTGGAATGCACCTTGTATTTCATCTGCGGTTGTCGGTAAGCTTCCATATATCCGGAGAATGAAAACAAAACAAAAAAACGGCTTACCTTTCATCCCATCCAACGCCTCAAACGCCACCGAATAGTTCGAAAGTGCCCTGATAACCCGTTGCAGTCCCTGCCGTAGCTCCTCGACTAGTCGGTCTGTCGAATCGCTTGCATTTTCATTCTCCGAGTCTGGGGAGAACTGCTTCGCCACGCGGGCTTTGTAGAAAATCATGAACATCGCATAGCTACTTTGCATTAGGCAGCATGCGAATGAGGGCATTGTTCGGGGAAGCTGGGGCCTCTGCTGATTTTGCTGCTGTGGGTTACCGGGAAGCGGTTGCGGGAACGGTAAGTTCTCGAACATGCGGGATATGACGAGGGCGGCACGGAGACATATTTTCGTAGAATGCTGCGAGCTGTATGGGAAGCCGGATGCGAATGGGTATTGTGGGTACTGAGGGATGTAGGGGTGGATGTCGGAGGAAGTTGAGGAGTCGGATGGGGTCATGTATTCAGTGGAAGATGCGCGTTGGAATGAGTTGAGGTTGCTGCATGAGCAGGAGACGGGGTTGATTCCTGATGCTGGCATTCGAGATTTGTTACTGAGATCGGCAATGGTGCTGCTTGGGCTTGCGGCTGTTAGATCGCAGTGTCTTTTGATGAAGAGAGGGATGTCGCTAAATGCTCTGAAGCGGTGTATTTTAATTTGGGCACTGTAGGGATGTTAGATAGAAGGTAAGGTTTTTATGATACTTCTGTGTGTACCTGGACAATTTGATGCGTGATATTGAGCGGATACTCTGGGCGGTGATGGTTTCGTGTTGATCACCAAAGCCGGCATCAGGTGAGGCAATGGGAAGAATATCTGTCTGCGCAAGCACAGAGTTGGTCCAGGAGTCTAGTTGGTGCATTCGTTCGAACATATAGTGCATGCCGGATTGCGACGAGAGGCACTTGTTCAGATCATGGATGAACTGAGTGGCGGACACTAAAACCTGTTGTGCTTGTATTAAAATATACCAGCCCTGGTGAAGTTGTCAGTTGACTGATTAGATTGACCTACGGCGGGACCAGGCACCGTTCTGAGATACTGACCTCGGCATCTGAAGAAAATCGTGGGTAAGGCGTTGTAAATTGAGGGTCATTAACGACAATGGTCGGCGGCTAGTGATTTATTAGCGTTTTGTATCCAAGTTTTGAATCCAAGGGTACATACAGTCGTGCTCACAATAGAGCCTTGTATAACGCAGTAGTACTGAAGCCAAAATTAGAAACAGTCAATGGCAGACGGGGAGGTCAACAAACCGTCATCCACCACGCTCTCCTTCGGGCTTCAGAGAATTCATTCTCCTCCATGTCAGCATGAAGCGATTTGTCCAAAGCTAGAGCCAAGGCTTGACCCGCACGATATCTCATCTTGAGAAGGTTGCCTCTTTGGGTATATTCATATACCGAAAGAATTAATAGAGCAAGTAAAGTCTCCAAATCCTCTGGGACCCGAGCGTGAAGTCTCTCCCGGCTGATTAAGGGTCGCGAACTTGATAAGGCCTGGCCGGGATCGGTGGATGACAGCTCAAGATCACATTCAGCCTCGATTATAGAGTTAGCCAATTGTGCAAACGTATGCGCATACGTCCTTCGCTGCAAGACAGATGTCGGGGAAGACGGCTCCGGATCATCGGGATGCGGAACAAGTGCTAGGATCGCGGCAATAGCAAGACTTAGGGGCGACCGAGGTCGGTACATCATTAATGGCTCCGCGGACGAGTTCGAACAAGAGACTGGGCATTGCAGTGGTCGATCCCGGCACGGGGGTGATGCTCGAGGTGGTAAAATGGGGAAGTACGAATGAATAAAGTCGTAATAGGCATTGAGACTTGCTGTTGTGTTAGATGGCATTGCGACTAGCATAATTGTCGCTATCAACTTACATCTCTGGCTCGCTACCATAGGTTCTCACGAAGCACTGGGTGGTGTTCAAGGGCGAAGGCATAGGGTCCAATTGAACCGAAGACGAGTTCCCTTCTGGGAAGTAGGCCTGGAACATGGGAGACATGGAAAAATCCAGATGCCGCAACCCTGCGCCCGGTCCAGAGAGCACATCGATCTGGCTAAACATGCCAGCCGCTGGAAAGTCATTAGCGACAGGAGCAGCAAAGATATGTTCGTACATACGCTCTTCGAACTCGGGCAGCACGGCATACTGGGCGTCGTCTGGCGAGTCCTCGGGAGAAGGCGAGGCCTTTTGCCTCTTCTTACGAGGACCACCTCGTTTGCTGGGTAAGTACGAACATTTGCGGCCCTTGGAGACACACTATACAAATTAGAATACATAGCTCCAAGCATCGAACCGAGCACACGGAAAAAATGGGGACGTACATTGGAGCAGGGTTCCTGCCCTCCACAACGAGTCCTCGATGCGCGACTAAGACGAGATTAGCGGTGGCGCATCCACCAGATCATTGGGAGGGGCATACCAAGGCAAACAGGCTACTTTGACGGGCGGTTTGGCGAACTTCTTGCGTATCGGCCGTGCCGGCGCAAAATCATGAAAAGCTTCGACCATGGCGAATCACGCCGGGATTCTAAGATGTCATGGAGAACCCCCAACTCCTTTCTAGAGGCAAACTTCCAGGATTCAGGTAACCGAGTCTAAGTTGATGCTTAGTGGTTGAATTGGGAATTAGGGAAAGTGAGGAGCTGTGATATAGAAAGACCGCTGATTGATCGCTCTCAAATGCAAATCCCGAGCGTGGAGATTCGGGGTTTGCTTGCGGTCCCATAGACACCCGCAATTTGTCACCACGGGGCGCGCCTCGTGCTCGCCGCAAGGAGTGGAAAATTAGGTATGGCGGGGATGAGCTATCTTGTCCGCTAGGTATGTGATTCCGAACAGATTCTAGTCCTCAACCCCAGAATATCGATCCTAGGAATGAAGGATTGCATGCGAGTGTTTGGATTTGTGACCCCGAGCCCTCGGTGGTCACGTGCTGGGGGAAAGAAGGATTCGCCTTCGCCTCACTTTTGGTTTATCTACTGTGTTGTGTTCTGCTTTCTAATTAGTTAGCGCCAGCGAGAGTTCTTTAGTCAGGCCCTCGATCAATGCAGATCCAGTCGTGTGCGTCCGTCGATCGAGCGGAACTAGATCCCGAAAGGAAGCAAAGGGAGGAAAGGGATGTACAGTAACGAGGTATGAGCTATTTGGAGTCGAAGCATGGGATATACGTGCATCGCGCATAGTTCCGACTAAATTAAAGTATGTTCCAAGTCTTTCCAGGACATCATTTCCGGCTTCGATGTATATAGGGCCCCACAGGAGCGAACCCGCGCGTCGAGGAGCCCTACGCTAACATTACACCTTATTTGCATTCACTATGTCTTGCCCACCGTCGAGAGTCTGATGCCCGTCACATACCGCACGCTATCCCAAACACTGTCAGGAACTTTGACTGGTAGTTTATGGCCCTTTAGCAGCTGGTCGATCAACCACATTCCAACCACAAATTCCTCTTTCGTCAATAGTCCGATCCGTTGCTGATCTACCAGATCCCACACTTGCTCTAATGACGCAGCGGGTAAACGGCTGCGAGACCAAATCTCCCGGACCACAAGGTTAAGAACCATGTCTGAGGTGGGTGGCCCTTTCTCAGATCCATTCGGTCCGCGCGCCTTGCCTCGCCCGGGAGGGATGAGCAGCCCCTTGTTGGAAGCCCACACACCTTCGTAGCGCTTCCGCTCCTTCTCAGAAACTTCTTGTCTCCACCGTTTACGATCTCCTTCGTGGTGTTTGTGGGGATGCTTGTGGAGTAACCGGTGCCGTCGGCTGCCATCAACCCCGTCGGCCTTCGGCAAGCCGCGAAGAGTCATCGGCATCCCCTTAGGAGGGCTTGGGGTACGTGATAGATCACTCATTGGTGAATGCGCTAGATGGAGGATCGAACGGGAGCGGGCCCGCCGTCGCTGTGGAGGTGGTGGAGGTACTTTTGTCACGGGAGATGCCCGTGCAGATGCGAGGGAGGAGGCCACAATTGCATTGGAGAGCGCTTCCGTCTCATCCTGGGCGCTAGAGCTACTGGTGTGAGATCGGCCGGATATTGATGCCATGCTGGGTGTTGAGGCACGTAATGGGGTCGCAGGAGCGACCGGTTTTCTCAAAGTGCCCTGCGAGGGGTTTGTAGACCGTGGCGGAAGCTTTGGCTTCAGGTCGTCGGATGGTGTTGAGGATATTCGGGAGCTAATAGAAGGATGGGGACTTGGGGCCTGCCCACGAATACTTCCGGCTCTTGATCGTGGTTTGGAGATGCGCACCACCGGGGGCTCTGGCTCGAAGCGTGGATCATCGTCCACGAGCATTCTATCCACCACACGATCTCTAGGCGGTAATGGGCGGATGGGCGCGGGGGAGCGTAGCTCTCGTCGCTCCGTTGGAGCTTGGGACTGCATCCTGCTCGCACTTCGCATTGCACCGAGTCGGGCAGCATCGGATGCCGGTTCTGGTTTCCTGGAGGGTGACCTGGAGGCAGCGAGACGTGCGGCGATCTGTTCGGGGGGTGTTGGTAGGGTAGGGTTCGGCGATCGTCCACGGTTCGATGTGTTGGCTGGGGAGAGCTGGTTGGCGTTCAACCTCCCGACTAACTCCTTCACGGAGTGGACCTCTTGTTCCGACTCGGATCCCACGGTCGGGCGTCTGGCACCTGCATTACGATTCATCGAACTAGCCACTGCGGCGGCGGCTGCAGCGGAGAGTTGGGGGTTCACATGCGGTGCACTTGGCGGAGGTTGGTTGAAGGCGATGGTTGCACCTCGTAAGGCGGAGTCATCTCGGAACGCGGAAGCCAACCGCTGGGTCGCGGCGATCTCGCCATTCATGGAATCGATCAACTGGATCTGGCCAGGTTGGGTGATGAACTTTGAGGTTCTGGGGCTGAGCTGAAGATGAAGACGAAAATAAAAGATGAAGATGAACAAATTGATGACGCAGGCCCACTCAGCGCCCGTGCGCTGAACAACCACGTACCTGGTTCTTCAGTAGGGAAGGATGTGTCCCTGAATATCTAGCTGGGTAGCTACCTTCTTAGCAACAGAGCTACCGGATAAAAACATACGAGTAACGAGGAAGCTAGTAGAAATGGGGAAACCATCGTGACAATCCCTGAGAAACCCCAGAGATTCAAGAATTAACCGAGGCCGTTTAATTCCCCAGGCCAATCGCTATGCATAACCCCCGTTCCCCGCATGTACTGTAGTGGGCCGATTAAAGTAGACCTTAAACTATGCCTCCTGTTCCTTTTCCCTTCCCCTTCCCCCAGTTTCCCCTCATTTTGAAATCTGGCATGACCTATTCACATCCGGAGATGTGCATAGCCTCGATATACTCCCGTCGGCATGCTCTCGGAGACCGACAATGCCCGTTCGGAGATCGTGATGCACGAGACCCATTCGCCCGATCGGGGACAAAGCACAAATCAGTCCGGGGATCGAGACTCGTCCTCGGGCCACGTTCAATGTTCGGTCTGTAGCAGTACCTTTCGGCGACCAGAGCATCTGAAGCGCCATTTACGCAGCCATACCAAGGAGAAACCCTTTGAATGCGCCCAGTGTGGCCGTCATTTTTCGCGAACGTATGTTAGCGCTTAGCGCTCGATCTGGGCCAGTTGACCGTGACTAACAAGTAGCCATAATGCGCAGCGATACGCTTCACCGACACGAGCTAAGTCATCATACCGCAGGAAGTGAAGGCGGCAAGGACCGAACTCATCGCATCACCGTCAAGACATTCCGCGCTTGCTTTGGCTGTGCCACGGCGAGAGTGCGCTGCAGTGGTGGAACTCCATGTGGGCGTTGTGACACCCGATCGCTTGAATGCCAATATCCCACGGAGAGACGATCAAAAGGGAAGGTTCGAACTGGCGCCTCTAGACGATTGTTTGGGACGGAAATACACGAACACGAACCCCAGACCCCTCTATCGTCTTCAAACCAAGCCAATGGCGACGAAGAGGAGCGCATGCAAACTGAACATACATCATCTCACCAAATGGGCAAATTCTCCTTGACTGGTATTCATGAAATAGCTTCACCAAAAGAAGGAACTGCATTTTCAACGCGGGGGGAAACTCACACAGAGAGTACTTCGTCGGATGGTAGAGCCTCTATTGTGGGGGCTCCCAACCCTTCGCTATACTTGCCGTCACATTCAGTACCTCCAGCGCGGTTATCGTTAGGTACTTATTCGGGAGACAGCCAGCATTCACACAATGAAATGTCAACTCCTGATATGCCAAAGATACTCTCGGTCGATCCAACTTCTGTTCTCGGCCCCAACATGAGGAGTCTCCAGCCCGACATGATAAATGGGGGGTTGACATGGAAATGGACATGAGTGGCAATGGGGAGATGAACCTTGAGTTTGACCCTTCGTTATTCGATCAGTCTATGCTTTCCACCATTAATTGGCTACCCAACGAATTCTTTACAAATGCATCTCATGAACCCCCCCAGCTACCCGGTGTTCCTTCGCAACAAGCTCAACCTAAGATCTCAGATTCCTATGCAACCCGCATGTCATGGCACCCACCCGTCATCCACACCGGTCAAGTGAGTCCTTCAATGGCGGAAAATCTCTCTCATACTCCCTCTGGGCATATTTCGCTGGGAACAGACATGGGAAGCTCCAGACGGTATTCGCATGTCGGCAGCGAGGCATCTCCACACCCCGAATCAGTAGATTCCACAAAGCGATCATCCGATTATTATGTCGATGGTGGTGGTGCTCGTCTTCCTAGATACAGGAAAAAACAAGCTTCATGGACCACGTCTGCAGTTGATGCAGCTATTTTGTCTGGGCAATCAGTCACTGAAAATAGCATGCGGCGGCATGGATTCCCCTGTATTCATGAGATAAACCTCGACAATATTTCAGAAGCGGCCCGTTCAGTGCGGACAATCGATACAAACACCCATCACGAGCTATATCGCAACTTCCTACTACTTTGTCGCACAGACAATCCATTTTTCGGAATGTTTGAATCTGACAGTTTTCCCACCGCAGAAGACTGCAGTCGATATCTTGCATGCTACTTTGATTCAATGCACGACGTTTACCCCATAATGCATCTCCCTACCTTTGACCCAAACCGGTGTCATTGGTTGTTGGTATTAGCCATCGTGGCAATCGGTTCTCATACTTCAGGTATCCAAGAGGTAGACCAGTGTAGAGATGCCTTTCACGAGATGATACGACGGGCTATATATGTTGAGGTAAGTGTCTCCTTCCACACGGAGTATGGTTCGATATATTTACATGTGCACCTCAATAGAAAGAGAAAGCTCCTAATGGCCAGGTCTCCCTTGATTCTATGCAAGCTATGTTACTAAATTGCATCGGTTTCCTTTATAGTGGCAACGAGCAAGATAAGCTATCGGCTTTGACCTTGTTCAAAGATCTTGTGACGTTTGCCAGCTATGAAAAGCTGCTTTCCCCATCGCGGATGGAAATAACCAGGAATACAAATGAAGCCATGTGGATGAAATGGGCGCAAGATGAATCTCGGCGACGAACTGGCTACTGTATCTGGGTATGCTTGCCTCCTTTGCCAATGATATGCTTTCAACTGACCATTTCTTGCCCGAAGCTCCTGGACTGCACGCTCGCATATTGCTTCGAAGACCGACCGTTTTTGTCCCTTGACGATGGGCAAGCTGCATTACCTGCTCATGAGAAACTCTGGCAGACTGGCTCTGCCGAAGAGTGGAAACAGCTGTGGGATAATTCAAGCGGTACTTTTTATCTCTTCTATCTGCTCTTGCAGACACGCTGACCTTCCCAGTGAACGAGTCATTATATGATACAGTGCACATCTTATATATAGAAAAGAGGCTTGTTTCAGGGATCGGGGAATTCAGCCATATTCTACTCATCCACGCCCTCTACCACCGCATGTGGGAAGTTGGCGATTACTTCGGTCGACCATTATCTTTCTGGAACCCAACTGCCAAAAAGCAATCTCGGGAGACTGCCATTCCGACTGGCTCGGTCTGGCTACCTGGGATCCCCTCATACTCCAAGTGGCGCAACAGCACATGTGATTGCTTGGATATTCTGCACTGGACCGCGAATAGCACTGTCGCCAAAGCTGCTGGAATGGAACATCCTACTGTCCTTCACCTCCATGTTGCAAGACTCGTTCTACTCGCACCATTCCGTGAAATACGCTCACTTGCAACCTCCTTGGCAACAGACCAGATGCGATGGAGCAAGCGCCACCAGGCAATCGAATGGCAATATATCTGGCGTTGGGTCAAGCATGACCAATATAAGGCCCGACTTTCAATTATTCACGCTGGCGTCACTCTCTGGCACGTTCGGCGATACTCCACGAATGCATTTCACGAACCAGTAGCGGCATTTCTTGCTGTGTTAACACTATGGGCATACGGTTCATGCCACGCCCATACAACCCTGGCCTCCAGCCCGAGCATCCAAATGTCTGGAATAGAGCCCATGCAAGAGCCGAGTTTTATTCATTTAGACAGGCCGTGCGACGATGAGCTGGTGCAGCTTTTTGTTCGAGAAGGTCACTCCATGCGGGGGAATATTACTGGGGTTGGGGATATCTGCGCCCCCGAGGGACCGGAGAGAATTCTTCGTGTTGGATGTGAGACGCTGTCTAGTCTGACTGCGTGGGGCATCTCGAAGCAATTTGTTGCGATACTGACGCGTCTGGCTGATGTGATGGCGCGACGCCCAAGCGCTGAGCATAATCGCAACGATAGTGTGGGTTCTTAACTTCACTTTTATTTTATGACATAAATTCAATTACCCTGAGCTGTACAATAGTATAGGCATTGGATGTGCCGATGAATTGTTTTCTAGTAACTGCTACTGACTACACCTTTTCTGTGTTTTGTATACTTCGCGTGATGTCACATGCACGCTATCTTATCGTTGCCTAAAATCATCCGGGGAACCTTCAACTTTCTTGGAGCTCGACTCACCATGGATTCCGACGAGATATTGCCGGAACCACGGGTTGTGGAGGAGAACCTGGATGAGAAGTCCATGAAATCTCCCTCTCTTTCAGCTCTAGGCTGACAGCCGAAAACAGATATCCGAACCGCCCCCGCAACAGCTCCTCGACACTCCCATTCCACGAGCTGTACCTGAACCTGTTCCACCCTCTCAGCCAGATCAAAAAGAAACCAGCCACCACTGCGCCTTCAAGACGCAAGGTCGGCCCTCATAATAAAAGCGCGACACAATTAAGCCCATACGAGCTCCGTCGCGATGTCATCGCCCGCTTCATTTCACGATGGCGCAAAGAGGTCGGTAACGACATTTATCCAGCCTTTCGGCTGATTCTGCCCGACAAGGATAGGGACCGCCCTATGTACGGTTTGAAGGAAAAGGTTATTGGAAAGATGCTCGTGAAGATCATGAAGATCAACAAGGAATCAGAGGATGGCTACAATCTGTTGAACTGGAAGCTACCAGGACAGTCTTCGACACGCATGGCCGGAGATTTTGCAGGAAGGTGCTATGATGTCCTTTCCAAACGGCCAATGAGGACAGAACCGGGGGACATGTCTATCGAGGAGGTAAATGAGAAGCTGGACAAGCTAGCCGCAACTTCGAAGGAAGACGAGCAGATTCCCATCCTGGCCGAGTTCTACCGGCGCATGAACCCAGAAGAGCTGATGTGGCTCATTCGAATAATTCTGCGCCAGATGAAAGTCGGAGCGTCGGAGCGCACGATGTTTCACATGTGGCATCCAGACGCCGAGAATCTGTACACCGTCTCTAGCAGCTTGCGGCGCGTGTGCTGGGAGCTGTATGACCCTAATATCCGACTTGAAGCAGCGGATCGTGGCATTACACTAATGCAGTGCTTCCAACCTCAGCTGGCTCAGTTCCAGATGCATTCGTTCGACAAAATGATTATGCGAATGCAACCTACAGAGGAAGATCCTGTGTTCTGGATTGAAGAGAAATTGGACGGCGAAAGGATGCAGCTCCACATGGCCCCTGACGACACGATCGCGGGTGGCCGAAGATTTGCATTTTGGTCTCGAAAAGCGAAGGAATATACATACCTCTACGGAGAAGGGATATATGATGACAAGGGAGCTTTGACGAGGCATTTGAAAGATGCGTTTGTGGATGGGGTGCAAAGTCTCATTCTGGACGGTGAGATGGTTACCTGGGATCCTGAGCAAGATGCTCCTGTGGCCTTTGGCACGCTGAAAACCGCGGCATTAGCTGAGCAACGGAATCCATTTACAACTGGACCTAGGCCAATGTTCCGTGTCTTTGACATTTTGTATCTGAATGGGGAAGACTTGACGAAGTATACTCTTCGCGATCGTCGCAACGCTTTAAAAGTTATCCGCCCTGTTCACCGACGATTCGAGATTCATCCTTATCAAGAGGCGACCACGACTGCAGAAATCGAGGCATGCCTGCGAAACGTTGTCGCCGAAGCCTCAGAAGGTCTCGTGTTGAAGAACCCGCGATCTCAATACCGATTGAACGAGCGCCACGATGACTGGATGAAAGTGAAGCCAGAGTACATGACCGAATTTGGCGAGTCGCTTGATTTAGTCGTTGTGGGCGGATACTACGGACAGGGCCATCGTGGAGGCCATTTGGGGAGCTTCCTATGTGGGTTGCGTGTTGATGATCCCAAATCTTCCCAGCCGATGAAATGCTGGTCATTTTGTAGGGTTGGCGGAGGTTTCACTGCGGCTGATTATCAAGAAATTCGGCATCACACGGACGGCAAGTGGATGAAATGGGATCCGAAGAAGCCTCCTACTGATTTTATCGAATTGTCTGGTGGAGATGCTCAAAATGAAAGACCAGACATGTGGATCAAGCCATCTGACTCGGTTGTCGTCTGTGTTAAGGCGGCCTCCGTTGGTGTCAGTGACATGTTTCGCATGGGTCAGACCTTGCGGTTCCCACGATTTAAGAAACTCCGCAAGGATAAGAACTGGAAAAGCGCGTTGTCTATCCAAGAATTTTTGGACCTTAAGTCCAATGTGGAGCAAGAGCATCAGGAGAAAGAGTTCAACATTGATAACTCGAGAAGGAAGCGCGTCAAGCGGACAGTAAAGAAACCTTTGACTATTGCTGGGTATGATGAGAAGGACAATGCGCAGTATATTGGGCCTTCTGGTCGTATCTTTGACCAACTCAATTTCTGTACGTGCCGCTACTATGTCCTCGCCATTTTCTTGCTAACAACAGATGTTCAGTTATAATGACCGACGCAAGTGTTCCAGAGAAGAAATCAAAGGGCGAGCTTGAGCAGCTGGTAAAAGCCAACGGGGGCAAGATATATCAGACCAACACCGCGGCCCCAAACACGATTTGCATTGCTGAGAGAAGTACGCAGCCCTTCCAAAGAAAAAGAATGAAAATTTTAAAAAGTTTAAGAGACTACGCTAACAGTGTGCCAGGGACCGTCAAGGTGGCTTCATTGCTGAAAAGCGCAAACTCCAATATTGTGAAGCCATCTTGGTTGATTGACTGTGTCAAGCAAAACGAGAAGGATGCAGGATTACCGGACCTAATCCTTCCCTTTGAGCCCAGGTAAGCCCCCAATAAAGAAAGTTAACTACAAGAACTCTGTTTAACCATTGGATCTTCTCTTGTAGACACATGTTCTTCATCATGGAAGATCGAGACGAAGAAATCAACATCAACGTCGACCCTTTCAACGACAGCTATGCTCGCGACACGCACGTTGACGAGCTTAAAGAAGTAAGTTTTTCTATATTCAGGGCAGACTCGAACAGACTAACCACATTCCAGATCCTTAACCAAATGGAAATCACCCAACAGCAAAACAACAACCCTCTCGACCCACACACCCTCCACAAGGTCGAATCTCACATACAGACAAAGATCGACTCAGGATACACCGCACCCTGCGGCTGGCTCTTCCGTGGTCTTAGATTTTTCTTTTGCTCACAAGCTCCCCAAGCCAGTGGACAAGAGACCTCTCACAAGACCCAAGTCGAGGACGCTGCTCTTTGCCTCGCGCGCAATACTGCCAGATTCGCATCCGCGCATATCGCAACCTCACTCAAAGACCCGGACGTAACTCATATCATCGTCAACACAAACACTTTGTCGCGGGAGGATATCGCTTCCCTACGGGGATCGTTAGCTGCTAGACCCGGAAACAAGATCCCGCATCTCGTCTCGATGGACTGGGCTCAAGAGAGCTGGAAGAATGGGACGCTCTTGGATGAGGAACGTAAGTTTACTTCTTTCTGTGTAAAGTAACGTTACAATGGTGAACGTGTTTAACACGACTTCTACAGGGTTCTCAGTATCTCGATAGTGACGAGTTCTACGGTATCTATGAGGGAGGCAGTGGTTTCTCCGGAGAGATTTGTCTTCTTTGCATAGTTCAGCCTGCATAGCACCAAATCGTGAATTCTTGGATTATCAAATACGTTTCATCTGCGCATGCCTGAATCAAGTGTAGACTTGGCATCCTACGATCGCCAACAGCATCATCATGTGATTATGCAACATTGGAATCAAGCTAGTTATATGACATCACGAGAAATTTCCGTCATTGGTGACTGTATATCTCAGGATAAGATCCTCTACACATTTGGGGAGTGTCCGCAGCCTCTTGACAGGTCACATCAAGAAATGACAATATCAGAGACCCCACAAGAGTGTCATGACAGTGTCATGACATCGGTACCAGGGGGTCCAAGCGCATCGCTTCCCCGCATTCGTGACCCAATTCTGATTTTTGAGACAGGGCAAAAAGTCCACACGATACAGTGGGAGAGAAGATCCCATGGTGATAGAGTACTGTAGAAGATGCACCTGTCTCATCAAATGAGGCTGTTGGAGGCTAAACGTTCGGGATGATCTCATGGCTGCGGGATGATATCACAATGCAGACCGGAAATTAAATGGCTTCGATCGCTTACGCCAGTATGACTAGTACGAGACAAGGAACTGGTTTTAAGTAAGAAATGATAGGTGTTTGATTGGATATCTTGTTCCGATGAAGGAAGCAAAGTAGGTTGTTGAGAGTAGAAGGGTATGTTCACAAAAGAAAATGGGTGTCGGCCTGGACACTTGAATCCTAATCCAAACGCTGCGCTATGATGAAAAGAGTCATGAAAAAGAGAAATATGTACTGATGGGGGTGACCGAGCGCTGCGCTGGTCAGCCACATCTAGGCTCGGCTGTTTGGGCCGGACCCCCTCGGCTGTCTAAGCCGAGATGCCCACCCACCGGGAGGGCACGGTATCGTTGTCATCGCCATCTTCGTAGTCACCCGACACGCGATAAGGGTTGCTTTTGCGTGGTGCAAGCATGATGCGGGCCCGTGTGGGAATGTCTTCGCGGAGCTTGCCACTGCGTCGCATGTTCATCTCGAGAACGACCATACGGAGGAAGTCGCTGTTTTCGCGAGGTTCCCGTTGGCGTGACATTGGTGGAAGTTCCGGGTCAGACGTATAATAGTGGTCACGATTTTTCGGACTGATAACGTGGAAGTTGTTGCGTCGGTGGCCACGGCCACGAGAGCGGCGATAGGTTTGCATTTGAATGGAGACGGGGCAGGCTCGCGCAGACTCGGCAGTCTCGTGAGGGTGATCGTGGTAAACACACATATCCGCCGGAGACATGGGAGTTGGGTTGAGGTAGCGTCGAAGCGCTGGGGAAGGTGGGGTTTGCATGGGTGGGGGTCGACGATCGTCAGTCAACTCCGGGGTGATGGTGAACAAAGACCGGGTAAGGAAATCTTCAGGCTGGACAGAGGGTGTCGCGAAGGTCGAAACCGACTGAGCCGCGGACTTGATGGCTCGCAGGGATGCAGTGAGATTGGATTTGAAGGAAGATCTTAAGCGGGGGAACGATCGCACTGAGGCAGCTTGCTTCGTAGGATCATCCTGCATCACCGGTTCCTCGTAGCATTGTAGATCGAGAAGCTCGCCTTCCTCGATGTCCGCCTCTAGAAGAGGGTGATCATAGGCGCAATCCTCGGAAGGCGAGTATCGGAGCTGGCGCCGCTCGGCAGGGCTTCTTTGGCTGCCGGGGGTCGACGGGAGCTGAAAACTAGGAGGAGAATTCAAATCGTGTGAAAGAGAAGGCATCGAGTCACTCGAATTTGACCGAGCTGAGAAGGGAGTCTCCAGTTCGGATTCGTTGCCCATGGAGTACTTGCCATGATCCTCATCTGGAGGGCTGAGGAGAATATCCAAAGGGGAGTTGCCAGCACCATCCATCAGATACTCCTCCTTGGATCGAATTCCTTCTTGCATCATTCGGCTGAACTCCTCAACATAGTTGCCTCGAGGAAGCTTACGAGGTGTCCGAGTGGACCAACTTCGCCGGGGTATTGTGGTAGCGTCCAGTATCGAGGCAACAGATGGACGGACGGGACGCTCATTAGACGACTCGGAGCAGGAAGAACGGCGAGACGATGTGGAGTGTTTGGATGGAGTGCGCAAGCGTGTTTCTCGACGCACCGGAGTGCGCGAGCCTCGTTTTGGCGGAATCACCACCGGGGCAGCATTTTTCAGTCCATGGGTTTTGATATGGCTAGGAGGAGAAAGAACAAGCAGACTCTCGAAGTTCTGCGTTTGTTCTTTTATGCAAAGCGGCATTTGCTTCTGTGGCGGTGCCGAAGTGAACGTAAAGGCTCTCGGGACCATCATCTTATAGTTTCATGCCAGAAAGGGTCTGAATGCAGTCTTGGCCGGATGAAGCACTCTGGTCGAGAGTCTGGACAAGATACATGGGTAGGGAGAATTGTATATCGAGTCTCCCGTTTGCTGCAACGGGAGATGACTGGTATGACTCGTCGATCCGATTGAATGGCGAGAATGCAGGAACGTAGCGAGAAGATGCTAGAGTGCTCTTCTAGTTGAGAATCGGGAGGATGAGGTTGAGGTTGATGTTGAGCCCAAGGTCGGAAGGTCGGAAGGTCGGAGGGCCGGGGGGAAGGAGGGAGTATGAGTTGAAGTAGATGGAAGGGAGGGAAGGGTGAAGAAGGAAGATAAGAAAGTGGTGATCTCAGGATGTGATAAGCGTATTGGGCAGGTACGCGTGTGACGGTAACCAGCCGGGAAGGCCTTAGCGATTGGCCGATTGGGGAGGCGGGGAACAATGACCTGCCGGGGTCCGGTATTTTATTGTCTGCTGTGACTAAAAACGGCCTAACGTGGAACGATCGAGGTGACATGGAATGTTCTTCCGGTGGAGTCCGCGGGTCTGTGGGATTTTCTTTACGGGGGCCTGGGGTGGCCCTGCAGCGCTAACCCGTCCCCCTTTTCTTATCTACCGTAAGTTATGGGATTTTATTGGAAGTCAGGTCCCCCATAGTATACGGTACACAGGTCACATGCACTATCTCCCTTATCCCCTAAGTTAGGCATCTCGACCCAAATACGTGGAATCGCGTTTGTGTGTTGGCAAGCCACGATGAGTGGGCCGTTTAAGGTTACGATTAGTGTGGTGCCTGCAGAAAGACAAGACGCCGTTCGCAGCCAATGTTGTTTGGTCGAATGGCAAGAATTTGCAAATAAGGTCGAATGGCGAGGACCCAGGGCTAGCCCGTCCTGGAGGGAAAAAAAAAAAAAGAAAAAGAAAACTCCGCCCGTGTGCTGTTTGATCATTTGATTATTTGATTATTTGATTGTTTTAGGGTAATAGCTCGGACCAAACACACCGTGGCTATCGGAAGCCGCCGGCCGATCGAGTCGAACCAGTCGGGAGGCGGGTGGCTGCAGAAGACTGAAAAGGTAAAGACGAAGAGACGACGTGGCAGGGTGGAGTTGCCCAACCGACTGGCGGTGTATGTATACATATAGCCTAAGCCCCTTCTCCGGTGTTTTAGATGTATGCAATATTACGCCCCGTTGGGCGTTGCTGTTCTCTCGTTTTTTGCCCTCCCTTTTTTCCCGTTCCCACAACACGCGTTCTGGCGGTCACAGGTCACAGGGGAAGACCCTCGCTTATTGCGGCTGAGCTGAAACCCGACTATTCTTAGGGCATAAGCAATTCCACCACTTTGTACTTTTGAGGTACACATCATCCTGATCATCCCGGTCGATGACCTTGGGTCTAGAAATCAGTTGCGCATAAAGGAATGTAGATCTCAGCATGTGTGTGTCAGGGGGCAGTCACGTGATGTCGGACGTAGCGGTGATGAGTCAGCGTCTTAACACCGTGGGATAGGATCGTGCACATCCCTCGAGGAGGAGCCATCCAGAAGCCAGCGATAAACCTCCTGTCTTCATCCCTGCATCCAATCAACCCCGACGCATCTCCAATCGCTGCCGGATTGCTGTGGTGCGGAAGTTCTGCATCCTTCTGGGCCCTCCCCGCTTGGTGGGTCATCGCGGGGTCAAGGATTCATCGAACGCTGTGCCGTCTATAGATCGAATTGCACATGGAGTGACTTGTCTGTGTCAGGATTGCTTACTACTGGAACGGTTCATTATCTACGGGATTTGGCTTTGACTCCGACGGAAAGCGCCGGATATTGCTCCACTAGCGATCTGGACGATGGACGTGTTAGGCAACGATCTCAATCTAGACGGGACCATTGACCAGCCGCTGAAGCACGGGATGCCACTCCGCGGAAAAAGATCTTGCGAATACTGAATCCCCCACCTATAGCTGTCTACCATGGCGGATCGCGATGCTCCCTCGGGCCCCAAAAGGCGCTGTGTCAGCACGGCCTGCATCGCCTGTCGCAGACGGAAATCCAAGGTAAGACCTTCTACCGAGGTCTTGATATTGGCGCCACTAACAACTTGTTTTAATAGTGTGATGGAAACTTACCTAGCTGTGCTGCCTGTTCCTCGGTCTACCATACACCATGTTCGTATATTAACTCCGAAAGTGGCTCCCGCTTACTGACTTCAATTCCAGGCATATATGATCCAAGCTCAGATCACCGCCGTAAAGGAGCGTATAGGAAAGATAACGATACATTACGCACTAAGCATACAACCCTGCAGACTTTGGTCCAGGCTTTATTAAACTATGAGGAAGAAGACGATGCCATTGACTTGGTGCGCCAAATTCGCTCCTGTGACAGTCTCGAAGATGTCGCAAAGTCACTCGTTGCCCGGCAAAAGGGCCTCCTCTCTACAGGCTCAAAGGCCCCAGAGCAAACGGCCGATGAGAGTCCAGAACCAGTGGACCAGTTCGAGACCGAACTGTCTGGAAAGATGAGTGAGCTCATGTTAGATGGGTCTCGCAAATTCATCGGAGGCACGTCTAACCTCATTTTCCTTCCACCCGGATCCGAGCTACATGAGTCAGCTTCAATGGCCGATGTCCCATTGAGTCCGACCAGTGATGCACAGTCAGTAATACGCTGGACACAAGTCACAGACGATGCATCACTGATTGGCCATCTCGTGACAATGTACTTCACATGGCACTATCCATTCTTCACCATTCTGGCTAAAGATTTGTTCTATCGAGACTACATCCGGGGCGTACCAAGTCCATATTGCTCATCCTTGCTGGTCAACTCGATGCTGGCTCTCGGCTGCCACTTCAGCTCATGGCAAGGAGCCTTTTCAGATCCCCAGAATGCTGCAACGGCGGGTGATCATTTCTTCAAAGAGGCCAAGCGGCTAATTCTGGAAAATGACGAACATGAAAACTCGAAGCTTTGCACGGTCCAGGCCTTTGCACTCATGTCTGTGCGGGAAGCGGGCTGCGGCCGCGAGGGTAAGGGCTGGGTCTATAGCGGTCTTAGTTTCCGCATGGCGTTCGACCTTGGGTTGAATGTCGATGCGGCCAACCTTGGTGCGCACAACCTCAGTGACGAAGAAGTCGATGCTCGTCGCATTACGTTCTGGGGTTGCTTCCTCATTGACAAGTATGTGGACCTGTGGTTATGCGCTGATGAACGTTGGCTGACGAAACATAGGTGCTGGTCGAACTATCTCGGTCGTCAGCCTCAACTTACCTCATCTAATACCAATGTGCCCAAATTCGACGTTCTGCCAAAGGAAGAAATGGAAGCCTGGGCGTCGTACAGCGATAGCGGCGCAGGCCAGGATAATGTACAGCCTTCGCGAACCAGAGCTGTTGCACTGCAATTATCAAAATTATGCGAGATCAGTGGTGATCTTCTCGTGTTCTTCTATCATCCATCCGAGTTGGAAAAATCACAGCAGAAGCAATCGGAGCTGAAGAAACTCAGTGACGTTCACACACGCCTTGAAGCATGGAAAAAAGAACTTCCCAAGGAGCTCGAACCTAAGGAGGGGCAACTTCCCCAGGTCCTCGTCATGCAGTAAGTAGAGCCTTGAAGAGGACGTTGGCGAATCGAAATTAATTCTGTCACAGCATGTTTAATCAACTCCTTCTCATTCACCTCTACCGGCCGTTCTTAAAATACAACAAGACTAACACTCCATTACCTTCACACGTATCGCCACGCAAGATCTGCACACAGGCTGCCTCGGCGATCTCAAAGTTGATGCGAATGTACAAACGCACCTACGGCCTCAAACAGATCTGTAATATCGTCGTTTACATAGCTCACACTGCATGCACTATCCACCTCCTCAACCTGCCCGAGAAGAACGCCCAACGGGATATCATTCACGGCCTCAAAAACCTCGAAGAAATGGCCGAAGCTTGGCTCTGTGCTCGTCGAACATTACGCATTCTCGATATTTCTGCCAACAAATGGCAAGTCGAGTTGCCTTCCGAAGCCAGCGCTCTCTTCGAGCGTACCCATGCGAAATGGGGCTCATGGGGCTCATGGGATCAAGCGACATCTCCGTCTACCTCCGCCGAATCTCCAATTACTCACGCAGCATTACAATCTAGCGTCACCAGTCCGAGCCGCTTTTCCCCCTCTACAAATTCAACCCCTGCTCAGCGCACAGAACATATCCCTCCTAACTCCCTTCCCGTTATGGGCGTCTCCAAGGGCCCTCAATACCCCCCTGCAATCAGTTCAATGGCCCCGATGCAGGCCGCGCAGCGTCAAGCAGGGCCAAGACCTGATTTTGCGCCACCAGAGCCGACATATCTCTGCCCAATATCACAAGTCCAGTATCAAATGCCAGCACTTGCATCTTCCGGCCCATCCACCCATCCCAGTCCAAATACCTGGTACGATACATCCAGTGCCCCAGTCGCAACCCGCAATACAACTCCGAGATCAACCGCATCACCCGTCAGCGGATTCGATGGCACTGAAAACCTAGTCGAACAGAGCCAAGACTGGTGGAGCCGAAATGCCACGGCGTTAGGGTTGGGCATGGATAATTGGGGTGGACCGTGGAGTCCAGATCTCTCCAACTCCCATCTCCGGTATGAAAATAATCCTAGCCAGTTTATGCCAATGGGTCAGCATCCCAGTCCTGGCTCTGTTTCTGAATATCAGCCGCATGTTGGCATGCCGATGCCGAATATGAGCTCTCCGGTGGAGAGTCATGGGACACCCGGATTTGAGGAGCGCTGGCAATGAGAGATGCACATACATTTACACATTTTGATCTTGTACATACCTCAAACGGGTAATTATTTCTTGTGATCAAGCTATACAGGGTCTTTCGTTTTTTTTTTTTTTTTCTTCTCTTTTTTCATTCCATGATACCAGAGCCTTGAGTTAGACTGTATTCCGGAGCAGGTGTGTCTTGTTGTTCTAAATAGATTCGAATGGGAATTTCAAACTTTCATCGGCACCAAGTAATCTAATTTAGTAATGCCTGTGGTGAAATAGTACGTGAATTAGTTGGAGTGCGGTAGATTCACCCGGCCGGAGGAAGAAATGCAACGAACTTGAAGAGGGAGAAGCTGGTCCTCGCTAGACGTCCCTGTTGGAGTTGGCGAAGCAAAAAGACCTCCGTGCCTCTAAATCTACGTGAGAGCTCTACTGACAAGAAGGTATAGCGCCAGACTTTGAATTCTCTATCAAGAGTTCACTATGAGAGCATATGGAGTGCCTTTTAAAATTGAATTACAGCTACGACTTGCAATTGTTAACAGATACTAGAAACTAGAATCGGTTTTACCGTCAACAGGATTGAACCGAGTCATGGAAAGTGAAATTGGAAATAAGATAATCAAGTGAAATATCCATCATCAATGATCATTAGATTCGCAGCAGATACATAAACACCAAGACACGAAATGCTGGGCCAATCAAAGGGCTTCAAGAACCGTATAGACGAGACAGAAAGGCATGCAGTGGGTGGTATCACTAAAGTAGCCGTCAGTTGGAGACCAAATATTAGAACCGGTGTTCGAAGTATAGCACTCACCAGGAAATAATCAGCGACGGGCTTCTTTGCAGGCATGCCCCTTGTATCCTGGGCCGCGGCCTCAAAGACACGGTATCTCCTCCCAGGACTGATAACTGTATTGGCGTCCGTAACGCCATTGCTCCGACCGTATTCTCCATTGCTGCGTGCCACACAGCCCCCGTTACTAGCATCTTCGCCGAGCTCCAGGATCGCAGCAACGTTGCCGCATCGGTAGCAGTAGTTCGGAGCAGACCACACCGTGACGATGCCGCCATCGAACATCTCCTTATAACCTTCCATAACAAGCTGATGAGCGCGCGCAACCAGAGATAGTCCGTTGAGGTGATTGAACTGCTTGACGATATCACTACCAAAGAGGAATCCAGCGCCTCGCGGGCTCAGACCCCACCCTTCGATCTCGTCAGGATCAGACCAGAGAAGATCGCACATGGCGCCCTCATGGGGCACTTCTTGTTTGCGATCGATCAGTCGGATCTTGTCCACGGAATCTATCAGTGGCGATAATCCACCGTGCACACAGAGTACAGCGCCTGTGCGACTAGTTGTGGCGCTTCCGTTACCGTCCCCACTCGCGCCTGTGCCGGGCGCACCCGTCCGAGATGGAGTGGCCTGACCCGGCGCAGCGGAGATATCCCGTGGTGGTGATATAGCGCGCGAGTCTGTGGATGTATCGGAGGAGGTGCGCTGTCGCTGGCGGTATGTGCTGAATGTGACTTCGCCTTGTGAATTCAGGACTTCAGTCTCCAGCTCGCCATCATCAATCGGCAGGGATGATTGTGTTGTCTCATTAGCGTAGGATGTGGTAGGCTCGAGGCCTGAGCTGGCGCCGAGCACGATCGCGCCCAATGCCAGGTAGTCGAACACTTCGCAGCAGTATCGCCAGACGTTGGCGCTGCCGTACTTTCGAATGCACTCATCGTAGAATCCGTAGACTGTTGTGATCTGTCGCGACTCGTGGTTGCCGCGGATGAGGGTAATGCGATCGGGATAGCGCACTTTGAGACAGAGAAGGAGGAGGAAGGATTCGAGGGAATAGAACCCGCGGTCGACGAAATCGCCCATGAATAGGTAATTGGTATCGGGGACGTCGCCGCCGACTCGGAACAATTCCATCAGGTCATGAAATTGTCCATGGATATCACCGCAGATGGTGACTGGTGCATCGACGGACACGACATTGCCCTCTTCGATTAAGAGCTCACGCGCCTTGTAGCACAATTCGCGCACCTGTGATTCGGGGATCAGGCGGCAGGCCCGCAGCTGCTCGATCGCCCTGGAGAAAACGTGTTAGTGACCAGACAAGCAGAGTTCTCAAGGGCAGGCGCTGTACCGGTCGAGGTCGCTCATGGTGAATGAGGAGCGGGATGGGGGGTGGAGAGGGAGAGGGAGAGGGGAGAGGGAGCAGGGGTGGTGGGAGAGAGAGAGTCCCCCCAAGGAGACGGGGACAAAGATCAGATGGTCAAGTCAGAGTATGAAAGGTATAGACCCATCATTGCGAACAAGCAGAGCACGCGAGACGTAAAAAGGCGGAGTGAAGCGTCTAACTGACTCTGCGCGACCGAAGATCCAATCACGACGGAGGAAGATAAGATTAGAAGATCGGATGGCACCAGAACCTTCAATCTTTGCTCCTCCAACCCTCCACTGACCCCGGATTCTCGCTGCTCGCTTGTTTTCGGGTATTGGCATTGAATCAATTGGCCTCTGGATCCTATCCTATTCACCCTTCGGTCTCTCCGTCCCCGCCCTGGGTCTTTCGATGGCCAGGTAAAAAAAGAACGAAGACGGCCACGCCCACCCTCCTTCAATACGCTCCAACCCTGAACCTCCTCCACTCTCTACGCGAATCATACATCTCGTCACAATGCCACCGCATCTTCATCCCCGGTCGCGGTCAACAACCGGCCTGTTCGCCGGCACCCTGCTGGCGTCGCTGCTGGTCGTCGGCATCCCGCACGTCTTTCCCTGTCCGTCCCCGCGACGTACCTTCGCCGACTCAGAAATGATCATCGCAGCCGACGGGCAACAAGTACCACGAATTCGGCGCCGGCGGAGGAAAGATGCTGAAATGGGGGCAGATGCGCCTCTGCCCAGCCTCCCGACACCTTCCGGGGCCGTGGACGAGGAAGTGTCTACCTTCTTCCAGATGGAGGAGGAAGCTGAGAAGCTTGCACAGGTTGGCCACGAGTGCCCGGTCCCAAAGCCCAAAGGTGTTCTCGGTCAGTTGCTTGGATTTCGCGATGCGCCAAGCCAGCAGCACCGGACAGTGGGATCGTCTGATGGAGGCCACTAAAGCCCAATGATAGGTTCCGTGTCTTCGCTCAACTTCGTTTCATTTGTTTACGGCATAACTCTTTTTCTTCTCTTGTTTAATGATACCATGGAATTGGCAGTGTGGGTGGATTGAGTCGGATACAGTGGTTGTTGGGACGCTTGGAAAGACGTGCTAGACGTGTCACCGCGAGCCCCAGGTCCTCATCATGTATAAAATGTATAAAAAGGAAACCATCACCGAAATCAAGATCAATTTTAAAAATAAGATATATTTACCCACCACTATGAAACTGTCAAGTAGACTGGCGTGCTTGCGCGTCACACTTTAAACAGTGAAGCGGCTCCTCGGGCCACATTGATCTTCTCCGTCAACCAACGCGCCGCAATGGCATGGAGAGCATTCATACGCAACGTGCTGACCCATCCACGGCACACTCAATGGATCATCCCCCTCCTTGTCCTTGGAGATGCAGTCCTCTGCGCCCTGATAATCTGGAAGATCTCCTGTAAGCCAGCGTCCCGTCCCGTTCAGACAAGCCCCAGCTAATCGTATCCGCAGACACCGAGATCGACTGGTCAACCTATATGCAGCAGGTATCCCTGTACATATCCGGCGAACGCGACTATACCGCCATCAAGGGCTCGACAGGTCCCCTTGTTTACCCCGCCGCGCATGTCTACATCTACACCTTCCTCTACCACCTTACCAATGAAGGTCGCGATATCCTCCTCGGCCAGATCCTCTTTGCCGCTCTATACCTGGCCACCTTGATTGTGGTTATGGCTTGTTATAGGCAGGTCGGAGCTCCGCCGTACCTCTTCCCGCTCCTGGTCTTGTCCAAGCGTCTTCATAGCATCTTCATGCTGCGCATGTTCAATGATGGCGTCGCGACTTTTGTCATGTGGATTGCGATCTATTGTTTTATGAAGCGCAAATGGGATGCTGGTGTCGCGGCATGGTCTTTTGGTATCGGTATCAAGATGACCTTGGTATTGCTCGCTCCGGCTGTTGGCATCATCCTGCTACTTAGCGTGGGATTGGCGCGAAGTGTTCGGCTTGGTCTTCTGGCCGCTCTCATCCAGGTAAGACCATGTTTCTTGCCTTAAAGAAAACTACATACTAACGGTATGAAATATCAGGTCCTGCTCGCTTTTCCTTTCCTCCAAACCAACCCGATTGGCTACGTTTCCAAGTCCTTTGAGCTGTCTCGGCAGTTCTTGTTTAAATGGACGGTGAACTGGAGATTTATAGGCGAAGAGACTTTTCTTTCCAGAGAATTTTCTTTGGCTTTGCTAGTATTGCACGTCTCTCTGCTTGCTATCTTCGCTTTCGTATGGGTGAAACCATCAGGAACCAACATGTTCCGCTTCCTTCAAAACGTAATTCGAGGTCGCCAACCAACGGAGACCCTTTCGAAAGGCTATATCTTGGCCTCGATTCTGAGCTCCCTGGTCACTGGCTTACTATGCGCAAGATCCATGCATTACCAGTTCTACGCCTATCTGGCGTGGGCCACTCCGGTCGTTCTCTGGCTTGGTCGAGTCCATCCAGTTCTCATCATAAGTGGCTGGGCGATGCAGGAGTGGGCTTGGAATGTTTTCCCCAGTACCGACCTCAGTTCAAAGCTTGTGGTCTCCGTCCTCATTTTGCAGGTCATTGGTATCTGGTTCGGGCTGAACAAAACCGATACCGAGCGTGGGGGAGTCGCTGGGGGTAGGACAGCACGCCCACAATAAAGGGCGGCGTGGTTTCAGCTCACGTTATGATTGTCAAAGATTCAATCAGGCATCGGATTCTTCATCCGATGAAGGCATCTTGCCAACCCGAGATTCTTCCTCCTCGCTGTCGGAATCGGCGGCGACAACAGCCTGCTTGGGGAATTCCTTCGGCCTGTAAGTAGAGATAGATTAGCACACCAATCAATTAGATTCCGTGAGCAAACTTCGGAGTTTCCTACCAGAAAGAAGCCTTTCGCCAGGCCTTCTCGTCCCGCACGATGTTGATAATGTCTCCGCCGATCTTGTTTTCCCGTTCCTCCGACGTAGAGGTGTCAACTACCACGAAAGACCCGCGCTTGATCCAGAAAGTCGACCGGAAGCGAGCAGGTAGTTCGACCAGCATCTGCTTCTTGTCCGGCTGCTCAATGAGGTAAATGTTGTTGCCGGTGGCCTTGATTGCACGTGCGATCAGGTGTGTGTCGGCGAGTTCGTCCGGAGGGAACATGGTTTCTTCGGCCGTAGCCAAGACCTTGCGGCGAGGAGGAGCCATCTTCAATTCGTAGGTCGATTGAATGCTTGAAGAAGAGCGTGGTAGAAAAGCAATGGCTCACAAGGTGGATTGTGTGGGAGAAATTTTGAGCTTATCGGCGGGGCTCTCTCCGCACTACTTTCCGCGTTACCGCAGTTGATGACAAAAGACCACCCCCCGGTTGCCTCCACAGCGCCACGAAGTAGATTTATTTGAGGGGTTCGTGGGTGTCATAGGTCTGCGGAGAGGCGGTACTGCTCCAATACGGCAAGCATCCGACATTGGCCTCTTTCTTGATTATCAATTGCAAGGGGAGCTCATTGGATCTACACTGTTCCTTCATAAAGCCAGCTTGCTTTCTACCGCTAGCTATTCTACTTACCATACCATTTTCTTCATCCTTGCAATCTCTTGAGATCTGTTCGAACCTTTCACAATGGCACTTTCGAATTTGGAGGCTTTCCTAGAGATCGAAAGCTCCCCACATGTCTCTACTCCACCACCCGCAGTACAGAAGAGCAATCAAGGCATTGCACAGCATCCGTCAGAATACGAACTCAGCGAAATCTCGCCGCAAAAGTCATCTCAGTTGCCTTCCGGTACGGTGGCACAACCGCCTACGGGTTCATCACCGCCCACGCCTAGCGTACTGGAGAACCACTCACCAGAGGCCAGTGAAGACGATGCCGCAGAATGGGCTCCAGACCGCACGTCGGCCTCATGGAAAACCAAATGGCGGCTATTGAGCTGCTGCCTGATGAATTTCGGTAGTGGCATGAACGATAGTGCCCCCGGTGCCTTGATCCCATACATCGAGAAGCATTATAGCATTGGGTATGCGGTGGTCTCGCTTATCTTCGTCGCCAATGCCTTGGGATTCATTTCTGCGGCACCTGTCACTCATACTATTGAGAACAAGTTTGGTCGCTCGAAGAGCTATGCCTTCGCCATGTCTGTTTTGGCTATCAGCTATATCGTGATCATCTGCCAGCCCCCGTTCCCTGTTGTCGTGGTCTGCTTCTTCCCACTCGGCTTTGGCATTGCGCTTAGCCTGGCTCTTAGCAACTTCTATTGTGCCAACTTGGCCAATTCCACCACGGCCCTGAGCTGTTTCCATGGCAGCTATGGTCTAGGTGGCACAGTGGCCCCGTTGTTTGCAACCGCCATGGTTTCACATGGGATCCGTTGGTCGTTCTTTTACGCAGTCTCGTTGGCATTTTCTCTCATTAACCTGGGTTACACCACGTGGGCATTCTTCAACTATGAGAATGAAACGCCGGTAGAGCCGCAAAGAGCGCTGCAGCCTACTGCTTCCCGTCCCGAGGGTGCTGGTGAAACCCGAACCCGAGCGCAGCTCTTTAAGAAAGCCATCCGGAACCGCACCACGCTCCTTGGTGCCTTGTTCATCTTCGCCTACCAGGGTGCAGAGGTCTCCGTATCTGGCTGGATCGTTTCTTTCCTAATCAGTTATCGACATGGGGACCCTTCCCGGGTCGGATACGTCAGTGCAGGTTTCTGGGCTGGCATCACCGTCGGCCGATTCCTGTTGACACACCCCGCAGCCAAGGTAGGACATAGGATCGCCGTGGTTGCAATGATAGCGGGTGCCGTCGCTTTCCAGTTGTTGACCTGGTTAGTTCCAAATGTCATTGGAGAAGCAGTGTCAGTGGCCATCTTGGGTCTTTTGTTGGGTCCGGTTTACCCATCTGCCACAGCCGTCTTCACCAAATTGCTGCCACGCAGCATGCATATTTCCAGTCTGAGTTTCATCAGTGCCCTTGGGAGCAGTGGAGGTGCGTTCTCGCCTTTTGTGACTGGTATTTTGGCACAGAACGTGGGAACAATGGTGCTGCATCCAATCTGTATTGGGTTGTATGGAGTGATGGCGACTAGTTGGTTATTGCTGCCGAAGATCTCGAAGAGATCGGAATAAGATTGATATAATTCGCGATATTTTACAGCCGAGCAGGGATTGGAAAAGGGCAGTGTTGCAGGGCTGTGTTTGCTTACGGGCTCGGAAGATTGGGTACTTATACTTGGAGCCCCTCCAAATGGTCTAGACCGGAAACTCAAAGCAGGTCGATGAATTTGTAGTGCGCAACGTCCATATCAAATTCTTGCCAGGCAGAATTATCTCCTTTACGAGGAAGTAGCTGTTCTCGCTAAAGGACGTTTTTATAAGCTTATCGGAATTTTAGTCACCACATCCATTCCCAATTCACCGGTTCTACGGGAGGTGTAGCAGACACGTGCCCACAAAAGAATCGGAACCGTACAAAAACCGGTGGACAAGTCATGCAGTGGAAAGAATGTGTGCGATGTAACGGAGGCGATCAGCAACTCGGCCCCTCCACGTAAGGGGAATCACACACTAGGATGGACTTCAGCATGTACCGTTCCATGTATTCACGCTAATTAGGCCCCCGCCGAGGGCATCCCTCGTCGAGAATGAGATCATCCCGGGGGTGAGGAGTGTCTCAGAAAGGGCTGCCCGCACGTGTAGATGTCATTGTAGACTTTGCCACAAACACTGTTCCTTAATATTTCCTTTTTCCGTGCTTATCTTGTGTGGCCCGATCCTCTCGCATTTTCCGAAGTGGCCTACCCTCTACCGTTGCCCCCTCCCCTGTCAACAAGAGCCCCGCGAAACCCTTTCCCTCCTCCACCTCCCCCGTCTTGCTTTGTCCACCACAGCCCACCCCCCAACCCCGACCTGCCTGCCCATCATGGACGGCGACGAGGTTATTGCCTCGGTCTACCGAAAGATCGAGCGGGAGAAGGCCCTCATCGCCGCCGCTAGTAATATGCGGCAGTCCACCGACAACCCATCCGTGCAACAACGTGTCGATGCCAGCATCCGCGATGGCCGCAAAAATATCGCTTACCTCGAAGAAAAGATGCGAGAGCTTCAGGTCCGTTATACGTCGAATGAGGGTGGCTCGCCCCATGGTCAGCGTCACGCGCCCGGCTCTGGTCCTCTTCCCCCGCCTAAGGACGGCAGCGGATACTTGGGCGATGGCGATGGTGATGCGTACGGATACACTCAGGGAGGCACCGGCTCGATGCCTTCCGGTGCCCCATTCCCTGACCCGCGCCCCTACGCTCCGATTCCTAAGGCGCGGCCCAACTATACAAAGCTTGGTACGTTCGGTTGATCCATATCGTCCTGATTCGGACTACATCGCTCTACATCGCGGATATTTTTGACCCATTGGAATGCTGACTGACATGAATGTCTCAGATCTTATCAAGTATGACACTCAGTACCTCGGCCCGAAGATTCAGCTCATGCTGTCTCAGCTCGAGTTCAAGCTGAGTGTGGAGAAGCAATACAAGGCTGGTATCGAGAAAATGGTCCGCTTGTACCAGGATGAGGGCGATCGGAAGAGTCGCGCCGATGCGGAGGGTCGTCGCATTGAGAGTAACCAAAAGATCCAGCTGCTCAAGCAGGCGCTGAAGCGATACGAGGATCTTCACGTTGATATTGAATCTTCCGATGCTAATGATGGTATGTCAGAATATCCCCTTTGATGACGATCGGGCTTTGTCGGAGACTAATCATGATACAGACGAGAGTCTTAGCAGTCCGAACATGCGCAAGCCGTTGACCGGTCTTCTTACTATGCGCATCCATGCGGTGAAGGATGTCGATCACGCCGCCAGCTCCCGTTTCTCTCGTGGCCCCGAGACATATGTCATTGTCAAGGTGGAAGATACAATCAAGGCGAGGACGAAAGCGACTCGGAACGATAAATGGCTGGACGAGTCGTTCTCCATCGACATTGATAAGGCGAACGAGATCGAGCTTACCGTCTACGACAAATCTGGAGATCGTCCCACCCCTATCGGTATGCTGTGGGTGCGTATCTCCGATATTGCGGAGGAGATGCGTCGCAAGAAGATTGAGACGGAGTTGAACGCTTCTGGATGGGTGTCTGCCGACAAGATGGAAAACTCCGGTGGCAATAGATCCGATCACCCCGGTGCCCCCCAAGGCTCCTCTCAAGGTGCTAGCTACGGAGGAATGGGGCCCGCTTCAGGACCTCAGGGAGGAGACAACCCGAATGCACCCCCGACTGTGATGATCGATTCATGGTTTGCATTGGAGCCCTTTGGCCGTATTAACCTCTCAATGAGCTTTGGTAGGTTGCAAATCACCTATAGAGGCATCACGAAACATACTAACATACCATCTAGCCAAGCAACTCAAGGACCGTCGGCCCTTCGACATCGGTCTCAATCGCCAGGGTGCTGTGCGCCAGAAGAAGGAAGAGGTTCACGAGAAGCAGGGTCACAAATTCGTCACCCAGCAGTTCTACAACATCATGCGCTGCGCTCTGTGTGGAGAGTTCCTCAAGTACGCTACGGGCATGCAATGTGCGGACTGCAAGTATACCTGCCATCGCAAATGCTATCCCAAGGTGGTCACCAAATGTATCAGCAAAGCCAACTACGAGACCGACCCCGACGAGGAGAAGATCAACCACCGCATCCCTCACCGTTTCGAGGGCTTCTCCAATCTCTCCGCCAACTGGTGCTGCCACTGCGGTTACCTGCTTCCCTTCGGACGCAAGAATGCAAAGCGATGCACCGGTAAGCAAAAAGTCAAGATTCCGTTATTCTAGCTTAGCAGAACTAACACTTTTATGTCTTTAGAATGTGGACTTACTTCTCACGCTCATTGCACGCACCTCGTGCCCGATTTCTGTGGCATGTCGATGGAAGCGGCGAACCAGATCCTGGAGACCTTGATTCGCACGAAGCATCACATGAATTCAACTTCTGTCAGTTCTGGTCTCAGCAACCGTACCCTTCGACCAAGCGGTCCGCCGCAACCCCCGCAAGACAATGCCGCCCTCTCCTACCCCCAGAAACCTAAAGAAGGTCCCTATGGGGCACTTCCCAGACAACCCTCCGCAGAAGCGGTAAGCGCTGCGACTAACTCTTATATGACTCCACAGTCACCAACGGCTGCTCAACAGGCTGCCCGCCACCCATTGCCCCCGAAGTCACCTCCCGGGCCCGCGGCCGCGGCCGCTGCAGCGGCAACTGGCTTGCGTAGCCCTACACAGCAGACACCAAGTATGTACTCTCCGCGATGCGGTTTTTCTAGGTACTAACATTCGCGATTTAGCGGAAATGACTCGTCCTCCGGTGCAGGCTCAACAGCCTCCTTCTTCTCATGCTCACTATGACCCATCTGTCTATGCTAATTTCCAGAAACCTCCTCCGCCTCAGGCAATGCCCCAGCAGCCAGTTGGATCGCCTGCTCATTACGGCATGCCTCCGCCCCAGCAACAGATGCAGCCCATGCAACAACAGGTCGCTGTTCCCGTCAAGGAGGAGGCAGTTGCCAAGCCCCAGGCCCGCATTGGATTGGATCACTTCAATTTCCTTGCTGTGCTCGGTAAGGGTAACTTCGGAAAGGTCATGCTGGCTGAGACCAAGAGCACTCGCAAGCTGTACGCCATCAAGGTGCTGAAGAAGGAGTTCATTATCGAGAACGATGAGGTGGAGAGCACCAAGTCCGAGAAGCGTGTCTTCTTGATTGCCAACAAGGAGCGTCATCCATTCCTGCTTACCTTGCACGCCTGTTTCCAGACAGAGACTCGTGTTTACTTCGTCATGGAATACATCAGTGGTGGTGACCTGATGCTGCATATTCAGCGTGGCCAGTTCGGTTTGAAGAGGGCTCAGTAAGTTGTACTGATCTCGTTGTTTTGTAAATTTAGATGCTGACTGGACCATCAGGTTCTATGCTGCTGAGGTCTGCTTGGCTCTCAAGTATTTCCACGAGAACGGTGTCATTTACCGTGATCTGAAGCTGGACAACATTCTCTTGACTCTCGACGGTCACATCAAGATTGCCGATTACGGTCTCTGCAAGGAGAACATGTGGTACGGCTCCACGACTAGCACATTCTGTGGTACTCCCGAATTCATGGCCCCGGAGGTAAGTCTTTCTTGTTGAAACGTCTACATTTAAACTCAACTTGCTAACATCTTGTTCAGATTCTGCTCGATAAGAAGTATGGCCGCGCGGTCGATTGGTGGGCGTTCGGTGTCCTTATCTACCAGATGCTTTTGCAGCAGTCTCCCTTCCGTGGTGAGGACGAGGATGAAATCTACGATGCCATTCTTGCAGATGAGCCTCTCTACCCTATCCACATGCCTCGCGACTCGGTTTCCATTTTGCAGAAGCTGCTGACCCGGGAGCCCGAACTGCGTCTCGGATCCGGTCCTACTGATGCCCAGGAGGTCATGTCTCACGCCTTCTTCCGCAACATCAACTGGGATGACATATACCACAAGCGCGTTCCTCCTCCGTTCATCCCCTCCATTAGCAGCCCGACGGATACCAGCAACTTCGACCAGGAGTTCACTAGCGTTACTCCAGTCTTGACTCCCGTTCAGTCCGGTATGAATTCATTAGTTATCCAGTCCAAGCAGCTTTTGCTAACTTTCCATTTATCTAGTGCTATCACAAGCCATGCAGGAAGAATTCCGGGGCTTCTCCTACACTGCCGACTTTGCTTGATCTCGGGATATCTCATATAAAACGCTTTTTCTTGCTTAACCACCTGCCGCTGTCCGGCTGCGGGTCGAGTCGATATCGACTGCGCACATCGGGGTCGGACTTCCCCACGGTCGAGCTCGCTCGAGCTTCGGGTGCTTTCCGCTTTTCTCTCTTCAAATTGCTCTACATACCCATCGCAATTTTGTTTGGCTGCAAGCCGGCCTAGACGCCGCTACGAATCGCTTCGCTATGCATGCTTCGTTCGCCGAGTGACATGAGTAATGGAGCAACGACCTTGCTTTTGCTGTTGTATTTCTTTTTGCGTATTTAAATTGTTTTTATTTTTTCCCTTTTTACTGGCGAATCTTCGATGACTGTTCCACGCCATGCCAGGTCATGGGTGTTCGGGGACGCATTCTCGAGTGTGCGCAGGGTGGTTTATGATCGCATGAATGGGGACGAGGTGTTTTCTAAAAAGCATTGAATGATGGTTGATGGTTTCAAGTTTATGATGACTGCGCATTCTTGCGTGGGCTCGGCGCTGGGCCTTTGGGGCGTGTTTTGCAGTCATTTTGCTGGAGTGGATGAAATTCCCATGTGATCAGGAGATGCAAATACGAACTAATAATATTCTGCGCTATGAGTCCCTTGTAATGTGTGTTTATGCCTCTAATCGGGCTATCCTATTTGGGAAATGAAAGACCTCAGTTGTTTCCATGTAGATGAAAACATCACGTTCTCAATTGTTGGATATCGACTGTTTACTCTTCACTGTTTGGTCCCGATTCTTCTTCATTGCTATCCTCCCACCTTCTCGCTTTCACGTCTATTTTAATCTCTTCTTTGTTTACACTCTTCTTTCATTGAACCCAACCATGTTCAACCCGATTAATACTTTCCCAAGTCGAGTCCTCCCTGCGGGATTCCACTGCCACGACACATTTGCCTTCCTGTCGGTTGGTTAACCCCCGAGCTCTTTGTTAACAGGGATTCCGCCGCTTCTTTGTCTCCCGACTCGCTAGATTCGTCTTTCCTTCAGATTCCCCCGGCCTTCATTGAGTGGCTCCTCTCCTCTCTTGATGTCTCGCCGAAGCAAATTTTATGTACTTCATCTTCTGGAAACTCGCCTGGGTATCTTTTTCTGGAACACCTTGCAACACATCTTGCAGACGTCGAACGCAGAACTACCTCCGGCAGCTACCTCTAGCTTCCCAACGCCAACTACTGCAGATATCGTCAATTTTGACAATAGCGGTCGTCAAATCTTTTCAGCTCCCACGACCAATGCTGAGCATAGCTCATCCATCTCGTTCCCAGATTTTACACCCAAGTTTGATCGCATTCTTCCTACCTCCGGCTTCTCGACACCGACTACTTCTGAGATCATCAACTTTGACCGTTCCGGTCATCAGAATTTGACAGATTATACGCCCAGCATTTATCGTACCTCTTCTTTCTCCTTGTCAGCTTCTTTTACGTTGGTCGACTCGATGCCGCGCGAGCGATCTTCTCCAGTTGACAATGACTCCGATGCTCAGGCTGCACCGAGGCGTGTCAAGGCTGAGAAAATGAAGGCTGTAAAGATCAAGAGAGAAAAAGAGCCAGCTGGAGCTTTCACATTCTCTCTTACTCCTGAAGAAAAGACGCAGACTTCTTACAGTTCAGCTGAAACTCTCCAGTTTTCGTCCGTGAAGCGAGCTTTCACTATTGAGGATGACACCGGTACCCAGGGTGCAGCGAAGCGTGTTAAGAAAAGTCGAGCTCCAGTATACAGTTCTCCTCCACTTGGTCCATATCACAGTTCAACTGAAATACTGCGCGCTGCATCCGGCCGTAAGAAGCGCAACGCTCCTGAAGTCGATACCGAGATCAAAGATGAGGATGGTGAAGACATTTTCTACAGCCTCCGCTCCGAACTACCAAAGGCACAGCAGACCCCTGATTCAAAGAAAGAAAACCTGAAGCTTAGCAGTTCGACGTCGTCATACCTTACCTCCAGAAGGTCCAGAGATTTCTCTGAACAGGATTATCATGTCAATGATCCTTCTATCTACAGCGGCTCGAGCTCGGGAGAAGAAAATGAAAATCCATTTCTTGACCGTGAGGATCTTGAGGATATTCTCACCCGAGAAAAAGCCCGTCGGTTGGCTACAGCCGTGAAAGTCCCGGATGATAGCAACATGTCGGAGGAAGAAACAAACTTGTATCTCGGTCTAGCCCTTCGCGGAATCAAGCCAGTCATGTCTTTCACCTGGTCAAAAGATTTTAACACACTACCTGAATCGTTATTTGCTGTTCCAGATAACAGTGACTATCAGGAAGAGAGGTTGCCTTTCCACACTCACAAGGGCACCGATTTTGCGGCAATTCGAGCCTTTCGAGAGCTTCTTGAGGTTGGTGGTTTCGTCCGAGATTGCAGACTGCTCACTTTAGAGCCTCAAGTGGTAATCCGAAGGTCCGTTAAGAAATACGTTCGATGGGCGATTAGTGATGCAGCTTTGAGAGTCACGTCGAAGTCACTTCCTGTCCATGTCATCTACACACAGAAGTCAGACCAGATGGCCCTTTCTGCAGTCCACGGACTCTCTAAAAAGATGGAGTCCCTAGCTAACCGTCATCGGCAACTACATACTGAGTCATACAAGGGCAAGTTGTTAAGGGGTGCGAAGCGCCTAGCTAGCCGCGCTCGGTCAAAAGAGCTTGAACCCTTGCAGTACTGGCCTACACTTGTTGGTTTCCTCATTTGCGGGCCTATCTTGAGCATCGTGTCCCTTGATACAAATCCTAATTCCGTCACTTGGATCAAAGACTCAGAATCTCGAGTGAAATATCTCGGTCAGTTTGACATGTCGGAGGTGGATCAGGATGTCTGGAATTCACTCGCGATTGCAATTGCGGTAATCAGTATGAGGAAAACCATGTCAAGCCTGGCCGATACTTATGAGGGGCCCCTCATTCCTCGCCTTCGCCGTCATGGTGATGATACTGATGATGATGACTTGTAAGATTTTTAATGTAATCGGGCATATCTGCCTCTATATCTGTTATCAACTTAGCCATACCTTGAAAGACGGAAATGCCTGTGAGCTCAATTTTCTCATATATACCTATCTTTTCAAAACAACAATATTAATGCTAAACGCCCAAATACTACCCTTGCCCTACCCCTATCTTTTCTCAACATTTAGCTTTCATCCAATTGACGGATACATATTTAGATGTCAAAGTGTAACCTGCATAATTGTATGCTACCTATTAAAGCACGTGAAAGACAATCCAAAACATAGCATTTTATCAAATGTGAAATTTAGAAATAGAATTCAATAGTTAGTTACACCTCTGCCAGGTGATTTCAAATACCCCATATCGTGCTCTGTTGATGTCACATGACCCGTCCCGCCATTGACGCTTTTCCCGATCTTTCGAGCCTCAACAACAGCCAAACTCCAATCTCCGCGATGGATGCAGCCGATGATCGGGAAGTAAAACTTCAACGGGCATCCAGTGATCTGGTGACGGAGTTTTCGGCAAAGCTGCCATCGCTGCTGTGGAGAGCCCAAAATGGAATTCCTCTCCGTACCCCACGCAAATGGGCGCCAGTAGCCAAGACAGAGAAGCTTGTCAGCCTTGTACGCTCATTACTTTCTTACTGAAAATATCATTCAAATGAATCGTGGATGCTAATCGAATACGACAGCTCGAACCCTTTCAAGAATGGCCCCAGCTGCTAGACCCGCATCTTCACAAGCTTCTGCCTCCGTTAGTGGATGCTTTCCTGGCTTACTTGGTGAAGCACCGTGGCCAGTATGCTTCGAAGCCGGTGAAAAACTCACAGGGTGCTGCTCTATACCCGCTACCAAGAGCCATCTGCAGATTGCTGTATACTTTCTGCAAAGTCCGTGGTGTCAAGGTGATCAGTCGGTTCTTGAACAATGAGCCCAAGTATCTTGATTCGATGCTACGTGCTTTTATCGAATGGGACTCGGTTAGCAGCTCAGGCACAGCAGAGGATAATATAGATGATCAACCTCAGACCTTACAATGGGAAGAGCGTTATGTGATGCTAGTTTGGCTGTCGCATCTTCTTCTCGCGCCGTTCGACCTTTCTTCGCTGTCATCAGAGGATATTCCAGTTCCTTATGACAATTTGAAACAACTAGGCGATATTTCTCCACAGACCCCGATGCTTGCTAGGTCAGTCTTGTCGCTGGCGTTGCATTACATTAATACCTCCGGCAAGGAGCGCGAGGCAGGAACCGCTCTTCTGGCACGAATTATCCTGCGCGGGGACATGCAAAGACTCGGTCTTCTCACGTGTCTAACGGAATGGGCCTTTGCCACAGTTCAACCCAACGAGAACGCGGAAGCGCCATCTGTCTACTCCTGTATCGGCATTCTTTCTTTCATTGCCCGCCTAGCCGGCTCCGGTCAGGTTGAAGATTTTGCTCCTTTGCTTCAAAATGTCTTTGATCAAACACTCAGTGTCTCACAAGGACAATCAAAAGTATCTTCGATCATTCGGTCGTCTGCCCTGGCGAGAAAGACCGTGATCAAGATCCTCCGCAATATCGCGGTCATGGCCTTGTCGCTAAGCGAGCGGAAAGATAACAGCATGACGGATGATCAATTAACAAACATCCTAGAAGAGGTCATTGACCATTTCCTCGTCTCATTGGCGGACAAGGATACACCTGTGCGACTTGCTTCGAGCAAAGCTCTCAGTGTGATCACCTTAAAGTTGGATCTAGAAATGGGAGCTGAAATTATCGAAGCTGTCATTGGCTCACTGGGAGAGAACATTCTCTATGAAAAAGAGAACGGTTCTTTGGTGACGCCGTTAGAGGCACTCAAAACTGGCATTGAAACTTTCAAGCGCAATCTTAGCGCCGTGGATGCACAACGATGGCAGGGCCTAATTCTTACTCTATCCCATCTACTTTTCCGCCGTGCGCCTCCACTCCGGCAGCTTCCTGATATTCTTCATTCTCTTGTTTTGGGTCTCGTTTTCGAGCAGAGGTCATCCACAGGTAGTTCCGTGGGAACGGGCGTGCGAGATGCTGCCTGCTTTGGTGTCTGGGCCATATCTCGGAAGTACACAACTTCGGAACTGCAAGCATTGCCAGCGCAAGTCATCCCTTCCATTTCTGGGATTAGCGAGGTAGATGTTCTACAGAAGCTGGCTGTTGAACTCGTCTGCTCTGCTTGTGTGGACCCCTCTGGCAACATTCGACGCGGTGCTTCTGCCGCCTTGCAGGAGTTGATTGGCCGTCACCCAAACACCATCACCGAAGGTATTCCGCTGGTACAGATTGTCGACTACCATGCCGTTGCGCGACGCTCACGCGCTATGATTGACGTGGCGAAAGCAACAGCCTCTCTAGATTCCATGTACTGGAGTCCGCTTTTGGAGGCTTTGATGAACTGGCGAGGTATCGGTTCTCCTGACGCTGAGTCCAGGAGACAAGCAGCTAAGTCCATCGGGACATTGAGTGCACAGGAAAGTCTCAAGACGATGTCTGTGGTGTTGCAACGTCTCTTGCACAGACTTCCTTGTATCCCTCGAAATGATGTGGAGTCGCGACACGGCTGTCTCTTGTCTATTGCAGCTGCAATGGATGCTTTTATTTTTGAACTAGAAGCATCACCAGAGAAGAAGGAATCACTCGAAGGGAAAGAAATCTCTTCCCAGGTATCCAAGATATGGGACATCTTCGGATCTCCATCTGGCCCTACCGACAACGACCTGACTTTCCAGAATTCTCGCCCTGAATTGACAGCAGAGGCATCATCCTGTCTGATTGCCTCGCTTTCTCAGTCCACTGTCTCGGTCGGCCTTGACCGGCCCTCGGATGCAGTGCTCGATCGAGTCTTGCGCGTTCTTTCACTTTGTGTCTCCCGAAGCGACGATATCTCTATCGAAAGGTCGTCGAATGCTTTATCCACAATTTTCCCTGTCTTAACACCACTCAAGCAGCAGGAGACGGTGCAGGGATGGGTTTATCATCTGCATACTTCGTCAAGGTCACCAAGCGGTCGTGGCCAAATCCTAGCACTCGGTGCAGTCTTCAAACGACTTCAAGGATCAGATGATTTGCAAGACAGTATCATTAAAGAAGTACTTCGGTGCGCAGATAAGGAGGAATTGATTGAAAAGCGAGTAGCCGCGGTTAAATGTTTGGCCGCCAACATCTTGCCTTACACAAGTAGGTCCTTCTAGCTTTTGGCTACGGAAGACTAAAGACTAACAACTTATCAGCTCCTACAGAAATGATGGCCAATGGCGTGATTGACTTTCTCAACGACTACACGACGGACAGACGAGGCGACATCGGATCTCTAGTTCGAGTGGAAGCAATTCAAGCTGCAGGTATTATCTTACAGCAAGAATCTGGCCTAGCTTCACACTCAACAATAGTCCAAAACCTGGTCGGTTGCCTTTGTCGCCTCGCTTCTGAGAAGCTTGACAAGGTCAGACTACAAGCATGGCTCTGTTTACAAGGCTTCTGGGAATTTGCGGAGCTCCCAGTTGCGTTGAAGAGGTATTTGATCCTTGCTCATCTATGCAGCCAGTTCTAATGGAAGCAGTAAATATGATCACTTCAGCCACGTTTCGTCGCAAGAATACTTCGATCAATTGATCACACTATACAACGTCCAATGGTTACGACTGCCACTGCTACAGGGACTGGCAACTTCTACGGTCGCAGGTACTGAGGGTCTTATTCGGGCGTCTCGCTCAGCTTTGATCCAGTCTATCAATTCTTATGGCGCTACGCAGCGCCAGGCTGTCTTGGTTGAGATGTTACAAGTACTATCGACCATTCTGACTAATAACGTCCAAGATGATCGTTACGCGATTCCCACCATCGAGTTCGTTGCATTCCTGATAGACAGCTATGCTGTCGCTGGGGAGGAGCTCGATCCAATTTTCCGAAGTGTCTTCGTCCTGGTCCAAAAAGCACACTTCCGGTCATCGAACATCGCACGTTTGGAAGCTGGTGTCAAGGTTTATGGGGCCATGGCGAGGCTTGGGCCTTTGCGTAATGGTGTCTTGAAGAAAATGATTGGACTTTTAGTGCATCCTTTCCCAAGGGTATGTTTGTGTCAAGCGGTCTATTTGCGATGGAAGTTTGCTAACCTATATGCTAGATTCGGGCCAGCGCTGCAGACTACCTATTTACCGTGACGGACTCTGAGATGCTCAAGTATGAGGATTGGTCTGCACAGCCCAACCAATTAAAGGACAAGATGGAAAGTGTGAAGGTTGAGCTGGCTATTAAGTAGATCTGACTGGTCTCACGGATACAAGATTAAAACATAGAAATCAATTAATCAACAATCCTAACCATAATTCTGCGACAAAGTTGCAGTTTTTCAATGCGCAGAAAGAGAAGTATTTTGGTGAGAGATAGTCAAATTAATTCATGGGGTAATAAAATAGCTTATAGGAAAGGAGAAAAAGGAAAAAAGGAAAAAGAAAAAAAGAAAAAGATTTGCATCATCCGTGAATCGAACACGGGCCTCGTCGATGGCAACGACGAATTCTACCACTAGACCAATGATGCTAGTTAATATCTACTTGCAGGCAAAAGTATCTTATGGAGCAAGGCTTTTTGTTTTCACCTGCTGCAGAGCTCAACCTCGTCTTCAGTTCATTCCCGGAGCTGCAACTGTCGCAACCATGGCAGCCGCAGATGTATCGGCTGGTGTTCCTCCGAATTCCACGTATGTGTTTATTCCTTTGATCCTTATGCAGCTAATCCGCTAACTTGGCCTTGCAGTGTCTACGTACGCTGTCCCTCCCCCTCCTGCCCGCAATAATGCTCGCGCCGGCCGACTAACCGTGACACTTTTCCAACCCCACAGGTCAAGAATTTAGAGGAGCGAATCAAAGTTGAGCAGCTCAAGGTCGCACTGGACGAGATCTTCTCCGATTTCGGAAATGTGCTCGAGATTGTCGCAAAGACCAACCTGAAGGCCAAGGGCCAGGCGTTTATCGTCTTTGACAGCGTCGATGCCGCAACCCGCGCCATTGACGAAGTGAACGGCTTCGAGCTCTTTGACAAGCCTATGGTTCTGGATTATGCGAAGACTCAGAGTGATGCTACTGTTCTTCGCGAAGGCGGTTCCGAGGAGCTGGAGGCTCACAAGCGGAAGCGATTAGCTGAGAAAGGTGAGCTATATCGAACTCATCCCCTCTTACGCAGACTCTGTCGGAATTACATTATACTAACTACTGTTAACTCTTCCCGCAGAGCGCCAACAAGCGCACGACGCCCTCGAAGCCCAGAAGAAGCTCAAGCGTCCCGCCGCCGCGCCTGCCGACAACGCACGCCCGGCAAAGACCACGAAGGGCGCTGGTCTCAAGCCCACATCCGGTGCTACGACTGCTGTTATCCCCGACGAGTATCTGCCTCCCAATAAAATCCTGTTCCTGCGGGATCTGCCCGACGACGCCAGCCAGGAGGGCCTCGCAGCGGTCTTTGGTCGTTTCGAAGGATTCCAGGAAGTCAGATTGGTACCCGGCCGCAAGGGTATTGCATTCGTCGAGTACGAGACCGAGTCAGGTGCTATCAGCGCGAAGGAGGCTACGGCAGGTATGCCCATGGGAGAACAGAGCAAGCCAATTCGTGTTACTTTCCAGCGGCAGTAAATATGGCTGTGGTTCTCTCAGCCCTAAAATATCCCTGTCTTGTTATTTTGGCGTTTGGAGGGGGTTCTAGCTCACTTTATGTATCTGCAATATGACCTCGTGAAGAGACTTGTCGATACCACCTTCATCTATCTACATAGACTCCGTACAGAGACATGGTACATACGACTTTTCTAGTAAAGTTTCCAAGTTTTATATTCTCGGAGGCTGAGCCATTAGGCTGAAGTACGTGAAACAAGTAAAAATTGGTACAGATGTCAAAGATATGCAAAGGACGCTTGTCCGAAGTAAAACAAAGATACAAAATGGATCACTAGAAGATGACATCGTTGTCTTCTTGCTCACCGAGAACATCGGGCGCATCGGTGTCTCCTGTAGATGGAGCCGCAACAGCTGGAGTGTTGTTCGCTGCCTCCTTCTCCGCTGCCTTCTGTCGGGCTGCGAGAATCTCGGCGTCTGCCTCGGCAACGTCTCTCTGCTTCTTACCGGAGACCTTCTTGAGGCGGTAAAACTCCTCTCGATCGAGTTCATCGAGTTCGGAGTTGATGTCTGTGTGGATTAGAATGTGCAACATCTGGTGATGGGGGATGGTAGTACAAACATTTGATGGTGTTTTCGGTTCGGGGGATAATGACGTGCTCACTTGCGGATACTGTTAGTAAAAAGCCACACCATAAGTTAGCAGACAATAACTTACATGGCGTTAACTATATGATACATGTTAGCAAGTATACAAGATGGGCATGCTGAGAAGATACTGCTTACCTCTTCGGTTCACAACCTTAATCACCTCATCTAGAATCAAGAATGCAGTCTGGGGAATATTAGTGAGAGTCCAATGTCTGTTACCCCAGCATTCTTACCTGTAGACTAGCCAGCTCCACCAAGGTCTCCACGGCCCGCGCGTATGTCTCCCGGCAGCGTTGAATTTGCTGTCCACCCTTTCCAAGACCGGTCAAGCCAAAGTCGTTGATAGCAGTCTCTGTGTGGCTTTCAAATTGGGGAAGGAAGACACCCGAGACGTTCTCGTGCTTGGCTCGCACACGGAAGCGGGCCTGTTTGGCGGACTCCTGAATCTGGTATCCGATGTCTCCGCCAACGGCGTAGCTCACTTCGGCAAGGGAGAAGGCTGCAATCTGCATGACCCGTCCCATCTTCTGCTTGGCCTCATCTATACGTCGTGTGATTTCTGCCCGCTGTAATTAGCTTCCGTGGAGTGTGGGGGGATCCGGACTCGATTCGTTGCGGCATCGTACCTCGGAAACGTCTATTCGTGAGGGTTAATTATCAGCTGAGCGCTCAAGCCATTGGGAATGTAGACAACATACTTTGTCAAGGCCTCACTCTTTCGCTTCAGCAAGCTGTGTCCGATCTCAGCCCCCTTCAGCTTGCTCTTCATTATTCCTAGCGACTGACGAGTCGGGAAGACTGGCTCTCGGCCCTGTAGAGAGACATGGTTAGTATTCGTAGATGTCACTGATAGAACATACTCACCACAGCACCCGACATGACGGCAGCTTAAAGATCCAAACGTTGACGATCAGCTCAGATGCCACATTGATATGACGCCGATAAGTAAAGCTCCACCGCCCACTCGATATGGGTTCAGTCACGTGATTAACATACGACTTCGTCGCCAGTTTCATCCTTCACGCGCCTGTGTCACTTGCTTGCGCCAACATCCTATGCTGTTCTGTTGATCCGTGTGATTCGATCCCGCTCGAACCGAGTGGCGCAATGCCAGGGACGCTCCTGCCCCCGAGATCACACCGGCAGCACGCACAGATGGACCGATCATCTGCGTCCCGGCCGGACTTTTACCTGATCGTAAGCGCCCATTAGTCCCACTGCTATCATTGTACTGACCTCTTTTCCCAAAAGACCGATCAAGATACCGTGTACGAACAAGATCTGCTTCGCGATGCCGGCAGTGTCAAGCCATGGCTTGCCTACATCGAATGGAAGCAGCAACATGGCACCCTCTATGAACAAGCCTTTGTATGATTCTGCCGTACTCCAATCTTTTGAATATAAGGGTAACCGCTAACATACAATTTCCACAGATCATGGAGCGCGCCTGCCGACAATTGCCCCGGTCGTACAAACTGTGGAAGATGGTGAGATCCTCTCCCTTGAGATTGCTGTGCTGGTCGTTTGACTAATTGAGGATTGATGTAGTATTTGGAGTTCCGAACGAAGCACCTGAAGGGGCGCAACCCCACTGTCTATCGCGCCGAATACCTGAAGGTCAATGCGCTCTTCGAACGAGCTCTGATTCTTCTGAACAAAATGCCTCGTATCTGGGAGATGTACCTCTCATTCTTACTCCAGCAACCGCTAGTGACCCAGACTCGGCGAACTTTCGATCGCGCCCTGCGTGCCCTGCCAGTCACCCAGCACAACCGAATCTGGAGACTCTATAAGAGCTTTGCGCGATCCGCATCAGGACAAACTGCCGTCAAGATCTGGGCCCGCTACATGCAGATTCATCCTGAGAATGCAGAGGATTACATCGAGCTTTTGGTGGAGATGGGTCAGTACAAAGAGGCTGTCAAGGTCTACATGGACATTCTTGACAACTCGCGCTTTCAATCTAAGAATGGTAAAAGCAATTTCCAGCTGTGGACTGAGATGGTCGACCTCTTGGTCTCAAAGGCCAAGAAGATCGAGACTGGTCCACAAGTGGGAATTGATGTCGATGCCATTCTGCGAAGCGGTATAGATCGCTTCGCTGACCAGCGAGGAAAGCTCTGGACTGGCTTGGCGACCTACTGGATCACCAAGGGCAATTTCGAGAAGGCGAGAGATGTTTTCGAGGAGGGCATCTTGACTGTCATGACGGTCCGTGATTTCACTCTTATTTTTGACTCGTACGTCGAGTTTGAAGAGTCGATCATTGGTAGTCTGATGGAGGCTGCGGCTGTTCGTTCAGAGAAAGGCAAGCTTGACGAAGATGCCGATTTCGACCTTGATTTACGCATGCTGCGCTTTGAGCAGTTGATGGACCGACGCCCATTCTTAGTGAATGATGTTTTGCTTCGCCAGAACCCCCACAATGTTATTGAATGGGAAAAGCGAGTGGCCCTGTGGGGTGACAATAAACAGGAAGCTGTCAACACCTACACAGCTGCTATTGCGGCCATCGGCCCCAAGAAAGCTCACGGTAAGTTCTCCGACCTGTGGGTCAATTATGCCAAGCTCTATGAAAATGGCGGAGACCTGGAAACCGCCAGGGTCATCTTCGACAAGGCCGTCAAAGTGCCCTTCAAGTCAGTTGCTGAGCTTGCCGAGACCTGGTGCGAATGGGCGGAGATGGAGCTCCGTGCTGAGAACTTTGACCAGGCCGTTAGCATTATGGCCAAGGCGACTCAAGCACCTAAGAAGTCCACCGTGGATTACTTCGACGAGGATCTGTCACCGCAACAGCGTGTGCACAAGAGCTGGAAGCTGTGGAGTTTCTACGTGGATCTCGTCGAGAGTGTTGCTTCTCTGGATGAAACACGAAAAGTCTATGAACGGATCTTTGAGCTGCGTATTGCGACACCCCAGACAGTCGTCAACTTCGCAAACCTATTGGAAGAGAACAACTACTACGAAGACTCTTTCAAGATATACGAGCGCGGCTTGGATCTTTTCAGCTATCCTGTTGCGTTTGAGCTTTGGAATCTCTATTTAACCAAGGCCGTTGATCGCAAGATTGGCATTGAGAGACTGCGTGATCTCTTTGAACAAGCCTTAGACGGATGCCCCCCCAAGTTTGCCAAGCCACTATACTTGATGTATGGTAATTTGGAAGAAGAACGAGGCCTGGCACGTCACGCTATGCGCATTTACGAGCGTGCAACTCGCTCAGTCTCCGACGAGGATCGTTTCGAGATGTTCGAATTCTACATCACCAAGTCCGCCTCGAACTTCGGTCTCACCTCCGCAAGACCCATTTACGAGCGGGCCATCGCCGCTCTGCCAGACCAGGAGGCCAAGGAGATGTGTCTCAAATTCGCGGAGATGGAGCGCCGCCTCGGCGAGATAGACCGTGCCCGTGCCATCTATGGCCACGCTTCCCAGTTCTGCGATCCGCGAACCAACGCGCCCTTCTGGTCGAAATGGGAGTCTTTCGAAGTTCAGCACGGAAACGAGGACACATTCAAAGAGATGCTGCGCGTCAAGAGAAGTGTCCAAGCTCAATACAAGTATGACCACCCTTACTTTCCATCTTACGGACAACTTGCTAACCTTTTCACAGTACCGATGTCAACTTCATTGCATCGCAGGCCATTGCACGCAGCCAACAACGTCCCCAGGACGGAGAGGGCCAGGATGGCGAGGAAGACGCAGACCGTGCCGATGCCATGGCCGCCCTCGAACGCCAAGCCCGTGCCCCCGTGGGCTTCGTCGCCGCCAGCACAGGCCCAGAGGGCGGTAACCGGGCCAAGCCTGATGGCGCAGCACCGACAGCCCCTGCCAACCCAGACGCCATTGATCTCGACGACGACATGGATGCCGAGTAAGACGCGGTGGTCCTTCACAACGAGCACGAATGGAACAAACAATGCATGGCTGTGCTCGACTGAACGCTCCTTCTTGATCTCCTTTCATCGACCTGTGTGCCTAGTATCATTTCTTTTCTTCTCTAGTATAAGTCCCATTGCGATGGATGTTTACCTTCATCTCCTTTTCTCTGGTGTTGCCTGCCGCATCTTCCTATCTGATTCCAATTTCTCCTTTTGTTTGATTCGAGCCATCTTTGCTCGAGAATGAAATCTTTATCATTCCGTTGGTCCGTTGTCTTCGATATTCGATACCTGCCCTTCTTCGGGCATTCTTTGTTGTATACTTAAATTATCTCGTATTGGAATCTGTCGAGTCTTCTTGTTTAATGAAGCCATTGTGGCGAATAGATTTGTAGCTTGAGCAAACGGCCGACGTCTGGGTGTTGAACGGTGGCAGTCGATTGGATGAAGAACGAAGAGTCCTACTCATAGAAGTGACAGGTTTCGATAAATCGATGTCGAATCTTCGGCTTCGAACGCTTCCTTGACGTCACAGGGGAAGAAGATCAAACCTCATCCCTGCATTCAATCAAGTTCGGTATGATATCATCGGAAGTGCACCGATGATATAAGAGCACCGCTTTGCATCCAGCGCTTATCTGGAATTGAAGGGCACTGCCATCACTCAACAGACCGATTTCCATATATCTACCGGTCTCTATCTTCATCCTATGCGCCTACCCACCATGGCCCGCATCTTCATTACCGGCTCCAGCGACGGTATCGGCCAAGCCGCCGCCAAAGCCCTTGCAGACCAAGGCCATTCAGTGGTCCTACACGCGCGAAACGCAGACCGCGCAGCCGCAGCCCACAAAGCCATCCCGCAAGCCGAAGCCGTACTAATCGGCGACCTAAGCTCAATCGCCCAAACCAAGAAACTTGCCGAAGAAGCCAATTCCCTAGGTTCCGGGACCTTCGATACAGTCATTCACAACGCAGGAATCGGCTACGGCGGCACTTCCAGTCGCGAAATCACAGCGGATAATATCTCGGCCGTATTCGCTGTTAACACGCTTGCGCCGTACATTCTTACCTGTCTAATGAAGAGGCCTTCGTCGAGACTTCTTTTCATGAGCTCGGATAGTCATTATGGAGGCGATGAGAATCTGCGGAATATTACACAGTCGCATTCGTATAGTGATAGCAAGTTGCATGATACGATGCTGGCCAACGCGTTTGCGAGGCAGTGGGGTGATGAGATTCAGGTCGTCAGCATGCATCCTGGTTGGGTGAGGACTAAGATGGGAGGAATGGCTGCTCCTGGAGGGTTGGATAAACCGACTCGGGTGCTTTCCGAATGGGCTGTTGGCCAAGGGAAGTGGGCTAGTCTGAAGAGTGGTGCATTTTTCACGACGAGTGGGGAGGAGTCGGCGCACCCTGGTGCTGGAAATGTGAGCAAGCAGGATGAGTTGTTGAAGATTTGCAAGGAAGTCTCTGGGGTTGATATTCCTGAGTAAGCCTCGAGGAAGGATGAGCTGCAACCCCTGGACAGGAGCCTGAATACGAAACAGAGCGGTTGCTTGAGTACAGCTACTACTTTATCCATCTCTAGACTCATTAAAGAAAGAGCTTGAAAAGAACCTTGCCTCTTGGTGTATTGGTTCTTAGATTATTGGACCTACGCAAGTGAGGCATTCAGTTCGATCGTTTCAATGCTTGAACACCAAATGAAAATTGAAATAACCTTTTATTATGACAATGTGTCAATAAGTTGACTTATCTACATGGACATTGGACAAGGACAATGATCGGGGGAATAATACCAAGCCTGCACCCCAACGCTATTCTATATGTAAATGCAAAAGGACCAAGGACGAAAGAGGATCGAGGCACTCCGGGAAGTAACTCGGCTTCTACGAAGAAACATCTTCCTGGGAAGCTGCTTGACCGTCAGCGTTGCTGGTATCTTTCTCCTCCGCAGTGTCGTTAGACGGGGCTTCAGTCTCTTCGCTCTTCTTGTCCGCATCGCTGGCAGGCTGGTCAGGAGAGTTGACAACAGAGGCTGGCTGGGACTTCTCCGTGTCCTTGCCTGCCTCGGGGAAGATCTCGGCAAAGAGGTCTGGTAGGAATCGGCCAAGACGTTTGCGAGTCTCGTTCCACATTTCCTCTTTGCTGGGATCCTGTGACGGAGGCACGAGGTAGCCGCCGTCGGCCATGACCAGAAGAATGTTCTTCAGGCTCTCGGGGATCGCTTCCTCCAAGCTGTCGGTCTGGCCACTGTTCATCATGCGATCGAGGATGTCCAGGATCCTGAGCCAGAGAGGGAGCATACCCTCGCGGTTGGGAAGCTGGTCCAAGAACCGCAGGAAGATCTTGCAGACTAATGTTGCGGCCTGAACTCGGGTTTCGCCCATGCCATTAGGGTCAGAATGGTAGACCTCTGGTTTCAGAAGACGAAGAACGAGAGGGAAGAGAACTTCATCAAAGATAGCGGACCACTCCTTGTCGTCACTAGAGACAAGATCAGCGGACAGGAGAGCTCGCTGCAGAGTGGAGATTGCGTGGTGACGGATGTCGCGGCAGGGGTTGACACATTGGCTGGTCAAGGATTGGAAAATGGGGGACCAATAGGCAGCCCATGCTTCCCGTTCCTCAAGATGAGACTGCTTGATCAACGCGGGGACCCGTCCAGTCAAATTATAGATTAATCCAATAGCCTTGATTCCGCGAGCGACGACGGGGTTCTCCGTGGGTTTGGGTTGCTTAACACCCTTGGTCCGTCGAGCCTGGATATCTCTTTGGCGTTCGTTAATAGACCCCACGTGTCCAGCACTGACGAAGTCGTTCGCAAGGTTCACAGCAGATTCGTAGTTGTCGGGTGTCACAATGTCAGGCATAGATTCGGCGATGCTTTGAAGCAACTCAAACACCATCGGTGCGGCCTCTCCGTGCTGGTGCAGCCTCTGTAAGATTGACCAGAAGTCTGGGGAGATGGTGATCTCGTTCCCCAGGCGACGTGTGTGACTAACACAACGAGCAAGACCCTTCACTATCGGCACAGCAACCATTTCCAGGATGTCTTGATCGTATCCCGAGATGGCATGTAGCACGACGGGTACTCTCATGAAATCTTGGTCCTGTTAAATGGTTAGCTGCAATGAATCGGACACGGCATGGTTTCAACAGAACGTACATGACTGAGTCGCAGAAGGCTGAGCAGATATGAGACAATACGAGAGACGCTCAATGGATGTAAGTTCTTCGCATCGCGCACCATGGTCTGAAGAGTCGTCGCTAGCCTCTCACCGAGTGCGCCCAGAGTCTTCTCATCTCGAATAGTGAGAACAGTTGCCAACTCCAGAGCAAAGACCATGGACGGATCGTATTTAGGTTGATTGGGATCAATTCGAGCGTTGGGGCTTCTCGAAACGGGGCTTGGCCGCTCGGGCTTTACAACAATGACTGCCAGGGCGTTCTCTTCGGGAAGCTGAGACAATAGAGCTCCAACAAGCATCTCGAGAGATGAAAGAGGAAGCGACCTTTGAACTAGTCAATGGTTGAATCAAAGTCGTCGAGAGCTGAAAGAACTTACTTAATGTTATTCAAGATATCAGGTATCGCGCACGAGGTCACGCAGTCGACCGTGCACAGCGTGTTGTCCAGCTCTTCGTCAGATGGCTCAGGGGGGTCATCGGCGGCATAGCTTGAGAGATAGGAAGTGAATGCGGACAGCAGTCCACTTTCGTTCCCACTTCTATCACGGTCAACAATTTGAGACGGAGGTTGCAGCGGAATTGGAGAGATATCAAGCTCGGCCGTAATCTTCGAATCCAGCGACGGAATCAAAGAGTTGATAAACAGATTACTGAGAATGCGAACAATATGCTCCCAACCCTGCTTAGGCGTGGACTCGTTGCCAGCTAGGACTCGGAACAGCACCACAGTAGCAAGCTGTGCTCGGAAATCCCTTCCAAACTTCACAGCAAGCTCACTCACCATAACACTCTTCTTGCCTGCCTGTACCTCAGTGTTGAGCGCAGTGCTTGGAGGCTTGGTCGTCGCCAAGGTGCTGATAGAAGAAAGGGATGAGATGATCCGATCAAATGCCTCAGTCAAGCCGTAACGAGCAGCAATCTGAGCACATTGGTCGAAGCCATTGACCACGCGGGAGTAGACTGCGTCGTCCGAAGCAGACATGAAAACATAGGATAGAGTTGCCACCACAGGCTTCCAGGTCGCTTCGAACATCTCGGCATCAAAAATATTAGTCTCGCCCACAACCATCTCGCCAGCTCCGGATGATTTGAGAAGCATTTCTTTCCAGGCATAGTCGAAACCTGATTTATTGTCGTGCTCTTCGGGTAAAATGATCTCGTTCTGAAATATGAGTCAGCTCTCATTCCAGTGTCCAGCCACATACGTTATCCTTACCGCTGCAATGGAGTCATAGATATCCTGAAGGAATTCTTCCGTAAAGTCACCGCCTCCATTGACACCTCGCAAATTCCTTGCAAAGGCAGGGAACGACATGCGGTTTTGAGGCTTCACGTTGGGATTAAAAAGATCGGTGTTCTAGATGGGTGTTAGCCTCCCTTACCGTGTTTTCAAGTAAAGAAACTTACCAGCATGATAATGGCATAGGTCAATACGTAAAGTGCGTCACAATTGGCAATTTTGTCGGGCTTTGCCTTCTCCGTATAATGCTCAGAGAAGGTTGTCACGATTCGTTCAATAAGGGCCGATTCGCCAGGCAGACGGAATGAACTCAGCAGCTCTCGTAGAGCTTCGACTACATCCCTTCCTGAAAAGTCTAGGAGATCCACAAATGCGCCCAACAACTCCTCATTGTCACGTTTGGAGATGAATTCACCTAGCACCTTCTTTGACAAGCGCGCCGACCCTTTCAAGAATCGGGCGACCTGCACCGGGTTTTTGGGGTCCTCAATGATACCATGCTCTGCAAGATAGGCAATGCCACGCTTGGGGCTCTCGTTGAACAGTTGTGCTCCTTTGATGATGAGCTTCTTGGTTTTCCGTTGGCTGCGAAGGAGTTCTTGTGGGGGGTAGTCTCCTTGCACAGGCTCATCGTCCAATCGGTCATATATGAACTGCACGTAGCCTAGCAAAGCGTCCAAGCATAGCGGAGGAACGTTTGTAGTGCTCCATGTGGCAGAATCTGGGAAAGCGTTTCGAGAGAGCAATCCGATCATGTCCTCACACAGATCTCCTCGGTCCACTTCACAGTCGTAGTTGACAAATAGCTCGGTCATGAAGCTGGGGATGCGCGATAAGACACCTATGCTCTCAACCATTGCTTCCCGCGCTTCGGGCTTCCGTGAGCCGCCCTCGAGGCCTAGCTTTTGTCGGTCCTTCACCGGGACTGGGGTGGATCTGCCACTGTTGGTTTGTGATGATGGTTGTTTCACGAGCTTGGGCGCTTGGGGGACACCCTCGTAGAGCGATGGATCAATACCAGCCTCACGGGGAATTTCCACGCGGGGATGCAGGCATGCCACCAGGTATGAAAGGTAAAGCTCTTGTTGAAGCTTCAATACAGGCCGACATGTCGAGAGCAAGGTACCTGCGACTCTGAGAGATGCGGTGAGAATGGCCAATTGCTCCGAACGGACCAATTGGAAGAGATACCGGCAAAGGTCATCTCTGGCCAGAGCAGCCAAGCTAGGGTGCCGAGCAATAGATGGACCAGCCACTTCCAGGGCAACATCAATGATTCTGAGAGCCATGACTCGCATGGTATCTGTATGTTGTCGATTGTGAGGATCCAAGAGATCAATCAACACGCGGAACAGTTCTCGGATAGACGGTAAAGAATACGGCTTGACCTCGATCTCAGTGTCATCTTCCGGGTTCGGAGGTGCAGCAGCAGCAGTGGTTGCGCTACTTGTGTTCTCGGGAGACCCTTCCCGACTAGTGCTGCCACGTTCAGCGGCTGCTGTGTCGGATCCCATGGCGGACTGGTGTTGTGATGCCACGGTATTGCCATTGACGGAAGGATCCATCTTCAAATTCGTTGCTTCCATTTTAAACTTCTCATCTGCAAATGAAGCTGGTCCTGGAGAGACCGTTTGATCTAGGTGCGACAGGCGCATGAAAATGACCTGGCACATGTTGACCATGGCCATTTCGGCAGATCTGCGGAGCACCTCTGATAAGCGGCCTTGACAGCACATGCTCAATCCTGTTTCCATCATCTCACAGACACTTTCATCACCTAGCAGTTCTCCCTCCGGCCGAGAGAGCATGCCCTCCATTAACTTCAAAATCCTCAGCAGCACGATCTCGTCCGCCGAGGAGTCACTCGCCTCAAACCGACAGTGTGTAATTGCAGCGGAGAGGAGCTGCATCGCCATTGGTAGTCGGGGCGAGTCTCGATTTACGATGTTGTAAGAAAAGAACTTGGTGATGGCGACCAAGGCGAGAGAAGTAATGACGGCGGAGGTTGACGAGGAGCGGATGACCTGGAGGAACGGATGGAGGAGAGCCGGGGTATCGAAGGTGCGGATGTCTTTACAACCCTTGAGGTCAATCCGCAGGCGTGTGAAGGCCGATATCAACGGGTTGTCCTGCATGCTCTTTCCCTTCTTTCCACGTAGACCCCATCGATTTGCCAGGGCATGGTCATCGTCGACACGAGGCGAATGGCTGCTCTTGCGCGGGCTGGGGGGTGCAGAAGTATCCCGCTCGTAGACACGAGACCCTCCATTGCCGCCCAGGATGGCGGAGACGGAGGAGTGCGCCCATCGGGCATGCTTCCGCATAGACGAGGTTACGGTAATGCATTCTGTAGTCACCAGGGCCACGGGGTCGATGGCTATGGATAGAGGTTCGGACATGGTGGAATCGAGCATCTCGAGCGGGAGATGCGCTCTGTGGTGTCACCGTGAACTTGCGAACAAACAGCTGGTCTCTCGATCGCTGCTGCTTGCCTGTTGCGGCTTAGCGTCTTCCCCGCCTGGTCACCGCCTTCATCAGGGGTCAATACGTGTGAGTACGTGATATACAGCAATTCTGCACCTTCCATGATCTAATACCCGAAATGTATTTACAACGCTCGTCTCAGATGTTCTGCCCCCAACTTGCCCAGACGGTAGATAATGTGCATCATTGAGCTGTACATGCAGTAGCATCGATCTAAGCTCTCTATGGAACTGAGAAAAGGACCATCCTCTCAATATTAGCAATTTTATTGACTCGCAGTCCCAGTGCCTTGATACCTCCGAGCTAAACATGTTAGTTACACAGAAGTAGGATCGGTTGCTATATCTCTGGAACCGTTTGTTTATATACATCTGCTTTGGGAGTGGGCAACCAAGACAGCCCAACAACTGAGGTAATTGCTTTCTTTCCAATCCTATTCCGGGACAAGGCTTTGTCTGACACAATGTCAAGGTTCGAGATGCTTTCTTACAATCTGGAGCTCCTATGAACCCTAGCTTGTCGATCCCCGTGGGATAAATGAATGATCGGCTCCCTGGCACCAGGGTTGCCACGAAGGCGGTAAACTCTAGTCTAGATAAGCTAGGAGTACCTAGATTGAATGCGATTGAATCTGACTTGTCAGGTCTGAGCCTTGCAGGGTAGACGAGGTGACCCGCGTTGGCCCGACAAAAGTAAACAAAGATCTCCCGATGAGCCGCTGGCGCTAAGACGCCCCAGTTATCGCGCTATCGCGCTATCATCCATCCCCGCGCCAAAACATTCTACCTCACGGCTTGTCTGATCTTTTGTGTCTCTCGTATTCCCCGCTCCATGTATCTGCCCGTCGATTGAGCGCTGCCGACGACACTGTTTCATGGAGGGGGCCTACGAGCGTTGCGCCCTTTATCAGTCTACTGCAACCCCCCTCACATAGGTTGTTGACACCCTCACCACGACTGAAACCTTCCGAAATCGTGCTCTTCGTTGTCGCCGTGTCGATCCTCCCGTCTCTGAACCTCAGCGCATGATATCTACGCCAGTGTACCTTCCCACGAAGACCACAGTTGCGGCAAGCGCGATTGCGCCATGACAGTCAACGCAGCGGCGCCTGCGGGCACCGCACTGTCAGATTTGCCGTTGGAATATCTCAGCCTCTACCATACGGTCGATCCATATCTCTCCTCTATTCTCGTCTTCTACGGCCCCGTTGCGACTGCACATGCCACCATAAGCAGCTCGCGCATTCAGGCGCACATCTTTACGCCCGCTGGATTTCGGAGCTATCCGCGCTTCACCATATCCCCTGCCGCTTCAGTGTATACCGCGGTCAATCACCTACCCCGTGATAAACAAGGGAACGAAGTGGCCCGCGGTCTTGCTGTCAGCATGTTGAAATACTTCACTGAGCTGTCAGACCCGCTCAAGCATTATCTGACGGAGAAGGCCCGTGCTGCCAGGCAAGGTGGCAAGGTCCTGAAACCGTTCGAAGCGGTCCATGCCGCAGATTTGGCCAATCGTATGACAAGAGTCGACGATTCATCGGAGATTGTTCGCGAACTTCGCACGGCGTACCAGGATCGCAAAGTTTCTTGGACCGATATCGACGTCGTCTTGCCCGCAGGCACAATTCAAAAGTCTGAGAGACGCAACAGTGCCGGCTCGGATATCGAGGACTCCCAAACTTTTGATTATGGCCCCTACACCTCCCTCATATCAGCCCTGGGAGATCCGATGTTTTTGCCAACATCACGACTTAAGCGTGCCCCTTCACAACCGACCAATGTTAGCAAGTCAAGACTCTTCACTCGGGCTCAAAAAGAAGCCCTTCGTCTCACTATGTGTGAGCTTGTTGATACAGAAGAAAGATACGTTGCCAAGCTGTACTCTCTTGTACACGAAGTGGCAGACGAGTTTCGACAAAAAGCTCAAACTCGGGGCCACTCAAGTACCAGCCCCAATGAGAAATCGCTGGCTGCTCTTTTCCCACCGTGTTTGAACGAAATCCTGGAAGTCAACCTTGGTTTTCTAGATGTTATTCGGCAAGTGCTTGACAAGACCGAAAAGGATGCCATCGAAGATATCAGTCAAGACACCGAGCTCCCAGCAACCAGTTACCATCGAAGAGAGAATTGGGATGCACTTGGTGCCGTGACGTTTGCGAGAGCACTGCTCGAATGGCTACCCCGATTCTCGCAGCCTTATGCGGACTATATGCGGGCCCACAATGGCTTTACACAGACGCTCAATTCCTTCATGAAAGATAAGGGCTCCAGCTTCTCCAAGAGAGTGTATGAGACTGGAGAGCAGAGACTAAGATCTCTGCTGATGGAACCTGTTCAACGACTTCCTCGTTACAGTTTATTGATTGATACCATGACTGGGAACTTGCCACTGGTGCATCCTGCCGTTCGGCCACTTCTCAAAGCTCGGGACATTGTCAAGGACATCTGCGCCCTGGATGATTCGTCTCCATCTTCACACGCACAGAGTCTCAAGCGATTGAGAGAGCTCGTAGATGGATGGCCAGCCGATCAATTTCCCGATGGTCGCTTGATCACAGCTGTCGATGTCAACGAGATTGCACCTCCCTATCAGCTAGATGCGCAGGCCCCGAGCTCGGCCGCGGGAATTATGCTTCTTTACAGGAACTGTCTGGTCCTACTTGCAAAGCCTGCCGAAAGTCGAGCTACTGCGCGTGCAGTATTGGCCGACATCGACAATGCGGCCTCATCAACCAACGAAACGTCTACGTCCCTACCAGCATCAGAGCTCAAGGTTGTACAGGTTCTGGAGCTTCATGCTGTTCGTTGCATGCAGTCGGCCTGTGGCAGGCTGCTATTCATTTTACCCGCATCGTACAAGCCTAACACCAGCTCCACGGATGGCGAAAACGATCTCATTGCGTTGGAGCTGACTGCCATGTACGAAGGAAAGGCCAGTCGTCTCATCGAAGAAGTCACCAAAGCCAAGATCGAGGGCAGATTTCCTGAGCAAGAGCGAGAGGGAGGCAAATGGACCCTCCGCAGTCCTCCTGCAGCCACGGGAAATACAAGTATTTTAGCCTGCGTATGCGAGGACGGCCAAAGTACCGCACTCAGCGAAGCACAGGCATCCCCAATTCGCTTACTCTTCGACACTCCTAAGGCAAAGTGCACACAGATGCTCCAAAGCACCAATCTGGAGATGATTATTTCGATCGCTCCACCTAACGGTGACCAGTTCAGAATGGATATTGACTCTGTTGTCGGCGCTCCATCGACAGATTTTGTCACAGTGGAAAATTTTATCTTGACTATGTCACGCCGTTTGCAAACTCTTCTCTCAAATCTGCACAGCCCTCGGAACCCCAGAGTGATGAAGCCTCTTGTTCATTCAAATTTCGAAATTCTTCGTTACCTCGCGAGCAACTTGATCACGCAAGTCAAATCATCACGAAGCTTCCGTCGGCCCTCGCCTACCAAATTAATATCGAACCTTCTGGGAGGTAGTCGTGACAACGTCCCTACCTTAAAGACACCTAATTCGGCGACTCTGCTGGGTGAGTTCCCGAAGATGCCACCTCCCAGACCCCAACATTCCAGGTCAAATACTGTGCCATCTACTTTCCCTACCAAAGAAAAGGAGAGAGAAGAGAGCCCGAGCAAATCACCAGGAGCTGGAGCGACTGCCCTCAAGGGGCCTGACAGCCAGCTTGGATCTCTGGAGCAAACCTTCGCAGCATACGTGCTTTCCCTCCAATCTCGAAGCGGGAACATTCTTGGTCGTATGCTCCGGTCTCGAGACCATGCGGATCGTGCCCCGGTCAACGAGCTTTACAATGTCCTACTGGAAGACCCAAGCAAGCTTCAATCTGCTGCGGAAGTGCCTGTTGACACTCTATTTGTCGCTTTTGAGACATTCATGAAAAACGCCTGGAAGTTGAGTATGGGCCCAGTCCTGGCAGTGTCATCATTGAGATCCCTTCAGAGTCAGTTTGACACCATGTTCCCCCTGGACTTTGATGATCAATTCAAGAAATTCTTGGTGGATATTAGTCCCCAGAATCGCCGTGCTTTGGCCGCCATCATCCGTCTGCTTGCTGAGCTGCTTGATGCCTCTGGTAACGACGGAGATCGAGGAGCCTTGACTGTGGCGTTCGCGGATGTTCTCACCGAGGAAGGAGATCCCGTCCAGCATGTGTCGCTCTTAGACCGCCTAGTCGAGGATTTTGACAATCTTTTCGAAGATTTCATCCCCGGTGGCGCCTCTGTCGAGGGGACTTTGGGTTACGACCAGGGAAAGACTTCTCAAGCAAATTCCGGATCTGTCGGTTCAAATAATTCTTCATTCAGAAAGCGCTTTGGGTTTGGTCTAAACAAGGAGAACCAGAAGAACGAGGGAGAGAGTAAGGTCGCATCAATCCTACGAACTCTCAGCAAGCGACAGAGCCCTACGGAATCAGAACCTACTACTCCCAGAAGTAATTTGATACGTTCCAAGTCCACCGATGTGGACTCTCGCCTAGGATTTCTTCGACCTGGGTCGCGCGATCGCCCCAACGGATTTTCTTCTGAGGAACAGATCTCGCGACCAGGCACTGGTTATGGACAGCCGCAGTCCTTGTCGTCAGTTCGTGAAATCTCACAAGATGGGGTAGTCAAGATTCGCAGAAAGCGCAGAAGCTCGCTGTCAGATTTACGCCCCCAAACAGCCTCATCTGATACATCACAAATATCCCCTACCCACCCATTGCGTCCGGTGACTCCATCTAATATCCCACGTCCGGATGTGACGACGCCAACCAGCCAGCAGAGGCCGCGAAGCAGTTACCTAGCATCATCACCTAGCAGAAGTACATCGCCCGCGAAAGGGTACTCTTCCGTTCGCCTGGGGTCTCCTATTCGACGGATGTCACCCCCGCGGCCTTCCACCCCGAGTAGAAAGGAGAATATCGATCCCAAGATCTCACAGACGGATCGTGCATCCAAGAACAAGCCAGACATTCCAGAGTCGCCGAGTCAGGAAAGCAAGAGGCGATCTCGCGCCACCAGCATTCCCCAGCGGGCCCCCGGCCTCCGAGATCGATCAACAGTCAACAGCACGGAAGTCAAGCGACCTCAGTCTTCTTCTTCGTCGACTCAAAAGCCGCAGAAACTGCGGTTGCAAAGTCCCCAAAAGGTAAGTCAGGTTCACCCTTTTTTAGATGGGTTGGAATGTGAGCTAATTGTTCCTGTAGCTTCGCGAGCGTGTTTTTAACGAGAAGAAATTCCAAGCCACTGCCCAGCTTGGTATGCGAGACGAGCTTAGGGCACTTGGCGACGAACTGAAAGCTCTGAATCTCACACCAAGCAAACAATCCAGTGTGGAGCCGACCATGGGCTCCCCGGGTGCTCATATCTCTTCAGCTGCTAGTGCTTCCCTTGAAGCTCGTATGCGAAGCCTCGAAGCTCATTTTGAACAGCTCTCTGGAGAGTGCAATGGACGAACATCGGCATTGGAGAGAGACTTGGAGTCATCCTTGGTCGTGAGCGAGAAGCGCGTCAAAAAACTGGACGAGCTGTACCGAGAAGCCAGTGCAGAAAACGAAGCTCTCTATGATCGATTCAATTCCGAGCTTAGTAAGATTTCCAGAGACGTTCGATCTGGAAGTGCGGAAGACGCTCTACAGTCCCAGCTTTCCAAGGCATTGGAAGAAGTTGGCCGCCTCAAGAAAGAGAACTTCCGCCTGAAGAGAGAGACCGGAGGCCTTCGGGCTCAACAGGCCGCTGTTGCTCTCCTGAAGGCAAGTGAATAATAATCAGCATTACAAACAGCCGCTAGCTGCTACGTTCCCTTTTTTCGACCTTCACCCACCGACATCACCTGTCACTTTCATTCTTCTTCTGTGATACCACAAACTTTCTTTCCTTTGTCTATCCCCCATTTGCATGTGCGAGGGGTATTTTCTACATTGTAATCATTGAATCCTTTTTCTTGTTACTTTTCAGGCCCGCGGAAAGATGGATTTGGGTCATGCATAGCTCCGGAGATTGACTTTGCAGCGTTTCTTATGTTGTCTAGAATTTTGTACCATACTCGGTAGGCTCATCATTCACACTTGGCCCGCTCATTAGGCGCACCGCCTCGGTGTCAATCATTTTGTACATCCAATCCCAGGTCAAATTCCACCAAACTCCTTTCCAGAAGAAACTCATCTCATTAAAGGCCGGCCCCTTTTTCAAACCGGATAGACACATGCCAAAAGTTGGCATCAACAGTAGGTGCTCAGGAGTCTCTGTCGGTTCAGAGAGACTCGATTCCTCCAATGTCAAGACGGGAATTGTGAACCGAGCTGGACCGTCAGCCTCCAGTGCAAGTATGTCTTTAATATATTTCCAGACATCTGAGGCTGCAGGAGCTACCCTCCCGTGTTTCTCTCCTGCCAACGTTCCGTCGTCATGAAGAATCCTGTCGAGATCGGATTTTTCGAACGGACGAACAACAAGAATAGGCGGTTTCAAACCAACAGATGCCTGGAGGTTGGAAGTCAAGTCGGGTTCCAAGGTAAACCGAAGCCAATGTCGACAATCCCACAGTTTCCAGGTATCTTTTTTGAACTCGATGATTGGCTTCCGGTTTCTCATATATGGCGCGCGGGAGAGTCCCCAGGTATTCATGCTAGGTAGGGATGCCAATAATTCGGGCGTGGCTGTAGTAGGGTTCATCTTGGATTTCGGGTTGAGAGGGCTGAACAACACACCCCCAACATTAAAGGGCTTTCTGTCCTCAAAATACTTGTTCAGAGCGTCGGTGTCCCTGGCATCAGGGAAAATATTGGACACAAATGGGTCATAACGGTTGAGAGCGTAGTTGTGTGCAGGGGCAGCCGATATCAAGTCCGTAACGCGACGTATGACACTTGATAGGATCTTGCGATCAAGGGCGTGGGATTTGCTATCCCGCGCAGCTGTATTCTTGAATTCGATCGCGAGACTTCCCGCCCTGGGATTGAAATCGAGGATACGGCATCGCGACGCAAGCATTTCATCAGAAAGATCATTTGTTTTTTGAAGAATATCCTGGCCGGTCTTAATGAGAGAAAGAATAGATGCAGGTTGCAATGCACGGGGGAGGGCATTGTTAGAGAGGAGGTGCCGGATAGTGTTGCGTGTAGTGAGGGTAGGGTCGAAATTAGTGGGATCGGAGACATAGGGAACCTTGTTTTCTTCGCAGGTTTGGACCAGCCGAGCCTTGGGGAAGGAAAGAAGGGGCCGACAGAGAAAAATGCCCCCGGTTGCAGTCAGGAGTGGTGAAGAACTGAATGGCGGTTGTAATGATAGCCATAGTGGTTGGTCATTTTGAGACTGCGGTTGTTTTTTTGGATATACCGGGATTTCTCCTGTAGTATAGAAACTGATGGTACCTCTGTTGGTGTCTAGAATGCGAACTTTTACAGGAAGAGCATCGCTCTTTCGTGTTCCAAGCAGCTTTGCATATGAAGCGCCTTCAGATATACCCCAGAGACCATGACATTCGGGAATTCTCGCTATCTCGGAGATTCCTCCAAGAGCAGCGCCACGAGCTCCACTGCATAGTCTCGAGATGGCCGTTTCAACGTTGTCATCCTGATGGTGGCCAAGTAGGATAGTATTGATGTCATCCTGGAGGCAAGCTTTGCCGAGAGCTTGATACCGCAGCATGCGAGCGTTGGTTTCAAATGCAGATGGCATTTGTATTGGATCGGCATCTGCAGCTTTTGCAGAAGTGGAACGCCAGTCTAGCTTTATAACCTTTGTTTTGATACCTGAACAGAAACTTTAGGAGAAGAAGACATGGACATGCAAATACAAAACATACCCATGTCACGTAGCCAGCCAGCCACCATGTTGGCCTCCTGGCTGCTTTCTGGGCGGGCTCGATGATCAACCAGAAAGGCTGTAAAGGAGACCGTCCCAGGGTCAGACAGCTCTTCCATCTGTTTACACAGTAATGCGAGGGCCATGGAATCGGCACCACCGCTAATGGCGAGACCTGCTCGGATTAGCCTTGATCAATCTAGATGGGGCGCCGTCATACCTATCTTCCATGGCAGCTTAATTGAGGCAAGGCTTAACAAATTCGGTTCCCCGGCTTTTGTGATTCCTCGAGGGTTCATCCATGATTGGTAGAACCGCTCGGCGAACTGAGACACGGACACGCCAGTCCGTGAAGCCATGGAGGTTGATACTAAGAGGAGAGGTTGATCCCGTCAATTGGTCTTCTTGCGCGCATTGACCCGAGGACCCGCAAATCACGTTCGCGGTTCGAATCCAGCTGAGTGCATTCTTTTCAATTCGCCCATCCACCTTTTAGTCACCGAAACTGTTTGATTGGGAATGAAAAAGAGAAGAAAAAAAGGAAACCAAAGAACAGAATATTTTTGGATTTACGACCTAGCTCAATACGTATTGACTGCAACTCAAGATCAAGGCTGTGTAGCTCAATGTCTTAGCCGAGATTCAAGGCCCCCAATGATCTGCGCTTGATCTAGCTGCGTTGTACGACATGAGACCTTGGCCTTAGGCCACCCAGGCCCTAAATTTAGTTCGCCTAGATCTACGTAGGATCACGGTAACCTCGGAAACCCACTGCAACTTGGTAGGATATACTCGAAATGAGGACATGCATGATACTTGGAATCATGGACGCCTAAGAGGCGTACTCATCTCAACATAGATCCAATTCGGAATGAAGTCGAGGTATAAGAGGGGTGAGCTATCCTATCCATATCAGACATCAGACATCAGACATTACACATTACCCAACAATAGAATCTTGAATATAACCGTGGAAATCAGTTCAATTTTCATAATGCAATTCTCTTTCGCTGCTCTCCTGGTTGCGTCTGTCTCTTCGGCCGCTGCCTGGAATATCACGACTTTCACCGACGACAAGTGTACAGACTCTACCGGCTGGGAGCTCAGTCAGCCCGGCAGTATTGGCTGTGTCTCGCTGGGGGAGACAGTGAGCTCTGTTCTGGTCGAAAAAATGTCCGATGACTTCCACTTCATTGGCTCGAGCGGATACGCCTGTGATACTTTCCACCAGTCTGGTGGGAATGGCTGCTATGCTCAGGGACAGGGGTTCCAATCTATTCAGGTGATTCCAGTGTAAGTATTCACTGAATATTTGGAGTTTGAATACTAATCTTTCGTTTAAGCAGCAACTAGAACTGCCCCTGGGAAGTATCGGGAGAGAGAAGAGGATTTCGAGAAAAATTGCCCTGGTAGATTGATAGGAGACATGTACAGAGTAAAACAAAACCCCCCTAAAATGAAATATCATGTTCTTCCAAAAGCTCAAACAATATTCCAAGAGTATGCATTCTCGTCAAATCGTAGAAAGGTCCTCCACATAGATCGTCTCAGCCTTTGCACTCTCGATATTTTCTACCATCCGATCCAAATGATCAGTCTCAAACCTGCCCTTGCTTACCCACTCCGTGCCTGCAACAATTGGACTCGTCTTGTAGAAGATCGCATCGATCTCTTCCAGTCGCCTACCTGTAGTCTCAGGGTAGAACAAATAGATGAACGGAATGAAGCAGAAATTGAAGACGGTGAAGATCAAGTATCCCTTCCAGCCTTGTCCGCTCATAACAGATGGCGTGATCATAACAGTCACGAAGTTCCAAATCCAGTTCGAGGAAGTAGTTATGGCATTACCCCGTGAACGTAGAGGGAGAGGGAGAATCTCGGCATTGTATAGCCACGGGATGGCGAGGAAACCCAAGGCGAAGAAGGTGTAGTATAGGAAGAATGCTATCACGCAAACAATGGAAGCGGCATATGTGCCGGAGCGAATGGTCAGGGACATGGTAAGGAAACAGCAGCCCATGCCAAATGCGCCGATCATGAGACACCAGCGCTTGCCGAGGCGATTTATAATGACGAAGGGGATCAAAGCGGAGATTAAGTACCATAAGCCATTGAAACCAGACAGCAACAATGACAAGTTGTGGCTAAGGCCGACTGAGGTTTCGAATAGATAAGAAATGTAGTATCCAATGCTGCAAACGCCAGACCACATGACCATGAACATAAGCCTGTATGAAACAGTTAGGGCAAGCAGGAAGACAGTATGGGGATGCAAAGACGTACCACCAGCCCAGCATGACTCTGCGGAGGTTCTGGGTTTCCTTTTCGTTCTTGAAAAGATGGATCCATTTACTCGCCCCATTGCGCTCCTCCACCTCAATTGCTTGGTTGATTACCTTGATTTCTGTTTGCACTTCCTCGTCATCGACATTGCTCGTCCCGTGCATTTTCATGATTATAGCAAGAGCTTCGTCGGCCCGATTATGTATGAACAGCCAGCGGGGAGATTCTGGCATCCAGGGAACTAGCAATTGATTAGCGCAATCGGCGAAATGAAGGCACTGTAGCCACTGCTTACCGATTACCAAGAGAAGGACCCCGAAAACACACTGGGCTGCAACGGCAAATCTCCACTCAAATGGCTGATTAGAGGAGAAAGACAGTGCATAACTCATCCAGTAGCTGATGGAAGCTCCGGTGCAAACGAGCACGTATTGCAAAGCACCAAATTTCTCTCGTTTGCGGGCTGGCAGTGTCTCGGCCTGCCACACTGGAATCAACGAGGTGTTAAGGCCAGTTCCCAGTCCAGCAACAATTCTGCCGACGAGGAACTGGGCACGGGAGTAGGAGGACATCTGGATGGTAGCACCTATCAAGATGAAGACAGTGCCGATCAAGATTGGGTTCCTGCGGCCGAGCCGCTCACTGAAGAGCATGCTCCCAATGCTTCCAAAGAAACACCCAAGCGTGTACAGACTGGAAAGAAGGCCCTGCATCATGGAGGACGGGTTTCCCATAGTTATAAGATAGTCGTCAACGAGACTAATAACAGTTAGAAAGTAAATCAATTGAGAGAGGGGAATCCATACAGAACACCGGACATGAAGCCCTGGTCGTATCCATAGAGAAGATACGACAGTCCGCAGGTGACGGTCATCAAGATGCATAGTGCCTGCCCTTGGATCGCCATAATGCCTTGGCATAGGAGAAAAACAAGAGACCATTACGACACTTATGTAGGCCCTGATTAGTACGCTTCCCCAGGGCCCCACAACCGGTGGGGGACTTCCCCAGATCCGATGGATGCGAAGGCGTGGTTAAAAGCCGTCGGCTGATTTCCGATTTGGGAAAGCCGGTCGCTGAATCCATCTGCAACTCAACACCCTTAAAGTATGACTGAGTGATCCCCGATTCGGGGCTATTCCATCCGACATCAAGTTCTTTTTCTTTTACCCTGAAAAGAAAACATGGGATCCGTTCAACAAGCATACCCGCCAGGAATTCACGTTCCCTGCTTGACGTGGTTCAGGCCGGACGCTACCCAGTCCATTGATTGGGAAGTCCAGGAACTTCACGTTGAGTTCCTTGTCCGTAGTGGCCTTCATGGAATTGTGATAGCGGGCACAAATGGAGAAGCTGCCACATTGACGCCGGAAGAGAAGACTAAGCTGTTGCGCCTCACGCGTTCCACGGCCCAAAAGCTCGGACAGCCCAATTTACCCATTACTTGTGGCACTTTTGGAGGTTGTACCCAAGCAATTATTGAAGATACGAAGCTGGCATTCAAAGCTGGTGCAGACTATGCACTCGTCTTAGTGCCATCGTACTTCCATTTCGCGATGGATACAGCTGCCATCGTTGGCTTCTTCCAGGAGGTCGCATCTGCCTCGCCTATTCCCATTGTGATCTACAATTTCCCCAGTGTTGCCGCCGGACTTAATGTGACTTCAGAGATGCTTGAAGTTCTGGGTGAACATCCGAATATCGCGGCAGTTAAGCTGACTTGCGGAAGTATTGCTTCGGTAGCTAGGTCGGCCGCCAAATTTGGTCGTGCGTTGGATGATAATCCTGCGTTTGTCGCGTTGGCCGGTCAAAGTGACTGGCTGGTTCCTTGTCTGGGTGTCGGCGGTGCTGGTTGCATTACGGGGCTGGCGAATCTTTATCCCAAGGTCAGTAATCACATTTCAGGCTTGTCAGTCCGTATTCTCTGACAACTCGTCTATAGACCTGCGTGGAGCTCTTCAACTTGTATAACGCCGGAATCACCGCAGAGGCGGAACAGTTGCAACTGCAAGTTGCCGTTGCCGAATGGGGGTTCGCTAAGGGGGGTATCAACGGAACGAAATGGGTCGTTGCCAAAAACCTGGGCTATTCGGAGGAGAGCTCATGGTGCCGGCGGCCCTACCCGAAATTTTTGAATGAGGAGAAGCGAGCATGGATTACGAAGCAAGTCAAAGGAGTAGAGAAGGTTGAGAAGGGGCTTTGATTAGAATCATACATTCATAAACTGTATTGAATCATCGAGATTAGTTTACACAATAGCAAATGCACGATCGAAGATCGCGTGCATCACTTTGCGGATATCCATCCGCTGCTTGGTTTCATCTTGTACCCGTATAACTTCTTGAAGGACGTCATGGGTAATTCCCGCATTGGAGGCAACGTTCTGCATCCCCTTGATGCATGACAGCACCCACGTTCGTTCGTCGGTGTCTTCTGTCTCGGCTCCTAGCATCAAAAGAGGCCAAAGCATATTGACAGGTAGTAAATGCACAGATCCCGCGGAGGAATCTGGTGTGCTTATTGTTGACGTTTTTGATGGCGACGATGTGCACGGGCTTTCCAAAATGAGTCGAGTTACCTGGCGAATCTCATCCATGGCCTTGATTACATCGGTTGTACGAGGGAGATCTTAGGATAGTTAGCATATGTTAATCTCTTAGGGTGGGGTGGTACTATACTCACTTTTGTACGCGACTCGATGGAGATGAATGAAGCTTGCATAGTAGTTTGCATGATATACTCTCATGGTTCGAGTGATAGTTTCCGCCAGTCCCGGTGATAAAAGCGTGGAAAGCCTCCCGGCAACAGCGTGGTCCATCAATGGTGGTCGCTGGTGGTAAAGTGATCTGATGTCACGAGCTATAGATGCTGCAATAACCATAACCTCTGTTTCGTCTTCAACCGTTCCCCGACGGCGGTGCCATGGGTCGATTTTGGAGATTCGGCCCATAAATAGCTGCACTTTTTGGAAATATAAGAATGCAGGGCGCATCACGAAATCTTCAAGTGCTGTCTCTGCATCGTCCAGCCCTGAGTCGACTTCTCCTATAGAGCTATCTGGTGATCGAAGATCTGTGTTGATTGTACTTTCTTCTTCCGTCAGAAATAATCCTTCACCACCAGCGCTCACGGCTCTTGCGTCAAGTAGTCGGAGCCAAGATAGAAGACGTTTTTCTAAATCAAATTGTTAGCAACTGTGCATAACTTTCTCTCATTACAATTGGTTGTCTCACCTGTAACACACAAATTCCCAATCTCAACCATCTGCAAAGCATTAAAGCCTTCCCGTAGATTGGCATGCGCATTTGAAACGTCTTTTGTGAGGAGATCGATATAGGACAGTAAAAAAAGAACAGCCAGAATATGTCGGAGTTGGGACGAAATCATCTCGTGATCATGACTGATATCCCTCAAGCATTCTTCTAATCCCTTTTTTGCATTTCGGTAGTATCTTGTGTAGGTTGCTGGCTCCAAGGTGCCTGCAGATTCCAATTCTAGTGCAACAAAGGCAATAACGCCTGATTTGACCATGCGGGATGTTGAAGTCATTGATATCAGCTGTTTGCGCATCCAATACCACCGAGCACTTGTCTCGACTGTTGCTAAAATTGGCGGGGCTGCTGATTGAGAGAAATACTCAGCCAGTTGGGCTTCGCTCCAGCCGATTGCTAGACGAGTAGATCCCATTGGTGATGGGAGATTGGATTTTGGCTGTCGGTCGATCAAAGCTGCATTGTTTGCCGTGGATTTTGTGTACTGGAAAGCAATAGACGTTGTTTCTGTCAATGATGTATCTGGCCAGGGAACCAGCTCATGAGAGGAGGAGAGTTCAAGGGTATCCCAACTCGGAGATAGGTTGGAGGAATAGTCGTCCCACATGAAACTCGCATAGTTGAATGTGTGATTGAAGCTCGAATCGTCGCCAGGAAGAGAATCTTCGCGGCCTGTGGCATCAGTGATGGAAGATACGGTCTGGTCTGTAACATCCGCCTCAGACTGGACATTCTGAGGTTGTTGCTGCAATCGCTGGCGCAATTTCTTTGTTTTAATACTAGATCTGAGTCCTGTATCATCCTTGTTCCAGGAGCAGTCGAGTCTCAACCTAGTGCAGTTCCCACAGCATGGTCGTTCTTCATCACATCGCACTTTGCGCTTCCTACTCGCCTTCAGCCCCTGCGTTCGCCACGAAATGTATACACTTACCGACAAGTCAGGCACCCATTCCGCGTTCGCGGCCGATGACGCCGATCCAGATTCGGAGCCTGCTCCCACTGATAGAACATGATGATTCTGGGAAATACGCGTCGGAATCGGTGTCGATATGGGGCAGGTCCTTCGGCTCGGGAATATTCCGTAGCAAACCTGGGGAAATCCCCACACTCCACCATCAGCCCTAATAGGTTCGGCTAAATGCCATTTCGGGCTCCAAGCGACCGATGGAAGAGACTATCTACCAATGTAGAAAGCCTCCGATACTCACAGCTACCGCTAATCCAATTGCGGCTAGGGCCTCTCGCTGTACTCGATGCGAGGGTGCGGGGATTCATGGATGCAGCTACAAAAATCGGGGATCTTACCGGGCTCTGCGCGTACTAATAATATAGGCGTATTTCCTCCTCTGATCGATTGCTCATTCCTGGCCATACGATTTGATGGCGTCCGAAAACCCCATCGTTCTCCATCTCGGAGATCCTGTCGAGTTTAACAAGGAACTTTTTGCCCAAATCTCCGAGCAGTTCACGGTGATCCGCCCCTCGCTAGAGGAGCGACAGCGCGATGCATTCCTTAAAGCCCTCAAAGAGAAGAAATGGGGCAATTTCCAGGGCATCTTCCGTCCTTTTTGGAATACCGGAGGCGAAATGGGCCGCTGGGACGCAGAGCTGATCCCGCTGCTCCCTTCGTCCCTAAAGGTCTATGGGAGTGCCGGTGCTGGTTATGACTGGATGGATGTTGACATTCTGGCTGATCATGGTATGAAATGTTAATTGGCATAGTGTTGATTATGAGACTGACCGACCTGAGGAATTCTTTACTGTAATGGGGCACAGGCATCAAGCGAAGCTGTCGCTGATATGGTATAATTTCTGAGCTTCAACTCTCTCGATAGATTTGCTAACCTCTCGTTTTATAGGCTATCTTCCATATCATCTCCGTCTTTCGCAACATGCAATGGTCCATGGATGGCGCCCGTTCCGGCGATCCAAATCTCTTCCTTGAGGCGCATCGTGGAACCCAAATAACGGCGCACAACCCGCAAACACAAATTCTGGGTATCATCGGTCTCGGAAACATTGGCTAGTGAGTATGTTTGAGCTTCTCTTAGGACATTCTAACAAAGAGTAGCACCATTGCCCGCAAGGCCTATGCGTGTTTCGGAATGAAGATCTACTACCAGGATCTGTACCGCAAACCAACGGAGCAAGAAAACGCCATCGGCGCATCTTTCTGTCAAACCTTGGATGATCTGCTCGCGGTGGCAGACTGCATCGTTCTGGCTACTCCGTTTGGTGGATCTAAGCTTATCACCAAGGAGACCTTGGCTAAGTTCAAGAAGGGCTCCAAATTCGTCAACATTGCCCGTGGAACACTAGTTGACGAGGATGCATTGGTGGGCGCTTTGAAATCAGGACACTTGTCTGCTGTTGGTCTGGATGTTCATGACAGCGAGCCTAACGTGAACAAGGAGTTGGCGAAGATGAGAAACGTCACGTATGTCTCTTTAGATGTTGGGAGTTTCTGAGGGCCTGCTAATTATGATTTTCTTCTTCTAGATTGACTGCACACACGGCTGGGGGCGCTGCTGAGACTATGATCGGATTCGAGAGACTCTCAATGGAGAATGTCCAGCGTGTGCTGACGGGCCAGGAAGCCTTGACACCCGTGAACAAGCATATGTTCAAATAGATTAGATCTGACTCAATTCAGGATGTACTTTATGAGGCACCGGAGAGCAAGCAAAGAAGAGTAATTCACTTCATACAAATTGATTCGTTCAATGATGACCTCTACGTTAGAATTCCGTACCTTCTGGGAAAGCAGCCAGATAGGCATGTTCAATCTCCCGTCCCATACTTCCGACACCCTCGAAGATAATATCTGCTTTCATCGATCCTCCAAGCGATTCCACTCCGTGTCGAAGCTCCTCTGTCAATCGCTCCACATCAGATGTCTCGGTCGCAAGCTCGGGTTTGTTCAAGAGGTGATAGCAGGTTGCCAGACGATCCGTCGCTAGACACGCACGCACTTTATGAAGGAGCATCAAGAGAGTATAGCAACTTTGCATTGCGCAACAAGCAAAGAATGGAATAGTATGGGGAAATCTGCGCATTGATCTTCCTCCATCGCAAGATTCTCCCTTGAGATTTGGATATGGTAAATTGCGAAAAGCTGTTGCAACCACCAGAGATGCTTTAAGGCAGATGTTGGAGGATTCCTGTTCAGTAAATGGGAATGAGGATTCACGATCTGCAACCCAGGTCGGTGAAGGTTCGGAGAGGCCGTTGCTGTTTATTGAGGGAAGGTGGCAGTATTTATCCAAGAAGAGGGGAATGTTCATGAATGCTCTGAAACGGTGAAGGCGAGTTCGAGCGCTGAAAATCCATCAGTATGCAATAGCTGTTTGTTGTTGAAAATGACTCACGTAAAAATGATAATCCTACCAAGTCTCCACATGTTCTCTGCTATTGATGCTTCGCCTTGTTCGCCGAATGTTACTCGGAGACTGCGATCTGATTCGGTCATGAGAGACAGAATCTGGAAGTCAAGGCTCTTGATTTGGTCGCTGCGATCTGGTTGAGCTGTGTCATCCATACGCTCGATGCTGTTGATCATCTGGTTTGACGCAAAGAGGTTTCTCTGGGCTTGCATCAAGAACCCCCAAGGCTTGAAAGACGTTAGCACATCTAGGACGAGATGTGATTGGAGGGTTTCACAATACCTCTAATTCCACATCGAATTGTGGGAAAGGAGTCGTAATGCGTGGATCATCTAAAGTGATGACTGGTGGCTGTAATTAAATCTTCAGCATAAATATCCTTTTGTTTTCTTGAAGTGACAGCCATACTGCAAGATGGAGATTTGATGAGAGGTAGGCCACAAACATCTGGCGAGCGGGTTAGCAAGAACAACCTGTATTACATAGACATGCAAATATCGCACCGTGATCCACCACGTCCGTCTTTGGGCCTCTGAGTGCGCTGTTTGTGAGGACCCTAGGTTATGAAGTGAAATATCCATGGCTGTGGTGATGGCCTGGTTGATCCGAGCACGCATTCGCGACACATTGCCTCGCTGGCAGTACTCATATATGGAAAGCACCACAAGAGCTAATGTTTGTTCGAGTTGAGCGGGCACTTGTGAATGCAGAGAAGATTTGTCTTGGGTCATTCCAGCACCAGGAGTAGCAAAATTCAGTCCTGGGCCCAGGTCATCGGTATCTCTTTCCACACATGCTAGTGCGGCCTGGGCAAAAAGCTGTGCATAAGATCTTCGGACAAAGATGCCCATATCTGAGATTGAAGAAGGGTCTTTCGAAAGAGGAATCATGACAAGTAATGCTGACAGCGCGAGACCCAGAGATGATTTTGGCCAGTAGGGCAGGTCGGCTCTGCTTGGTTCCGTGGCTTCATTTGGGAGTCGAGTCGGGCTATGGCAATCTTCACGCGGTGGCATATCTGAAGCTGGTAGTAATGGAATATATGGGTGAATGTAAATATAGTAGGCATTGACACTGTGTCGGGCATTAGCTGGCGTTTAGGCTCAATTTTCAGATTTGCATTCCCTTACATGTCGTCTTCGCATAGATAAGCTCGAACAGCAAAATTATCCGAATCAGAAATTGATGCAGATGCAAATGGGCCATCTGTACTAGGCGTAAGCTGACCCCAATGTTGAGTAGATTCATTTGCGTCTGATAGAGACTCTGGTGTAAGATCAAGATTGTGGACGCCCGCAAAAGGAGAGACCAGGCCGATCATATCATCCAAGAAAGGATCTTTTGTAGTTAGATTTATCATGCTAGTTATCATATAGTGGATCTCACCGATGGCGTCAGTAAAGTCTGACGGAGAACATGGAGCGGGTGGACCTTGATGATCAGAACGGGATCGCTGTGCTTCGGCATACCGAATGCCTCTTCGGGGACCGCCCCGGCGACTGGGCCGATAAGAACAATCCCGGTCTTTGCTGGAGCACTAGAGGGTGGATATCCAATTAGCCAGACACTTCATCTCTGTGGAGCAATCTGCTCTTACGGGTCTGCAAGGCTGTTGTCCATCACACCGAGTCTTTGTAGATCGACTGAAAACGCAGTAAGCATACGCGAGATAATCTCTGATAAAAGTGTACATTTACCATGCAAGGCAAGCGGCCTTGACAGGAGGCTTGGATATCCGTGGCATTGTTGCTCGTGTTGTGTAGTGGTAAGGTTCTGGAACCAAGTCTTGCTAGCCGCTTGGAAGGGCTAAACCAACAAGAGGCTGCCTTTGGCTAGAGAATATTCAATGCTGCCTGACCATAATCAATAAATAAAAATCAAATTACAAATGAGGGCCGAGAACTTGCATTCGCAGAGTGGTGTGTCAGAAAGATCATGGCGCTCCCGCCAGAAACCGCGTTTAGTTGCACTCGGCATTTGATCGAAACAAACGCCGATCTCGGTCTAATATTCGCCACCCGTTTCACTGTTCGCTCGGCTTTTGATCTGGTGAAGAGTAGCCAATATTGATGAAGAGTAGCCACAGATGAACTAACATTTGAAAGACTCTAATATCGTATTTAAGAAAGTCATGCCTTCTTCTAACTACTTCCATCATCAGTAACTCCAGTCGTTACTAGTAGGCCCGTTAGAGTCTCGTGAATACTTGCAACCCCTGGGGCCTGGCTGATCCTCAATGCAAACTGTTCCTGAAATAAAAATAAAATAATTAAAAAAACAATGGGGACCATAGCTTATTTCCTCAGAAGTATTTGAAGTCATTACATTCATTCGAAGTCATTAAATTAGATACTGTAGTGGTGGAACAGAAGAGGTCTAAAAGGAGCTCTACATTCCCACTGCTCATCCTATACTGTAGTTAGGTCTCTTAGGGTATAAAGTACGTAACATTAGATAAGAACTTCAAATGGCTCTGTAAATAATTAATGGAACCTTACAGTTTTACGTTCAATCTAGATATATATTTCTTAGGATTGCTTTCTGTATCAAGCCCTTGGGTCTAATGACAAGTTCCCTTCGAGCAAGCATTCTCTAAATCCGGAGCCTGCGAAGTATCAATCCGACAGAAACAAGATGACTTGACCGGCACATCAGCCACCGCAACAGCAACCTTCAACTGCCCCTCAATAATCTTTGCCTCATCCACACGACCCAGTCGCACGAGACATTCATGATAACCCTGCAAAGCCCACACATTGTTCGGGTGATGGCGTGCACGAATAACAGAATCATCGAGACCCAAATCCGCGCGATAAACAGCAGCCGCTTCCTCAACACGGTTTTGCTCCAGTAAAAGAGCAGCGTACGCATGACGAGAAGGTTGCATCCAGCTCCATGGCTCACCATATCCCAGACCATCGTCCAGATCAATAGATCGGCGGAGATGCGCAAATGCCTCTTCGTAGTTTCCACGACGGTACTCAATCTCGCCGTCTAACATGGCAGAAGCCACGCCCAGGATATCGACGCATTTATTGGGGAAGTCGAGGCGTGAGTCAGGGACACACTTCGCTGCCTCTAGGTACAATTCCCGCTGGCGCTCAGCCTCAGCGACATTTCCAGTCGCCGCATACGCGACACCTTTGGAGTAGTACGCCATCGCCGTCGTGACGCAATACAGAGCGGGCTCATTGGGGAGCGGGGTTGCGATAATCTCGTCCCACATACCGAAGCGGACCATGACGTGGGAGCGGACAGACATGTAGACTTCGAGGAAGTCTGGAATCTGAACGAGGAACTCTTTCGGTAGAGTAGCTTCCATACGATCGACAGCATCGAGAGCGACAGCTTTCTGGCCAGCGAACATGGCTGCGTAGATAAGGGTGTGATAGTTGTGCATCCGGTAGTTCGTATAAAAATTGAATGGCCCCTCGTGTTTCAAGAACTTTTCGTCTGCGATGGTCGCAAGTTGATTGGCGCCGATGGCGGCGCGGTAGTCTCCTACCTGGACATCCAGATGCGCGGGCATGTGGCATGCATGTCCGGAATCCGGAACCAAATGACGCAAGCTGTCTGCAGGGACCAGGCCTAATTCTGGCGTAGGTGACATCTCAATAAGATGGATGTACATGTGCAGAATGCCGGGGTGTTGGTAGGCCTCTTTTTGGCGGAGGGCTTTCTCCAGCACCGTCTTGGCTTCCAAGGTCCGTGTTCCTGGCATGGGCTTTCCTGTTACCAGGTTCCATAGTTTCCATGCTGAGAGACTCATCATCGAGTCTGCGTAGAGAGCTGCTACATCCAGGTCCTCGCCGAAGTCACGATAGGCAACCTCCATGGCGGCAGCATAGGCCCGATTGTGGGCCCTGTATACTTCCATTGTGGCAGGTTTATCGCCTTGGAAGCGAGCTTGAATGGCAGCAATCAGAGCCTGTTCCGCTGGAGTCGCGCTGGAAGCGAGGGCCTTGGCCTTTTGGACGGCATCATAAGTGCGTCGTGCGACATCTTCCAAATTGTCGCCAAAGAACTCCCACGGGTGATTGTAGTTAGGACCGAGGGCATAAGCCAGGCCCCAATAAGCTATAGCGCAGGAATCATCGTGGGCAATAGCTTGCTCGAAACAGGCAGCGGCTTCTGTGTGGTTGAAGGTGAAGGCCCAGGTTAAACCGCGGTTAAACCAGATCTGGGCCTGGGTGTTACTTGTGGTTACAGGCCGTCCGAACTTGCCGAGGTCGAATGGATAATCTGTCCGTTTGATGATTTGGTTGGCAACTGTCATATTGGGCCAAATGTTGAAGGTGGATGAAATGAGGGGTCATGTACGAGGGGATGCCCGATCTTTATACGGTGCTTTCTGGCCACATCCAGTACCAGCGGTAGGTACAACCTTCCGTAAGCTCCGGCCCCAACACTCGCATCTGATGAAAGGCTGAATTGATCAAATCCAGGATAAGGCCAGCCCCTCTCTATATTTTGGTTCCGTATTGATTACACTGTTGTTACTATCGCCGTTCTACAATCAAAGAGTGGCAGAGAAAATTGAAAACGGTAACGCATAATGGTACTTTTGTCAGGTGAAGTGATCGGTAATGCGTGTGATGTGTCCCATCGGTTCAGATTCAGTGTTCCTAAGGCGCTGATACCTACCTTCACTACAACTTCGGTGTTCGATTGGAGTCAAGTTACGTAATACTGGAACGATGACGCAGCAAATAAATATGCCAAAGGTATCTCGGTTCTACATACAAATGTACGCTCCGCCCACAGGGCTAGAGCGTTCGCCAATGCAGTGCCTGCGCTGACACCAAGGAAACGAAGGGAAACACGGAGCATAGTAGGTATCAGCCAAGGGGAAGATGATGAACATCTCCATATATACCCAGGCTCATGCCTCTCTTATTCAGTCCCAAAGGAAATGGCCATACAGATCGTCGCTAGCAATCAAAGAGCCGCACGCAGTAAAAGAACAAAATTCAAATAAAATCACAGGAAGAGAGAAATGAAACCTCTCTAAGTAGCGACAGAGCCGGTTACAGAGCCGGAGTTGGTCATTGAATGGATGCTGCCTGGGGGTGCAGTGTTTTCGCCATTGAGAACGCCGTTGAGGGAGCCTGGTTCGCCGACACTGACATGATTCTCGTTGTTGCTGGTCAACGATGGAGGTGGTCGAATTTCTTTCTTTCCGTTCGCTTTGTAATAGAGAACCATGTCACCCGATGTACGCCAGAGACACGTCCGAATCGTAGCCAGAGTCATGTTCGGAGGGCACAGCTAGAATAAGAGGGTTAGCAAAAGTAAAGTGCAACTACAAACCGAAGGTACGTTACCTGTTTTTGGCAATACAGCTCAAGGTATTCCTCCGGTTGCAATGCGTCCGCTTCAGGCTCATCAGGATTGCTGGGATCAATGCGCTCGGCCACGTAGGCCAGAACCTTCTTGACCCGAAGCATACGATTAGCATTTAGTCGAGAGCTATTGTTATTGCCATTCATGTTGGTCGGAGGGCCGCCGTTGGCAGTCGGTCTTTATAGAGTTAGTTTTAGAATGGTACTGGGCCTTTTCAAGAGCAAGGTGCGAAGTGACTTACAGCTCAGGCTTCACAACAGGTGGCAAAGAGTCTTCGTAGGGCTTCAGGATGAAGGCAATCTTTAATTGCTCCTTGAACGGAATTTGGTTCTGAGAAACTGGTCAGCCTAGACTTTGGAGATTGTTAAGAATTATAACCGACCTTGAGGAGCAATTCGCCTAGCCAATGAGGGATGGCCTTTTCGAGTCGCTCAATCTCTTGACCGATGGTCCCAACACTACCACGGTACAAATCCGAAGCCACAGCAGTGTCACCCGTTTCTTCTTGAATGAAAACTGCTGTCCGCGGAGGGATATGAAGCCGAGGGGTCTCGCTCTCTGCACTCGGAACGATGGCGGTTACCAAGTCACGACTGGGATTTGAGGACAGGAACTCCTCATAATCATCGCGGATCCGATCAATGACACCACTGATATTTGCCTCATACGTCTTCTCTTCCTTGATGGAGGAAATCTCCGATTCTTCGATTTTCTCTTCTTGGATCTGGGGCTTCGTGTCCGTGGAGTTACGTGATCCCCGTACCTTCGGGAACTCCATGCGGAATTTCTTTCCAAACAGAGAACTACCCTTCTTGCGTTCCTCTTTATCAGGCTCTGCTGGTGATTGTGGCAGGCCCGAAGGAGAGTTCAAGTCAGACGGTGACATGGGAGTCTTGTCTGTGTCAAGCTGGGAAAGGTGAGAAAGCCCCTGGGGTGGAGGAGCTGACGAGAAATAATCGCTTTTATCGGAGAATGAACCGGGCACAGCATCCAGGTTTCGGCCCATTGATCCAGGGGTTTCAACATCTAATGCGGGGAAGGGAGAGGTACTTTGCATGGAGGTGCTGAGATAGTTGGCGGAGGAGGGTGTGCCGACATGGATACCGAAGCCAGACATATTCGGGCTTCCAGGGAAGTCCATACTGTGCATACCACGAGCTATGGGTATACCCACGCTGCGAGGAATATCGTCGGTGGGAGCAGATGTACCCAGTGTAGGATTGAGCCTAGCGAGCTCTTCCGCTTTAGCAATAGCAGTCTCGCGATACTCGTCGTCTCGTCGAATCTGCTCGTCCACCATGGGGGCAAAAAGCCAGCGCAAGATCCATTTGCCGAGATTGACTATAAGGTGTAAGTGGATGAACAACAGGGGATTTCAATGGAAAATAGAAGAAAACATACTGCGTTGGTCATCTCGAAATTGCGAGAGATCATCCTCTAGTAGTCCGGCTTCATCCGCATAGACCTCAGCATCAAAGCAGCGATTGGGCTCCAAAATAACGGAAAGTCTGCCCGTTCTCACGTCAATTGTGCACCAGTGAGAAATGCTCTCCACTGTATTTAATTCATCCGCGACATCATCAATATGACGCTTGCCGAAATTTTGTACAGGAACACACTGCATTTATGTTAGGTTTTGCTTTTTAAGATTTCATGGCGGTCTGTAAGCTCACCTTAAGCAGATCCCACAAGACAACTTCTCCTGCTGAATCTTGAGTGAGGGTTCGCTTTCGATCGTTCAGCATCAAGCATTTAATAAGACCATGCTGGCCCTCGATAGACTCTTCTGGCAGCGAATGAACGGGAATTGTGAGACTGAGACCGTTCTCCATGTCCGGCTCAGGTGATTTCGCACGCGAAGGCGATGTGTTGCCTAGTATTGTAGATGCAGTAGATAACTGCAATGCGGCATTGTAAGGAATCTTCTTGGGCGTTTGATCGGCAGGTTTCTCAGGCGCAGCAGTGGAATCGATAGTTCGCCCCGGTTCGGGCGGCGGGTCGAAACCCAGCGTCGTGTCAACGTTTCTCCATCGGTTAATGCTGGACTTAGGTGTAGCTGTCCAAATAAAGTCATCGGTAGCAACCACCTTCATGATACCTTCATGTTCTTGTAGCGCTGCAACGCATGTGCCCTGTTCAAGGTCGGGCGAGCCTCGTGTGTCAGTTTTGGCGACCATACCAGACCGGTCGCTTGAGTAGAAGACCGAAAGATCCGGGTGGTCGGAGTATAGAGACCACACGCTGTCGTTGTGCATTGTCAGGGTGTTCATACAACGGCCTGCAGTCAACGACCAGACCTTGATGGTCTGGTCTGAAGAGGCAGTCATAATCGTATCTCCAGACTGGTTGATCAGGATATCGCGAACGTTATCGGTGTGGCCCACGAACTTGGTGACCAGCTTCCCAGACTTGGGGTCCCATACGCGCACGACATTCTCCGGTCCACCGCTCGCGAGCACCGAAGAGGTCGCGCCCAGCGCATAGACGGAGCCTTTCTCGGCCGTATCATCACCGCTTGCGTCGATGCTCAAGATCTCACCACCGCCATTCAGATCCCACAGATAGAGTTTATGGTCGAGGCCACCTGACGCAACCCAGCTAGCTTTGCCGTCCGGACTAGCCAGTGCCTTGACATAGTCGGCATGCTTCCCGATGCGCTCGGGTACCTCGGTAGATTCCGAGTGCGGGCGCCAGAGTCGCACGGTCGTGTCAGACGATGCGGATACGAGGGCGGAGTTACCCTGGGTCAAGACGATGTCGTTAATCCAGTGGCTATGAGCCTGGACCTGGGTTTTGAATTGTGTCGGGCCCGGCTTTCGATTGGCAGGAGAAAATGGGTTCTCGGATTGAAGCGAGGCCAGGGGGCAGTCGAGATCCCACGAACAGATGACACCGTCGCGGCCCGCGGAATACCTGGGGACCAGACGTCACATTAGCGGCCGTGTAACCGACGTGAAGAGGAATGGCGTTGAAGGATACAACGTCGTATGAAAGTTCATATGATTTTATAAAGCAGATCTCTTCGTAGTGCCATGAGCAGACTTACAAAATGGAATTTTGACGGTCAACAGTCAAGCCATTGACCCCCAGCCGGTGCCCGCCTGGGGCATCAGGTAGAGGGAGTACTGGAGAAAGGTGAGCATGGGAAGATGCAGTCGAGATTATAATGGGAGAACGAACCATAGGTGACCCTCTGGTGGCTTAGTTTCCGTGCCATACATGCAGGTTGGGGAGTGTGGAAGGTTGAATTGCGGAGGAGATGCGGAGCTTATCTGCCTCAATCGAGGGCCGATCACACGTTTCTGGTGGGGAGGACGACGTCACCAGGCACATAACACACTATACAGAGAAGCATGAAATAAGAAATGCCGCAAGTCAGACGTACAGAAGTAAGAGAGGGGAAGGGTTTAAATGAGGGGAAGATGGGGAGCCGCCAGGGGCACCTTTTCCATAGGACGGGTTTGGCGCCATGCCGCAACCACGGCCTTGGTCCGTGGATTTTAGCCTTCATATTCACTTCGCTAAAGGATAGCGAACGTTATCGGTCCGCCTGGATAATCATTAAAAGAGAAATAAGAAATGATCAAATTGAAAAGCCTGATCTTTTCGGTGTCTCGCCGCTTTGTAGTGGTTAGAACGTGTCGATATGACGTATTGTCGATGGGCTTAGAGTAAATTCCAGGCACAAACATCTCCCAAAGACATACGGACGAGGAGGATACGCCCTTATCCGTGCGAATAAACGACAAAACAACAAAGACCAGCAGGAAGCACGAAGTGGATGATAATTTATTGTTGGCCCTGATTACCAACGCGAAGAAACAATGCAATGGGTCGTTGATGGGGGAGACTATAAAGTGAGCTTCTTGTTGCCCGATTCGCCGGACTATGACGATGACGGGGTCAAAACCCCCCAACTAACACACGGACTGCTTATTAGCGAGGTACCCATTCCTGGATGCGAATTTTCAACACCATGACCTTTTGCAAAGAGAAGGAATGCAGAAGCTTTGCACGACGGAACAGGTACAAGAATTGAGCTGGATGCTCACGGCCGAGACTTAAACCAAAAACCAATGGGTAGAGAATAGAATAGATCCATTTCCCAGCATACCGAGGTCCTCTATATAGGAGAATGATAATGTACAGTAGTATGTCTCACAGAAAGCGAGCACTTCAATTTACTTGTCCTCTGCCTTCTTCTTATTCTCCAACGTATTCCACGCCCACTGATAACTGCCCAAAAACACAGCACCACCAATACCAATCCACGCCACACGTGGCCCAATACCACGCCAGAAAGCACCGAAGCCCTCCTGCGCGATTCCCCGCACAATCTCCTTAACGCGAACCGGGGACGAACCATCACTACGACGAGCTAACATAACCCGAGTCTTGATAACATCCAGAGGAGTAGTCAATCCAGCCGCAATGGCACCAGCAACACTGCCAAACATAGCACTCGTCGACGCGGGGATCTGGTCCTGCGTAATAATACCAGATCCAGCCTCTGTTTTGCGGAGATACCGCTGCGCATAGCCCTCCTTCATAGACTCCCACATGGTGAACTGGAGGACGGTGAAAGGGATCTCGCGCGCAATGGTAATTCCAGCTCCGCGATACAATTCGCGAATAACCTGTCCGTATCCTCGCTTCATGGGTACAATCGCAGTAGCGGCGCCGGTGGCATTTGTTCCGGCGGCTGGAGAAGGAGGAGGCGCGGCATGTCGCAAGGCTAGGATATCCTTTAGTGCGAGCAGGGTCGATCCGCCAAAGAGGCCTGCCTGGGCACGTTGTTTGACGACTTCTGTAGGCACGCGCACGGCGCATGCGGAAATTTCACCTAGTGAGGAGGCGATGGAGTGTGTGAAGAAGACATGGGCGCGGGAGGGAGGTTCGGCGGGCGCGGAGCCGGTTGTTGGGGGGAGGAGCTGGCGCTTGACGCCGTCGTAGACGATGAAGAAAGATGCGGCTGATGGGGCGGAGCCGAAGAGAACTGAGGGAAGACCGGCGTAGATCCCACGGACTGTTTGGCGGAGGGAGAGTTTGGGTTGGGGTGCGGTGGTGTCGCGTGCCTTTTGGAGGCGGGTTTTGATGGTGTCGAGGGGGTATAGGGAGCAGTCAACTGTTAGGCCTGCCACAGCGCCGGACTGGATGGGTTTCATATTGGTTAGAAGTGGGCTCAGGAAGGTCATTGTCGTTTCCTTACCAGGAGGGACCTCGTCCAGAGGGAGGAGACCAACGGCTCCCCGTCGGGTTGCTGGGTCATGTTGGATTAAGGTGAGAGATATAAGGTGGTCTACCGCAAGGGCATGCTGTGTCTGCAAGGACCTAGTAGAGCAATTGGCAACTGCAGTGGTCTTGGAACTGGGTAGAAGACCGGAGGGAAAGCGCCGCGATAAACCGAGCTCCGCAGATCAAACTTCCGAAGTTTTGCTCCGCGGTCAGGCCATTCCGAGATCGCCGAATCGGGCGCTACGTCAGATCCCCGGTGAACATTATAGAAAGATCTACATGAATCGAAAGACGAATGAAACTTATGTATTTAGAGTATCTACCGCGAGGCCCCTATATAAACGCAACTGCCCGAGGGGATAAAAGAACGCTCTGCTCGAGAACTAACTACCTCCAAGCCATTCCACTTCTAGCAAGAACATCTAACACTGAACAGAAGGGCCTGGGGATTTCTCTTCTCGACTCGAGGCTCTCCATAACGCCGGGGGAAAAAACACTGAAGAATTCACAGGAGAAGACACAAATTATCTAAACCGGTTGACTGGCGCGGGTGGGAAGAAAAAGGGAAAGGAGGGAAGGAGGGAAAGAGATAAAGACGAGGTGCGGGTCCAATGGACCACAGAGGGAATTATGCACACAAGAAATAAAGATTGATACACAAAGGATGAATCATTTGCCCTTGGTACCTTTGCTGGCAACAGGAGGACTGTGCGATGGAGGCTCGAGGACGTGAGTGTGGCCCTCTGCGGGCGTGATCTCGCCGTTGCTCTGCTGTTCACATGCATGGATGTTGCGCACCCATTCGTCGGACATAACCTCGTCGAGGGTCGCGCGCTCCGTCGGGTTGACCTTCAGCATGCGGCCAATGATGTAACGACTTTCCCGCGGCAAGATGCGGAGAAGCCGCCAAGGGCCCTTGATGACTTCCTGTTTTGGAGGCTGGGGAGCTGAGCCCGGTGGGAGAGGTGGTGCCTCTTTACTGGTGGTGCGAGAAGGCTTTTCGTGGTTGCTTGTCTGGGTGTTGGATTTCTTTGCAGCTTCAGTGGGAGATGTTGGAGATTGGGAGTCGAAGTCGGCTTTGCCGTTCTGCTCCGACCCAGTGATAAGGTTGGAGGGTGCTTTGGCATCTTCAGGAAGGTTCGGGGCGGAAGTGGGAGGAAGCTGCTTCTGTTCATGGGTAGCAGATGGAAGATCAGGGCTAGACTTGGGCCGGATATGACCCCGGGGGTTGCTATCCGGGACCGGAGTACCGGGGGTTGGAGTAGCAACGAACAGACGGTACGAGTTGTCCGTGGTGCGCGGCTGCTTCCACGGGAAGCGGCGCAGAGTCATGCAGCAGAAGATGATCGCCAGCGACCAAACATCCGTGGGGCGGGGGTCGTATTTCTTCTCATCGTAAACTTCAGGCGCAAGGTATGGATCGGAGCCCACGATGCCTATTGATATATGGTCAGAAAGGTTTCAAATACGCCTGCAGGCTGCATGGTACATACCTGAAGCAGGGACGATATCGTTCTCAAATGGATAGCGGAACACAACCGCACTTCCAAAGTCGATCAGTTTCATAATGCCGCGATCATTCACCACGACATTGTCCAATTTCAAATCTCGGTGGGCCAAGCCCATGCCGTGGAGATATGCCACACCACTGAGGATCTGCTTAAAGGAACAGGCAATCTCCTCCTTGCTCATCTTGCCGGTCATGACGATCGCAAACAGATCGAAAGGCGCATATTCCATCACCTCATACCAGTGGCTACCTTCTTGGATGATATCCAGGGTCTCGATGATGTTGCCATGGTGCAAGGTGGAACCAATACAGAACTCGGCCGTCACCTTCTTGGAGTACTCCTTCAAACTTTCCCAGCTATGACGATCCCGGAATTGCTTCACTGCGAAGGTAACTCCGTCGCTGTTTCGCTTCAATAGTCGAACCGAGCCGCCTGCTCCAGATCCGAGGACCCGCCCCAGCTTGCCGTATTTGGAGTTCAACCCGTGATCATCAGCGAAAGGTACATTATCGGTCGCCATCTGGTACGGCGTATTCTTGCCGGATCCTCGGCTCGATCGTTTACCCGCAGCAGTCGGTGAGTCTGGTCGCTTGTTCCGGTGGCCCATCTTGAAGAACCGCTTCAGCTCGGACATGGAGCCGTGATGATGGTGACCTCCACTCTTTGCCTCATTGTGCTCCTTCTTGTTGTTTCCAAATATGCTTTTCTTGTCGCCTGATTTGGTGACATCATTAGTACTGGCCGACCGCGGGGTCCCAGGACGAAATGACCGCTTTGAGTCACGACTTCCAAAGATAAATCGTGCGTCTAGTTGCGCCAGATTCTTGGATTGTGGCTGCCGCTTGCTGCGAGCGTACGGGTCGTTGGGCTCGCCGATTGGTGTGATAGTACCCGGTGGCGTGAACGATTCCCTCGGGGTTGCAGGAGGGCTCTCTTCTTGAGAGCTGGTGGCGTCAGTCCCGATAAAGAACTGAGCCCGGTGTCTGGGCACATTGGAGAAATGAGAAGAGGGTTCGGATGCACCGCTTTGCTTTGCGGACAACGGGTCAGTTGATGGGGGGCGCGAAGTCGGGGCACTTCTCTGAGTGCCGTTCTGGTCGCCGGATGTGACCGGAGGTGATGTTTCAGGAGTAATGGCCGATGCTTGAGCATTTTCTCGGCCCACGGCGTTTAGTGAAGCCGCGCTGCCGCTGGGTCGATCTTCGCGGGAGTGGGTGACGGCGGGGGTCAGGGGAGGAGACTGTACGGCGGAGACGGGGGGAGATGCGTGGGGGGAGGTCACATAGGAGCTGTTTCCATCTCGTTGACTACGGTCACTCGATTCTCGAGATCCAACCTATAAAATGGTCAGTTTCAATCAGTATGACCATTTTCTCCACCAACGGGGCGTGCAGGAAACCGGGGAGCCGCTGAGCGACCACCACGAACTCCAGATCCGCTGAGCTTCCCAGCATATTTGAAATAGATATTGAGAAACGGCGTAGACTTACTCGTGATGCGGGAAGAGACATTGGGTCGAAGGAGAAGTTGCGCAGACGAGATTCCTGAAGGTCTGTATTCTGCAGGCTCATGGCCAGGGAACGCAATTCCTCCTCGGAGGTTGGCTTCTTGCGGAGATCGTCTTGGGTGTGCTCCAGGGCGGGCGACTGCAACGAGGAGGGTTCGATCTCCTGGGTGACAGCGGAGAAACGGACCTGACCAGGTTGAGATCTTGACTTGGCATCGGGGTCATCGGCTCCCGACGCGTGGGCGGACATCTTGGCGGGGTTTTGGATTGCCTGGGTAGCTATTGTGTGGAACATGCAGGGTCAGGCAAGGAATTCCCAACTTCAAGGGGAAGTGACAGGCAAGCCAAGACATACCTGAATCCATGGAGACGGCGGTTGGGGTCGAATCGGCCGTTTCAGACGTCATACTCATTCGACACCAACTCAAAGCCGAGTGAGACGCATGCCTTGCACGGTCTGGGCGAAGATTTCGATACAGTCGTACTCCTCGCTCTGGTTTTTGAGGTTTTCAAGAGCAGAACGTTGAAAAGCGTATCGATTACGTTGGTGAGGCAAATCTTTTCCTTTAACTTTTCGGTGCCGAATCCGTGCGATCAAGCCGAACGTCCGCAACGGGCGAAGTGGGAACGTTAGGAATGAAGAAACCAGACCCAAAGAGGAATCCGGGGGAGGGGAGAGGTAGATGTAGAGGTAGAGGTAGGAAAGACACGATCAAGATCGAGATCAAGGCAAAGGAGGGGAGAGTTTGGGGGTCTGGGCCTGAGGGCAAAACCAGTTGCGAGTGGGGGGTACTCCCCGTGCTGGATTTTGGCTTCCTGCTATTTCTGGTCTATTTCCAGCGGTTCTTGCGGTTCTAGGTACTTTTCAGGTTGCGCTTTTATGGACCATTATGCTTATGCCCCCATGACTTGACTGACAGCCATGGACGTGACTCTGTCGGAAGAGCGCGGAGGGGGAGAAGTCGGAGGGGGGATGTTGGGCCTATGATGTCGATATCGATTACCCGCGTATCAGCTCGTGCCGGCTTCCCGGTCCCTCCATGAACTAGTATGTCTTCTACCTGCCTCTCCATCTTCTCTGAGCATCTGGAATTTTGCCCGTTCAGGCCTAGCGGACTGGTTCATGCATGATTCACAAGGTCATGCCTGCATCAATCCCCAAATCGCCCCTCTCCTTCCTCTCACCGGTTACGGATTGACCCTCGCTCTGATCTTCACCCCAAGGCACATAGCACATAGCACATAGCACATACCCATACCCATACTCATACTTGCCAAGGGATCATCCATCGAGTATCATCATGCCTTGGCCTTAACCGAGCCAGCGGGATTCGTGAGGTCTGACACTGCGTTGCATGGGTTTATACATACACTTAGTATATCTCCTTGGCGCTAGACCTTCCTACTCGGGGCTTACGGCTCATGAAGGTGCTTCCCCCGCCATTTACCTGTATACGAGGACCCCCTCTCGGACATTTAGATTGCCCGCATGGCAACCCAGGATGGACGCGACGTGCGACATTCTTTGTTCGCACAGGGGGTCTTCGATCAGCAGGCCCAGGCTCCCTGCCCCATACTCTCCGATCACTACTTCCATAGTCGACGTCGTCATCACCTCATTCAAATGTTGATATCACAGGCATGAAGAAAAAAGGACCCTGGAATTGTTATGCACACATCGCTCTAACAGCATGCATGAGATGATCGGGTATATATTGTACAGTGGAGAAGTAATACCAATTGCCTCCCAGAAACGCCGGCAAAAGTCAATATCGAAACACATCCAAGCGTTCGTCCTCTTCGAGAGGCCCGAATGACCGTAATGATACACAAAGTCACCATCTCTTCAGCTCCATCAAGGGACAACCTGGATGCCAATAGACTTGGCCTGCGAGATGACACTCTTGCACAACCCTGGTAGGCTCAATCCCGATAACCGCGTCTCAGTGTGTTTGATCTGGGCGATTTCGTAGACGTGCTTGAGCGAGATCTTGCCGCAGATCTCGTGGCCGGGGTTCATGGCTCCGCGCAGACGATTCTTCCGGGGCTCCACGTTGGCGGCATTGAGCAGGAGATAGGTGGTGGTCGGGGTGCGGAGATCGAAGGTGAAGGACCGATCGGGGCGAACGGTGACGCGCGCCGGAATGGGAACTCCGGGGTTGATGTGGGCAGTGCGGGCGTTGAATTCCTTCAATCGATTGTTAGATGCGACTCGATCTTCAAAAGGGCTGAAAGCGCTCACCTTGCAGAAGTCCATGCTCTTGACACCCTTACTACCCAGAGCAGGACCGACGGGCGGACTGGGCGAGGCCTGGCCGGCACCGACGATCAGCTTGACGAACTGGTCCTTGGCCAAAATGTTCTTAGCCATGATGAATGTAGATTGTTGATGAAGGACGCAACGGGAAGAAACGAACTGAAGACGGAAGTTTTTCAGGCTCTCGGGATCGGCCGCTGATTGGCCCGAGACCCAAGCGAGCTGTACGAGAGTTACCCAACGTCATCGGATCTTTCAACTTGAATCATTTCGTCGGTCTCAACAATAAAATCATTTATCAAGACTTTCTACGTCTCCGTCTCCTTTTTCTCGTCATTTGAGGCTATTCTGTTTCGTGGATCAGCTCACCCGGCGGGTTCCCATTCGCATCCGAACTTACTCGGGCCCCGCGTCGATCTTCCTCCCTCACCTCCCTTTTCTAGTTTTCTGAATCTCTCCGATTTTACAACACCATGAACTGGCTTAAGTCGACGTACGCTCCATTCCTCCACTGATGTGTGTGCGGTGGTAGCTAACTCTTCCACAGCTTGTCCGCGGCCGTGGGCACGCAAGAACCCATCTATGGCCCTGAAGCCATTCAGTCCGTCGCCCAGCAGGCCGGCGAGACTCCCCACACTGTCATGACCAAGGACGCCTTGAAATGGAAGGCTTACCAGTACACCAATGTCGAGACTGCTACCTTCTACATCATGGCCGACAGTGGCGATTTGGTCATGGTCCAGGTCATCTACAGCAACATGGCGTGAGCATTCCTCAGATCGCACTATATATCCAGGGTTCCAAGGATGGGCGATATTAACGGTATGGACTGTGCTGACATTGCTTTCTTTCAAATGATAGTGGTATCCATACTACCGCGCACTTCAATACGAAGATCTTCAACCTCAAGGGCGATGGCCCTCACGTCTGGAACACCAACCCCCTGTCCAATTTCATGTTCGACGAGGGCATGCACTCCTTCGGCGCCGATAACTTGACCATCACTCTCAACGAGGAGGGTGATGCATACCACATCAAGTCTACCGTCAACCCCGACAGCATCGTGGACCTCAAGTTCACCCGGAAGGCTCCCGGCTTCGTCGTCGGAAAGAACGGTACTTCCTACTTTGGCACTGACCCCAAGAACCCCTGGGGCTCCATGTTCCACGGCTTCTGGCCCCGCTGCGCCGTCGAGGGTTCCATCATCACCAAGGAGAAGACCTACAATCTGGACGGCCGCGGAGTGTTTATCCCCGCTTTGCAGGGCATGAAACCCCACCACGCTGGTAAAGTCACTTTTCCGAATGCATGTAGAATCAAAAAGCTAATAATGTAATAGCTGCCCGCTGGAACTTCATCAACTTCCAGACCCCCACCTTCTCTGCCATCATGATGGAGTTCACCACTCCCCCCTCCTACGGTTCCACCAAGGTTAACGTCGGTGGTCTTCTGAAGGACGGCGAGATCATCTACGCCGGTGCCGATAACACCTGTACCCACATTACCTCGGAGCAGGATGCCGAGAGCCAGTGGCCCGAGCCTACCTCCATCAAGTGGACCTGGACCGGCAAGACCGCCGACGGCCAGGATGTCACCGCTGAGGTCGACGGTCCTCTCGGCAAGCGCCTCGATCGCGTCGACGTTATGGGTGAGGTCCCTGGATTTATCAAGGCCATTGCTGGCAGTGTCGCCGGTGCCAGGCCCTACATTTTCCAGGTATGTTGTTCTTCGCACTTTACGTTCATTTTCAAGTACTGACATGTCTCTATAGTTCTCTCCCCAGGAGAAGCTGAAGCTGAAGCTGAATATTGGTGGGACTGAGACTATTGAGGAGGGCACCATGTTCTCTGAGTCGACCTTCATCTCGTAAGCTAGGTTCTTTTAACGTACATAGGACATTTGTCCCATGCGGGACCTCGTTGGCGTTTTTTTATTGAATCACTCTATATTATGTGCCGAGGGCAGTTGAGATTGACCACCTCTTGTGTACCAGATATTCTACAGATTGTTGACTGGATACTTAATGCTATTGACCATAATTCTGTCTAATCGCTTCTCTAAATATACATGCGCAGGTAGGGCTGCTGCTCATGGCAACGGATAGAAAGAAAAAGGCAATAGAATTTCTTCGGGCTGGATTTATCCTCCATAAAGCAATGACTAGAGCTGCATGCACAAAAGGTCAAAAAGGACTTATGAACCTACAAACACCTAGGCCATAGACAGAGGCTATATCCACACCCCTATTGAATGATTCTTTCATGCCAAGGTCCAAAATCCCACTAGTCTCCCATACTAGTGGAAGACTAGTGGAATTTTCGAATCGCAAAAAAAAAAAAACACCACAAGTTTATGAATTTAGAATTCAGAAGCAAAAAGTGGTCGCGCCCGGGATCGAACCGGGAACCTTCTCGGAGCGCCGAAGCCATCACAGGATGAAGTGTGAGCGAGAAATCATAACCATTAGACCACGCGACCTGATGATATAATCAATCTCTCAGAATTATATTTATAAAGGCGTTTCTACGACGTATTGCATAGTGGGAATGTTACCCGTGGAAGAGACACTCAATCTTAGGAGAGTTATGGTGAGAGTTATGGCTGGGACTCCGGGTGCTCCCCTTGAACATATGGAGATGTTATTTCGGAGGCTTCGTCTGCGTTGACTTTTGTGGCATGGCTAAAAAGTACACGAGGATTTCAACTAGAAACTCCGTCGAGCAACAAACAAGCCCTTACTGTCCGGATTAGATTAGTCACACTCCGTAACAGTTCTACTGAATCGACTTCTGTACAATAGGCAGAAAGTTTCCAAATAGAAGCGGTTAATATTTACTATAAATCCTGCTGTTACAGTTTATTACACTCCAAGCAAAAGCACATGAACACCGTGATGCCGAAGCATCAGCGCCATTAGAACACAAGGATTCACTCATCAATTCGCTCTGCCGCTGCAGACTTGAAAACACCCTATACACCAACACTGAGAAAAGGCTGGAAAAAAATGTGTTCTTAGAACTAGAAATGGAGGGATGGTCAAATGGTGCAAAACAAAAAAGAGAAACACAGGCCATTGGAAAGAGGGCGAGTCAGAGCATCGCACACACCAGACGGCATCAGCATCACTTCATCGGGAGATTTCTGGCTATGGCTGCGATCCCATGGCAGAGGATTGAGCTGAGCCTAGAGCAGGGCTCGCACTCGCTGAGGTCCCCGCGCCAGGTGCCGGGCTAGCGCTGGCACTGTGACCATTGGAGGGAATGGGCACACCACCAGTCTTCACGATGCGCTCCTCAACGCGCTCCTTGTGCTGTCGGTTGCGGAGGTGGACTTCAAAATTGTCAACTGTCATGCCCGGTCCGGGGGTGTAAAGTTTGCCGGGGCAGTCATGACAGCGGATGCGAGGAAGATATTGATATTTGATCTTCTGGCCGGATGATAGGGTGTTGGGATTGGCCACGGGGGCAAGAGTTTCGATATCCACGGCGGAGTAGCGCATCACACCTTCGAATGAATCATTAGGATGGGATTGTTTCAACTTGTTGAGGCCGGCCTGGAGCCAGCTTGGTGGTGGGGGCTGGAATGCGCACACGGGTCAGCCAGGGACCAAAAATCCGAGGATTCTCTTTCTCAATATCTACTCACACCTGGTACCCCAGCCTGGGGCGGGTTCGGTGCGTCCACTGCTCCGGTTTGTTGAAGTCGGGGGTGGTGCGCAGCTTGTCGAGACTGGGCAGACGGCGGTGCCATGACGTTCGCTGCATGAGCGGAGGATGGGTGGCCAACGATGCGCTGTCCATTTCTAAGAGCAACAAGTCTATCTCGAGAAAGTTTAAACCTCACGATCAACTTTTCGGGCTCTTCAACACTTTCTTCCCGGTACGTTTGCCGCCGAGAAGACATTCGAGGCTCATGAAGGATCGGCTCTGGGGTGGCTGATTGACCCAGACTAGCACGCAGAGCTGCATGAGCAGCCGTTGCAGCGCCTCGCATGCCTCTTGTACGGGCAGTTCCCTGGGCGAGATGTGGGCCAATGGCTGGGGAACCAACAGAAGAATCGTCACTATCAAATTCGTCTGATTCGTCATCACCGCGTGTTGTCACTCCACGACGCCGGCCGGAGCCGGAACGTTTGATCACGTTGCTCTCCTCAATAGTAGCAGCAGAGTTTGGAATGACAGACGATAGGGCCAAGGTCCGGATCGTACGTTGGCGATCCTTGAGATCGGGGAGAGCGGGGCCACCCCGACGGTTGATCGATCGCTTCTGGCGACGTAGATCTCGAGAGATTGAGATCTCAGTTCGCTCGAGGTCTGTTTCGTTCAATTCGTAAAGGTATGGCGTGTGCTCCTTGGCCGACTGGTAAGGTCGGAAGGCAGATGAAACGGGGGTAGGAAGGAAAGAGGTGCTGAGGTCGGGATCTTCGATGGGGCGACCATCGAAGGGGTGTGCGACAATGTAAAGAGATTTGGTGAACATTTGAGACTGTTCACGGATAGAATGAGCGATGGCAGTGGTAAATTCACCTGAGAGGGAAAGGTCGTCCGTCATGCGCAGAGCGAACTCCTCAGGTGAGTTCTGGGGATCATTGATGTCCCATTCAAACTGATCGATGAGGGTGTGCTGTCCGATCGTGATGTTCAACTTGACCAGGATGCGCATCTCCTCGTTTCTATAAGCAGTAAATGGCAGATGCGAGTCCAGGGCCTCCTCGTGCATATAGATCTGAGGGTAATAATCCACAATCTGGTCCTGAATGCTCTTGGAAATCTCACGAATGAGATGGCCAGATGTCTCCAACGGGAGACCCAGATCCTCAACAAGCTTCTCGGCGAATAGGTCCGGAGACACAACCCGGTCATGGAGATTCCAGGTGAAAGTATCGCGGATCTTGATCTTCTCGTAGTCAATGTCGAGCCGAATAGGAACAAGATCTTCGATCTGCTCACTCTGCACCTTCAGATCTCGGCGGGAAACTCGCAGCTCTCGTGTCTTTCGGTTTCCAGGCCGACGTCGGTTGGATGGGTACAACAGCTGAGGCATTTGACTTCCCCTATCCGTCCGTGGGTTTCCGAATCCCTCATATCCCATTCCGTGCAGAACCGCCGGGTTGGTTTGGTACTCGCGCCGTAATCGCAAGTAAAAGTCGCGTTCTGACTGCTTCTGTTGCTGAATTTCCTGGCTTGAATTTTGCCAAGCAGCCGCAGCTGCGTAATCGAATTCGCGGTTTACGTATTGCTCCAGCAAAATTTTATCGACAGGTGTCTCGCGCGTACGGACAGCCATGGTTCCAGACACGTCGGAGGCCTGAATGACTGACCCGTTGCGGGATCGCTTTTTGCTTTGCGCAGAGCCATTCGTGCCGTTGGAACGGGGCGTGCCATTGGTCTCATTGGATTCCGACATCCCGGAGGCTGCCATCTTGGCTTTTGCGTTCTGCTTTCCTTCCGAAATGGTATCGGCCGTTGGGGCGGTGTCAAAGGAGTCTAAACCTCCCGCGGTATTGGACGCGCTCGAGCCGTTCTGTTCGTCTGACTGGGAATCTACTGAAGACTGCTCCGATGGTAGGAATTCATGCACCGATTCAGGAGATGGCATGGTCGAATGAATATGTGATTCGGTGTAGTTGACTTAATCGTCGATAGGTAGTGGTTCTCAACGCGATCGAGGTAGATATAAGGCGTTTAAAAGAGCATTGTTGAATGTAATCTGGGGCAAAATTTCACCAATGTCAGTATGAGATTCATAGCATTCATACAATGAACCTCGATCACGTCGCGACCGCGCAGCATAAGGCGTTAGGTGCGAACTAGTCATTGCACGTGTCGCGACGGCGCATGTACCACATCAAGAGCAGCTGCGCGAAGGATTCAAGCTGAAGGAGGGTGTAATTGCAGAGCAGCGACTATAGTGCAATTATGGGGAAGTGATAACATACCGAGGTCGAAGGGGGAAGGAGGTGGATCGCGCTGTGGGCTAGGCAGACCGGTAACAGATCCCGGCGAGTCTTGGGGAGGTCAGTTTGCCACCTGCGTAAAGATCGCAGGGAATGAGAGACAATGTTGGGGTGATCCCGGGAGTTAAGCTTGCGCAAAGGTGAGGCTGGTGGCGGTTCCTCAGGGCGCGCGGGAGTGTGAGAAGTTCAAAGGAGATTGGGAGGATTACGAGATGTCCGCTCCCGGGCAAAGCAAGGATAGCCTCGGCGCCCTTTCCATGCCCACGACTTCTTAGTACTACAAATTGAGGGAGGAGGCCAGTTGGTGATTAACCGTGAAGTTATCATCGCTACTTTCTTACTTTCTCTCAACGAGGACACAGCGCCAGGGCCGGTTCGACGGCATGCTAGAAGTCATGTGATCTATATATTTGTGCCTTGTTATTGGGGCACAAAGGCAGAATCAGGCAGCACTCGGTGCCGTTCAACGCCTTGGAAGTTGCACCCAACAACACCCAGTCCGGCGATTGAGGTTATCGCGTTCGATTTATGTAGAAGCTAATTTTGTGGAACTACTAGTAACCGAATAGCCCAATAGCCTCGTGGTAGTGTATTGACACCTTAGCACTCTCCAAAAACGAACCTTTAAGGACTCTAGGAGTCCACGAAAGAGATACAGATCCAAGAGAGACAATAGCCGTTAATATTAACCACAGGGGCAGATATATTCATGCTTGTCGAGTTCTAGGCACGCAATGCGATTGGAAACGAACTCTAGAATACTGGGATTCCATGCTAGCCGATGAGAGTGAGGTCTGCAACAACAGCGCGATGGTCCGAGTTGAACACTCCATCCTCGAACCGGCTTGGCATGACAGAGTACCCATCCACTCGCCATTTCTGGTTGCCCTCGGGCCCCAGTAGAACGTAGTCAATGCGCGCTGGATTGTCTCCGTAACCAAACCCAGTCACAGTAGTGATGTTGCCATATCGTCGTAAGGTATCGACCATCTTGAATGTATCACGCAAATCTCCAGACCCAGTGAGATCAGCATATGCCTCCTGGTTCTCCTGGCTGTTGAGATCACCAGCCAAAAAAGTGCCCGAAATAAAGCCTCCATATTGTCCCCGCTGGTAGCCCTGGATCTTGGAGCGAATGATACGCGCAGCTTCAAGCCGGGAGCGAGCTCCCTGATCATCCAAATGAGTGTTCAAGGCGAGAACGGTGTCGCCACTGGTTCGGTGAGTAAATACACCGATGGTGACAATGCGAATGGAGGCCGCGTCCCAGCTCTTCGATGGCTTGGAAGGTGTCTCGGACAGCCAGACAGTCTCCCAACGTAGCAATTCCCAGACCGCAGGGCGATAGAATATTGGGGAATATTCTCCAGCTTGATGGCCATCGTCTCGACCGACTCCGATATATGCCCATTGCTGATTTTTGGAGCCTCGGGAGGGATTCAACCCCGCTCGGATATCCTCGAGCTGGTTGTGAAGAACCTCTTGCAGACAAATGAAGGACTCTCTACAGTGGCGAGTATGATATTCGAGCTCATTCAGCATTAATTGCCTGCGTTCAGCCCACGGCCGTTCTCCTTTGAAGGGAGATGAAGTTGCATATCGAATGTTATGAGTAAGTACACGAATGGGGAGCTCTGGGGTTGATCTCATTTTGAGCCACGAATGAAGATAAAGTAGGTCTAGAACGGAAAATACACTATTGGAGAAAGTATCTCAAGGCGATATTAAAGGGGGAATCTCAGCCAGAGGAGAAACTGCGGGAGGGGAAGCAGATGGGGAAGCCCCGATCCTTGCAGGCTCACGGGACTTTCAGCGGCACGAGTATCACAAATCGAAGGATTGAACGAGGATCATATGCGGGGTCCTGAAAACTTTAGTCACAGTTATGTTTCTGGGGCTTTCCCAGGTCTGTACTGTAACGAACGAGAATGAGGTCGAATGACGTCTTTCCCGCTCGTAACCCTAGCCGTGCTCCGCCTGAAATGTCAGGCCACGGCGGGAACCTTCCCCCCCACCACCGCTAAACGCTCTCTCGTTCGCTGCACACGACCTGCCCTCGATCCATTCTTCTTTTCCCTAAGGATCTACTCTTGAAAACCACCCATATTACCTTTTTCTCGCAGAATCGCGAGGTCAATTCATATCACAATGGCGGAGACCCAAGTGCCCGAGGTTGGTATGTAGACATACTGTGCTCCCGCGAAAGCTCTGACGTTTGTGGGCGTTGTCGGTCAATGGCATGAGCTTTCTCGGGAGGCCCTCGCAGACGAACCACCCAAACTGATTTTGAAACTAACTGCCTTGGTTCTGTTTAGACTACACCCTCAACAACCCCGACACCTTGACCAAGTACAAGACCGCTGCCCAAATTTCGCACAAAGTGCTCGAGGCCGTCTCTGGTGTGTTGCGCTCCCCTTTGTTCTCGACGCTACGCATTCTAATGTCATTCTATAGCTCTGTGCGTTGAGGGCGAGAAGATCGTCGAGATTTGCCAGAAGGGTGACAAGCTCCTCGAGGAGGAAATTGCCAAGGTCTACAAAGGCAAGAAGATTGCCAAGGGTAGGTCTACTTCCATCCACAAAGATCATACAGTGCAAAACTAACTTTGCGACTAAAAGGTATCTCCAACCCCACTACCGTCTCGCCTAGCTCCTATGTCACTCCCTACACCCCTCTGGTGTCCGATGTCGCCGAGGCCGAGATTACCCTGAAGGCCGGTGAGGTCGCCAAGATCCAGCTCGGTGCTCAGATCGATGGTTTCGGAACAATCGTCTGTGATATGGTTGTCGTTCCCAAGAAGGACGCCGCCAAGGAGGCCGTCACCGGCCGTGAGGCCGACCTGATCCTTGCTACCCACTACGCCAACGAGGTCATGTTGCGTCTCATGATTCCCCAGGGTCTGTTGGCTCAGGGTACCGATGAGGAGAAGAAGAAGGCCGCTGCCCAGAAGGCTCCTACTCAGGCTCAGCTCTCCTCCTACCTGGAGAAGATCGCCAAGGCCTACGACTGCACCGTCATCGAGAACACCACCAGCTGGGTGTTTGACCGCAACGAGATTGAGGGCACCAAGAAGATCATCGTGAACCCCGGTGACGGTACCCGTGGTGAGGGTGTCCCTGAGGTTGGTGAGGTTTGGGGTGTTGAGGTTGGTCTCAGCTTGGGCAACGGTAAGACCAAGTCTCTTGACCACCGTACTACCCTGCACCGCCGCACCACTACCACCTACCACCTTAAGCGTCCCAGCTCTCGCCAGACTCTCTCCGAGGTTGTCAAGAAGTTCGGTACTTTCCCCTTCAGCTTGCGTCAGCTTGAGGATGAGAAGGCCGCCAAGGTTGGTGTTGTCGAGTGTGTTCGCAACGGTGTCCTGCGCGCCTACGAGCCCAGCGGTGCTGCCGATAACACCCCAGTTTCTCGCCTGCTGACCACTGTTGGTAAGTTCAAACTTCATTAAGCGGCCAGACGCATTGCTAATTCCATTGATAGCTATTACCAAGAACGGTATCACTAAGCTTGCTGCCCCTGCCGAGCTCGATCTCACCCAGTACAAGTCCGATAAGAAGATCGAGGATGAGGAGATCCTCAAGATCCTTGAGCAGCCCCTTGCCCGCTCGACCGGTAACAAGAAGAGCAAGAACAACAAGAAGAAGGTCGCCGCCAAGGAGTAAATGCATTGACACTAGCGTTGTCTTTCCTGTGCAATATATACCGATCTTGGAACTCTCTCTCGATTTTCAAATCAACAAAAAAAGATATCCAATGATGAAGTTCCCCATCGGGCCTACGCCTTTACCAGCAATGAAAAGGATAATAGGTGTTGAATGAGTGGTACGTATGAGCAGAGGCGGCAATGACACTCAGTGAAGATTCGGGTATACATTGGCCGAGTCAAATTGAAGTGTAAGCCAGGGCATATGGGCTTTCTGGTATGCGTTTCATGTATTTAGCAGCACAACAGAAGTTATGAGCCAAATGGAGACGTTGTCAGCCCAAATTTAGATTATCACCATGGAACTATAGAGAGGGATCCAGAGTAAAGCGTATATCACCTGCATCCCAGTGCTTGACTTTCGAATAAGCACTCAGCAAGTCATGTATTCTCTCAAAGCTGAGTATATACAAAGAATCGATCTAAGATGATACACTTGAATACTAAGCTCAATGGCTTTTGATCAGGATGGTAAGCCGTTGACCTCTAGCGGCCTGCTTAGTTTACGATTACTTCTGCGGTTCTATCAACTCATTTAACTCTTCTGCCCACCACACAACCGACACACTTACAACATTTGTATGCAATACCGGGTCGCCTTACCTGGTAATACTCCTCGTGCTCAGCCAAGATATGCCAAAAAAAAAAAAAAACCTTGTCTTCCTAGTCTAGGATTGTTTTCAGCTCTCCGGGTATCCCAGACTTTAGAACAGAGAGAGAATCATCTGAAGACACTGCTGCTCGGCTCTCCTTGAATTAAGTACTTTGATGAGTTCTACGAATGCTCAGAATCATTTGCAACCCATACAGGGGCAATCATGAAAGATCGTGGACCATAAGTTTGTATAGATCACGTTAGGGTAGAGATCCGCGTGGCGCTAACCCTACACTCCAGGGCGGTCAGCATGTCTTGTCTCCGATCCCAGCAGCGCTGGGCCATTTTCCAACCCGCAGAAGAACCCGCGAAGCCTCGAACGCTTCACGAGAATAAGCCGCGTCAAGCACGCGTTTCGTCTGACCTGTGCAATGTGCGCACGACCAATAATCTACCGCCGCTGAACGACATCCGTGAATGGGAAGAACCTATCGCGGAACGCGCGCGCCCCTCTTGGGCAGATGCCGATTCCATTCGCTCGAAAGAGAACAAATACCTCTAGACCATGAAGCCGATCGGACATTATCCGTCGCCTGCGGAGTACAAGAGCGTTGGTCTGACGCCACCTCCAAAACATGTTCTTAAACGCGCCAAGTTGGCGACGCGCGATGTGGGCGACGATCCCATCACGGGGATGCCTATCACACCGGTGGCAGAGGAGGCAGCGATGGGAGCTCAGGAAAATGACCAAATGATGACTGGTATTGGGAAAATAGGTGCCTTGAATGGCTCTATTGAGTGCATTGTTGGGGAGACAATCGGGGTTCCTATTGAAGACACAATACTTAGTGAGGACATCGACGAGGACGCTCTCACCACCAATCTTGCGACCCCGGTTTCTGAAGCTCTTGAACCTTCCACTCTCCATCCTTCTTTTTCTCCTGCAGAAACTCCACTTGACACCCCTGTGGATGAACTCTTGACCGACCCTGTCCTTACTCATCTTAACGCAGCTGGCGTCGACACCCCCTTGCACCAGCCTCAGTCTCCTCCTGCCACAGCAGTCGCAGACGGCATGGCTCCCAAAAAAGGGACTACGATCAACCGCGACTTTTTCGCCGTTTTGAAATCTCTCCCCGACCCAGCGTCCAACAGATATGACGTCCAACAGCTCAAGCGAGTTGTAGAGCTTGCCATCTCTCACTCTGCCAAGCGTGGCGAAGACGAAGTTGCTTTGAGTCTTGTTTACTACTGGTCCGGTATCTCCAGTGACGACTTTAAGTTGTCGCTGATTCACAACATCGGCCGGGACGACGCTGATCACTCTCTCCAACTCGCACTGAAGACCATGTTGCGTCACTCCATCGATGATGCGAGCAGGTGGTATGAATCACACTCTGCAGATTACGCCCAGGCTTTGACCCGTGAGAACAGCGAGTCAGAGCTTTCATCTGCTCAGTCCTTCGGAGCTGAGCCCCTTGGCCGGACACCTTTCAAGACCGCGGACATTTACCGTGACACCAGTGGACCAAAGCTCGAAGAGGCCTTTGTCAGTGGAAAGACCAACACTGCTCCTCTCAAGCGGCCCAGAAAGCCGTGCCCCATCAATGAAACCTCTTTCAAGCGTCGTCGCGAGTGGGAAGCAGATCCTGCTCTTGGCGAGAATCTTCAGAAGAAGCGCGCTCGATTTTCCCAGGCTATACCGGCTGAAGCTGATGAGGCCGCTCCTGAAAGCAGCTCTCTTCGTCCCAAGCGGGGCGAAGAGAATAATATCATGCAGCCTTACACTAAGGGTGAAAGAGCGCGGCAACGACGCACTTCTCTTGCCTCTAAAAGCAGTGCTACTGATGCAGGCGAAGATTCCTCCTCGACACCTGCTGTACAACAAGCCATCAATGAGAGGCAGAAGCGCCACCAACTGGCCAAAAGGCGCCAGAGAGCCAAAGAGGAAATTGGAATAGACCCCAATCAAGCCGTTGATTCCGATTTTTCGAACTCAGTTTACTCAGTTTGCGTGAATGACTGGACTGCTGATTATCCTCCTCGGCTGATGCCTGATCAAGTGTAAGTGATATGTTGATTTTGCCTGCTACTGGTGTTTCGATGCTAACGGCATCCTACAGTGAGCCTCCTGAGAATAGCGACAACTGCTACAAATGTGATCGAGGTGGCAATTTGCTTTGCTGTGACACTTGTTCGAACGCATTCCATTTCCGATGTGTCAGACCCGCCATGGACCCCAAGAACCCGCCCAAGGGTGAGTGGCACTGCGTGAGCTGCGTGGTCCGCAACTGCGCCACGGAAATGATTCGGCGGGCCCACGACGAAACGAAGACTGAGTTCCGCCCGCCTACCGACATCAAGGATTACTTTGCCGGAGTCGGTGAGAGGGTCCAGTACGACTCGGGCCACTTGGGAGAACAACGATACTACGAAACTGTCCCCCACCTGCCGCGGCTGACTAAGGCACCAAAGCAGGCGGGTGTGCCGGCGTACAACGATCCCAACCTGCTGCGGCTGATGGAAAACGGCCAAGTTATCCTCTGCACTCGTTGTGGTCTGTCTAGCGAGAATGTGCGTCCTATCATTAAATGTGATTACTGCCCAAGCCGTTTCCATCTAGACTGCTTGGACCCGCCCCGTGCGAACCCCCCTGACCCTTCCAAGGGTTGGATGTGCCCTAATCACGTTCGATCGGACGAAATGATCGTTTCCAAGATGGTTGATGGTCGTCTGCAAGAGCGTCGTGTACGCCGCCCCAAGAACTGCGTTGCCGTTGATGTCGACATTCTTACTACTGATGATCCACGGGAGACCACTTTCGACGAGGACTGGCGCGAGAAGCGAGCTCGTCTTCCTGCTGGCGACATTGTCCTTGACTTTGTTGGCGTTGTGCGTGACAAAAAGCAGCAGCGCGAGCGCGAGTATTTCGATAATGTGGCTAAAACTGCAATGGCCGTCGCCAGGCAGCTGACCAGGGAGCATCTGTCCTCTGCGGGTGCCTCAAGCGACGAGGGCGAATTGCCTGCTGAGCTCCAGCATCAGATCAAAACTGCCATCGAAAGCATGCGTACTGGTACTGTCCCCGAGGATCAGTTCGATGCTGCCGCCTCCCTTCTCGGCCTCCATTATGGGGGTCCCATTTCTATTCCCTCGGCCGGCGAGTTCGCCACTCATTCGTCTGAGGATACATGCACCGCCACCAAGCCTGATGAGCCTACCGATCATGAGGAATCTCAGGTTACTATTCAAACTGTTACTTCTGATCTTCCGGTCGGTGATGAGATCGCCGCTTCTACTACTTCCGATGCCGAGACTGGATCTCGCCCGGATGAGACCCCTGCCTTGGCTCCTCGCCATAAATCTCTTTCTCGAACCTCACGCAAATCGGTCACCCCAAAGGCCACTCTCCGGACATCTCGAGCTTCCACATCCGGCCTTTCCGATGGGGAACTTCTTCCCCGGGCCCGGTCGTCTACGCTGAAGCAGACGGCCCTCAACTTCAAGAAAAAGCGATCTCGCGTTGATACCGAGGAACCTATTAAAGATGACCAAGAGCCGGCGCAGAAGCGCCAGCACACAAACTCCGATTAAGTCACCTATGAAACGAGTCTGTCTAGCTCCATGAGGTCATGCGTTGCCTTGTCCCGGAAAAGTCGAACGCGGTCAAAGTGATGCGAACCCCCGCACACACCAATATGCACCATAATTCCTCAACCTTTTCATCATTTTCAGCATACCATTTGCATCAGCACCGTACAAAGAATTGCAATTCGCAATGGACAGTGGCGTTTTATTATTTTTTTTTCCAGGAGAGAGGGATGATTCTTGAGCCTGGTTTTCAGGCTTTCCGTTCTGCGACTGCAAACCATCGTCGATTCCCAACTTTTTTCTTTTTCAGATTCTTCGAGTTGTCTGACTAGGAATGCTTTTGTTTTTTTTTTTTTGTTTTTTTCTGCTATGGCCCGGGTTGGTTTTCTTGTTCTGCATTTTCCTGGTTCTGGACTTTGCGAAATTGACACGAGCATGGGACGGCGCATTCGAGACTCGAAGAATCTTGTTTTGTACGATTATTTAGCATAGGCCGTCAATGGATTCTTTCCATTTTGTGATTTGAATCTACCGTACAACCTAGCCGAGATATTGAATGCCTATAGAATGAGCGGTCCTTGTCATCTGTCCAGTCGTATTCAAAGAGACGTTGAACAAGGTGTCCTGACAAGGGTCACCAAAAGACGCAGGGAAGATGTTCCGAAAGGCCAACAGAATGTAAAATTTGGGCTTATTTGCGCCATCTTCTCGGCCAGGCCGTAGATTACTTTCGAAAAAGAAAAAAAAAAAAAAAAAAAAGGGAATGATAAGACCGTAAGAATAAAATCCATTTCGTACTCTACATGAAGACCCGAAACCAGAACCAAATGGCTGGGACAAATCAAAGTAATTAACGACACGCAAGAACAGAAGTATCACGCTCTGGTATGACCGGTCACCCGCGGATATAAAGTTTAGAGAAACTTCTTGGGCATGTTGGCGCGGCGCTTCTTGTAGACGATATAGGAGACGGCAAGGAGGACCTGGAAGGCGATAACCAGGAAGATGAAGAAGCCCATGCGAGGAGTTGAGGCGGTGATGGCTGTGTATAATGTCAGTCAATTGGGACACTTTTATACTATGGGAGATAAATTTAGGCGTACCGCTCAGCAAATGGCCCTGCAGACTCTCAGTCAAGCTGAGATGCGACGACCGCAGGGTATCGTGGAGCTGGCTGAAGCTGCCGCTGTAATCCCGTCCTTGGATGTCACGCTGGACGCTCTGAAGCAGGGTCTCGATGCGCTGAAGGCGAGCGTCAAGGGCAGCAAGGTCGCTCTTTGTGGCCAGGTTCTGCTGCATCTCCGCATGGCGAGACTCGCTCTTGGCGGCCTGGCTTCTCATGTCCTGGAGGATGGTGTTGGTGGCCTTGTTGGCAAGCTGGAGGCGGCCCCCAAATCAACGAACTGAGCGGCAATGCCGGCATCGAGAGAACTTTTGCCAGAAGAGGAAACGGGAGGAAGGTTGGCTGGGGGTGCTTGGTTCTGAATAGGCTGCTGGGGAGCGTTGTTCTGATACACGGGAGCACTCTGGCCAGAGGCGGATTCCAAGATGAACTTGAAGATCTCGAAGGAGTCGGGATTCTCGGGGGTTGCAGCAGTAATACCGAATGTGTTGCCAGCAGGCAGAGCGACCTGATTAGGGTAAGTGGGCTGTTCATGGCGCGACTGGGAAAATTACAACGTACCTTGGCGGTTGAGAAGCAGACCTTGTCGTCCACAGTGACCTCGAGGATCGAGCTGGTGTACTTCAGCTTCAGCACGGAGGGCCGGCCCAGGTTGCGGTAGGCATAGTCACAGTGTCCGAAAGCGAGGCTGTCGACACTACGGTGGCTCTTGTAGTCAGTTGTTCCGTCGTTCAAAAAGCCGCGAATGCTTCCACCGCGTCCACCATGCGTATCAATAACTAGAGCAAGGCCGTCGAACTGGCCGACGGTGTAGATGCTCGAGGTTCCAACTCGAGCTTGGCCATCCTTGGTATACCATAACTGGAGAATGCCACCAGCTCTCTCGGGACCACTAGCACGGAATTGGAACTCTGCGGACCATTCCTGTTGAGAAGCACTGTATATCCTTCAGTATTCGTTCCTTGTTCAGCTTGAATTCAAAGGGCAACGTACGGGTTCTGTACCCAGGCGGATCCTCGTGTGTTTCCGGGGTAAGGGGGCGTTAAGATGAGCTTGTCGGAGAGCTAGCTTGCGTGTTAAAATTTGGCACGGGGAAAGATAATCGTTAACTCACAAGAGAAGGCGCATGGCCCTCTCCGCCAATGTTCCATCCTGGGAGATCGTGGCGGGTTGGAGATATCCTAGTGTAGGTGTTAGTTAGATCCGGCACGGGAAAGAGGGTATGCGACAGGGCTCGTTGCCTACCTTTCACCATGCCCAAAACTCTGGCTCTCAATTACCTGGGCAACCGCACCAACGGCAAGCAGGGCTAGGGAAGAGAAGGCTCTCATTGTGACAGGTAGAATAAAAGCTCCGCAGATAATATAGCTGGCAATAGAAAGGCCTCAAAGAACCCCTTTGCGATATAGACACTTGGTAGGTTTAACAAACACAGCCCAGTATCAATCAATCGGCACTCGACTCCTTATGGGACGAACGGGGTTTGCAATCGCAGGATGTCCGAGGGGTTTCGCAAAGGCTAGCGACAACGCGAGTAGTGATCCACCCGACGACAATGGCAATGACACAAAGGCGGGCCTCCTTGGCGATGGCAGCAGCAGATGGAGAGATGTCAATGAAATGATGCAACTGAACACTGTTGAGAATGGTGTGTCGGACGCCGACGTCCGAGAAGTCCATGCGGAAGGTAGTGCTGTTGATACCTGGCCTTCTCCTGATTTGTTATTCTCCGCATTCACGTGACCCAGATGCGGAGGAGCTTCAACTTTCCTGCTCAACTTCCTTTGGACTCAGGAATGCCCTTCTGCTCCAATGGCTGAGCTCTACCCGTCATTGGCGCAGTGCGCCATCGTTGCGGGCGCACTCAAGGTCTTGCTGTTCCCTGCATAGTGAGTTTCCATCCGCCCGCACACTTGCTGAGCGCTGATCATCCCGCTTTTACAGCAAATCGACCGACTTTGAGGTCCATCGCAACTGGCTCGCCATTACCAATTCGCTCCCGATCCAGGAATGGTATTATAATGTTGGTTCACTGGGACTATGGCCTATACCGTGGGCTCTAACAGTTATCTAGAAAACCTCGGAATGGACCCTCGATTACCCCCCGTTCTTCGCGGCCTTCGAATGGCTCATGTCGCAAGCGGCAGCGTACATTGACCCTGCGATGCTAGTTGTTAAGAACTTGGAGTATGACTCTTGGCAAACTGTCTACTTCCAGAGAGCCACCGTCATCTTCACCGAGCTAGTTCTGGTCTTTGCGCTGAGCCGGTACGACGTCTTACCTACGAATACTATGAGCAGCGCTGACCATTAATGGCCTTAGATTTGTCAAGTCTGTTCCCCTTGCAAACAAGCAGGCCGCGCATGTTGCCAGTCTCTCGATCCTCCTCTCGCCAGGTCTCTTCATAATCGACCACATCCACTTCCAATACAATGGATTCATGTACGGAATCATGGTCCTGTCTATTGTCCTGGCTCGCAAGCAGTCAACCCTCCTCTACAGTGGGATTACGTTCGCCGCGCTACTCTGCTTCAAGCATATATACCTCTATCTCTCCCTCGCTTGGTTCGTTTATCTGTTGCGCGCCTACTGTCTCGACCCCAAGAATGTGCTCCGGCCGCGCTTGGGAAATATCATCAAGCTTGGGGTGTGTGTGGTTGGCATATTTGCCATTGCTTTTGGACCTTTCGTGCAGTGGGGTCAGATTTTCCAGCTCAAGGATCGCCTCTTCCCCTTCTCGAGAGGGCTATGCCATGCGTACTGGGCGCCAAATATTTGGGCTATGTACTCATTCACCGATCGTGCTTTGATTCCACGTAAGTATTTATTTTCAGAAAGGGGTCTTAAAGTCTTGCTGATTAGCTTTATAGTTGCTCCCCGCTTGGGACTGCCCGTTAACCGAGAAGCACTCACTAGTGTCACTCGTGGTCTCGTGGGAGACACATCATTTGCTATTCTCCCCGAAGTGACCAAGGAACATACGTTCTTGCTAACTTTCGTCTTCCAGCTGGTATGTACCCATCTCACAATTCCACGTGGCCTTCTCTTACACTTTCCAGGTTCCCTTGGTGAAATTGTGGTTCCGTCCCGACTGGGATACCTTCGTTGGCGCCGTCACTCTCTGTGGATATGCATCCTTCCTCTTCGGTTGGCATGTGCATGAGAAGGCCGTGCTCCTGATCATCATTCCATTCAGCCTGATTGCACTCAAAGACCGCCGCTACTTCAGCGCATTCCGACCGCTCGCAGTAGCCGGCCACGTGTCTCTATTCCCACTCCTCTTCACAGCGGCCGAGTTCCCGCTCAAGACCGTGTACACCATCTTCTGGCTAGTTCTGTTCCTCTTCGTCTTCGACCGGGTCGCACCGGTCCCAGAGCGGCCGCGCATTTTCGTGTTCGACCGACTCTCCTTGCTATATCTGACCATTTCCATCCCCCTGATCATCTATTGCTCACTGGGCCACTATCTAATCTTTGGATGGGAACGGCTCCAGTTCCTACCCTTGATGTTCATGAGCAGTTACTCAGCCCTCGGGTTAGTCGGGAGCTGGATCGGGTTTATGGTGGTATACTTTACTGCATAGACACTTTGTTACAACCCATAAACTAGCTAATAATTAAAAGCCAAGCTTGATTCAATCATCTCTCTAACTTGACCAAATTCTTCAACTTAACATGGTGACGTAATCAGTTTGCACTGCTTTGCATTCCACGTGGATCAGACCCACCAAACCACAAAAGTCTATTGCGGCACGTCCCCAATACGGTTAGCGCTGCTCGTGAATCCATGCAGCATGCCGTCTGCGAGATGCGGGCTGGTTACGAAGCGTGTGTGACACTGATTTGGGTGGGTATTGTGATTTCTGGTAAGATCCTAGCTTTGGGTGAGATTGGGAATCTGGTCTTGCTTGTTCTGGGGTTTGTGGTGGTGGAACATAGATCCGACCGTAGATTATATATTTGCCCGGTGTGAAAAGGTGAAACAACTCAAGCTAAGCGCCCTCACTCTTCACGAACTTGACGGGTTACTTCTTGACGGGGGTGTCGTAGTTAAACTGTAATATTCGAACAAGGTCATCATTGTACCTTGAAACTCATCTACAAACTAGCCTGTGCAGGTGCCATCTTTGCTAGATTCTACTCTGCACAGGGACATTTCAAACAATATTAGAGAGCTGAAACAAACCTGACACTAATTGGCAGTAATCTATAGAGTATAATACGTCTTCGGCTGCTTGGGACGTTACGAAAAGAGGCTCCACTTAACTGTAGTTCTTTTGCGATGCCTCGTTTCAGAGTACATGCTCAGAGTATTTCCAACCCAGCGTGAAGAAGACGTGGTCATAGGCCCAACCGGAGGCTATTCAAGAGTAGTTTAAGCCCCTTGGCTGCTTCACTGTGTGCACAAATGCGTTATATGTGAAGCATGATTGCGAAAGTACTTGCATTTTCTGCACGGGAGGCCAAAATAGCCTTCACTTTGGTACATCGCGAGAGTGAGCCGAAGGGAATCAGCCTAGCCAGACTTCTATGTAGTAACAAAAGGGCTTCCCTACTTTACAAGTCTTAGAAATTTGATGGATCAAGGTGTTCAAATGACAGGGAGAGGAGTTGCGTGTCTATTCATGTTATAGGTGGGGCCTGACTCCGGGGGGCCGGAGGCGAAAAGGGATGAACAGGGAGAGTGAGATTGGTTACAAAGGGGCTCGTACATTGGGTGAAAGAGTAGCTAGGTAGGATATTCCGACTACGCTTTTGTCGTCTTCGCGACTAGACACCCCAGCTGTGATGCGTATCAAGAAGACTTCATATTCTCAAACTAGACCGTATGCTACTGATGCAGCATCCAGTTCCTCAGAATCAAGGTGAAGAGTCAATTGAATTTGCGGACTACATGTTCTTAGGAAGGCTTTTCTTGTTCAAAATGAGTATAGCGGAGGAGGAGTAGCCATGGTCAGTGGGAGAAATAGCTCCCTTCCCAATCGGGATATTCTTTCAAAAAGGTGCTATAACATAATTGGATGAAAGAAGACGTCGGGAAGTGGCACTGCTGCACATTTCTACCAGTTCCAGAGATGGTGGTGGATAATTATACGATTTCCGAGGCACTTGACGATTATTGTTGTAAGTTGACACTGGGTGAGTGCACTCCACCCGGGGTACGGTAATTGATAATCGGGTGGAATGGATAGATTTTTGCGGTGAAAGAGCTCAAAAACAAAACCCGTGAATTGGGCGCCTTCGACGGAATCGAACGAGTGCAAACACTCCTAGAGTTGGTGGGCTAGGTGCGGAAGGGAGGGCGTTCGCAGCCCCGAGCAGGGCGAGGAGGGTCCCGAGGGAGAACAAGCGACAAAGTTGCCAAATCCAAAGTTCGCTGGGGCACTGACTCCCGCTGCTCCTCCTCTCCACCAATCACAGCCCTCCCCCGAGTCGCGGTTGATCTACCGCTTCTGCTTTCTGACTTTCTGACTTTACCTCTGTTTCTCCCCTGTCCTTCCTTGCCCTTCAACGCGACTTGCGCGTCCACCATCCACCATCGATCTCTTCGTTCGGAATCCCGAAATTGTTTGCGACTGTCGCCGCACTATATTAGACGCGTTTGCCCAGTAAGTCCGCGACTCCGACTGCAGGCCTCTCCTGCTCTCTCCGCACCCATGTCCGGTTCGGGTCGCTTCGACCACAACCCCTTTGAAGGACTGTGTGAGAACCATGCGCGGCCTCTTCTGGAGCATCTCTTACGTGGATTGCCCTCATCTCCGACCATTGTTGGCTCGACACGGTCATGGCCTGATAATTTTCCGCATGGTGAACTACTTTGGCTAACTTCATGCGCGTATGCTTTAGTCGTTTCATGTCCGATTTTGCCCGCTGTAGTCTCTGGTAGACTGGCGCGTGCCCCCGGTCTATAGAGGATAATGGTATGCGACACCCACCCTGTTGGAGATTTGGCCGCGGAGGCCACCGGAGCTGGAACCGTACGGATGGCTAGAGAATTGTGACTGACAATTCTTTAATTCAGGTTCTGTTCAAACGAAAGCCCGTTACATACCTCCCGCAGCCTGTCATTGAAGATGAAAGCTCCGAGGTATGTCGCTATCTACCATCCGCGTCGTGAACGAATCGTTAGTTAACTCCCGTCCTAGGTCTGGGTTATCCCAGAAACCAGCGAGGTCTTCACTAGCTATGACCCATATCTTCAACGGATGGACTTCTACAAGCAACGTCGATTCATCTGCGAGATCACGGGTCATTCAGGCATGAACTTCTTCGAGGCACTTCGGAGCGAGGTATGTCGCGATTGTGGTATTGGGGGTTGGACATGAGCTCATTGATGTCTTAGACGGAAGAATCACGCGAGGTCAACAATAGTTTCCCCGAGGCTTTGAAGGAGCCGATTTTGCGCCGAATCCAATTCTCGACGGTTTCTCGAGTTGATAACTTGGGTATGTTCTCTCTGCGCGAGATGGTCAACCACACCGGGCTAACATATAATTTTATTTGCAGTGGACGAAATTTACGAAGTGAGTCGCTTGCATCGGCCCTGACTCGTCCCTAATCGATGCTAACAGGAATTAGGAATTCAAGTCTGACTTCTACCCTGGAGAAGCCGTTCTCATTCTGCTGGAAGATAACAGCAGACTACACGGGACCATAAGGGACAAGGCGAATTTTGCTGAACAACTATACGCTGATGGTACCATCAAGACTCCGGCCTTCGCCCGGTACCTAGTAAAGGTTTCAGACCGACCAAATGAAGAGGCCCTGCTGGACCAAAACCACATCACACGGGACCGAAAGGCTTTCACCAAGTTGATGCTTCGCGGCTTCATCAAGAACAATGTTACTCGAGAGGCGTGGACTGGCGCACCCTGGCTGGTGAAGCCGTCGATCGCGGAGGAGTACAAGATTTCCACCGAGGTCCCGAAGCACCTGCAGTACGGTGCCAAGATTGCTGAGAAGAAGGCAATGAAGAAAGCGGGCGAGGATGGTTTCTTCGGGATTTTCTCTTCGCAACAATTGCCTGAACTGAAGCCCGCAGTGAAGGGTCAAAAGTCCAAAATGTCCGCGCAGGAAATGGCCAAGTCCCGTGAAGCGCAATATCAGGAGTACCAGCGATCCCTCAACGGCAACCCTTCGTTCCTTACGCCCCATAATCCTCTCCGTCCGTCCAAACCACCGCTGACGGGCGATAAAAAGATGCATCCGCCATCGGTTGTTATCAAGAACGAGTCACGGCCACCTTCGCCTCCTCCGATTCGGTACCCTATGGAGGATCTGGAGCTGGCTCCTATTCATGAAAGAAAGCCTCGACCCACATTGAAGTTCGTGAAGTTGGGCGAGTCGGATGACGACGATACCGAAGACCTTCTGCCAGACGACCTGGAGCCCGATTCTGTCGGATTGCTCCTGGAAACCTGGAATACTCTTAATGTCTACTGTGAGGTCTATAAGCTGGATTCGTTCACTTTTGATGATTTCCTCCAGGCTATGCGCTTTTCATCAGAGGAGATGGACTGTGAGCTATTTGTGGAATTGCATTGCGCAATTTTGAAGAAGCTCGTGAACGCGGAAGGCAAGGATGGTGGAGCAATTCAAGTCTCTCTCCCCGATTTTCCTGCAGACGACTCAGATGATTCTGAGGAGGGAGACGAAGACGAGCCGGAGGAAGATGAGGGCGAGGAAGAGCCGGCGCCCAGGGCAACGAGAATGACCACCCGGGGCAGTCTAGCCAAAAAAGAGGCGAATGAGATCAAATCCAACATCCAAGAGGACGAGCCCGAAGACGAGCGCATCCATCGCGCCGAGGAAATGCTCGAAAAAGTCGGCTGGATTGAGCGTCTTCGCCGGCGAGACTTCCGCAATGGTGGCTGGGAAATGGTCATGGTTGGTCTCCTACATCAGCTCTCTGTTCTTCCCCGATCGGAGAAGATTTGCAATGAAATCTTACAGCATCTCGCCCCTCTTGATATGCCTGCCACTCAGAAGACTGCGCGCGAGCAGTACCGCACTCTCGATATTAATCTGCGGGTCAAGGCTCTCCAAATGATCTGCATGCTGAGCTTGGAAACCAAGGCTATCAAGAACTACCTAGAGGAATGCAGTAATCAGATGACGGAGTTCCGCAAAGAGAAGATCGAGCACCAGAAGGGACGCAAGACAGCGTAAGTTGATCTCTTCTTGACTGTGAATCCCTATATACTAATCTTTCATCCCCAGACTCGCTGAACTCCGCCTGCTGCATCAAGACCGGAAGGCGCTCGCACCAGAGCCTGAAAAGGGCACTGTTGCAAAGTCGCCCACGCCTATTCCCGAGCTCGAGGATGGTATGGATGACTCCAAGATGACCGGCCTCGAAGGTGACTCGGAAATGCCTCTGGATACCGAGGATGAGGATACTCCTCGGCCGCGAGCTCTACGTGGTGGGATTGATCGTGCCCTAGAGCGTAAGCGCAGACAGGAGGTGGAGCGCGAACGCAAGGAACAACTGGCGAAGCAGCCCAAGGGTTCTAAGGCGTACCAGAAGGTCCTGAAAAAGATCGAGGAACAAAAGGCCCTCATAAAAGATTTCGAAGCGAAGATCGAAGTATGCGAGAACGACCTGCGCGAGGCGGACTGCCCACGAACGAAATGTCTAGGCCTAGACCGTTTCTGCAACCGATACTGGTGGTTTGAGCGCAATGCTATGCCCTACGAGGGCATGCCCACTAGCTCCACCGCCGAGGCGAAGTATGCCAACGGGCGGGTCTGGGTTCAGGGTCCCGATGAAATGGAAGTCTCGGGCTTCATTGATCTAACCGACGAGCAACGCAAACAGTACTACAAACACTTCCAGACTACGCCCGCGGAGCGCAGGAGCCTCGAAGAAGGCCCTACGCACGTCACCAACGCACGGGAATGGGCCTACTACGAAGATGCGGAGATGGTCGAGCAGCTCATCGAATGGCTCGACCCGCGCGGTAACCGCGAGTGCAAGTTGCTGAAGGAACTCTTAAGCCAACGCGATGTCATTACCAAGTACATGCAGAATCGCCAGGAATACCTAAACGAGACTCGCGACAGGGCCGAATCCGAGGAGATGCCGACCAAACGTGTCACTACCCGCACTAAGACCTACGTGGACACCAACGAGCACCGTCTCCGCTGTCTGCGCTGGCGAAACACGACTGCTCTGACCGACCTTGGCCACCTTCACGTGGACCCTGACCGACCCCTCAAACGCAAGCGAGCATCCTCTGCCGCTGATTTGCGCGAGACCAAGGCAACCCGGGGTAAGCCGTTGACCCGCCGCGGATCGCGGCGCGGACGGGGATAACCCAACGGGGCCATCACGCGACCACGAATCTGATTGTACAATTTCATTATCTCATTATTACGCGGATTCCTTTCTGTATACCGTTTATTTGCACAGGAGGAGTCGGGGGTTTATTTTTACCTTGAATAGAAATGGCACATAGACATTAACTACCGCAGAACCGTTAAAGAAAGTACCAAGGCGGATATAGGCTGACAAATCGGCATCTCGGGACTCGTTCAACGAGATTACCCGCCATCCCGGCCCGCATCGTATCCGTACGGTAATCCCACGGCTACACGCGGGGTGCGGCTGGTATCGGCATGTCAGCTCTTACGCCGAACCGTAGTCAAATCGACGTCAGAGTCAAAGTTGCGACTTGAACAAAACATTCTTTTACGTTTCTACTTGTCCATTTTCGCAAATTCTGTATAGAAGCACTCGTGGATTACTTGGAGAATCCATATATCTCCCCTAAGCCGCCCTTTCGCAGCCTGTCCAGGGTACCGAGGAACCTCCGGTAGGCCGAAACTTTTCTTCCAGATTATCGCCGAGTGATCACGAGGGAACACCGTTCTTCCCCAGACCCTCTCCCGGTGCGCCTCGGCCGCACAACTTCGACTCACCTGTCGACCAGTTTCTCATAACATGCGCAGAGTTCTGTCATAGCTCCAAACTCTCATTTTAAAACATACCCGAGTCCAGTCGGCAATCTTATCACTCAGATGAGTGACCTCGCTCAATCGCGATCCTCGGGGCCCATTGCCACCGGCGCGGGCGCACAACTTGCTACCGGCAGCAATTCAGAGAAGCAGAAGGACAGCGGAACAAACACAGTAGTCAAGACTCGCAGTCTAGACTATGTATTACGGAGTGGTCTAGCCGGTGGATTGGCCGGTTGTGCGGTACGTGCGCGGCAATCATAAGAGCCTCCTGGACCGATACTAATCGGATGTGAATACAGGCAAAAACAGTCGTTGCGCCTCTCGATCGCGTCAAGATTCTATTCCAGGCATCCAATCCTCAATTCGCCAAGTACACCGGCAGCTTGGCAGGTCTCGTGGCCGCTATCCGCGACATCAAGCGCTCTGAAGGGTCCCGAGGCCTGTTCAAAGGCCACTCCGCAACTCTTCTCCGTATCTTCCCCTACGCCGCTATCAAGTTCCTCGCCTACGAGCAGATTCGCGCAGTCGTCATCTCCTCCCCCGACCAAGAAACCTCTATCCGCCGCTTAGTATCCGGCAGCATGGCCGGCATCACCTCCGTATTTTTCACATACCCACTCGAGCTCGTCCGAGTGCGATTGGCCTTTGAAACGAAAAAGTCCTCACGGTCTTCCTTGAAGGATATCTGCCGCCAGATCTATAATGAACGCATCACCTCTCCCTCAAGAGGCGCCGCATCCCACGCCTCAACCACCGTTGCCGCCGCCGAATCCGTTTCTTCAACCGTCAACAAGGCAGTGCCTCGCTCCGGCTTCGCCAACTTCTACCGTGGCTTCGGCCCAACCATTCTGGGCATGGTTCCCTACGCCGGCATGTCCTTCCTCACCCACGACACGATAGGCGACTGGCTTCGCCACCCCTCCGTCGCCCAATACACTACCATCCCTGACTCAGAATCCAAACCAAAGAAGGGCTCCCGACACCCCCAACTAACCGCCACAGCCGAGCTATCTTCCGGTGCCCTTGCCGGTCTGGTATCCCAAACATCCTCATACCCACTTGAAGTGGTCCGACGACGAATGCAAGTCGGCGGTGCAGTTGGTGACGGCCGTCGTCTCGGCTTAGTTGAAACGGGCAAGAAGATCTACCTGGAGCGAGGATTCCGCGGTTTCTGGGTCGGTTTGACTATTGGCTACATGAAGGTTGTGCCGATGGTGGCCACCAGTTTCTTTGTTTATGAGCGACTGAAATGGTCTTTGGGCATTTAGACCTGAACTTCAGAACCTCTGAGATTCCATATCCAATTCCATTTTCTTGCCCTTTGTTTGTGATCGCTGCATATGGCGATAAGACCATTCTGGTTGGCCGATGCGTCTCGGCATCTTTTGATTCCCCTTGGCGTTGTGTGGATAGCTATCTGGGCTCTTATTATTTTTTTTCAGCGATAGATGGGCTACCATGGCTATGTTGAGATACCGAAGATGAACATATATTCCATTTCTTCAAGACTATGACTACCACTTCGTATGCTCTCGTAGACAGCTTTATGAAATCCAGGTTAAGCTAACATTCGGATGAACTTACCTATCAATACTCGCTGATTCGTAATGTATTTTCTACAATCGAAGGTATCAGCCAACTGTCAAATGAGATTCGCTTCTATCTGAAGTAGGTCGAGTTTTGGTTCTTCATTTGGATCTACAGTGTGAGAACACCACACGCTTGTGTTGGGACAAACATTGGAAAGATTCAGGATAGACAAAACATTCTTGAGATGGACTCTTGCAAGACAGATGAAGGATTGAAATGGACCAAAGGTATGAATGTATGTATGTAGTTCGGGCCCGGAGATGCGCACGGACCACCTTTTTCGCCGCAAAAAAAAAGTTGGAGACTTCCGACTTCTTCACTCCACTTCAGTCTCACCACAACACAAAATGACGACTCGCAAGCACAACGAATTCCTCGATATCGCACCAAGCGACGACGAGTCAGCCAGCGATCGTGGCTACGATTCCGAGGAGAATGTCGCGAAGAGCAAAGGCCGCGCCGTGAAGCGCAGGCGGACCACAAACACCCAGGACTTTTTCGGTGTCGAGTCAGACAACGACGAGTCAGCAGATGACGACAATGAGGAGGAGGAGGATCGCGCAGAAGTTAAAGGCAAGAAGAGCAAGCAATCAAAGGCTACGCAGCCTGCCTCTAACGACGAGGACGAGAATGAGGACGAAGACGGAGGCGCACTCCTGGACCCCACGAAACCTTCCAAGCCCGTCAAAGTACTCTCCACCAAACCGCTTAAGGAGTCTAAGAAGAACAAGACCGGAGTCGTCTACCTCTCCTCGCTGCCGCCGTATCTTAAGCCCTTCGCTTTAAAAAATATGATAGAGAAAAGGAATCTGGGTCCAGTCACGAAGGTTTTCCTCAGTCCTCGAATGCCAAATAACTCTGGCTCTACCCGACGCTCCAACTCTCGTCAACTCTACAATGACGGCTGGCTTGAGTTTCAATCGGTGAGTCCCGACAATAACCGCTATGAAGGAACGAGACTGACACCGAAACCTAGAAAAAATCCGCCAAGATCTGCGCCGAGACACTGAATGCGCATATTGTGGGGGGTCGCAAGGGTGGATGGTACCATGACGACGTCTGGAATATGAAATATCTGAAGGGTTTCAAATGGGCAGACCTTATGGAACAGGTGCAGCGTGAGAGATCGGAAAGAGAGGCCAGGCAGCGGATTGAAGATGCCCGTGCCAAGAAAGAAGAAAAGGTCTTCATGTCTGGTGTTGAAGCTGGAAGAATTGCGGATGGTATGGCTAGGAAGAATGAGGAGAAGAGGAAGAGGCAGCTGGCTGAGGCTGACCGTGCTGGAACGGAGGATGCAAAGGCGAAGAAGGCTTCGGAGAAGCCTGCGCCGGTGCGGAGGCGCTTTGTGCAGAACGATGTTGTTAAGCGGAAGGACGAGAAAGGGGTTACAGATGATGCTGATACCCGCCGGGTGCTTGGAAAGATTTTCTGATTGTTTACTGCCAGGTGGTGGTTGTATGAATTACCTCGAAACATTTACTTTTGATATCCATAACGATGAAAATATTTGCATCCAATTCATGCTATAAACATGTATGTCTTTTAGAACTTTTTTTTTTGTAGATCCCACGAAAAACAGAGTAAATGAACGCCAGCCATGATCGTCAAAGATATCAATATCAACTTCAATCGCGGAAAGTTCATTGGTCGTTCACGTTCAACTCATCAAAGTCATCGAGCAACTCATCCATGTTGATCTTCGGCACCTCGTCGTCACTGTCACTACCCTCGTCCATCATATCATCACCGCCGGGCTGCACCTTATTCCGGTTCTTGTACAGATCCAGCGTGCCCCGCAGCTCCTGGTCCTCCTCGACATCGCGCAGGAACATCTCAAAGTCGGCTTCGAGGCGCTGCTGCTCCTGATCCTGCTTGCGGCTCTGGGTAGGGGCAGAGGCAGCGGCCATAGCCTCCTCCTCGTGCTCGCGAGCCATGCGGCGAAGGCGCCAGGCACGGCTCTTCGGCTTCTTCTTGCGCGCATAGTGCTTCTTAATCAGAATTACGTCTGGAATTGTATCCCGATATTGGGAGCTGGCTTCGATGGCATCGAAGTTGGGGTCGTTGAAGTTGGTGTCTGTCAGGTGGTAGCCGAGAACAGAGTCACCGACGTGCAGAATAGCGCCGAGATGCGTACGCGTGAAATATGTGATGTCATTAGAGCCAAGGTCTGAGGCACGAGCAACCGTAGCTTCAGCCAGATGGTATCGGCCGTTGGACTTGCCGAGGGGCTCGATGTCCATGATGATGAATTCTTTTAGCTCAGTCACATTGGCCAGAGAGTTGAACGGAGAGCGCCAGTAAACTCCGGTGGGAATCTCAGCCGTTTGAAGGGTCTGAGGGTCCATAATGTTGACCGCTGTACCGACACGGTGGCAGATGGCCAGGGGAGAGATATTGCCTATCTGGCGAGCCAATTTGATCGGAATTGAAACGAGATCGTCACGACATATAGGGATAATCTCAACACTGAAGCTGAACTTGTATGACGAAGTACCTATATTTATATTAGTTTCAATTTTCTTGTAAATCCGAATCTCGAAATGTTACCTGAGTGGGTGTCACTCGAGATTAGCGTCGAGCTCTTGGTATAACGGCAGGGAGCAACACTGCACAAGAAGTCAATCATCTTCTCGGCCTGGTTGCGGTGGGCATAGTAAAAGTCGAGTCCATTTTTCGCTTCTTTGATGTTGAGGGTGTCCTTGTGGGCGCCGGATTTTAGGATGAGTTGCTCGAGGTACAAGAATGTCCGCTTATGGGGCACCTTCTGCCGAACCTGAACACTTGCACGGAAGGCATGGTGCGTGAAACTTTTCGCGCAATCTGCGAATTTTTGTTAGATATGCAATGAGGAAGTGGGGAAGCGGCGACAATGAGGGAAAAATCCAAATTGACGACGAGGCTATCTCACCGGTGCACTGCTGATTGTGTACTGTGTATTCAACCTCAAACGCTTGCTGGACGATGGTGCCCTCGAAGGCCTCCTGTTGGATCGTGATCTTGACCTTAATACGGCGAGAGTGGGGTTCGGTCCAGATAAAACTGGCGTCGATGATGCGGACTTTGTTGAGACCAGTGAGTTTGCGCAGACAGATAGCCAGGAGTTCCTTCGATTCGAGATTGGCAACGACCCAGCTGTTGGGAGGTTGCAGCCATCTTTCACAGTCTCTGCAAGAGTGGATGACGGCTTCGCGCTGAATGCCTTGAGAGACGTCGACTGTGAGCCTCACGCAATCGTTGCAAAGTGCACCGGCAGAGGTGGTTCCATCGATGGGGGCACCGCAGTTGCAACACAAAATACTGCTCCAAAGTTAGTATCGAACCAAAATCCCAAGTAAAAAAAAAACCCCGCGATAAGGACTCACGTTGCGATGGTGGGCTCGTCCTGCTGCATGCCCGTCATGTAGACGGGGGCATCCAGATCCATCGACATCTTGGAGCGAGGATCCAAATGACAAGACTTCAAGAAAAAAAGAAGACTTCAAGAGCCTGTGAGAGACAGGAAACTCATCGATTTGTAACTTTTTGCCCCGCCGTTAATCTTTTTTCAGGCTGACTCATCTGTTTGCACTGTTTACACCGCCGATATCATTATCGCGCTCCGCCGGTTTTTTGAGCTCGACATTATCACACCACCATGAGAGCTGTGTTACGAGGGGCCGTGTGCCAATCATGTCGCCATGAGGTACTTAGGTCTTTTCTTGCGGTATCTGGTGTACCTATGCCACGATTTACCTCCGCCCTTCGACCCGTCTTCAACTCGAGAACTTTCTCTGCGATAGGCTCGTTGCGGTCTGATCGCCCCCCTGTCTCACAATACCCTGAGATCAACGAGTCGCCGGTGGAAGAAAAATCCACTGAACTGGAAAGCGATTCCTCGGTATCGTCCCACATTCCCTGGTATCTCCAGGAAGAATCACCCGCTACCGAAAGTCGTCCAGTATCTGGAGATCACATCCCGGAGATACCAGAAAATTCGCCTGAAATCCTCCCCACCCTCGTCGAATATACATACAAGGATCTTGGTCTGGATAGTCTGAAGCTTTACGACCTGCGTGGCCTCGAAATCCCTGCCGCTCTGGGAGCTAATGTTATCATGATCATTGGCACAGCGCGCAGTGTGAAACATTTAAACGTTTCTGCTGATCGCCTCTGCCGCTGGTTGCGGAGCACGTACAAGCTTTCCCCTTATGCGGATGGCTTGTTGGGACGCAACGAGCTCAAGATCAAGCTTCGTCGCAGGGCCAAGCGTGCGCGTGCTGCCAGCGCTGCCGGCGCATTCATTGACGAGAAGGACGATGGGATTACCACCGGCTGGATTTGTGTCAATGCGGGTGTGATAGACAAGAACGCCCCAAGGGCAGAGCTCAGTGATCTAGGCTTTGAAGGATTTGGTCAAGTCGATACGGGCACCAGCGTCGTGGTCCAGATCTTTACGGAAGAGAAGCGAGCCGAGGTCGATCTCGATGGTCTTTGGGAAAAGACTTTCGAAAGGGCTGAAAAGAAACGACTCCAAGATATACAGAAAGATTCTACTGCTGCTTCTCAATATCCGGCCACCAGTGGCTCTCCTTTCGGCCTTGGCGGTCAGAAGCGGCACCTTCATTCTGCTCAACGAGATGTGTTGCCTCACAACAATTTTAGCGAATCGAGCTTGTCTGATGTTTTGGCTGCCACGTCCGCTTCGCAGAAAACACGAGGAAAAAATATGAGCACTGAATCTTTGCTAAAACTGTTGGTTGGACTCCCTCATGAGAGCGCCCGGAATGAATTGGGGACCGGTCCTGAAGATCAAAAGTCTACACTTTTTCTGCAGCTCCTGTATGCCAGCTTGCCACCGAGCATGGCGGAACCGGAGATCACCCATCTACGTTTGAATCTGTTTTCGATCGCTGTATCTCGGCAACACTCCGCGTATAGCAAGGATGAGCTGTTTAGCACATTCTCCGGCCTTCTGAACGGTGGCCACGACCTTTCAGACGACCTCGCCTTTGAGATTCTTGCCGCCCTTCTGACACCGAGGCTGGAGAACATCCAGCAACCATCACCGTATCTCCCGGAATCGGACATGGAACTGGCCTTGCAGGTTCTTGATCGCCTGAGCCTTCGTGGCGTCCCGATTCTCAATTACAAATTGTTCAACATGCTTTATCAAGTCGTTGATATCCCTACAACCCCTTCTTCTGGGCCACCACCCCACAAGTCAGCTTCACGGCCGATGAACAGCAAACGATGGACTGAGTCTCAGCGACAAAAGCTGGCCCGGCTATCGAAGATCGTGGCGGCCGCGGAGGTTCCATTTGACGCGCCCGAAGCTCGCAAACTCATGGTGACCCAGTTTCGATGGGAGGATTACGATGGATTTTGGCGTCTGTGGCGACAGCTACCCCTGAAAGGTGCTCGGCGCACGCGAGAGGACTACGCCCAGCTGTTCCAGCTCCACGCAGATCTGGGCGACGAGCTCCGGGCACGAGACTGCCTATCAGCGTGGGTGCCCATGATGGCCCGGGAACAAAACCCGATTGTACTTCAGGGGCCGCTTGTTAACTCACTGATGCACTGTCTACTGGTGGCAGATCCGAACATTCACACTCGCTCGGAGGATGCCTCTCCGAGCTATTTCTCGGAGGTTTGGACTCGATGCCAAAGTGCGTTGGCTCAGGCTGCAGCCCATGATGACGCTTGGTAAATGGAAACCAATGTTGTATAATAATACTTTAGCAAATAGCGTGTACCAAAAGAAAGAACTTCATTCTGTATAAATTGTCATATCAAATGTCTAGAGGTAAAGTAAAGCGCTCGGCGTTGGAGTTTGGGCCTCGGCTGATGATCCCTGGATCCGGCGGACTCCTCCACACTCTCCGCCTCTCCACCTTTTCGACTCCCCGACTTCCCGACTTCCCGACCTTCATCCATTATTCTGTCGACGATGACCGGTGCTCCTGAACATGGAGTACCTTCCTAGTCTTCAACAGGAGTTCGATGGGTTCAAGCCATCGCTCTTCGGTAAGTCCTGCCCTCGAGGAGGAGAGCCCCGAACACGGGAACTTGCGCACATGCGGAGTTGCTAACAAAGACATCGCCGGACTCTAGAACTCCTCGCTGAACAACAACTATCCGATCTCCTTCCTCCGTCTTTAAGATATCTCCTTGCGGTCGCGACACACCGCCACCCGCGGTACCTCCTCCGGATCCTCAACTCATACGACGAGGTCTACGCTCTCCTGTCCCTGGTCGTCGAGCGATACTACCTGCGCACTTTTGGTGGATCTTTCACGGAGAACTTTTATTCCCTCAAACGCGAGCGCGTCCTTCGCACCAAGAATGGCGAGATCCCGCGCGCCCAGGTTGGCGCCGGAACCCCCGTACGCGAGGCCCTGAAGCTGCACTCAGCAGACGTGTGGAAGAACTTGCTCGTCATGGTCGGCATTCCATATCTGAAGCGCAAGCTCGATGAGGGTTACGATATTCACGCTGCGCCGCAGGCGGCCCTAGCATTGGGTGGCGGGCCGCGATATAATCCCAGTGAAGACCTACCACACAACCCAACAGTGCGTCAGCGCATCTTCCACTACTACAAGTGGTTCTTGCGAAATGTATACCCGTCCGTGAACGCGGCCTATTACTTCTCTATTTTGGCGTTCAATCTTGCTTACCTTTTCGATAACACCAAATACTCCTCCCCATTCCTATGGCTCATTGGTACGCGGATCCGTCGCCTCGGAGCCGCAGATCACCGTGCTATTGCCGAAGTGCTGGACCCGAAGCCTGCGCCTGGCGGTGGCCGGTCTCAGCGCCCTGGATCGGGCTTGTTGGGTCTTCTTAGCCCGCAGAACATGCACACCCAGCTTTTGACTTCTCTGCGCTATTTCCTTCCTGCCTCAATCTTCGCGCTGAAGTTCCTTGAGTGGTGGCATGCAAGTGACTTCTCACGGCAATTGACTCGCAAAGCAACTGAGGTCCTCGACTTGCCTGCCCCAGTCGTCTCGGGACTTACCAACCCGGCAGAGCGCAAGAAGTCTGGCCAAGAAGAGAACGAAAAGAAGCAAGCAGAGCAAGAAAAGAAATCTGGCGACCTCAAATCCGCCCTCAAAACACCTCGCCGACACCAATCACCTATTTCTGCGACCTCGTATCTCCCTATCTTCACCGTCCCCTTACCACCGGGCGACCTCTCTAGCGCCAATACTTGCCCTGTCTGCTTAAACGCGCTCACCAACCCGACAGCCTGCCAGACAGGATACGTCTTCTGCTACGTGTGCATTTTCCACTGGCTTAACGGTGAGCACCAGCGCCAGTTGGATTTCATGAACGGCGAAGGTGCGGGTGCAGCTTGGGAAGAAGAAATTACCGGTGATGATGATGAAAGTATAAAGAAGTCCTCGGATGATAACGAAGAAAAAGGCTCTCGCAAGCGAGGTGGAAAGTGGGAGAGTGGAAAGGGTAGATGCCCTGTTACTGGCCGGAGAGTTCTTGGAGGAACTGAGGGCTTGCGACGAGTCTTGATTTGATCGTGCATATAAATTCTGTACCTTTATACACATACATATATCCAACCCCCGAGCGGGTAACTTCATCATGTCGGTCGACGAGCTCTTCAGATCCATGGTTGAGAAGCTCCTGATTCTGCAATAGTTGCAAGACCATCATCTATAGCCAATGAAGCCCTACATAGATAGCTTTGCTCGCGTGATACGGACTTTTGACTGATCTGCAGATTCTACACCACAACGCACGGTGACGGTAAATTAGGCGCCGAAAATGGCTACCCTTACGTAGAAGAAGCTATAAATTGCCTGGCTGATCCTTCTGTGTGGCGTTCCTTGGGCCAGGAAGACAAGACCCAGTTACGACAACTTGGTCGAGGCCAGGTTCATCGATCAGAGGGATCTGCAGCTGGCCTGAAAAAACTGCATGATGGATCCATTGTCGATCCCAATAAACCCACTACGGCTGAGCGACTGCTGCAAGGGCTGTGAGGAGTGCCAATGTTTTCTTTTCCACGAAATAAACCTCGCGGCCGATTTGGAAAAAAAAAAGAATGACTGAAACTTTCCATTATTCTCGTTCAAGCTTACATCTCTCTACCTAAGGCTCTCGAAAAGCACTGGCATAGACTTGATAGAATGTCGGAGGTTCGGCCATGGGGTTATGGGTGGCGCTCGTCGCAATCGTTTGTCATTTTCACTGCCACCTTGGGACTCTTTTCTGAGACTTTTCTGTACGCTTTCATCGTGCCCATCTTGAGTTATATGATCGAGGACCGACTAGAATTGCCTCCATCCCAAACACAGTGGCTTACCACCGCACTTCTTGCGACTCACGGGTTTGTCTCGGTAGTATCTGCTCCAATCATTGGTCATTTTGCGGACAAGACGTCAAGTCGCAGAATACCCCTCCTCATTGCTCTAGCAGGATGCTTTGTGGGAACGCTCTTGCTTTCTATTTGCCCTTCCGGTATGTATCAGTATATACCTCATCGCCATAGACAGGAAGCTGACAACGGCTAGTGTGGGTTCTCTTCGTGGGTCGTATTGTTCAAGCGGCCTCCGGGTCAGCGGGCTGGATTGTAGCCTTTGCCACCTTGACAGATAATGTCAAGCCAGACCATATCGGCAAAGTGCTCGGCACGGCCATGTCATTCGTGATAGCCGGCATTATCACAGGGCCGATGGTCTCTGGGGCATTACTTCAGCTAGTAGGATACTGGGCTGCATGGTCTGCTCCTCTTCTGCTTCTTGCGGTGGGTTTCATCGCGAGGCTGCTCATGCTCGAGAAAAATGATATGCAGGTTGCAACCTCAGAGCACGCATCGATTGACGAACAAGAAGCATTACTTGGCGCAAATATTTGCAATAGCAAGCCTGATCTGGAACAACAATGTCCAGCACCGCCATCCCTTGGCTTCTACCGCATTGTGCTATGCAATATTCGAATTATTGCCGGGCTTCTCAATACGGTAATGTTCTCTATGATTCTATCTGGATTCGACGCCACATTACCGCTTCACCTACAAAGAGTCTTTCATTGGGGTACTTTGCCGATAGGTATTATCTTCCTTGGGTTGCAGGTCCCCGGCATGGCCCTAGGCCCTGTAGTCGGATGGCTTCGTGACCGGGTGGGACTGCGCAATCCGACTACCATCGGGTGGATTCTTATTGCACCCTTGCTATGGATGCTGGGCATTCCAGGAACTGGAGTTGACTGGGCAGATAATGAAGCAAATGGGCAAGTCATCTTCATCATTGGTGTTGTTGGGATCGGTAGTGTTGCGCCACTGGTTCGCGGGGCGGGAACATTCCAGCTAATAGGTAAAGACAATTTCTTCTGCCTACCTTACGATACTATTCTGACACTTGAGTAGCTGTTACCAACGATTTGCAAAGCAAGAACGCTTCGATCTTTGGGCCTCATGGAGGTAGCTCAAGAATCTTCTCGATTACGGAGATTGCCTTCAATATTGGAACAATGCTTGGGCCCCTTTTTTCGGGGGCTCTTGTGGAAGCATTTGATTTCTTGACAATGGTTGGCACCTTGGGTCAGTGGTACGACATTGCAGATGTGAGACAATACTAATACTTTTGAAAGGCGTCATATCTTTCGCAGTCGCTCTTTCCTCTTTTGTTTTCCTTTCACGGGAATCCCCAAAACGATCTTGAGGGCGTTACCCCCAAAAAGGCCATAGGAGACAGGAGTTCAATTGGACGACGAACGTGAACAAAGAATAATTTTAGGGATTGACTAAACCGACACCCCAACTGAGCTATCCCGACTTTTGCACACTTATTTCAAAGCACCAGCGCCGAGGCAGGCACTATGAAACGGCAAATAGTGCTTGGAAATATTATGACAGAGGTATGTTACATGGTCAATCTTTCATCTCATTGGGGGTTTCAAAATATTGTAAACATAGGATAAGAATCTCTCCGTCTATGCAGTTGCTTCTTGTCTGTTATAGCTTAGATTTTCGAAGACCAATTTGCAATTCGATGGCCCCAGAAGTGCACGCTTTGCTGTTAGCTCCTTTTTAATTGATTGCTTTGAGAGTTCAAACTTACAACGGTGGTAGTGAGTTGGTAACTAGGATCTTTCGTCCAAGATACTTTCTTCACGAGTTCACACAGCACCACTTTCATCTGCGTCAGAGCAAATCCACTTCCAAGGCACCGTCTCGTATAGCCATTGAACGTGATGTAGTTTCCCTTGGATTGATGAAGACGAAACGCGTCGTTGATTTCTTCAATAGTTGATCCCCATCGGGATGGATCGAACTCCTTTGCTCTTGGGCCCCAGACATTAGGATCTGTTTGCACACCGTAGGCACTCCACCCAACCCATGTGCCTTTCGGGATTACATGCACGTCATCCAGAGGCATGTCGTCTAGCGCAAGGCGGTTAATGAATTGGCTCAACGGCGGGTAGAGGCGAAGAGTCTCATAGGCGACAGCTGCCAAAAGTGGTAGAGCATTGACATCATTGGCGGAATAATCAGATGATAGAGAGCAGTTAACTTCCTTTCGAAGATCGTCTTGGATGTTGAGGTTCTTGGCTAGCTCCCACATGGCCGAGGTCACCGCAAAGAGCATATTTTCGTTCCCGGCAATGAACATCATATTGAGATTTGAACGGTAGTGCCATTCGGAAATGGTACCCTCCAAACGAGCGCGTTGCAAAAAGTGAATCATTTTGTTGACATTTTCTGGCGAGGGTGGATTGCTCAGATGATGTTCCGTGTGCGCGACAATGAGAGAGTCGATCTCATCGACCAGCGCAAAGGCGCGACGACGAGCAGGGAACAGCCACCACAGTCGTTCGAGGATGGGAAACTCGGTGAAAATCGGACCAAGTGGAATTACAGAGTCGTTGAGCTCGCCGATCAGCTGCTCAAGCCTGACGTGTGCGTTTTCCAAGCAGCCCAGTTCGACATCAAGAAAATATTCGCCAAAAACCGAGACCGCCCAGCGATGCACGAAAGGATCAATAGTGACTCCCATATTGGATGATGTCTGCTCTTGATTCTCCAAGAATAGCTGTGCAAGCTTTTCGGACTTTTGAACAAGAGAATCGATGGTAAACGGTCGCTGGATACCTGGTTTCATGATCGACGAAAAGAGCTTCCATTGATCATCATGGGCATCGATGATATTTTCTCCCATCAACCGCGCAAACACGCCCCATGGTACCTTTTTGATGAATCCAGCCTTAGAGACGGTCTGCTCATTCCGAAAAACGCGAGTAAGATAGCTCGGCTTAGTGAGAATCACGACCCATCGCCCGGCACTCCAGTACCACACAGCGCCATACTTCTCTGTCAAAGGTCGGAGGCGGTTGTCGTAAAACCCCGTTTTTCCAACACCGCGCAGGGCGTCATAAAGGGATATATGGAACGGAATAAAGGGAAGTTTTCCCGTGCGAGGAAAGAGGATAGGCTTGAGAAAAAGAGCACAAAGCACAAAAAGTACCAAGAATATTGACATTTTCTGGCAATCGGAGCAACGAACGGGATTGCAGATGGCTGAAGACCTGTTATTATGATATTTTACGACGTAGACACGGTGGAGGACTTTTCTGTACGAGGGGCTCTATTTCAATCTCAAGAAGTTTGCGTTTCTGTTCCTGCCTTTTCGGCTTAGCATAGATCGATCTCAATCAGCGGTGAAGATGCGGGCCAAAGTTCATTGGTTTGTAGCGTCGGTTTCACGAGAAATTGCTGCTGTATCATTTATGTGGACCAAGACCCAGTGGGCTTCTGCAAGTGCAACTCACAATCCCCCCCCACAGTACATTTCAGGAACTAAGCTAGAGAGCCACATCTGCATAGCGGGTGGGTCTTCATGCAACGAACCCTCGAGAGCGATCTCCGCCACTGCATATAATGCTATTACCGTAACTTTCACTGCAGCACACAGTTGTATAGTAGGTTTACTCTAAATTTTGGGCTTTCGGTCTTCTGTATCCCTATAATCTTCAAAGCACTTTCCTTTCTGTCAATTCATATAACGCAATCAACCATCATGGTGCACACTCCCGTTGTTCAGGCTTTGGTCGACCAAATCAATCACGAGCCTGAATGGAATCACGTGTTCAGCAAAGCTATCAGTGATGCGATCGATCAAGCGCCTGCCTACATGGAAAAATATAAAATTCAGGATCTGGAAGGCTATTTCAACTACATGGATGACCTCCAGACTTGGATCCCCAGCGAGAATTCCACCGCCACCCAGGTCCTTGAGCGAGTTCGCATTTTCTATTTCCTCTTCAACCAAGCTACTGTTCGAGGCCTCCAGACCCCAATCAGTCCAGAGACGACCCGGGGCCCTCTTTCGTGGCTATCAGGATGGCTGGTTCGTTATGCAGTAACCCTAGGGCAGTTTCTGGACACCCCAGAGTCCTTGACACCTGAGACACTTGCAACATTCCATGCCTCCGGAAAGTATGGATTGGATGACTACTTTGTTCCGGATGGTGGTTGGAAGTCATTCAATGACTTCTTTGCTCGCCACCTGAAGCCAAACAAACGGCCAATTGCGGCCCCAGCCGACCCAATGGTGATCGCTAGTCCTGCGGACTGCATGCTCCAAGGACAATGGCCCGTCGATAAAAATGGCAGTGTTACATTCAAGGGCATCCCCTGGCAAATCTCCGTTCTGCTGCAAGACAGCGCGTACGGAGAATACTTCCACGGCGGTGCTTTCTTTCACTCAATCCTTTTTCCGTTCGATTATCACCGCATGCACGCCCCGGTGGACGGCAAAGTCCTCGAGTGCAAAGTCATTCCTGGTCAAGTTATGCTGGAAGCCATTGCGGTGAATGGGAGACCGCGAAGCAATCCCGATGCGGAGGAAGGATACCAATGGTGCCAGACACGAGGCTTGATTGTCTTGGATTCGCCCATTGGCAAAGTTGCGATTCTACCAATTGGAATGGGCCATATTTCGTCAGTCACTATGACTCCGCGCGTTGGAGAGGATGTCTCCAAAGGAGACGAAATCGGATACTTTCAATTCGGGGGATCGGATATCATCGTGGTCTTTGAAGGTCTGAGCAATATTACGATACAAATACCGGCGCCAGACGATCAAGACCACCCTGATTCCCGATACAAGATGGGAGAGAAACTCGGAGTTGCCAGTCTGTGTGACTAGTCAGAAGCCTATTTCGAGACATGCATGAACAAGGCTCAGCATGTAAGGCCTTTTTATCTCTTCTTTTTCTGATCGACGGTCTCTCAATTTCCCCTACTAGATGGTGGCTTGGGTTGGTTAGTTATGTTGTAATTTCGAAACTACCCAACCCATTTCGAAATATTGAAATTTCGCTCTTTTTTTCTCATTTCAATTTGACGAAGCTACGCAGTTTGATAAGTAATATAACACTTCGAACTTGAATCCTCATAAAACCAAATAGGGATATCAGTACGCACTACGCTCTTACATATATCTTATAATAGTCCACTAAAGAGATAATGAAAATAAGAAACAAAGCCGATGATCACCAGAAGAAAATAAGATTTCACGGTAGCAAATTTCCCGCGGCTGAGACTCAGGTAGCCAGCCAGCCACATCGACGGATCGTCTTCTGCATTGCAGAATCGGTGCAGATCGGTGACTAGAAGCTGCAGCTTTTGGCGTCATTGCTGTCTCCATCTACCTGCAGCTAGCAATTGCTGTTAATTAGAATCAATTTAATTGGAATCGGAAATATTAATATCTCATTACCTTGTACCCACACATATGCGCGAGAGTCTAGTTTTGACCATTTATTGGAGCGATCCTACACGGCTGATCGTTGAACGTATGGTGCAGATCAAATTGACCGGGCGAGACCTGCAGATTCACGCACTCGTGCAAGCGGATCGCCTTCTTACTGGAAGACTCACTCCTAACATCCGCTCTTGCATGAGTTGATCGGTGTATGAATCGAAAGAAAACCTGAAAAACTTCAAGGTTGACACATCAGTTGATTCTCATCTCCTGACCTGCCGCTGTTCGGAATTTCCTCTTGCCCATTCCCCCCACCAACATCGTCACATATATGCACATCAAGGCACGGCCATGAGCGGGGCAAGCTGACTAGGCTAAGCAGATAATGCAAGGGCCGGGCGATTGAGAGGGCATTCTTATTTGACTTGAAATGGGTCGAGTGTTCACAATTCTCACAGAGAGACTACCTGCGCTTTCTTTTCGATAATAATTTCTCTAGAGGTATAGACAGAGGTTGCTGTTTCTTCTTGTCTCATTTTCTACCATGTCTCATTCAAAACACGATGTTGCTGTCAAATATCAAAAGCAGCTCCCGATTTCAAATCTAAAAAACCGCCAATGGCCTTCAGAAAGGTTAGCCAAAGCACCAACATGGCTCTCGACAGATCTCCGAGATGGAAACCAGGCCCTCGTGAATCCAATGGTAAAGATCAGTGAATTGAAAGAGATTTCTCTTGCTAATTCGGCTTCAGACACTTGACCAGAAATGGCAATTCTTTCAGCTGCTGGTTGGCATGGGCTTCAAGCAAATCGAAGTCTCCTTTCCCTGTGCTTCAGATACTGAATTCAACTTCACCCGCCGCCTTGTCGAGACCCCTGGTGCTATACCGCCCGATGTCACCATTGAGGTGATCAGCCCTTGTCGGAAAGAAGCCCTCGCCAGAACCATAGAGAGCATCAAAGGTGCCCCCAATGCTATCATATTCACCTTTATGGCTACCAGTGACAACTATCAAGAGACGATATTTGAGGCCAGCGAAGAAACACTGCTGGAGCGGGCTCGAACTTGCACCGAATATGTTCGCTCTATCACAAAGGACGATCCTATCGCAAGCTCGCAGACAAATTGGTCATTCGGTTTTGGGATGGAAGACTTTGGTAACAGTCGACCGGAAGTAGCTCTGCGTCTGGGTGAAACAGTGCGGAATGCCTGGAATCCCTCACGAGAGAACCCTGTCATCCTTGGCCTTGCGACCAGTGTGGAGTCTCATATGCCGAATGTCTATGCGGACCAGGTCGAGTATTTTTCAACCAACATCTCCAACCGCGAGACTGTCTGTATATCTCTGCACACCCATAACGACCGTGGGTGTGCTGTCGCATCCGCGGAGTTAGGCTGTCTGGCGGGAGCTGACCGCGTGGAGGGATGTCTGTTCGGCAATGGCGAGCGAGCTGGCAATCTCGACCTTGTCACCATGGCATTGAACTGTCTCACCCAAGGGGTCGACCCGGGGCTCGACTTCTCTCATCTGCCATACATTCGTCAGGTGTATGAAGAGATTACCCGCCTCCCCATCCATCCTCGCACACCCTACTCCGGTGACTTATATTTCCGAGCATGGAGTGGCTCACATCAAGATTCCATACGCAAGGGCATGATAAAGTACAACAATGCGAGGACTGACAACACGAAGCAACCTACCTGGCGAGTTCCCTATCTGCCCCTTGATCCTGCAGATGTGGGACAGTCGTTTAATAGCGTCATTGGAATCAACAGCCAGAGTGGCAAAGCAGGAGTATCCTGGGTTCTTCTCCAGGAGCTCGGACTTGATCTACCCTGTGAGGTCGCGATGGAATTCTCCAAAGTGACAAAGGTTCATTCAGAACGGCTTGGGCGCGGGCTTGTCGACACAGAAGTGTGCGACCTCTTTCTGCGAACTTTTTCCGTGAGAGAAATCTCCGAGGATGTATGGTTATCATGCTATGGTGGCCCTCGTGTGAAGCTTGATATCAACGAGTATGCGGACCTAGGTTCTGTGGAGAAAATGATTGCACGGCTCTCCAATTTGCTCGCAAGATCCTTTGAGCTCGCGGAAATAGTCTCACAGAATCTGGACAGCGTGACTGCTAAGAGTGCGGTTTTCATCAAGTGCAATTTGAAAGGAGTTGGCCATGTTTGGGGAGTTGGTGTTGGTGTCGGGGGAATGGCCATTGCTCGATCAGTGATATCTGCACTAATGGTAGGTAAATCAAATACTGGAACAGCTTGCTCTTGTCTCATCACAAATGCTGACATCGACCTCAATTTCATAGAATAGTGAGTTGGCTATGCAGGAAGACTGTCAACTTCCATCACCAGTGTCACCGAGCCCCACTGGCTCTGATCGAGCGGCAGGCTTTTTGTAACGGGAAATTGAAATCTCGACTATTCCTTCAAGGCTGTTACGGCCTGCGAACAAAATGAGGCTACTCGGAACCCTAATTGGGGTATGATGGGAACTCCACGAGGGTTTGCCGAGAACGTATACGAACGCCGCCACGTGATCACATAGATGCATAAAAGGCAGTCCCCTGTACTTAATGAACTTCTCTTCTTCAAGGATTAGTTCAGTCACAAGTTATATAGTTGAACTACCCGTCCCCTACTTATAGTTCCTATCTAGAATGTGTCCTAGAGGAATATCGACAGAGTATAAGCTAGGCCTAATCTAACCAAGGTGCATCTCGGGATCCCTTTGAGAGGGAATGCGTTCGGCGATTAGCTGCCTTATCGCTAGAAATATTCCTTGGTGAAGATTATAGGCACGGTCCGCATTGCCTCGCGCACAACCTCTTTGGGAAGCATAATATACTGACTTCGAAACAGAAGCGAGTTATAGAGAATAGAGATAGGAAAAAATAAGTCTGTGTACTAGGAGAGAAACAAATTAGATCGCACGATAATTTTGGGGTTTAGACGATCTTGATTCGGCGTGCGCATAAGTAATAATAAAGGGAAATGGCAATTGGGTGGCCATCCACTTCTTGTCGTGGATGGGGCATTTAGGTCTTTTTGTGAGAAATCTAGGGTATTATCGGGAGCATGCTGTCGAGAATATGAGAATTTTTAGCGCATAAGATGGAGACACTTCACGTAAAGCTAACCATAGGCTTAGTCTATTGTGTTTCTGTTATTGAGCCAGCTTCTGTCGGTTTCGTGTTGAGGGAAAGATCTGTATTCTTCTAGATAACGTTAAGATATGCTCACTCGCCCGTCACACTATGAAGTGAAATGTTAGAAGATCGGCACGGGGGTTGGCTTTGTAGCCAAAGCACTAGAGTAATCAAACCACATATGTCATCAGTGTAGCTCCTCGGCCTTTACTATGTTCCTAGAAATATCTCCTCTAGTCGATCCACTATGAGATTAAACGGCTTTTAATTGGCCATAGCATTGGGGTGAGCGATCAGGCTGCCCAGGAGGCAGCCCAGGGTCGCTCAAGGGGCAGCTCAGGGCAGCGGGGTGACAAACTCACCCTGGGCTCCAGGAGCCGGTCACTTCCCGTGGCGGCAGTATTACCGTCACCTACATTACACCAGTAATAGACATGGCCTTGAGAGTTAGATGAAATAAACTCCATACTCTTTCACAAGGGTCCGTAGTATTCGACTTGTTCCTATACTGATTCGGAAGATCATGCGCGAAGATACATGGATATTTTTGTTCCCTTGAGTTTATCCCAGAATCTTGATAACCCCATGGCTTTCCACGTCGTGGTGGCTTCTCACTGCATGATCAAGTGATTCCTAATTGGTGACTTGGCCTAGATATCATAAGCAGGTAACTGGTTGCTAGTCAGCCAGTGGCGAAATTGTGGTAAAAGGGGAATAGGTGATACGTCGGCGAAAGAATCTTACGAAAATGCCAAAATTGTGATATGCCAGATAGACTAGAGAGTACGGGGTAGGATTGCAGCATCGGGAGATTCTAGGTTCCACATCCGCGGTAAGGTTTAGTATCCACTTCTATGCTGCTAGACCCCGAATTTTCTGATCTATCTCGTCTCCGCTGATCTACATATCAAAGGGGTACTGGGCATGCACGGCTCCTTTGAATTAATGTTTGCCTTCCTAACAGTTTCGTGTGAGATAGATGCAATAGAGGGCAGGCTTAACCTTGACTTAATATTGAAATACCCCAGGTACACGGAAAAAATTCACAAAACATTAATAAGGAATGAATTAAATTAAAAGGTCCACTAAGTACATAGATCTTTGACATAACAACATGGAACACTTGAATTCGGCCGAGAATATAGCTGGAGATTGCCTGGATAGTCATAACCTTGGAACTTATTACGACCATGAGATGTTTCACCGGTGAGATGATTGCCACTAGTGAGCATCGTTGGAGACGGTGACATCCGTGGTACGCATCACTTGCACAGTAGGGTTGGTGACGTTCGACTGGACACCGTCATGCAGACGTGTCTGTGACTCCGACCCAGTCTCCTGCAGAGCGATATGGCCCTCCTCAAGCTTGGACCAGGTAGTGTCGCCAGTAACCCAAGGCTTAGAAGGGGGGGTGTCATATTGAGAATCACAAACCGAGTCTGCATTCGAGTGCTCACTGGATCTGGAATTGAAGCCGAGAGCATTCTTTACTCTACCTGGGAGCCCAGACTCAATGATGAGCTTGGAGAGACAGGGGACGCTGAAAATGAAGAAACCACAGGTCATCTCGGCACAGGCCCAGAATAGAAGAGGGCCGATGAGATACATGGTATCAGTCTCGCTGGCAAAAGCAACTGTTTTGACAAGTCGTAGGATAGCTGCAACACAGGCACTGTGACCAGGTAAGCTTTGGATTGATGATGTTTTGGATAGAGGAGGACGTACAGAATACCAACGCCGAAGAGAACGGAGACACCGATTTTCTTTTGCCAGTTCATTCCCAAGCCCCAGATAATTCGCTGGGGCAACAAGAACATAGCAATGTCAGACACGACCTGGACACTTGCCGATGTGAGCATCACATCAGGCAGGCTGTAGCATTTGCTTGGAAGGTAGAATTTCCAGATAGCTTCGTGCGGGCGACACTGCATGTTCAGAAGAATAACACAAAGAAGCCCCCAAAGACACTGGAGGGATATGATGGCCGCGCAGCCCCACCAGAAAGAATTTCTTGATTTCTGAACGGGAACGAAAACTCGGCACCAGTCCATTAGAATGGCTGACTTGATCAATGGCAGGGTTGCGGAATAGCAGCAACCGTAAACGAGGATATACTAAATAAAAGGTCAGCTACTGGATACGATGCATTCAAGCCTGAAGGAACAGATATAACTCACGTAGAGAGGTTTAACCAGGTCTCCATTATGGAGATTCCAGGTGTGCACATAGTAGCCGGGTGTGAAAATCAACGAGTAGCCTGCATAAGCTGTGCCCCAGTAGGCGCCCTGGAAATCGTTAGGAGAAGTTCTTATTGATGTATAAGAATAGAGATTTAGGTAAACACAGGACGCACATATGCCAGAATGACCAATACTATAATAGAAAAGTTAGTTATATGCCCGAGGTTATAAGATATTGAGGGTGGAGGTCAACTTACTCTCTTCCGCACGGAACTTCTTCTCCAGGATGACACGCACGTACAGGCGGAGGAGGAGACACATAGTCGCTACGACCATGCAAAAAGTGGTCACAAACCAAGCCAGCCCATTGGCATTGGAAGGATTGTCGAAGTTCGGGGTAATACCCTCTGGCGCAGGAAGAGCCGGCGCATTGAGCATTTCAGCAAGAGCTTCGGGCGACATCTTGGTGGCTGGAATCGAACTTGGGGAACAAAACCGAGGGGAACAACGCAGTATAAGAGCCAAAACATCGCCACGGAATAAAGCTAAGCTGTCAACTCATATGTATCGTACCAATAGTAGCATTGGGATGATCGACAATAGTTTGACAGCTCGAAAAGCCCGAAGCGACGATCAGGACCCTTAATCGAATTCTGTGCGCTCATTTCACCAAGTATGCGGGGGTTAGGATTGGCTTAGCCGTTTCTGCATAACATGAGATCCTCGAGTGTAAGGTGATAGGGGCTCTCGCGGGAACTGGACAGGTATCAGGGATGCGGTACGAGTGGACACATCAACAAAACCATTGTCCATTGGCATCAATAGAAGGGACCGGGAGGGCTTCCCGCCGTGGATCCTCTCCACATTCAGTGGAAAGTCAAGCTGGTGTGGCAAGGAGGGACTCAACAGCCTCCGATAGTGTGGCTATCCCACGCTGTGGGCATGGCCGTGCGCGCGTCGAATCAACTTAACCTACGACGGCAAAAACCATGGATCATATTCTTTGGGGCGTCTGATACCCGCGCTTGATAGCGGACAGCTCCGAAGGTTAATAGTGTCAACTTTGGAAGTGGTCGAAACATCCGGCCCCATTTTTGTGATCTGTCAAGTACCACAGATCCACTAGGCTAATGCCCGGGGGTTTCCTACAGGACCACGGCTTTTGTGGCCCCTCTATAGGATCGGGCGATGGTCTCCAAATCAAGGAGGCCGCACTCAGATGAATGAACTAGAACAGTGTGCAGAAATCACGAAGAGGCCCCGGCGGTACTTTTGCACCGTTCGTCAGATCGCGTATGAGATAGGTGCTGGTCGAGGCGCTGATCTCTTTGGTTCCCCCACCTGCCGCAAAACACCACCCTGGTTCGCACACTGGACTTGAGTGGTAGAGGCCTTCGAACCCCCCTCTTCAGGAGGCAAACTAGTCTCTATAGGCCGTAGTCTAGATCTACCGCGTTTTGACCATGCTGATTCAAGAGAAGCGATCGAGCTCCCAGCTCTTTTCTTTTTAAATCTCACCCTGCTAGATCGAGTACCCTTGAACCTCCCCAAGTGAACCATGACTATCAGTAAGTTGACCGGCAGTTTGTAGAAAGAGGTTTCAGTGGAGTGGAGACTTACAAAAGAACACCAGACGGCAATGTACCATCGCGGGAGTACCCCCCGCGGGCTGACCTGCGGGTGATGATGGATGAATCGCCACTTCCAACACTTGCCCCGGGGCTGGTTGACCCTGAATTAATGGCCGGAGATGCAGCCACCAAGCAGGCGGATATTGTATTGAGTCGTCTCAATGCCGCGCTGGCTAAGGGCGATGCCGCTGCTCTCCAAAGCTGCTTCTATGCTGACCAGGCATTTTGGAAAGACCAGCTCGCACTGACTTACCATTTGCGCACGTTCAAGAGCCCAGGTGTCATTACCCAGAGTCTCTTGGAGACTGAGAAGCTCAGAAGTGTCTCGAAGGGGATTGCCGTGGATGGCGCAGCGCTATTCCTGCCAGCCACTCCGGTCCTTGTAAGTACATGCTGCAGGAACATGCAACCAAGCTCGGGCTTATAATGTATCTCATTTAGCAATTCATCGACTGTCCAATCGTGTTCCGAACCGAGACCCCTGGCGCCACCTGCCGAGGCAAGATCCTCTTTTTGCCTGTCCAGAACGAGCAAGATGGAAACGAGGCACTTGAGTGGAAGATCTGGATCCTGAGCACCAGACTGGAGGCTCTGGATATTCAGACCGAGGATGAAAGCCTGCTTCAGGCTGCTCCGAGACGATTTGATGATCTGGACTTGGAGACTGACGTCTTCATCATCGGCGGCGGAAATGCGTAAGTCGAGCAGCTAAGTTGCTTCGCAATTGACTTGCTAACGCACTGGATCATATAGCGCTGCTGCTCTCTCGGCTCGACTGAAGGCTTTGGGGGTGGATTGTGTCATGGCCGAACGCAACCCCAAGCCGGGCGACAACTGGGCGCTCCGTTACGACTGCATGCGATTCCACATCCCGACTTCTTTCTGTGACCTGCCGTTTATGTGTAAGTCAATCTAGCTTATCCAATTAAGGGCAAATCCACTAACCGTGGTTGAATCAGGTTACGATAAGGAGCTCCAGACACCTTACCTCCTGTCCCGAAGCGATTTGGCGTCGCAGGTTTCTCGATACATCGAGACCTTCAACCTCAACATTATCAACTCTGCGAATATCCAGTCGACGCACTACGACCCATCCACCGAGCGCTGGCACATCAGTTTCCAGACTCCGGCCGGTCAGCGTTCTGCTGTCTCCAAGCAGCTCGTCTTGGCGACTGGTATTGGGTCACAAAAGCCTAACATCCCACAGATCGCAGACAAGGATCTTTATCAGGGAATCAGCGTCCACTCCGCACAATATCAGAATGCGAAGGTGCTAGCCGAGAAGGGAGCCAAGGTAAGCAATCATACTGTTGAATTCAATGTATCTGAAGATGCTCACCAAGACATAGTCTGTCCTCGTAATTGGATCCGCCAACACTGCGTTCGATGTACTAGAGGACTGCCACAATGCCGGTCTCAAGTCGACCATGAATGTCCGCTCTCCCACGTACATCGTCCCTGTCGACTACGTCTGCCACAAGATGAGCCTGGGTGCATATGACTTTGGCGTCGAGGCTGCTGACAAGCTCTTTTTGTCCCTTCCCTCAAGCGTAGATGGCCAGTTGGCTCGTGGGCTGTTCGCGGTGTTTGCTTCCCAGGAGCCGAAGCGATATGCAGCCCTTGAGGCTGCCGGCTTCCCCGTTCTTGACAGTAGTCACCCCACCTCAGCCTTGATGCACAACTTGCTAGAGAAGGCTGGCGGCCACTACGTTGATGTGGGTGGTACCAAGTTGATCGAAGAAGGAAAGGTTGGGATCAAGGCGGGTGTCGAACCTGTCGCGTACACTGCGACCGGTCTCCGGTTCTCGGATGGAAGCACCGTTGATGCGGATGCCATTGTGTGGTGCACTGGCTTCTCTGATGGGAACTTGAGCAGCACTGCGGCTGAGATTCTCGGCGGTGGCTCTGAGCTGAGTGGAACTGCAAATGGCACCACCCACGGTGCCTCAAACGGCGACGGCAAGCACCTTTTCGGTCCCCATGAGCTTGCAGAGCGCGTTGACTCGACTTGGGGTGTTGATTCCGAGGGTGAGGTACGCGGTATGTGGAAGCGTCACTCGCGTCTTGACAACTTCTGGGTGATGGGTGGTTATACTCAACAGCACCGCTGGCACTCACGTACCCTGGCACTGCAGATCAAGGCTGCACTCGCGGGAATCCTACCTCCTGCCTATCGCGATACTCCCTCGCCCAAGGTCAAATAGTTTGCCCATATATGTCTGTAAATGTCATGAATTCATACTTGTTTTCAACAATGTCCGTTCCTAGCAATTTTAAATCGGAACAAACTCGGTCAAGACATCTACATAGATTCCACACCCATAGTCATGTGCGCCACTCGCATGGGTGTTTTGAACTTATCCTTCCGGTCAAGTCCAAATGACCTTGAACACTCAGGGCATTTGAATTCTGCTAGAGATATATGTGTAGACTTCCTATGTCGCCATAGACATGGCTGACGCGAGAAACCCCCATGGTATGTACAGCCCTGCCAACCACACTTGAATGGACTGGGGAGGTTGGATTCATTCAAACTGTTGATCACATATTTAAACAAACTACGATAAAGACACTTCCTCAATATGAAAATTACTGAGAAATTGTTATTGGCTGCCCGCGATCACCAGCGTGATTTTCGTCAATCATGGAGCCAATTTCTGCGGGAAAAGCCAAGGCCGAGGAATCTGTCCCCAGAATGACGAATGGTATTCCTTGAGTCATTGAAGGGCCTATGCTTGTCGCGCCGTACAGTCGAGCGGGAGGGGGACTGAAACGGGTCATTGAGGTCGTTGATCCATCTAGTCTGGTTCAGGTCCGTACATGTGAAGGAAGAAACCATCGTCGCAGTTGATCCCGATGCCGTCAGAGGAGTTGAAACAGATACATTGCCACTTGCATGGAGGTCTCTGGCCCAATTACCAAGACTAGGTACTGGCAAATTGGCGAACATATTTTCTTCGATGGTAAGAGGGCATCCCAATGAGCCGCCTATCCTGTCACTGCTGCTGGCATGCACCCCCATGGCGCTAACAGCACTGTTAAGAAAAGGAGTTTCCTTCCTAGAACTGGGACTGCAAGGTTGACAATTGGGAATTGCCGTGAGATTGAGCAAAGGAAAACAGACTGCGATTCGGGCGTGATGGATGCGGGATGTAATTGCAGCTAATTGTTAAGAGCCTGATTATAACCTCGTCAGACGACCGCCTCTTTCGACAGGACGGTAAAATGAAATTTAGCTTTCCACAACTACTCTTGCTACGATATGGGACTTCTTTTGTTGGGTGTGAAACCTACAAAAATAATCGGGATACTATTAGGAAGGGGCTTTTCTGGTATGTATGTGCGCTTGATCAAAAGCTCTTGGGTAAGGATTCCATGGGGTAAACACGACAGCATTTCTGGGACGTCGGAGTCAAGAATGAGCTGAAAATGGCCAAGGCCCTGAAGCGAGAGAAAATATGGAGAGAGGAGAAATTAGTTAGTGAGCACTTATAGATCTGACTGGGCGAATGTCATTCTGGCCAAGACGATATAAACCATTATTAGATGAAAGCATACTAGGGCCAAAGAAAGACTGAAAATTCAAGTGCATCAAGAACGGCAGGAAGAGCAAAATTCTCCATTTCCGTGGCTCGTGTGAGCTAATCGCATGTGGTTCTGGAATCGATCCTTGCGACCAAATGTTTTGTTGCACTGGGAATCCGGACACTTGAACTCGTCTGGGGACACATGTGTTGACTTAATGTGTCGCCACAGGCATGTTTCTCGTGAGAAAGTGCCAGGGTATGTGCAGCCTTCCCAATGGCACTTGAAGCGGCCATAGTGCCTCAATCTGGAATGAAACTCAGGACAAATCAGACAAGCACAGTATCAAGGTGGATTCAGAGATGAGAAACATACTCTGCACTGGCGGATGTCCTGTGATCGGAAGACCGCTCATGGGTACGGATGTGGTGCTGACAAGACGTAGTGTCCGTAGTATGAGGCTGAATTAAAGTCCGAGCGGACGTGGGAGTGCCGAACTCAGGACTGCTCATGAGGTTCATCCAGTGAAAATCACCGGTGCCACTGTTGTTGCTTGGGGAGCACTGACTGGAGCTGGGACTGCCAGCCCACGAGATACTCCTATGATCCTGCTGGGTGGAGGGGGGTGTCATCAAGATGCCCGGTCCAAGCTGTGGAGAAAGTTGTATGGTGGAAGAGTACGTCGAATGAAGAGATGGGCTACTTTGTCCTGCAAACGAAGAGGGAGGTGGATAATGGGTGGATATCCAAGGACAAAGTGAACGGTCTGTGCCCCATCCTGTTTGACTGGATGCCAAGTCTGCTTCATCGGTGTTGATGTTTTGTGAAGAAGAGGCCATGATGGATTATTAAGAGTAAGCTCGCAATAAAGGCTACAAGCAAGATCTAAAACACAAAACAGGAACCTCTCAAGAAGCAAATCTCGAGCCTTTAAATATGACTCCTGTTCAAATGGTAGATTTACCTTGCAGCATTGAGTTCCCGATCCGGGGAAGCCTGAGTCAAGAAGAATGTGGTCTGTGCTGGGAGCCTCAGCGCTACCCAGTCGCCGCGACGTCATGGCCCCCTGGATTAATGCATTCTTGTTCCTTTAGTAGAGATGGTACTTTGGAAACGATCACGATTATTCCAAATGTCCAGGCAACAGCTCATGCACATGCATGCGTGATGATAGCCTTTTGCCAACGGGGGGAATCCGGGGCCAGGGGGCAAAGTCATCGGCGATCCTTTATCTATTCAAGCCACGCGGTTTGCGCCCAAAAATACTCAATCAGCCGTTAAAGCATTCTCATGGCTTCCCGTTTACGCACTTTGGTCTTGGCTCAGGCTGACTACCACGTGTTTGGGTGTCAATTGTAACCATCGAATACTCCCCCCTTCGAACAACGCATTTAACCTGAATGAATGCGTTTCAATTGTCAACATCAAGGATACAGTGCTCCTGAAATCAAAAGTGAAACCGACATGTTCTAGACCTAGCCCAAGGAGCTAAGACCCTGCAGGCATACCAAGCACCTGGTATAGGGGGCTGCAAGATGGCACAGCCGATAGTAGCCAACCACTCAGATGCGAGGCAGGAGGGGATCGCTGCCCGAAAATGGACAATCACGAGAGACCGGCCAATTCAGGTTGTTCGGACAACAGATCTCCATCAGATCAGAGTTCATGGCACAGAAGCTTGGACAGCGGCGCGGGTCCCGAACGGCAAAGAGGGTAGCGCCCGCACCCCTAATTTAGACCTGTCCAATAATAGCGCGAGAATGGGATCCACCCTGTTGCTGGTCACACTCGCTTCCGTCTCCTTGAGGCATGTATCACCTTGCGGATCCTATTTATTCCTGATGCCTCACTTTCGTAGTTGGCCATTGATTTAATCGTTCACTATGGAGAGAAGTGGCTCGGAGAGTTTGTGTGAAACCCGTTAGTGGGATTTCACACTACTCCCTCTGGATGCGAGAAGATGGTCTGATCAGGTACGTATTCGCAGTCACTCTGGTACCCATGCGCAGTTTTCTTGGCGTGCTTAACATCTTAATCTATGGCTGTCATCGGCCCGCCCGAGCAGTACGTGATAAATCATACCATGAAGGGCATAGAGCATCACACATTCAGATAGATAATAGAACACTCGCAAGGCTACTACAAAGAGTGCCGTAGAGAAAGGAAGCTACCGTAGAAGCCTGATCTAGCAAATCAAAGTGAATGCAATTGATCTTACTGAATATCCCACTTGCAGCCAAGACGTCCCATGGGATGTCGACCTTCCTACGGTAAAATATTGGCGAGCCTATAACTAGCTTTCCATCTTTGAACTTCTCTCAAGAACTGTTATCATCCACCCATATGCTCCCCGCTCTATACTGGAGAATTGCTGGTCATCTCGCTCGCTCCCATTGGAAATATTCATCTACCCTCGGCTGGCATAGTCCCAAACCCCTGTTATGCCCTGTAACTTCACACATTCGGGCGAGCTAAGCTTTAAGAGACAAACTCATCGTGACTAACATAGATGAAGAATAGCGTGATAATGTACCAACAATTGATCGAAAAGATAACCTACAGTTGTCGCCACTCACTTTACCATACCGACGTTGTCCCACTTGATGGCTGCCAAGGATGTGCAAACACCAGAAAAACCAAATACATGAGCAGCAGGACTAGAGACACACCATGTGCATTGAACACAGTGCCCACGGGAAGAAAACTGGATAGCGCGAGAAGAAGACTTGACTTGATCGGCTCATGGTGCTCGCAGAGAGTTGCAGATCTTCTTTTCAAGAATTGGTCTAAGGAATTCAAGTTTTTGCCAGTTGGACACGAAGACATGATTTGTTGGATCTTCATCCATTTAAATTTTCAAAATAGTATTTTTCGAGAAGATCGATGTCTTGCTAGGCTCCTAGGAAACAAGGTTAGCTAGACTGAAGTAAACATCAAGCTCGTTTCATGATCGCACAATCCATCCACATCCTCATTTCCTCATTTCCTCATTTCCTCAGATCAGCAGCCAGTCAGCAGACCAAGCCTTTTCATCAACTCCGGGCCTAGTTCTGCTTCCAGACCCCTCGAGCTCTTCATAAGACGCACCAAGCTTTCAAACCATACCGCATCTGGCCTCTAAGCGACAATAAGTCTCCAAGTAAGTAATTAATTGCTATGAAGCCGTCTTGGTCGTTACTCTGTTAACAATGCCCAGAGAAACCATGTGCCAGCTAATCATCCAACCGACTGAGTTTCTATGCCACCACCTTTTCGATACTCCGGGACAACTCATGGAGCTCGATGGCTGCAACCTCTGTGGTATCGCTAAAGTTACAACAACCATGAGCAAAAACCGTCTAGGATACCCGTGCAACTGGTGCATCAACAACAAGTCCTGGGAGAGAAAAGATGGAAGATGGGTCCGAGCCGTGCCTTCAACTCTGAGGAAGGCTTCCCATCCCTAGGCTTCTTTCGAAAAGCTTGCCTCGGTAGATCTATGATTACAAATGACTCGGAAAATTCATTCTAGGATTGAAAAGGGGTTCATGGGTTGAATGGAGATGGAACTTCCTTCATTTCATGTGACATATCTATCTTTACGCCGCATTGTATCTACCTTTGGCGATTTTACTTTTTTCATCAAGATCCCAAGGTTCAAATGAATGTTGACATCACTTACAGTGTTGTCATGTACTCAGGAAGCAACAGAGATATCACTTGGACCCCAACTAGCCTGGTAAATCATGCACTGGTTATTAGGCGATCAAGTCCGCGGTCTTCACTGCAACTCTTTCTTCCATTTCTAATCGCCTTCGAAAATACACTAGCATTTCCTCTGACAAAGCTTTCCAAACTGTCGCCCCATCACCAAACAGAATATGTCCCTACCTGCTGCAGTGTTTTCACTACTCGGAAACCGGTATCTTCCTTGAGTACATGAGAGGTGAGAACTCGACTGATAAACCACAACCTCACGGAAGCTATTATTGACAATGAAAATAGATGAGACGCTCTTGCTCAGACTACAGAAATTCATACCCGGGACTGGAAGGCCAATGTGGTCACCAAAGTACAAAAGCTGGTACCTCGGCCTCTGCGCACCAAATGGATAAGCGATCTCGCGAATGCTGTCGCTTTCCTCGAGAATCTCTTCCTCTCCCATGACGAATTTCGTCCTGAGAATATCCTGTTTGATAGGAATCGACTCAAGCTAACTGAAATTGACCGTACCGCGGAAATCGGAACCCCACGGCGAACTTTCCTGTTCCTGTATAAATGGTACCTTGATGGAAGTGAGAGAGACGAGCAATATATTACAACCGGTGTTCTAGCTGTTTGCTGTCGGTTCCATCTACTACTTCATCAACTACGGGTTCGAGGTTTACGGATATCGATGCTTTACTCTTGAAGATCCCAGCAAGCATTCCATTGAGGCAATGAAGTTGCTAGAGAACGTGACCTGAAAAGGACCCAAGGATCGATGGAATCATTGATAAGTGCTGGCGCAAGCAGATTGGGAACGCCGCAGAGCTGGCCGCGCAGACGAAGGGGCTTTTTACTCAAACCAATTGCAAGGCGGCAATCAAGAAGCTCACTAAGGGTAACGGGCTTGATGATGTGAATCAAGAAGAGCTCTTCGTTTGCTTGGGTCGGGTGAACCCGAGGAGATTGGCTTCGCCCACATGGTTGAAGCTTAGTACAACCAGGCTGTGCAGGTGATTCTCCCAGACATGTAGACAGGGCAGGGTGTGGTTGAATCGTGCCTTGAGGGCTCTATGGCAAGTGGCAGAGGACCGCCGACTGCTCGGAAACATCACTACTATTCTACAACTCCAGATTCTCATTTTACAAAAGTAAATGTAATCCACAGCGGTCATAATACTATTCAAGAAGTAATAGCCAGTCAACGTCTCATTTTAAAAACTATACGGCTTCGCATCCTTGCCAAAGATCAGATTTGGACGCTCTTCGGCAACCTTGAGGATGGTCTCGGCAAATACGGAGTTAGCCCAGGAGAACCAAGGGCGAGTATATGACTTGATGTTAGTGACGTTAATAGACTCATGCACGAGTCCGAGTAGGCTCGAGTCGCGGACTAAGTTGATGCACTCCATGATCTCGGTATCATTATCGGAGGTCTGGGCTTGGACAAGGAGCGACATGGGCCAGGCGTTCTCGAGGCCGACTGTTTTTGTTAGTATGTTTCATGTGTCAACATGATGCAGGTCACTTACTATGAGGACCACCGATACCATGGAAAGCAGGACCCTCGAGGAAGTAAGGATTACCGGACTTGTCGGTAATCATCTTGCGGGTGTTTTGGTAGATCTGGTCGCTTGCGTCGAGGAAGCCGAGATAGGGCAGAGACAGGAGAGAGGGGATATTGGCATCATCCATGAAAATACGCGAGCCATAACCGTCAACCTCGAAGGCATAAACATCGCCGTACTTGGCGTGGTTGAAGATGCCATTCTCGCGGACAGCCGCGGCGAGCTTTGTGCCACGCTGCTCTAGCTCGTCGGCCAAGTCGTCGTGACTACCGGCCTTCTTGAGAACCTTGGCAATCTTCTGAAGCTCAACGGACATCATGGCATTGGGCGGAATAAAATATCCCAGGATGGTAGCGTCATCGCTAGGGCGGAAAGCGCTGCGGATGAGACCAGTGCCACTGTTGAGCGGGTTGCCTACACCCTGCAGGTTCAAAGTTTCGGTACCAATGGTAGTCTCACGCTGGAAAGTATACTGGTTGGTGACAAATTGGTTCTTAGAGTCGAAAGTGGGCTGCGACTGGGCGTCAATGGTATCCAGGAGCGTTTGGAGGGCCTTGAACCAGCGGTCGGTCAGGAACTCGGTAGAGCCAGTGTTTTCATGGAACGTGGCACCCAGCTTCAGGAAATGGGCGAGGGAGTCAAGCTCATACTTGCACTCGTAAACAAAGGACTTCTCATAAGCTGGGTGAACGGTATCAACCTGGGTGTTGTTCTCAGGCTTGACACCGCTGACAGATGGTGGTTGGAAGGCATTGCAGTAAGGCGATTGGATGACATATTCAGACTGAGTCGCAATGGCTCCGAGAATGAGATTATAAAGACTCTTGTCATCGGACGCCAGCTTCTGGTAGTTGGTGAGCTGATTTGTCGAGTCTCGCAACCACTCGGCGTTGATATCGCCAGTCACAATGAATGTCTGCAAGCCTGTCCACACAGAGGTATCGCGCTTGCTCTGCCTCTTGGACGAGGAACTAGTGCCATTCTGGTGCCAGCGGATTGTAGTGTCCAGGGTGTTTGGGAAGGCATTGCGGAATAACTGCGCAAGGTCCTTATCAACAAGACGGGATGTCACATCGTCAATGACCTTCTCAACTGAGGGGGACGAGAATGTTCGGCATGCCGGTGCAGGACGCTGGAAGGGAAGGTCCAAGGGACCACCGCTATAAGGACCACTAGGGGTTGTGAGCGGAGTCATTTGCGTTATAGTGCGGGGGCCACTTACTGCTGGGTCTGGGAGTACGATGTGTAGTCAGGGCAGGCACGGCGTAAGACGGCAGCATTGTCGCGTCCAGGCATAGCACCAACCTGGAGGGCTAGCAGGGAGCCCACAAGCAGTGTAGAGAGAGGCATGGCTGACGAGTTGGTTGAGGCAAGTAAGAGGGAAAAGTCGGGGTAAATAAGAGGAGAGGCATAGCTAATGTCGATCCCCCAGTCCACGGCCCAGGGGCGCACATTCCTCAATTCCAGATGGAACACAGGATGCACAATTCCACGACTCCACGATGCTGGAACTATCACGATTCGTGATCGGGGAAATAGCGGGCGCGAGGTGACATCGGTCAAGGCCTGTGTTGCACGGTGTTGCACTCGACTCCGCAATTGCGGATAAAGATCGGCGTTGTTTACTTTGCCGGGAGTCAGGTAACTACACGTAAATTTAAGATCGGGCTAATTCAATGCGAAGTGATATTAATTTATCCCCAGGGTCGACTTTACTGTTTCTTGCCGAAGAATGACATAATATTCCCCTGTCCAGGTTTGGCTCCCTTGCCCTTAGCCACGTTAACTGCTGGCTTCTTCTTGGGAACCGGCTCATCTTCGGAGAAAGATTCCCAGGTCGCTTCTTCCCGAGTCACTGTGCGCAATTAGCATAGTTCAATGTACCAAAGCCACGTAGTACTTACCCAAGTAACCCTCTTCGTCCTTGACCGTCTTCTTCTTCATGACTTGACGCTTGCCTCGTCGGCGGCCACCTTGTACAGTCACCTCTTCCTTCAGCTCCACTGGCTTGGAAGGCGGTGGTTGCTCGACGGGAGTCGGCTCGCGCACCGGCTCTTCATCAGCATCGGGCATTTCCTCATCTGCGACACCGTGAGTGGAGGGACTTGGGCCTTCATTTAAAGATTCAGGGGCCCTACCGTCTGCGTCGTCATATTCCATCATGGCCTTGAGCTTCTCTTCTCGCTCTTTTTTGCTTTCGCGGTTGCCTGCTACCGCCGATTTGTCGTCGCTAGTAGGGAAGAGCTCTTCGGCCTCTTCATCTGAGGCATCATCCAGTACAACTGCCGATCGTGAGTCATCAAGTTGGGATTCGAATTGAGATAACTTACCATCTTCTGCACCGCTTGGTGTCGCCTGTATTACAGTCAATTGTTGATCTCAACGTACAATAATCATTAATGACTTACCGACTCGGCAGGAGTCGCTGCCTTCGGCTTGGGCTTAGCTTTGGCAAATGAGCTGAACAAGTTGCTCTTCTCGCGCTTAGGTGCTGGTTTCGCAGCGGTCTTGGAGGACGTTTGAGAGTTGCTGGCCGATGTTGGCTGAGATGTCGTTTCCTCAGCCTTAGCTTGAGGCTTTGTTGTGGGAGCGGATTTCTCAAAAGGTCGTTTGGCAGGGACTGTGGATTCGGTTTTGGTCTTGGGTGCTAAAGCAGCAGCGGGTGGCGGTGGACGAGCTCCCGTCCTCCGCTATAACGTTGTGAGAATCTGATGATTTGAAAGGAAAAAGAAAAAAAAGGAAAGAAACAATAGAAATTACCTTGACATTGCGGTTTTGGATCATCCCCCAGTCCTTTCCGCACTCCAACGGGTCGTCTTGCGCATGAGCTGTGGCGACTTCTCGACACACATCAGTCAACACGTTGAGATCTTGGAGAACTGTCGGCTGAACACTGTAGACGTGGATCATAGAAATTGACTCAAATGTAGTTTTTGCATCTATAAAAGTGGCATCACGTAATCAGCGAAATGACCTGAGCACAAATGCGACAGCCATTGCCTACCCTCCAGATCTTCCTCCCGGGCTAGTATGATCGAGGCAATGCGTAGGGAGCCGGATGCGGCATCCTCATTTGGCTGTGAGCTGGGCAAGTAGGGGCTGCTCTGCATAACCTCATCTTCGTCGTCCTTCGCATGGCCATTCGTTGCTGGCCGCTCTGGAGCCTTTTGGATTCCGGAGATGACGTAGGTAGCGTGGACACTCTGGGGCTTCTTCGCGTTTTCTTTGTTGTGAAATTCGAACAGGATCCTGTAGTCAATTTACTCAGTCAATTCTCAGCCCAGGACCATCGCAACGACCTACCGTTTGGCGCGGTTGGCGTGGATCTTCAAAGCGCGGCTCAATGACCGGTAGGTGACCTAGAATCAATCAGTTGCTGTGGGAGAGAACAGCCTCAGCATAACACATACTGTACGTTGCTCATTGAGCACCTGCTCTGCGAGATACATCTTGGAGTCCATGATGTTTGAGGCAGCAAGTTGATCGACGCGTGCCAAACCACTTAACGCGTATCAGTCAGCGGGTCTTGGCACTGCGTCTCCACTTGGCTTCTGCTTCACGCGACTGAGCCTCTGTCACTTTGCATTCAGCCTGTGCCTGCGCCCGCGGGACTCTTCGGCTCTCCTTATGGCACAGTCCTTCGACATCCCCGACTCCACGGACTGGTTAGACACACCGCTTTCACTACTCGCGCCACTGGAGAACTCTCTACGATGCCAGATCTGCAAGGACTTTTTTGCCAATCCCGTTCTTACTTCCTGTTCGCATACATTTTGCTCACTATGCATCCGTCGCTGCCTCAGCAATGAGGGAAGATGTCCTACATGCCGTCTTCAGGACCAAGAACTGAAGCTCAGGAGGAACTGGATCGTACAGGAATTGGTGGAGCAGTTCCAGAACGCGCGTGAGCCCATGCTCTCTCTTGCGAAGAAGGAGGCGGCACGACTTGCAAATGGAGGAGACGATACTCAGCAGCCTTTGGCCAAGAAACGGAAGGTCGGCCAGATAGAGCAAGACAATGAGCCCGAAGCAGCAGAGTCAGGTTCGCAACGCATGCGCACGAGATCCCGTGGCGTTAGAGTGGAAATGTCGGCCCAAGTCGAGGAACCGCAGATTATTGAGGATAGTCAGGATGACGATGAAGACTTTGTCCCAGGTAAGTCCCATTCTTCGTCTCCGCCGGTACGTCTAACTTCATCGCAGAGGATGGACTTTACCCTTGTCCTCTCGAATGCGGCCTGAGGATGAAGGAGGCGGCGATGTTCTCCCATGTTGGTGTCTGCACCGGCCAAAAAGCCCCAAGCCCCGCTAAACCGCAGGTAACCTTTCGGTATGTGGACACAACTGGATAGAAGTTTAAATGTCTCAAGTCTCATTGAACGCTATTACAGACCTATACAACCCCAACAACCAGCTACCCAGAGTTTCGTCGACCCACCTGAAAGACTCCCCGCTATAAATTATTCCCTATTGAAAGATGGACAGTTAAAGAAAAAGTTTCGAGAGCTTGGCATCCCGGAATGGGGGAACAGGTCGCTATTGCAGAGACGTCATACCGAGTGGATGAACCTTTGGAACGCTAATTGCGACTCTCGGAATCCCAAATCAAAGAAGGAACTTCTCAAAGAGCTCACCATCTGGGAGAAGACACAGGGAGGGGCGCAAATACCATTTGCATCCAATGCGGATGAGATCGCACGCAAGGATTTCGACAGAGAGAGATGGTCTTCTAGCCACGATGATGATTTCAAGCGTCTGATCGCGAATGCGCGGAAGAAGAGTGATGCTCAAATAAGGTCCACTATCCCTGGAGCTTCACAAGGTCTCAAGGAGAATGCATCAGCGCCGGCAAGACCCTTGGAAACTCCGCTGGAGAAAAGTGATCCTGTGGTGATCGACTCAGATGGTCATTGAGCCTTGACGCTAGCACCCTGACTGCTTGATATAACATCGATTGCCTCGCACTTTGACGGCAAAATTAGAGGATGAGCTCGCAAAGAACAGCTTTGGTGATGAGTTCTATTTCTCCGGGATCGGCTCCTCAACCGACATGTTGGAGAGCCTGTCTGCCAACTCCATGTCGAGATCTTTTCCCGCCTGGGCCTGACGAGCTGCATCCCCCGAGGCTTGCTTGATACTGTCGAGCTCCGCAAGCTTCTTCCTCGTTTCCTCTGCTTCCACATCCTCCTTCGTCTTCTGGTCGATCTTCTCTAGAGCCTCGAGCTCGTCATCAATTTCACCCTCATCAATGACCGGCGCGGCTTCGTTCATGATGCCGCCAATCTCATCGACCTTGGACATTTCCTCGCGCAGTCCTTCGACCACGTCTTCGACTCTCTCGGCACCGCCAATCTGCGTATGTAGCCCGCGAAGAACGCTGGTGCTCGCTTCCATGACTTGTACGATCTCCACCTGACCGGCAGCCTGTTCAATTCTCGAATAGACCTCCTCGAGCTGTGTCAGAGTGTTCAGTCGCTGCTGAAGGTTATGCTCGACCATCTTCTTAGACTTGATTGCAGCCAGCGCCGAGACACGGTTTTTGTTGGCCAGTGCGGCCTTCGCAGATGCATTCAATCCCTCAATCTTCGCTTCCAGATCCGAAACCTGCTTCGAGATTGTCGATACAAGAGTCTTGATAGAGGCAATGGTTGCGTCCTGCTGCGTGATGTGCGGAGGCTCATGCGCAGATTTGAATTTAATCGTCTGGCCATCTCTGGTCAGTATCAACATAGGCTGTGCATTTAGATATCACTTTACCTTGCCATCATAAGCAATGGCGCCGCAGTCGCGGGATAGATAAACCAGAAGAACATCAAAATCCGAATCAGATAATTCTGTTGAATCGTGTAGTATCGTCGCGAATCCCTCGACAAAGCTCTCTTTCGAGTAGATCAGATCGAGCTTGGATGAAGTGCCACCAGTAGCCTTCTTAATAGCCAAAGAGGCAGCCTCCTATCGACGAAACAAATAAGTCAAAAGTTTCCTGTGATGAACGGATTGCCACAAACCTGCAAATTCTCGACTAGCACCAATTCCTGAACTTGGATCTTCGGCGCCGAGTCATCAGACCCCACCACCATCCCCTTCAACTGCCGCGCGCCCCAACTCATAACACTCCACGGACTTAACGCGCCAGGATCAATAAGTCTCCATTGACTTTTGCGCAGACACCCAGGGTCGGTCTTATAGACTGGTAACGGGACCATGGTTCGCTTGCCCATCGCTTCCTCCTACAACCCACATTAGCCATTATCTAGAGCCACGACAAACGGCTCACATAGCACATACAAAGACAGCACCAAGTGCCACCGGTCTGCCCCACTCTAGAACCTCTAAATCTCGTAGTAATGACTCATCTGTACGTAGAATAAGGTGATCGGTCTTCTTTCGACCTGGACCCGCGTTCTTTTGCGACGCCGAGGACCCAGAGCGTACGCGCACGCCGCGCGACGAGGTATACCCGCGCTTGGCGGCGTGATTCAAGGCCTGCTCCCAGGCAGCAACGTTGACTGCGTATCCATCTGGGTTTGTCTTCTTCTGGAGGGCGAAATCGGAGTAGAGGGAGGGGAGGCGGTTTCTGTCGAGGTTTGGATGAGTTAGCTTAGCTCGATTCGCTGTGGCCGACGAGTTGCCCGCTTAGAGTATCGAGGACCACGGACCTTCGGAAGGCATCCTCATTGTTGAGGATGTAGGTGAGGAGTTCGCTCATGGCTGGCTTGGTATAAGAAGAGAGAGGCAGGTCGCCGGAGTCAACACCACATAGGGAGCTTTATCGATAAGAACAGGTGACCGATAACAACGGTTGCTCGGTGAACTCGAACCCGAACTACTCAGACTTCATGGTTCAATTTAACTGCAAATTGCTGGAGATTAGTCTGAGATGTCCCCAGAAGTTTCTAGAATTATCAAATTACAGGCAGTCGTCCAGACGGACAACAAATGGCAAATAATGGACTTAAGATCCTGGAGACTCCTTCGAGATTACCAGAGAAAAAAACCCTAAATCAACACCCATTACGGGAAAAGAATCTTGAAGAGAACTAGATATCAAAAACTAGATATCTACTTGGTCAACTGTAAAGCAGGAATTGAAGCTCTATTCTTATATGCTATGATGAGGTATTAATGTCATGCCTAAGCTCGTTCAAAGTCATCGTTCGGCGAGTTCCCAGACTCCCTCGCTGTCGCGGTCATTTTGAGATTCCCTGCATCCAGTTGCCCAGGAAGTCCGATAAGCGAGCGCCGGTGGTTACGCTTATCGATTTTCTCGAGCTTCTCGCTGGTCTCCTCGGTGTCAAGTGGATGATGCGTAGCTGACTCGTCGCGTGCATCGAATCCTCTTGCCTCGAGATACTCGACCTTCACTGCATGCCTCAAGTTGTCGACGAAGGCTTGCATCTCGGGCATCGGGAAGACTCCGTCGGTTTCAAGTACTTCGGCATATAGACGCTCGGCTTCCTCTACGCAGGCTGATGCCAGGTTGGGTTTCCCGAGCTTGAGCCATTGATCAGCAGCAAAGATACTCCACATGCCGGCTTTGCGGCGACGGGCTCCCCATTTGGCTCCACCGGCGGGAGTTTTGGATGCATAGCAAGCTGCTACGCGCTCCATGAAGAGGACCTGGCCGACGGAGCCGACCAAGCCAAAGTCCATGACCCGCATGGCCCACCTGGCGGCACTTTCAGTGGCAGATCCACCGCGAGACTTGAGAAGCTCGACGGCCAGGGCGAGACATCGTAGAGCGTGGGTTGAGTCCGAGCATCGTGTGAGATAGGAGTAACAGGCAGTCTCAAACATTTGGTCAACACTCTCGAGCTTGATCTTGGCTGACATCGCCATGGGATTTAGGAGTGTGCTCACTGCACACATCTCGTGAGCTGCGGCGTGGTACTTCCAGGCCTTGTCATTGCCAAAGTCAGATCGAATTATTTCATAGGTCGAGGCGGACAGCTTCCAATCGCGGAGCATAACCGCAAAATCGGCCATCTTTCGCAAGATGGCCTCTGGAGAGTCTGGGCCGTAGAAATTCTGGTTCGGGTCGTAATTTCCACTTCCCCCGCCTGATGATCCTCCAATTCCAGAACGCGAGCTAGAACCAAAGCCGGCCCATCTTCGCGACATAGACATGAAGCGGCCACTGATACCTCGCCTTCGGGATGCTACTTGATCGTTCCATACGGCCACTCGGTTCTCCATGAAAGGAATCACAGACTGTACAATGAGTTCACGAATGAAGGTTTTGATCGCGGTGACATCAGAATCAAACAGGTAGGGAGTACTATCTGTACCGAGATCTACTAATGTCTCTGTCTGGGCGTTAGAACTCGTTTGTAGTAACTCTGGGTGGGTGAACATACCTGCTTCACCCGCCCCAGATAGCCGTTCGTGAGGGGACAACCATTCGCATTGTGGTACTTGGACACTGTCATCATCTGTCACGACGCATTGGCTGCTTCGAAGTCTTAAGAGATGACAATGTAAGCCGAAATGTCGTTTCATCTGATCGTATAGCTTGGTAGACTCGGTAATATCGTCACGCTCTTCGTCGTGTATCAAGACGTAGTAACGGAGATACTCCTGGTTGACCCACTCGGGCAAGCGTTTGTCCCCTGTATTACTCTCGGCGTAGAGCTGTCTGAGTGTTTCTAATGGTGCAGGATTGCGCGAGCTTATCGTGATCACACTGGCCACGGGGTGGCCGAATGTCTCATGTGGTCCAACAGAAGTGGACGCCAGAAGCTGTCGCAGGAACAGCTTGCACAAAGGAGTCGTAGCAGGGAAACCCAACACATCTTTCGTTGGCACAGCCCCGGCCGGCCCTTCTGCAGAGTTCAACTGCTTCTCCAGCACCTCCTCGGTCTGCGCCAAAGGCGAGTCGCGTCCGGAGTCTCGATTGGCGGGACTTCTCCCAAACCCTTTGAGATCCACGAAGCGCACTCCAAAATCCTCCCAGGCACGACTTGATCCCACACTATCTCGAATGATGACTTTGCCCTGCACGGTCTCCCCAAACGGCCGGACCAACTCGCGAAACCCCCCTTTGAACCCCTTATTCCTGACCAATTCATCGGTGTCATCAGAAGCGTGAACGGCGACAGTAGGCGAGAAAGCGCGAATTATTAATGACCTGATATCCTCCGAGCCATCGAACCGTCCATCGAAAGGCGATCCGAGCGACGACCGAGCTAATTGCGGGGTGGATGATCTGACTGAGCGCTGCGGTGACGCCGATCGAATTGGAAGCTCTGCCGTTGTGGCCGACAGAGGGGCCGTCGGAGACGACACTGACCGAGCCTCCGTCAACTCGGTGTCTATGGAGTGTGTGACCTCTTGCCCATCCGTGTATCGAGACTTGGATGAGGCTAGCGCTGCGCCGGGGGAGAAGGACGGCGGAGGTTTCACCGGAGTCCCATCTCCGGGCGATGTCATGGACACCGACTGTTTGCTGCGAACCTAGTAGTGATAAGAATTGTCAGGCCCCATCGACTGGGTGCAAGATAAGAGGGGCTCGAAGGCTGAGTTGCACAGGGCTGGGCGCGGTTCGGAGGTTGTTGGGTAAAGAAAGCCAAGTCGTTCGATTCGGGCCGATAAGCTGGGAGCTGGGAGCTCAGGTGGCACGACGCACTAGGTGAGATTGTCGCAGGGAGCTATGATGGGGGTATTTATGCAGAATGGAAGCAACCTGGCAACGTAGACGGTAGTGTAGACAATAGATCGTAGATCATACTTGACCTCGGGCGCATTTCAGGACGCGATGATGCAACCACGTGAGGCTTATCGATTACTCGCTTTTCTGCTTTTCGTACTTGACTCACACCTTCCTGTATGAGTCTGCGAATTTCTTTCGGGGCTGCTTTCAATGCCCAGATTGCGCATACTTAAGTCTGCACTTGAGGCCTGTCGCCCATACTCCACCTTTCCTGCCGGAGCGAGAACCCTTCAACCACGATCCGACCCTCCTCTCCATACACTTCAAGCTACCTGGTGCCTTTCCATGCGTGGCCCTGAGTCTGAATCAGACTTCCTAGAACGAGCGACCAAAAGGCGACGCATTTCTACCTCCCCGGCTCGGGGTAGGTCAAAAAAAGCAATGGATCAAACTCACCCCGCCATCCACCTTACTCTGATTGAGAGAACACTCCGAACACTCCTCCTCGACGTTGCGCAGTACATACATGAGAAGGATCAAAAGAACAATGACTTCGATCGGTCCAAGACCGTCTTGCGATTCACCGGTGGCTGGGTTCGTGACAAGCTCCTCGGGGTTGACAGCCATGACATCGATGTGGGGATCAGCAACATGACGGGATACCAGTTTGGCAAGTTGTTGAAGGAGTACCTCGATAAATCAAAGAACCTCGATAAGTACAAACAAGCTCTTCCCGATGGACAACGCGACGCGATTGTAAGCTTGCACAAAATCGAGGCGAACCCGGAAAAGTCCAAGCATTTGGAGACAGTGACCACAAAAATTTTCGGCATGGATATCGATCTGGTCAACTTGCGCAAAGAAACGTACACAGAAGATAGCCGAAACCCGCAGATGGAATTTGGAACAGCAGTGGAGGATGCGCTGCGACGAGATGCTACAATCAATGCATTGTTCTACAACTTGAACGAGTCCCGACTGGAGGATCTCACGGAGCGCGGTCTGGAGGATATAAAGAAGCGAATTATTCGCACACCAATGGACCCATACCAGACCTTCAAGGACGATCCCCTTCGGGTGCTTCGCTTGATTCGGTTCGCAAGCAGGCTTGGATACCAAATCGAGGCAGGAACGGAGACTGCAATGCAAAATGAGGATATCGGCATCGCATTGAAGCTCAAGATCAGCAAAGAGCGTGTCTGGGCCGAGTTGGACAAGATGCTGCGTGGTGAGTATTATACGAGAGTGCAAGTAATCAGTTCCTAACAAGCTTCCTCCCAGGCCCCGATCCCTGCAGCGCTTTGCAATTTATCGATCGCCTTGGCCTTTACCCTACCATTTTCGCCAATCATCAAGACGAAGTCCTTGCCGACACCTCGACCTGGTCTATTGGCTACAACGCGCTGGCGCGCTTCTTGCATTCGACCGAGGGCGGGGAAGAGGTCCAACTCGTGACAGACCGTCTCCGCCAGATTCTCTTACGCGACGTGACTAGCACGTATTATGCTTGGATTATCGCGACCTTTGCTCCCTGGTGCTCGGTACCGAAGCGAGAAGGACTCGACCGTAAAAATAGATCCTTCCCTGAACGTGCAGTCGAGGTTGCCAGAGAAAGCCTCCGCTCCGATAACAAAACCCTTACCCTTCTTCGCGATGGAGCCGCACACTACAAAGACATCATCAAGTGGAAGTCCGACCTGCTCGCAAACAAGATCAAGGGTACGCCCGCAGAAATCCGACAGAAGGTCGGACTGCAGATTCGGACTTGGAGCAAGGATTGGAAGCTGTGTGTAGTTCTGGCCATGCTTCAAGAAGTCATGCAAGGCCGCGACTTTGCTGCAGGTAAGACAACCGTGTTCACTCACATTGATTATTACTGACCGTCGCCAGTGATCCGGGAGTACGACCAATTCCTAGCATATATTATAGAGCAGGACCTAGAAGGCGTCTGCGAACTGAGGCCTGTTGTAAATGGAGGTGAAATCATGAAGAGCCTAGGCGCCAAGAATGGGCCTTGGATGAGCAAGGCGACCACCATGGTTCTTGAATGGCAGCTTTTAAACCCGGACACGACTCAAGAAACGGTGTTGCAGCAGCTTGCGGGACGTCGCGCAGAGTTGGGGTTGTGAAGATTGAAGTGGGGAACTGAATCAGCAACTTTAGAAAATCAACCTTAACTATTCCTGAACCACACCTTCCGTACTGTAAAGCATCCCCACCATGGAGAAACTACGAAAACAGGCCCGCGATGCCCTGCAGCGCGATCCGGGGAATCTTCCGCCTTGCCTTCCCGCAGCTGTTGTGGCCGCCCAAAATGATCTCTACCATCTGTGGCAGAACGTCTCGGCCTACGATAGCAGCACCAATCTGATTGTGAGTCCGTAGGCATGCTAGATTTATACACGGCTAATGAGCAACCCAGGTCTGCGAGAGTCTTCTCACGGCAATTGAATACCTCGCAGCTTGGGATCAGTTACTGCCGAATGACGGAGGTCCCAAGCCGCTGGAAGGAAACGAGGTCGAGGCAGTGTCCAACTTGTTTAGATGGGCCAGTAGCCATGCTCTGCCGACAGCTGCATTTGCCGTCGACTATGATGACAATGTAGAGATCACTGACGGTAACTTTTCAGTCACGGGAAATCGCAAACTCTTCTGACTTTCCCACAGAACTCGAAACAGCCCAAGAAGAATCCCGCCTGCGATCAGAACTAGCGATCACGCTGATTCACTCGCTCAACAAACTATTGCCAGGTCTACGAGACCGTTCGGTGGCCAGCTCGCCAGATGTCATTCTGGCAGTGGCTAGCTTTACTTCAGAGGAAGATCCATGGACCACGGAAGACTCCCTTATGGAAGCCGACATGCATCTTAACGCGACTTGCCAATCTAAGCCGTGGCCTATTATCGAACGTGTTCTCAGAGAAAAGATTAGGCCTCTCTTCGCCAAGACGAAGAACCCTGCTATCACGAGTGAAGGCCGGAAGAACCTCCATCCTGTGCCGCCGACACGTTTTGATGGAAGCAGTCTGGACGATAGCACCCGGCCTTGGAAAAACACTGATATATATGCGGCATCTGTACTGTCGTGGATCATCTCACAATACAAGGTATGTCTCCAGACGAGTTCATCTGCTGAAGATACTAACAGCCTCATAGCCCACTGACAAGGCCGAACTTGAGGCACACTTCCCTCTCCTAGTGCCAGCCATCCTAGCTATGATAGATGACAGCAGCGTCCACTTTAAGGCGACTGGCTTGAAATTGCTCGTTCAGATTTTGAAGCCGATTCAAGAGAGCGGCTCTGACATTCTCCTGCGAACCAACCTTGCCTCTGTTTTCCGAGACGCGATCACACCATGTCTCCTCTCCCTTCCATCCATCACCCCGGAAGAGAGCTCTTTGAAGATTCTAGGAGCAGCTTACCCAGCACTCCTTGCCCTATTCACGACAGCATACAAACCCCCCAGGAAACAACCTCAAAACAAGGAAGACGAATACACCACCTGCCTCACGACCATCCTCCGATCGAACCTCATCTCCTCTTTCCACCACATTAGCGCTTCAATGCCTATCTCTGTGGCTACCCCCACCTCATTCCCACACCCCCGACTATCCACCTTCCTTCTCAACTGGATATGCATCTTCATCAAGGAACTCGGAATCCACACTACCAAGTACCTCCAGGAAATCGTCCCAGTTCTGTACCCGACACTTTCAAATCCCTTTGGCGCAGCTCATCCCGAACTTCTTCTTTCCTCAGTATCAGCCACCAAAGCCGTGATCCTGAACGCCCATCCTCGAATCTGGAAATGGCGTGGTGAGATCTTAGCGGGGCTGACGGTGTGCTGGCTACATGTTATCACTGAAAGTAGAGAGAAGCCAAGCAACGCAACAGCCAACAAGCTTGCGGATTTGAAGCGTGAGATTCAAGCTGCTGTGTATTTGTTGAAACATGCTTTGCAGAATCCGGTTGTGATTGAAGGTGTCCAGGACGCAGATCAGTTGGCGGCGAAAGATAACATGGACAAGGAGCTAGATGAGCTTGTTGCAGTTGATGCGGAATTAAAGAATCTCTTGCTGGCTGATGTCAAAGCTTGAGCATTGATTGGCTTCATAGTTTGGAATTCTTTCAATATAACTACCAAGATAGAATATGCTAAAGCTCCAAATATCAGAATGCATTGGGGTATCAATCTTAAACTGGAATGCTAGATCGAAAACTCGATATGTTATGGTCATTACACGTCAACGCGTTGCTTGAAGAGACTTTTCCCCCTTAGCCACTGGCGATAGCGTTTGTATCTCTTCTTCTCATAGTCCTCACTAACGACCGTAAGTCCCTCCTCCGAGACAGTCAGAAATTCGACGTAATCATCAATGTTCCCTCCGGCTCTAGCTTCAAGAACCGCCTCTTCCACATTGCAGTTGTTGGCATAGATGACCATGTCCTCGCTGAGGCCGTGGTCTGTATTTTCGGATGTCACGACGAGTGGAACTTTGAGGGGGTGATTGATGTACATTTCATATTCCTCTGCCTCGTTTGCGGTGACTGAGGGGCTCAGTGAATCGGTGACCAGCTGTCCGAGGGTCCATTGGGCGATAAGTGCTTTGCTCGGGGTAGATGAAGAAGGTGGTGCGTTAATCGGAGGGATGTGAGATCCTTGGTACAACTCAAAGGCTGGTTCTTTGATAATACCAATAGCAGGAGCTTGTTTTGAGGATGATGGTGGCTGGCGAGACCAGTCAAGGGGATTTTCCGGAATCGTTGGGGTGGATGGGGTATAGCGCACGCGGTTGTCAGAAGGTTCCTGGATCTTCACACTCCGCTGGGGTGGTTGGTGACGCTGGACTTGATCTTGAGAGATGCGGCGAACGAAGGGACTGAGATCTGGAGGAACTTGCCCAGGGCGGAATGGAGCATAGGGGATAGTAGATTTCATCTTATAAGAGAAGACTTTGGAGAGAGTGGAGAGGGCAAGGGGACGGTAGTATTCCAGCCAGTAGTCGTCGAAATGAGAAAGTGGTTCCTTTGGACTGATTGGAAGAGGGGGCGCTTCTCGCTCTTTCAAGTTCTCAGGCGTGTACCAATTGATGTAATGTGGCTTTTTCTTTTGCAGGTGAGTTCTGGGGTCGGTATGATGCAGGTAGTAGTCAGTCGAAAGATCCCAAAGCATGGGAGCACCTTGTGTGAAGATGTAGTTCCCAAGGAAGAGGTTGTATGCCTCCTGGCGTTGGGCGTCAAGAAAAGAATTATTGTAGTATCGTTTAAAGCTTTCGACCATGTCACGCGACTGACTGCTCCACTGATTTATCTTGCGATATGTTGCCATAGTGTTGACTAGGTGGGAGCCTCCATACTGGATAGCAATGGTGTCTCCATGGTCCTGCCACATGTCGTTGAACAGGTTGACCGCATCTGTATCGTATTCAACAGTCGTCCCTTCGATGACACCAAGTGCATGAAGCTGGTGGCCAAGTGCTCGTTTGCCGATGATGAATTGTGCTGCGTTTGTTCGATCAAGGCAGTCAATGCAATTGGTTCGCGCGACGCCGTTCTGAAGCTGCAGACCTGACTCTGCATCTTGACCATTCTTGAAGAACCCGGTCTTCGGTATGATGTCGCCAGCGATACCCTCCAATGTCACAATGACTTCATCGTGCTCCCGGTTCTTCGAAGCTCGGCTCATATCCCAGGCCTTGTATATGAGCTTTTTGCCCTCAGGAAGGAACTGATTCAGATAATTGATTGCGTTGGTAAATTCATGCAAGAGCTTCGACTCCCGTGGCGTTCTCTCGCGTTGCTTGACGAGGTTCAGGACGTAAATTGGCGTCCCATATCGCTCGAACAGATTGTCAAAATGCAGGGCTGCGGCAGAGTAGAACGGGTCGATCAGGTTGAGCTCGATGCTTGGCTTGGGTGACACGCCAGTGCTTTCCTGGGTCCAGTACAGAGGAATGCTGCCACGGTGTTGCACATATGATGTGTAGTTTGGATTCGCATACATTGTCGGCCCTGCAGAGTGGAATGATGTCGTTGTCTGCTCACAAACAATTTGCTCTGTCTCCACATCGTTCGCCACATAGCCCAAGTCATTCGCACCGCGCTTGAGAAAGCGTGCTCCCGCGAAGAATCTAGACCGTCTAGCAAAGATGGAGATGTAGACCGAGCGACCGAAGACACTCATCTTTGACTGATCTACATATCCATGGATTACCGGAAGACACCACTCGAAGGGATTTTTGAGAGCGCCGAGTGCTGGAGCAAGCAGATGATGATTCCAAACAAACATGGTGTTGTAATCGTCGTGCTGACTTCGTTGCACTCCATCCCGGCGTTCCATTCGCTCCCGGCAGATATTATGCTGGAGCGTCCGAGTAATATCGTAGGAGTAGCTGAAGTAGAAGGATCTGGTTAAGTCAAGGTTGTTCAAGATCGTTTTGTACCTCTCCTCTTCTGACTGCTTTTCAGACTTCAGCCGCGTGGATTCCGCCGTTGTCAGTGGGATAAGCTCTGTTCCATCGATTTGATAAACATTGTGGCCACCGAGCACAGCCACTTGGCTCCTCTTCGTGACCAATAGCATATAGTACGCGCCTGTGAATCGAATGAAGCCCAGCAATGCCCACGCACTGCACTTTAACTTCAATCCACCAGTACTTTTATTGCCGTCGTCGATAGCGTCTAGGAGGTGTACCATCTCCCTTTTGGAATAAATCATATCATCTTCTGTTATGCTCAGCTCGCCCGACTCCGAGGTGCGGTCGATTTTGAGGATCCGGAAGCGGGTCTCGGCAAGGTTGATGCCGACCATGTAAAATCGAGTGGCAGTCTCATACAGCGTAAACTTGTGTATCCGATTAATGCCCTCATCCTCTATATCCACCCCGGAGCGGCGTTTCTGCGCAGAGACGGGTGATGACTCCCGCTCAAAGGATGTCGCGATGCGTGGTTCTTCATCGTCATCTTCTGGTGAGAATACCGAAGCCAGTGCAGTATCTTGGGCTATCTCTGTGCTGCCCTGAGAGGCACGGCCTGTGTCCAAAGGGTTCGAAGATTGGGTGCTTAATTCGACAGACTGCGTATCGGAGGGCTTCCTTGAGTGCTTGGCCTCGCTGCTCGAAGGGGGAGGTTCATCGTAGGGGGATGGGTCGGAGACCACCGTTCCGATTAGGGTAACGTCGTCAAAGCTCTCCATAGAGGGCGACGAGACCCTTAAGCGCGTTGGCTTTGGCGTGGGTGTTGACGAGGAGCGGTGATGGCTTTCCCCACATCCGTGACGTCGCCGCCTTTTTGTTTCTGCCTCAGGAATCAACGTTCCATACTCGAAAGTGAATTAGTTATTCGATTCTTTCACGGAGACAATAAAATATCTCTGACACCTAGGTCCCAGATTTCCTCTGCTCCTTCTTGGCGCTCTCTTTCTGTTTGGTGCTCTGGCCTTGTCGCCTTTTGCCTGCCCGATGCTCAGGCTGATCGGCTCATTCAATCTCCTCTTGCCTCTCTGCATCGGTAATACGGTAAGTTAGATTGAATTGCCTCATGAGACCCTCAAATCCAATACGCTCTGGACTAAGGTACTGCTAAGCGAGCGTTGTCAAGTAGTTTCATTTGGATTCGCGAGGATCCGAGTACGGGCCGACAAGCGAAGCGCGAGTGGAGACTGTTTTTGAGCTCAACTGTATCTGAGTTGGTAGTCAACAAAAGCGCAAAGTAGGCCTACATTTGCATTTTCGGCGCTTCGCCTCCCTTCTTCGGTGGCTGTGGACCGGGCCTGGCTCCTCTTCTACCTCTGGAAACCCCCGTCTCTATCCACCATATTCAATAATTCATCGATTCCCTTCGGACCAATCGGCACAGCAGCCGCCTCGGTATTCACAGATTCCGTAGCTAGACGCACAGTTTTGAGTGCAAATACGCCATGGTGATTCATCGCCCACTGGTCATTGGCGTGGACTTGGGTCCCCGAGTCGACGAGGAACTTATATTCCGGGTCCAGAAACGGCCCTGGATAAGGCTCCACCCGGATCCGCGCCCCACCAGATCAAGTTCCTGCAGACGGAGACATTGGTAATCATGTTCATTTCATCACCAGCGCGGCATTACAAAGCTTTTCCTTGTCTTTCTCGGTGGCCTCACCAATGGCCGGCGAGCGATGGCGCTGAGTGAACGCGCACTTGTTGCACCGCAAATCGGGTTAGATTCCCCGACTGTGGTCAGGGGAAAGTAGGTCCAGATTGCTCAGGCGTTTCCCCTACTTCCATCTGCATTGAGAATCCGTACCGTGGTTTAAGCAAGAGAGCAGCGGCCTCCGCCTGCCCGATAACTTGTCTAGGGCTACAATGGTAGACGGCGAGTTTGTCAGATCTTGACCTTCAGCAGTTGTCATTGCACACATCAGTGGACCCCCGCTTTTGGCGTGATATGGCTTCGAACGTCGCCGAAGTCGCCGAACGTTTGACGCAATTGCCTGGTACTTAAGAGACTGCTTGTCGTCTCGATTTACATCTTGCTTCACTACAAGCTTCACCAACCCTCTTGATCAACCTTCCGTCTCGCTCATCTGTAAAACCGTCGAAATGGCCGCCCAAGAATTCAAAGGCAAACTTGCCATTGTCACCGGAGGCGCCAAGCAGAACGGCATTGGCTTCGCGACTGCCTGTGCGCTGGCCAAGGGCGGTGCTGATGTACGTCACGCCGTGTGGTGAAAGCAGGCTGAGCTGACGATGTTGCAGATTGTCCTCCACTACAATTTGAACAAGGAGGCGGCCCAGAACAGTGCCACCAAGATTCGCGAGCTTGGGGTCAAAGTCGCCGTCGTCCAAGGCGACGCGGGGTCCCTGAGCTTCGGAGACGATGTTGTTCGCGCTACCTTGGAGGCGTTCCCAGGTCGCCAGATTGACATCATCATCAACAATGCCGGTCACGCCACCTTCCAGGAGGGCACTGAGGCGGCCGTGGTCGAGGACTTTGACGCTTTATTCCACCCCAACGTCAGAGGCCCGCACCTCCTGGTGCGAGCTGCCCTTCCCCACATCGCCTCTCCTGGCGGCCGCATTGTTAATGTTGGCAGCGTCGTTGCGCGCACCGGGGCTAAACAAGCAGCCCTCTACTCAAGCACGAAAGGAGCCTTGAATACTTTGACTCTGGCTTGGGCCGAAGAGTTGGGGGAGAGGGGCATCACTGTCAACGTTGTTGCCCCGGGACCGATCGCTACGGATTATGCCCCTCCCGAGGAGCATCCGTTGACTAAGAAGTTCCGGGCACAGCAGTACATCAAGCGCAACGGAGGAGCGGAGGAGGTTGCGAATGTGATCGTTTTTGCGGCAAGTTCTGGCGCTAGCTTTGTATCGGGTCAAGTGTTGGGTGTTGATGGAGGTCTGAGTTATGTATAATTCAGTGCCTTCGTGAGAAAATGGCCGTGGGAGAATGGCTATAGAGAGAGACTAAGAGGCAGATAGAAGAAGAAATCTGAAAGTCACCATCACTTCAAGCCAAATCAAGGAGCTGTCAATTATCAATTATCAATCTTAACTCCGCGGTCGGCCAAGGGATCTGTTATTGGAAGGTCGGCTGGTTGCTTGCGTAATTGTTTTATTCGATTTACCTTGACTCCTGACTGACGCAATACATAGACTACGATAAACGTATATATTTCCGAGGTAAAAGTTTCTAGTACATAGCAAGCAGCAGAGAATAAAGATCTTGGCAAAGCGTCAATCCAAAAAAAAAAAAAAAAAGAGAGAAAAAGGTATCCTTACTAGACAATCTCCTGGCTTTGATAAGTCAGCTATTTTTGTCTGTCTGGTGGCTTCTCCAGAAACAGCAGTGTGCAGATGAAGCCGAGAAGCATTCCAAAATTGAGAAATGGGGCCTAGGTATTCGTTTGATTTGACTTATTTGATCAAAAAGGAACCATGGCACACCACACAGTACCCTATCTACCTACACATAGGTATCCCCCTGGTAAGGTATATACATCGCAGTCTGGTGGTTGTAAGCTGATGTGGTGTTGTAATCCCACCAGAACGAAAGATGCTGCGGCACAGTGCTGTTTATTTTGCACTCCGATGCAAAGTCAGGCAGCATCTTGCTGACCATATCGGTGTAATTCGCTAGCGAGCATGAAAACCCGGGCCCCTCCTGGCACGACGTGAAAGGGACGACGGCCTCATTGAGCACGACCCGAACAAAGGTTCCCTTCTCTGTGGCTACTGTTGCATTGCAGCTCATTCTTTCTAGTGTCAGGTGGCCACCCATGGGCATGATATTGCCGATCTCGTAGGTAGACGGGAAGGGAATCTTGTCAAGGGGTAGGTCTTCACTTGGTGTTGCGATACCCATGGCAGCCAAAATTGGCGTGATATTGGTATCATGAGCACTTTTTTGAAAATAAATTAGGAGCCTTGGCTGTGACAAAGTAGAGAATACTCACAAGTTGAAGTAGATGGCGCCAACTTCCGCCGGTCCCTGGTTCAGCAAGGTCAAAGAAGCATTGGCGTAGACTGATCCAACGGCCTTGTAGTAAGGATCTCCAGGGCTAGGAAAGATTTAGAAGATTTCTTAAACGGATTGCATACAAATCTCCTACCCAGCACAATAGTAGAACTGCAGATCCTGGGTATAGCCAAACCATTTCCACTCGTCGAGTGTGAAGGCATTAGTCCAGTCAGAGTAGCCTCGGACATTAAGCTCAAAGACAGACATGACTATATCGTGTTAGTTTAGATTACGGGATACAGGACCTTCAATAAGCATACACATTAGCTGGAAAATGTCTGTCGAGTTCAAGTTGAGACCCGGATTTTGCTTGTTGAATCGCTCAGCAGCGACGCGGAATGCTGGCAGATCCTGGCTGAGACTGTCGCAGGTTTGGGTATCGGTATCTCCAGGACACTCAGGCGTAAGACTATTAGCCCCCATCTCCTCGCTCTCCGAGATAATGTTCAAAGCGACAGAGTCGGTGTAGTTCCATCCAAAGAAACCTTCGCCGAATTTGCGGGCAGTCTGTACGACGCGCTCAAACCCACTGGTCCACATGGGAACAATCTTGTCCGAGCTCTGATCCCACAAATGGCCATAACGTACACGATATTCTGCACCGTGCTTATATGTTGTCAAAAGCCCATTGTAAGGGCCGCTTTCCGTCTCCAGCCCATACAGACCCTCACTGTCCATATAGTACTGCCACCAATTCAAGAAGGTGAGATCACCCTTCCAGTTCTCCACATCGAAACCATACAGCTTTTTCAGGGTAGCTTCAATGTATTCGCCATCACTTCCTTGTGGGTACCGCTCGCCATGGCGTCTGATCATGATCACTTGATCCACCGCGCAGGACTCGGGAGGATCTCGTCCAATGCCATATGACATGCGATTGCTATACGGTCCAAGGCCGCCAATATGCTTCAGAATGGAGTAGCCCTCCAGGAATGACTGGTCATATGGGGCGGCGAAAGTAAAGCGCCCAGCATAGTCAGGCCGATTGCTGTATGAAGCCGTGACGACTGCGGCCCAACCGAGGAGCGTCGCAATGTTTTTGGGACCCATGTCAAAGATACGAAAAAAATCAGCCCCACGAGTAGACTAGTGGCTTCAGAGGCTCAAATGCTTGGGGAGCCAGACGCCGCCCTTTTATTTATTTTCGTAAGGCACGAGATCAACTTCCTTGCTGGGAGCTCAAGGTCCCACATTCCCCGCATTGAAGATTGCGACGTCGCATGGCCCGGATGAACTTCGGAGCATCCGAAAGATTGCCCGAGGGTACTGAATGGTTCTCTTGGGGATCATCATCAGGATTTGCTCGATTAAGTATGGCTCGGCGACGTTAGGCAACGTTAGGACGCACCGCGGCGGAGCTACTCGACTTCTACTCCCCCGCACACGGCAGCGCCCAGTTATCTTAGATGCGGTGTAAACCTTGGAAAAGGCGGGTTTTTTGCCTCTAATGCTTGTACCTACTGAATACACAATTAAATTTTTTGCGTGCTCTAATCAAACTAAAAGTGAAGACATATGTTCAGGATAATGTCTGGCAAGTCTTGGCTTTCCCTTTCCGATGTAGTGCTCACCCCCTCGCCGCTTTTTGCTCACTGAGTAAGATTGAGCACGCCCCTAAGCATTACGCCTGTTATATTCAAGGCTTTGTGCTATCACCTACTGGGACACCCCATCCTATACTTTGACCAGATGCCGATTTTTCTGTTGGGCGAGTTCGCTATTAAGGCCCTGGATTCGAGCATAAGTCACGCTTCTTGTGTCCAGAAGCTTTTATATGTTGCTAAATGGCGACTGTAAGCTGTTCCCTCATACACGGATACGTACCTCAAATTTCCGACTCATAATCGTACCATCGCTGTACGGAGACTTACACGAGCTCAAGTCCTTTAGAGTAAGTCTTGTAGGCGTGCCAGATAGAGCTCCAAGTAGGCCAGTTCAAGAGGTGCTCCTCTACTTGCAGGATATTTGGCTTGTAATAGAACTGTGAAGACAGAATCCAAGTAACAAGGTGCAATTGATCGCGAGGAACTAAATACAGGTGTGGTAAAGAGCGTCCTTATATATCTAGTCCTTCCTTCCTGGTATACTGGCCGGTCTACGTGTGTGTATACTGAACTAGGGTAGTCCAGTCGTCCTTCGAGTATACTCAATTGTGTAGATCAGAAAGAAGAAATTTAACTTAATTAGCACAAGGAAGATCTAAGGAACTTCGACGGGAAAATCTTACCTCGTACGCCAGATAACGCATTCGTGTTTTGGGACCGCCGTGGACAACTTTGTAAATCGCCCAGGAATACTCCTTATGCAACAAGTACACAATTGGGAAGATCAGCAGAGTTCCTAATCCCGTGAAGATTGCTACAAGGATCTCTGCTGGCTTGATGAGAGGCCACACATTGCGGGTGGTATCTACCAAGGTTGGATACCCATAGCGTTCATCAAATAGCCTCATGGTGTTCTCCTCCATCATTTGGTACTGCATGACAGAGTAGACAAAAGTGCAGGTATTGGAGATGCAGATTGCAAAAAGTAGAATATTGTTTTTTTGATGAATCGCATCTAAAGCAAGAATGAACTCATAGAGACAGGCAAAAATTAGAACATCGAGATTGATCGGAATAATCACTGACACCGTCACCTGAACAATCTGGGGAGTAACCCATGCTTGCCATTCCACGAGGATGTAGCTGACGTCGAAGTTAGCGTCCGAGTCTATGGCTGCAGCGTAGACAGTCCAGCCGTCAAGGAAACATAAGGAACGTACATTTCAAGGGCAATCGTCAAGATAGCCTGTGTGAGCAGCACACCACACAGCCACCACTCGTTCTTTGTTGTCGGCCTATACATCGCATGTATTTGCGTAGCCAACTCTGTGCCGGTAGTGAATCGTTGATCTGACCATTGATCTTGAGAGGACGATACGGAGAGTCATTGATCCCTTTTATATTTTCGGTGGATTTCCGACAAGTGAGACATCGTTCCTCTCGGGGCGGTGATACCGGGGGTTTGCCGGTTTAGTGGGTCAGGGTTTTGCTGATGCAGATCTGTGGTTGGACGAATTGGTAGTGGCTCAATAGTGACTGGTAATTATTGGTCTAGCGGATAAGGCTACTGCTCCGCTCCAGCTCTGCCACATCCCGCTGAAGAGGCTGAAGTTCGTGACGCGGTTTCACTGTGCCTGAAACTGAGCGCCCTACAAAAGCGGCAACTGCTAGAATAGGAAAGCCCCACTTGGCAGGGAAAATCCGGTACGTATAGGTACATAGATACAACACAAATTGACAGCTCTCCACATGGCGCTCAATTGAGCACCTTCAAACCTTCGACTGTCGCTTCTCAAGTGCCTGTCGCCGCGTCTTCAGTGCCTTGGTCTCTTCTTGGAGTGCAAGGCCCATCATAATCTCTTCGCTTCCACCGCCAACAACATGGACACGAGCATCGCGACTGATCTGCTCAACGCGTGCTCCTTTGCCGGCCTTATTGTATCCCGCACCTCCGAAAATCTGCTGTGCCTCCCTGACACTCTTCTCCAAGGCTCGGGTGGACATCACCTTCAACAGCGCAGTCATACCACCAATTTTGACATTATCAACAGGTTGGTCTTTGGTGAGCTCGAGAATGTTGACTAATTGTTCCATAAATGCGTAGGCTGGCTCAATCATTAAACCGAATTTGAAAATCTTGGATTGAATTGCCTGCTTTTGAATCAAAGGGGAGCCGAAGGTCTCGCGCTGGATTGCGTAGTTGAATGCGTCTTCGGCACAGACGCGGGCTAATCGCAGGGATGCACATGCCAGAGCCAAACGCTCGGGGTTGAAGTCTTGATCATACAATTAGCTTTTTCTATTACCTTCATGCACATCAAAACCCACTAGACATGATCAAGGGGAATCCCTTATCCTCCTCTCCGATGCGGTTCTCGACTGGGACGCGGACTTCGTCTAGTTCAATGAATGTTGACCCTGCCATTATGTTAAATCAAAAAGACTTGCAGCTCCCACGCGATACGCATACCACTAGCATTCACACCCGAGTTGAACATCCGCCGGCGAGTGACGCCCTTGGCCGCCAAAGGGATAACAAGCAAACTGATGCCTGTTCTCCCCGGACCACCCGTACGTACTGCAGCGGTACAATAGTCCGCCCAAAGACCATTAGTTATCCACTTCTTCGCGCCATTGACAATATAAAAATCGCCCTCACGCTTGGCAGTGGTCTTGATATTGGCAACATCGGAGCCAGCTATAGTAAAACACAAAAATATTAGCTCAGTTGCACCCAACCCCTCTCAACAGTCATCTTACCATCCGGCTCCGTAATTCCCAAGCAGAACCTAATGTCACCCTTCGCAACACCCGGCAACCAGCGCTTCTGCTGCTCCAGCGTGCCAAATTTAGCGATAGGCGGACATCCGATTCCATTCCCACCACCCAGACCCCAAACTACACCAACAAACCCGACGCGCGTGAGCTCATCACCCACAATAAGCCCACACCATGTATCCCACTTGTCGCGAGGCACATTACCAGGAAGTGCTAATCCAGCGGCATTCTCATGGGTAGTGAGGGGATGAACAATACTGAAGCCGAGCTCGCAATGGCGTCGTCGTACAGACTCGGGGACTTGTCCAGCAGCTTCCCACTCCTGGGCATAGGGTGCAATGGACGTATCGACATAATCGCGGACCCAGGCGCGGAGGTTATGGTGCAAGTCGGTGTAGTAGGGGTTGCTTACGTCGAGCTGGGGTAGAAGGGGCTCACTGTAGGGCGCTGTCGGGGCGCGGAGAGAACGCGCCATTATGCAATAGTTGGATTCTGGAAATCAAGTTGAAGTTGGTTCCAGGTAGTTTCACATCTTGAACCGGAAAGATGGTATTTGAATGCGGGGAAGGAACACTCGGCCCAGGTGCGTGTGAAGAAGCTCCACCAGGCCGAGGCCCGAAGATGTCGATCACTTGCACACGCGCGCCACGGTGGAAGATAATCCATATAGGCGACTTATTTTTATGCATAGTATTATTCCGATACAGTTAGAAAGAAATGAACAATTGTATTGAGAGAGGTTCCAGAAACCATTGGTACTAAAGAGATTCAGGGAAAATGAGCCCGTCATTCACGTCGGTACACTTGCTGTGAGAGAAGAGTATGCAGTATATTTATGCAGGGTATAGACGAGCATTAAATTATGAAATAAAGTCCTTTGACAAGATCAATTCCGCGGCTGCAATCGCTTCACGGCCTTTTGAGTCTTGCGCAGGTGGTCTTTAACTTCCTGGCAGCTCCACCGTCTTCGTGACTGAGGCGTCAACATCCCTCGGATGCAGGTCATCAACGCGCCGGCTACCGTATCACCCCCATCCAACTGCGTTTCGCCATAGTCTATCTTCGCTGCAAAATCGTCAGGGAAAGAGATAGAACCGCGAGTCAGTTCGTTTAGAACTAATTGGCGCTCCATCTTCGTGTTCAATCGATACACAAGCTCAAACAGAATAACTCCCAGGGAGTAGACATCGAGTTTTTCATCGATTTTATAATCTTCAAAGTAGTCTGAGGTCGGACTCGATGGATCGCTAATGGCTGGTGGGCGATAAAACTCAGTTCCCACGACGCGTTGAATCTTAGGGCCATCGTGGTATGGTGTCACCGCATTATCGGCCGCAGCCCCATCAAGATGAGAGATATCAGCAACTAGGCCGAAGTCTCCGATCCGTGGTCGACAAAATTGTGTTGGGGAATTTTGATCGGAGCAACAAATACCGCAAATGATCCGATCGCTGTTCTCAGGCAAAGACAGGAAGATGTTCGCTGGCTTCAAATCACGGTGAGCGATGCCCTTTGCATGAAGATACTCAACACCAGAAATAATGTCAAGCATGAGTCTCAATGAAGGCATCATGTGGAAGCAATGCCGTCGGGAAGGAGCATCACCGATGGGACTGGATGCAGCTTGAGAGTTGAGATAAGAGTTAAGAGAGATCGGATGGAGCGACATTTGGATGTGAAGAATGACAGCTGGTGGTGGTTGACTATTCGGTTTAAAACGACATTGTACCTGCAGTTTAGACTGATCCTGGCTGAATCCATCGGTGAAAATGTCGTCCGTTCCTCCGTATGTGGATGTTTGACCATATGAGGGGTTCTTGAAGTTCCGAGGAATGGACTCGATATCATCATCGTCCTCTAGACCCGCAACAGAGCTTTTCTTCGAGCGGCAAGAAGATGAGGTGGCGTGGCTGTGCAAACGGTGTATCCTGTTGTGGAACCCGAACTCATCTGGGACGGAGCCGGGCACGGAACTTGAGGGCGAATCCATGGCTGAACCCCTAGAGTGTTCAAACACGATACCCATACTGGGCTCGTTCGAGCCTTGGCTATATATCTCACTCCGCGAGGACTCGTAGCCCTGCGTCTGCTGCTCGAAGGGTACTCGAGTATCACTCTTGAGTCCCTTATGAATATCTTCCATGGGGTACTTAGAAAGATCAACATGTGCCTGTTCCACCCATGCACCGTAATACCGCACAATATTAGTATGCTCGAGGCGGGCAAGGGTCCGAATCTCTTTCATGATGGTCTCTAGCTGATTCTGTCCTCCGTATTGTAACTGATCAAGGCGTCGTTGGCTCAGAGGAATTTTCTTGACAGCGTAGTCTTGTCCATCTATGTGATTCGTGACATGGTACACCTCGCCAAACGATCCTCGCCCAAGAACTTTGAGCTCACTGAACTCGACCGCATAGCGCGACATGAGGTTCAAAGATGGGGCTGAAGGCTGATTAAACAATGGCATGCTCACCGGTGAGCTGCCGAAGAGGGGCCTGGAAGGCTGCGGCAGTGGTCTTGCACCAGTGGGAATTCCGTCCAGCACGTCAACCTTGCCAATTGAAGGAAGGTGAGTTCTTTCGGCACTCCAGAACTGAGCGCCGCTTTCTGTAAAATTGCTTCCGTTTTGATACCTTGTTACCAATGCCATCTCTTCGCCGCCTTCAATTGGAGATCGCGGTTGAGGTTCGTTCAAATTGAATTCTTCAAGCGCAGAGCGGCCGAGGAAGTCAAGATTATCACGGTAGGTCTGTCTTGTAGCGCCAAGCTCTTCTCGGTCGATCCCCTCTGCCAGAACACCATGAGATGACAAGAATTGAGACTTGTACTCGTACAGTTTCTTGCCTAGGTACTGGGCCTCGGGGCATTGTCGGGTAAATCGTCTATTAGACCCTGCTTGGACATTGAGAATCTCCGCGGCTCGGGTTTGGCAGTAAAACTCCAACAGGGCAGTGGTCACCATGTGACCATGATGCTCAACATTAATGTCCAGCGCATCCTGTGATATAGACAAATCGTCTAGCGAGACTGAAGCATCCACACTGCTGCTAGATGCCATTTTTTCAGAGGATCGGTCCTTGCTAGCTCGTCGAGACCCAGAGCTGGGGTCGCTTCTTAGGATTGGCGATGGGGGCTCATGGTGATCGCCTGTGTCGGATTCTGAATCTGGGTCAGACGAAGAGATATCGGCGGCTGACCTGAACATTGACATGCTGATAGGTATTGGTATTTGCGAGCCAAGAAGAGAAGGAAACTCAAGTCAAAATCATGCCTACGCCATGGAAACAAGGTTTATAGGCAAAATCATTCAATGAGATGTCCTTTCAGAACCGCTGCACAGGTGTTTGTGAAATCAGAAATGTTTCCACCCGGTCGTAGTGGGGTATATAGATTTGGCGGGCGCGAACACAAACAGCGAAGTCGGCACCGAAAGTATCAAGTAAGTACACGATAGTCAAAAAAGACTGCCATGAGGTTCCTAGAGGACACGGTAGATAAATATCATATGAAGCCAGCTGTTAACATGCCCGGGGCCAAGACAGGCGATGATTGACTCAAGTTTCCATCGGATTCCAAGTGTCTCTGACAGGGCGTAGGCGGGCTGCGTTTAAGCCCACCGCGAAACAGGCAACTATAACAGTCAGAGACTGTATGTATGCAGCAAGGAGTCGGATATTGAAACAACGATTCGAGGAAATCTGAAAATGGTTGAGATTACAGATGGCGATGCCAAGGGCGAAGGGGCAAAAGCGACGAACCATTCGTTTCTGCCGGCAGAACACGCTTCCCGGCCGCTGCCGCAGTGACATCTACATCAAGACATTGATTAAAGGGAGAATTACGAGTCGGGATTGATGCGGCCAGATGAGATCAATTAGGAGCGAGAGAGTTCAAGTCCAACCCATGCTAGTATTAGTACTAATACAAGGATAGTTGCTAGCTACTAATCCAAAGTACCGCCAATTCATACACGATAAGCCTATCTTACATTATCGCCACGTGACAAATCACGCGTTAAGAGCGTCACGTCGAGGGCGCGACGTGCGACACGACTTGATTAGTTGCCCGCCCAACACATTCTCTTCTCACTTGCTTCACCTTCCCCACGACTTCTCGAAGGTGTACCCATATACCTTGAGTTGTCATCATGCCTGAAGCTATCATGCCCCAGAAGCGGGTTCTGGGCGACGCTACCAACAAGGAACTCAACGCCTTCGCGTCTCCCAACGCAATGAAGAAGCGCAAGCTTGATAACGAGTCCGGTGGGCTCAAGCCGCTTACACAGAAACCCTTCCGGAAAGGATTCGGCTCAACGCAGCCCCAAAAAAGTACATTCGAGGAAGAGGTTCTTGAGAAGATGACCCAGGATATCAACGATCTCAAACAAAGCAATGCCGAGAAGGACCAGCAATGGGAACGCCCTCCTCTTGGAGTGTTCGATCCAGCAACAGATAATATCTGTTTCCAGCAGATTGATGCGGAGGAAGGACGAATGGCTGGAGACAAGATGGCTGTCCGTCTCTTCGGTGTCACCGAGGTAATTTCACCTTTAAGCCGGTTGTCTTGTCGAGTCATATTGTATCTAACAAGCATTCGCAGGCCGGCCAATCAGTCTTGCTTCACGTCACCGGGTTCCAACACTACCTCTACATCGCTGCCCCCGTCGGCTTCACCAAGGAGGATTGCCAGCCCTACAAAGCTTTCCTCGAGACCAAACTGGCACAAAATTCCCCGGCCATCCAACGTGTGGAGGTCACATTACGGGAGAACATCTATGGATTCCAGGGTAACCAGAAAACCTGGTACCTCAAGATTACCGTCACGGACCCGAGGTTCATTTCCAGACTACGTAGCGCTCTGGAAACCGGCAGTGGCACCATGAACTACAAGGGCCTATGGAGCAGCTCTGACAGTGGAATTCTCACTTTCGACAATATTCAATATCTATTGAGATTTATGATCGACACGGGCCTGCACGGCATGTCGTGGGTCGAAGCAAAGGCCGGGAAATATGAGCTTATCCCAGAAGATGAGAAGCAGTCAACTTGTCAATTAGAGGCTATCATCGATTATCGTGACATGATCGCCCATGCGCCCAATGGTGAATGGGCCAAGATGGCCCCCCTTCGTGTCCTGTCTTTTGATATTGAGTGTGCTGGACGGCAAGGTATCTTCCCTGAGCCTGACGTCGACCCCGTCATTCAGATCGCCAATGTCGTCTCTCGATACGGAGACAGCAAGCCCTTCGTCCGAAACGTATTTTGTCTTGATACTACCAGTCTCATTGTCAACACACAGATTTTGGAATTCGACAAGGAGGAGAGGATGCTCATGGCCTGGAAAGACTTCGTGCAGAAGGTTGATCCCGATGTGATTATCGGTTACAACATTGCGAACTTCGATTTCCCCTACCTTCTGGATCGGGCAAAACATTTAAAATGCACCAACTTTCCTTACTGGACACGACTGCAGAAGATGAAGACGGAAGCCAAGGAGTCCAGTTTCTCTAGCAAGCAGATGGGTAACCGAGAGACAAAAACGACAAATACCAACGGCCGAATCCAGCTTGATCTTTTGCAATTGGTGCAACGTGATCATCAACTCCGAAGTTATACCCTCAATTCCGTGTCGTACGAATTCCTGGGTGAGCAAAAAGAAGATGTCCACCACACAATGATTACAGAATTGTTCAATGGAACACCAGACTCTCGTCGCCGTTTGGCGGTATACTGCTTGAAAGATGCTTATCTACCACAACGATTGATGGACAAACTGATGTGTCTTGTCAACTACACTGAGATGGCAAGAGTCACGGGTGTTCCATTCATGTACCTGCTCTCTCGCGGCCAACAAGTCAAGTTTATCAGTCAACTGTTCCGGAAGGCTCGGGAGGAACAGCTTGTCATTCCCAATTCTAAATCTCAGGACGAGCAGGACTATGAGGGTGCGACCGTTATTGAACCAAAGCGAGGATACTACGGTGTACCAATTGCGACCCTCGATTTCGCATCTCTATATCCCTCTATCATTCAAGCGCACAACCTCTGCTACACTACCCTTCTTAACAAAACCAGTGTCGAGAAGCTCGGCCTCAAGAAAGATGAGGATTACATCGTGACGCCAAACGGAGACATGTTCTGCACCGCTAAAGTCCGCAAGGGTCTTTTGTCTCAGATTCTCGAGGAACTTTTGGGTGCGCGAAAACGCGCGAAGAAGGAGCTGGCCACTGAGAAGGATCCCTTCAAAAAGGCTGTGCTGAACGGTCGTCAGCTTGCTTTGAAGATCAGCGCAAACAGTGTGTACGGTCTAACAGGTGCTACTGTCGGAAAGCTGCCCTGTCTGCCCATTGCCAGTAGTACAACTAGTTATGGCCGTCAGATGATTGAGAAGACCAAGCAGGAGGTGGAATCTCGCTATACCATCGCCAATGGCTACTCTCACGACGCCCAGGTCATCTACGGTGATACTGATTCAGTCATGGTCAAGTTTGGAGTGACTGAATTGGCAGACGCAATGAAACTCGGCGAGGAGGCCGCAGATTTAGTTTCATCCAAGTTCATCAAACCTATCAAGCTTGAGTTCGAAAAGGTATACTTCCCTTATCTGCTGATCAACAAGAAGCGGTATGCCGGTCTTTACTGGACCAACACCACCAAGCACGACAAGATGGACACCAAGGGTATTGAGACCGTGCGTCGTGATAACTGTCTGCTTGTCCAAAACGTCATCGAGACAGTGTTGAACAAGATTCTCATCGAGAGAGACGTCGATGGCGCTCAAGAGTAAGTAAATGACTGTTCGGTTCTGTGATACAGTAGCTGATATTGTTAAATAGCTATGTCAAGTCGACCATTTCGGACCTCCTACAGAACAAGGTTGATATGTCGAAGCTGGTCATCACCAAGGCCCTCTCACAGAAGGAGTACGCTGGCAAGCAGGCCCACGTCGAGCTGGCCAAGCGCATGACCAAACGTGACGCGGGCTCTGCACCTGCTTTGGGTGACCGCGTGGCCTACGTTATGATCAAGGGTGCAGCCAACTCCAAAGGTTACGAGCGGGCCGAAGATCCCATTTACGTCTTGGAAAATAACATCCCCATCGATACCAAATACTACTTAGACAACCAGCTTGCCAACCCGCTTGGTCGTATATTCGAGCCCATGTTGGGTGAGAAGAAGGCCAATCAACTGCTGACGGGTGAACACACTCGGTCTATTTCCGTTGCTGCGCCCAGCTTGGGTGGCTTGATGAAATTCACCAAGAAGACCCAGACCTGCATGGGCTGCAAGAAGCCGCTCTCGGGCAAGGAGGAGCAGGATGGTGCCGTGTGTCAGAACTGCCGGCCACGTCTCGGAGAGCTCTACACCAAAGCCTTGACCAAGACATCTGATCTCGAAGTTCGATTCGGACGACTCTGGACACAATGTCAGCGCTGCCAGGGTAGTCTTCACTGTGAGGTCATTTGCTCATCACGCGACTGCCCTATCTTCTACATGCGGATGAAGGCTAAGAAGGATGTTGAGGATTCACAGAAAGAGCTGGGTCGGTTTGACAATGATGCTGGCGCATGGTGATTAACGTAATTGTATGATGCTAGCGGGGGATTCTTTTTGCTCCATAGCAAGGATTATGGGCATGGATGGCGTTTAATGACTCGGGCTGTACACAATAATTTAGAACTATTCACTCAAGGATGAGAAATGGATATTTTCATGAAATTTATGTCCGAAGCGATTGTAGTCTCATCTTGAAGTCGCACTTGCTTTAAATCGATCGCCGAACTCTTGGCGCGGAGAAGCTCCGTTTTCTCCGCCGATCCTTGCAAGCTTCTCGACATCCTTTCCAGCCCTCGAGGCCTCACAATATGGGCGCAAACTTCTACTCGAATGGAACCGGTCATGGTCAACCGAACTCACCATTCAATGATTTTCAGACCAACACAGCTTCGATCCCCTGGGCAGAGGTATGTCGTCATAGCCAAATTTCCGTCGCGTGGGCCCAAACAATGCGAGCGAGGGGCACAGCTTGCCTTTCATTACTGAAAAAAGAGCTTGCTAACATATTACCTCACTGAAAAGATCTTCTCGCGCCACGAAAACGTTCTCTCGGCCCATCTGGAAATGCTGGATTCGGTGAAACGACATGTCGCACAGGACGGCGAGGCCTTTCGCGCTGTCTCCTCAATGGTGAACAAGACGATTCAGACAATGAACCAGTTTAAGGTGGTCAGGAAACATATGGTTTGTCACTCTACTGCGTTTACTCCGAGTTGTGTGGCTACAACTAATACTTGCCTACTAGTTGACCAGTACGTTCATCGACATTCCTCTTGAAACGCACCACGCCGATCCCTATCTGCTCATTGAATCTAATAATGTCCCTACAGAGAAACCGCATGAGAATCCCTTTTTCTTCGCCTCTTCGTCAACTTCCAAGACGCATGCTCGGCAAACACCCACCCCACAGTCCACGGATGTCGAGTTAACGAGCCAGAGGAAGCGACCAAGGACCGAGAAAGAGAGAGATACCACGACTACAGAGTCCGAAACAACCTGGCAATCAGAAGTTCCAGTCTCGAAACGAAAGCGCGACATCACTTCCCACCCGGTCGCTGAGGACTTCCACCATACCTCTGGTTCCCTCGAGACAGAAGATATTTCGGAAGAAGTCCAGCGTCGACTACGAATCAAGGAAGAACGTCGGCGACAAAAAGATGAGGTCAAGCCCGAAAAACGCAAGCGAGAAAGTATGGTTTCCAACGAGAGCACGTCCCCGGACAACTCTGAGCACCGAAAGAAGCGCGTTAGGACGGGTCATGACTCGAAACGAGATGGCGAGATAACGACAGAGACGAAGGCGAATGTAAAGACAAGGAGATATAAGAAGACCCGTTAAATGGCAAAGGCTCACCATACCCTATTATTATTTTCCCCGCCTTTGTCTGCGGCTTTGTTCATAGGCCTACTTTCGCATATGACAGTTGGTGCACCGAGGCACCTATTGTGTTCTACGCCGTTATCCCTGCTTTGCTCCTAGGTCTGTTCTGAGATCTGTTCAGGCTATTCATATTCTTATGTGCCCTCATTTGAAGAAGCTCTACCAACGCTGGTCTAATCGAGGCCCAAGGAGGAGCTTCAGCGGGTGCACCAGAGCCGTCAAAGGAGTGGCCTTTCTTTAATGACGATCGCCATTAAAGACGGCTATATCGGACTGCGGTTCTACTATATACATAAGTTTAAGAAAAAAGCATTAACTTGACAGCTTTGACATTGTCTTTTCTCCCACATTGTACTCATAAACCGTCTTGAGAGATATACTCACCTTCCGTCATACATCGGTATTCAGCATAGCCGTCTCCTACCGATATCGAAAACGGATTTCTACACTCCGCCGCTCCTTTGAGTTGTGTGCAAGCCTTACGACATTCATACCCCGAGACCTACCGAATACGCGAGCGTTGTCTAAATGAACTGCGGTCGTCCATTTAGGGCTAAGTCCGGACTGGCATACGATCTTCTTGCCTGAACTACACTATTCTATTTTTGGGTTGAACTAGAACACCTTCATCTTACTTTTCAGACCATTACTTGATTCAGTCTAGGATCCCGTTGCAAATCCGTGGTTCGATCTCCTAGCCTTCACAGCCACCTCGCCGGCGCTTAAACAGCTAATCCTCTCCTGGGCATCGGACTTGGGACATTGCATCCCGATTCTCAATCCAATTCGGATCAGGCCTGCCCTCAGCTACCCCAGATTCTCGCGTCTCTCTTATTTCTTTTCTCCTTCTTCTTCACCCTCTTACATGAGCCGGGTCATCCTGCATACTATACTTGCATCCTACACTTCGCCGCGCAGCTCTTCTTCCTCTCTCCACATCCAACATCTGAAGGAACCATTTCCCTCAGCCTCATATCCAGATTCGTTCCAGTGTGCCCAAGTTTCTTATCCTGTTTCCAGTGGCTGGACTTGTAGGGGGCCATTACCTTGTGAATTCCTTCTTGCCTGCCAAATCTTTCTAACTTGAAACTTCAAACTTCAAAAATTGTTTAATCTCTTTTAATCGTGCGGATTCACAAGATCGTGGGAGCCTCTGAAGTTGAAAACCAGTCCTTGATCACGGGTTCGGAGCTTCTCTTGTTCGATTTCTGGGTACTGAGACAGGGTTGACAAAACATCACACTTCGTCCGATATCAATTAAAGATGGATTACTCCTCTTTTGACGGGCGCCTGGGTCAATACCACCCCCGGGACGGGCCTCGACCCGATTTGCTTCCACATTCCACAAATGGCTCAGGACCCCGGATCCCTAGAGACGAGCGAGGCTCGCGGTCGAATTCTCACTATCACAAAACCCAAAATCAAGATCAAAAAAAAACCTACGGTCGTCAAAACTACCACGGTAACCACAACTCCAACTACCGCAGCGGCCCTTACCAAGGTGACCGGACTTTCCACCAAGAGGTAATCTGACCATCTCCTCAAGGCATGATCAAGCTGACTGTTTGAAAGAACTATCGACTTGGGAACAACTACGGGCGAGCTCCTCCCTCAGGGCCTCGTTACCAACAAGGTCAGACCCAGGGCTATAACTCAAGCCATCGCCCTGGTGTAACCAATGGTCCCCGAGCGTACTTTTCCAAGCAAGAAAGTCGTCAGAACGATTATCAGGTCTCCAATTACCAAAACCATCAATTTGTTAATTCCAGTCACGACTCCAGCCGCCGATATTGTGGTGGCCGCAGCCGTGACAACAATCAAAACCAATCGCTGCAACAGCAACAGCCAGTCCCGGTGACCTCGCGTTACCGCTCATTTGACGAACCTGATCTCTTCGACGAACCCATCGAGCCTGTCGCTCCCATTTTGGGCTCTGATGGCATGTACTACGATGCCGAAGGTGACACCATCATCGAAGACGCACCCGAAGTCGACCTCGTCGCCATCGTCACTCAAGGCACCGTCGAGATGGCCAAGATCACTCAAAGCCTTCTCGAGCAAATTGCTGCCTTCGGTTGAAGCGTTCACAACGCTTCCCAGCTTTCATTTTCCTCAGTCGCCGCCTCTCGCGGTGTGCTAACTTCACCAACTTCCCGTTGGTAGCCACGCCTGAGCTCCTCGGCTGGTCGCGCGGTTACATTTTTTTTTTCACTTTTGACTTGTAAAGGGGAGAATATTTGTACTGCCTGTCCTGACCAGGGTTTTTACCTCGCGAGCCAAAGCCCGAGTGCCGCGAGGAGTTTCCCTTGGTCTCGTGGAATTCGTCTCAGATACCACGGCCCGAATGGGGGGATGGATAATATTTACACTTGGAGCGTCCATCGCTTTTTTTTTTTTTTGGTGCTTCGGTACTTCGAGCATCTACACTCATATATTGTTTTGTCTGCTCCATTGGCTGGAGCAACTCGTTTCTTCGTATGTCTCAGGCGGAATCGGTTACCACGAGTCGGAGAACACAGAAGGGGAGCCATGACCCTGGATGAGTCGCGACTTCGTGGGAACTGCTTTACGTCCTGAAACAGCTTCAAATTGAATGGAAACCCTTTTTTACCTTATTCTGCACAGAGCGGAAAGGTGAAAGGTGCCTTTCCATATCATTGTGCTGGCGGCACTGAAGTTGCGCCATGACTCTGGACGTCTTTGCCTGTCCTCTGATGAGGTTTCTTTTTTGATTCTCATCTTCACGCATTTGGTTCGTACATCGGTATAACCTACATCAACCAATTGAGACCGGGCATCTTCTTCAACTCTACCTTGTCATCCAAACCCGTACGTAGATCCATGTTGTAGATGGACCATTGCTTGCCCTCAATCACGAATATATAGTGTCCCGGTTCATCTCCGGGCCTACTACCCATTTTCTCAACCTGATCCATTTGAATTTCATCCGACGCTCTTACATACATCCCAGTCAAGATGGCACACAGAGTACTCACGGAAAGCGGGTACCGTCCCCGGACCTTTCCAAGGTTCTGCGTGGGGCAATTGGGCGCTCCCACACATGCGCTAAGCGAAACGACCCCTCATTTCAGTCATTTTGATTCCTGTTAATCTGATCTTTCTTTCCTCACCTCCTCAGTCTGGACATTGCTCCTCCATGCCTGATTGCCAGGCTTTTTTTACGCCGAGTAGCAGATTCTCTCCATGGAAACCGTTTGTATGCAAACCCCCACCACTCACCGCCCAAGTATGGGCAAAAAGAAGAGATCCCGAAAGCGGTGAGATACTGCCACCCATCGTCGGTTATAACTCACATTCAGGACACCTATCTTGTCCTTCGGGACATTTGGTCAAATGAAAATATACAGAGAAGATTAGCATGGCCCCTGCACTAAGGATGACACGCTCAATCAAAGAGAAGCTACCAGTTTTTTTTTGCTTTCCTTTGCTTCGTTGAGGTGTGAGCCCATATCAGACTATTCTCGTATGCTTTGCTGGTGCGCGTTCGAAACCAGCCTCGACTTCTTTTTCTTTTTCATCAACAAACATCTTGCGGGCCAACCCCAGCACCGGTATTGGACTAGGTAGAAATACTTTACAAAAAAGCAAGACTACTACATATTTACTCAAATTGACATTCAGTAGTGAACACATAGGGACAGATGAGATGTCCAGGTGCTCCAAGAGTAGAGGTGGATTGATAAAAGGTTATTTATATGAAAACGCCTGATCCCATGCTAATCCGAACTAAGTGGTGGTACATATATGGAGTCGTAGATATGACAAGAATGTGCAGCGAAGCAGATGGCGAAGGATGGCGAAGGTAGTCGGAAGTGAAGATCAGGACGCGAAGCCGATCAACAGAAGACGAAATCGGTGCTGGCGAATATGCATTTTCAGAACGCAAGCACTCACTCATCATCATCATCCTCCTCCTCCTCAGTCTTGCGACCCCAGTTCCAAACATCCCAGATATGATCCATGATCAAATCCCCATACCCCTTCCCCTCCTCAATAGCTTTCTGTTCCTCCCTCAGCCGGCGCTCCTTCCAACCAACCGACTCCCCACCCATCCACACACGATCAACAACACCCTGTTCCTGATCCTGACGAGCCTTCATTTTCTCCAATTCCTCGCCTGCGGCGTTTTGCATTTGCGCATCCCGCGCAGCCCGCAACTTGGCCTGAACTTCCTCGGCACGACCGCTAGGCAGCTCGCGCATGATACCAGGGCGTGTGGAGATTCGTGACTCGATTCGCTCGACGATACTGCGCCCTGTTCGTTCGTGCGTGATATAATTGGCAGAGAAAGCGAAGGCGCTGGCGAGCGCGACGGAGTTCAGGTCGAGTCTGCGTGGAGGGAGGGCGATGATGATAGGTGCCACGATGAGGAAGCCATAGGCGGTGTAGTTTTTGAAGCGCTCGTAATCGCGTTCGCGCTGGATTTGGGTTTCTGTGGGGGTGGCCATGGCTGCTGGGGGGTTTGGCCGCTATTGATCGTCTTGATGCGCGGATTCTACACGGAGTGAAAATTTACGGGAGACTGGACCTGCCATGTGTGCAGATCATGTGACCTGACACCAGTTTCCAAGAAACATTGAACATGAAACTTGTCTTTGGCCCTATGAGAATGATAAATTGATGGATAAACGAATGATCAGAAAATAATTGCCTCGCTAATTTTGTGAACCCTGAAACCGGCAGGTATGCGTGAAGCTGTTGAGCCACGGTGCGGGTGCCTAAAAATAAGTGGGATGTGCGCGAATGACGAAGCTTGTCGAAGCTTAGCGCTCCAGGGCTGAGTGCACATGTGGGGGTCTTACTCGGCGGATTGCACGTCGCCCGCAAATTGGAGTGTCCAGGCACCCACGATTTCTCAGGGGCGCCATCTCTTGTACCTAGGTTGGCCCGTTTTCTCGTAAATTGCCGATACACATCTTTGAAATGAACCCGTCTTGTTATTTAAATGAGATCATTAAAGCCCTCAGACAGCCACAGTGACGCTCTTAGGCCCAAGGTGAATGGTCGAGCGCCAACGTGGCAGGGCTTAGGGTGACTAGTGGACCTTCAGGGAGGCCCATAGGCCCGATTACGGTCATCTGTGACGAGGGTGACGACGCCAGGGCCTCCGGCTTAACCGAGAGTGGCTGAGGACTTGTATCACCTAGGGACAAGGGTTCGTAGTGAGATTGTAGTCCCCAGGGTATTAAAGAAACTCTACCCCCTCCTTTCTTTTCCACCCACTTCACTTCCCCTGAACCTACAACCTTTCGTCTTCCACCAATCTCTACAACCTTCACAATGTTCGGCAACATCTCTTCCTGGTTCTCCTCCAAGCAGGAGTCTGCTCCTGCCTGGGATGGTGCCACTGCCTCGGTCCAGAACCAGCAGCCCAGCAGCCCCGACGCTCCCTCCACTGAGCGCGTTGTCACTGAGCAGCCCGTATGTCCCTAATTTCCCATATGAAATCCGGTTCCTTGTTACTTTTGTACTGATATGCTTTCTTTCAGAACTCTCAGGAGAACATGATGAAGCTTCGCGGTGGTGGTGCCGGCGACGTCTGCTGCGGCCTGTATGTCACCCTCAATCTTCCATTCTTCAAACAAGCCTAAACTGACATGACCATAGCTGCGCTGGTCTCATGTGCTTCGAGTGCTGCGAGGACTGCTGCTAAGCAGCTCCCCCCAACAATCCCCATGCACAATCGCCGCTGGTCATATGATACCCTCGCACTACCGGTTTCCTTGACACATATCTAGACCGATAGACCTGACTCGGATACGGCGGCATGTGGGAATTGCGGTAGTACTTATGCTTGCGCTTTTGCGATACGTTTCTATTCGAGATGCCCTCTGTTATGATTATGCCTTTCTCGGCTGTTTGCTTGCGGGCGTCTTCCCTCTCGTTTCTGGAGTCGGGGCCCGTCGAATCAATACCCCTTTTTTAGCTGAGTAAATATTACTTTCCTGCTGGCATCAGGTGCTATCGTAGATATTACAACCGGGTATTAATTGTAGCTGTGCAGATAAGTCAATGACCTGCTCGCAAGTCCTTTGATGGCAATGTTTGGCATACATTGTGTGCCAGTTTAAGTTCTGACATGGCCGGCCATTACGATTTCTTGCCATGTCCCTGGAAGTCCTAGCGTAGGACCTACTAGGATATCTTGAGTATCGAAGAATACTAGAACTCATTCCAACTTGAAAGCCTTAATATCCTTGCTAAGGGCAGATACTCAAAAGGCACTTGGAGTAAAACGAATTCGTATTGAAAGTCAATCCATATATCTCAGCAATTAAAGTAAACAAGCAAAGTTCGTGAAATACCGTCCGTCCGTTTTAGAATCGAGAGAAGGGCAGCCTGCCAATGTTAGTCCGAAGCTTCTATTTTGTCCTTCTGCAGAGATCCTAATCCTAACTCACCATTTGCCGCGCAGCGTAATAACAGCCCAGTTGTTCCCCTCAGCATCCGTCTCCTTCTCGACACTGGTCGAGAAAGAGATGGCACTCATAATACCATCCCCAAACTTCTCATTGAGAATAGCCTTGTAGGCGTATCCATAGTTCTGCACAATTTCATACAGACGGTAGATCAAAGGCTCCTTGGGCGGCATCTCGACTGACTTGCCGCGATCGGGGAAACCATTGAGTTGCATCTCCAATTGCGAGTAGTCAATCATGAGCAAATCAGCCAGCTTGTGGATGTCCTCTGCAGAGGCTTTGGCCTGGCCGTAGAAGATAGCCGCAGTAGCGACCTCATTGCGACCGATGTGTTGGGCGATCTTCTCGAAGCTCAGTCGCTGGCGGGCCTTGGCGTGGAACAGAGTCTGCGATGCTGCAGGGAGATTAGGGTGTTGGGTGCTCTGATGGAGGTCAGCGCAGGATCAGAAGAGGGCAATTAGAAGGCATACGTCCAAAGTGGCGAGAGACATGGTGACGGTAGAAAATTCAGGGTCAGATCAGGTAGTGGGATGCGTGGATAAGGTGATGTCGGGACGTTTTATACTTGCGGGGCTGATCTCATTCTTACCTAAGGTGCGGGGGAATCCTGTAGCTCTCTCCCAAGTTCCTTCTGTCCCTTAGCTGCAGTTCAAACTGCCTAGTATTAATCTATTGTTGATATTAGATCATGAGGTTCCCTTTCTCTTGATCAATGAATTATCTCGCCATGGAAACATCTTGAAACTCGTCAATCTAAAATTTCAATACTCATACCGAGTACATGGCTAGAACACAACTACGTTGTTCAAATCCTAAGCAAGGCAACACGAATCAATTGATAGTCTATGAGTCTCTGCAACCATGAACCCTTCACCCTTAGCACTTCTGGCTTCGTGCGACCGCCATACATCGTGGGGTGGCGGTTGCACGCCACGTCAGTGTCTTGCATAAGCATAGAAATCAACTCGAAATGTAGGGTTCGAAGTGAACTTTCCTGAGATGAATTGAGCGAATACAGAGTGAAACTTCAGAACAAAGCATGGAATGTGATGAGGTGCTACGTCGCCAAAGCGGTTGTAGATTACATAGTCGGTTTCCCCGGTATCGATAAGGTAAATTGTTTACTGCGTATTTGCAGAGACAGTGACCTAGAGCCAAGATGTTGTTAAACTGGACCAAAATTCTTCCCATTACTACGAGAGCCTGAGGTATACAGCTATTCTATAAACGCCAGATGATCTCACAACGAACTTGGAATGGCAATTTCATGAACTGACTTATCGCCTGTCAGCGGATGCACGCGCTGGCGTGGAGTGCCGATCCACGGATACTCACGGCCTTTGGAAGCAGTATCGTGAACTTTTGTATGGCGACTGGAAACATCAGTTGCGCATAAAAAGACAAATATAGAACAAGTTTCATAACACGAGAGCTAGACTGAATAGAGCATGTCAGAAACACAGCCACGTACGTCTCCATCGTGGCTGGGTAGCGGGGCATCGGAGCTGTTAAAACATCTCTCCACTCTCACCCAGGCATCCATCGGGTGGCCAGCTTCCTCCCTCCTCCCTCATTTTTTCCTCACACGATGTCTCGACAAGAAGACGACTTGGCCTATGGCCGCTATTATGAGTCCGAACGTGGCTCGGGTGACGGAGCCAGAGGGTTCGGCGACACATTCAAGAAGTTCCGCGACACCTACAAGACCCATGGCTCCTCGCGGCCCTCCGATCAAGCTCAAACCCAGCCCGGCTATCAGGGACAGGGGGTATGCTCACCGCGCTTTCAAATTATTCGTACGCTCGAGCTGACAGATCAGAACCAGAACCAGAACCCCTATGGATACAGTAGCCAAAACTCCGGTGCGGCCACGCAGCAGCATCAGCAGTATCAACAACAACCCCAGTACCAAGAAAACCCTCCGAAGAAGGATAAACTAGGCGGGTTCCTGGATAAGATCCAAGGTACCGTTGCCGAATTCGGTAACGAGTTCGCTCAGAAGGTTGGTACCACCATCGACCCGCAGGCCTACGCCCAGTATGGTGCCAGCAAGCCCACCACCGAGCACCGCTTCGGTAGCTTTGCACCTTCCCGCGAACATAATGATGTAAAGTGGTACGTCGATGGATGCAGCTATTTCTGGGCCGTTTCTCGAGCTCTGGAGAATGCGCGCGAATCTATTTGGATTCTGGACTGTAAGATTCGGCTTTCTGGTATCGAACCGTGGAATGTTTATCTGATCTTTATTTCTCACAGGGTGGCTCTCCCCTGAGCTGTACCTGAGAAGGCCCCCAGCCAAGAACGAGCAGTACCGTCTGGATCGAATGCTGCAGGCGGCAGCCCAGCGTGGCGTTCGTGTCAATATTATCGTCTACAAGGAAGTTACGCAAGCCTTGACTCTGTCTTCCTCCCATACCAAGCATGCACTTGAGAATCTCCACCCTAATATTGCGGTCTTCCGCCACCCCGACCACTTGCCTGATCGCCAAGAGCTGGCTTCGGATATCACCACATCTCTCCAGCACATGTCACTCGACTCAGCCAGTCTTACCAAGATGTCCAAGGATGCCCTGAAAGGCTTGTATGGAATGAATGATGATGTTATTCTGTACTGGGCCCACCACGAAAAACTGTGCCTGATTGACGGTCAAATCGCTTTCATGGGTGGTTTGGATCTTTGCTTTGGTCGCTGGGACACCCACCAGCACTCCATTGCTGATGCCCATCCCGAGGATATCAATGAGACCGTCTTCCCCGGTCAGGACTACAACAACTCGCGAGTCCTTGATTTCCATGATGTCTCCCACTGGGAACAGAACCAGCTGGACAGGAAGAATAGTTCCAGAATGGGTTGGTCTGATATCTCTGTCAGTCTGCACGGTGTTGTCGTAGAAGATCTGCGCCGACACTTTGTTGAGCGATGGAACTTCATATACGATGCCAAGTACAAGGTCCGCAATGAGTCGAGGTACGCCAGGCTCGCACTTTACGGAAGACCGACTTCCTTCGGCGGCCAGCAGCAGGGTAATCAGCAGGGCAATCAGCAGGGCAATCAACAGCAGCAGTCCAGCCCGTATCCTTCTGGAACTGCTAGCCCTCAGCAGCAGCAGACTCCTGCCTGGCAAAATCAATCGCAGCAACAAGGCGGTGCTTCCACATATCCACCGCCTCCAGGTCAGACCCCTGCGACCTCGCAGCAGCAGACACCGACCTCGCAATATCACTCACAGCAACTAGGTGGTGCCTCTGCCTACACAACGACCCCAGGCCAAACATCTGCTAGCCCGCAGCCCCAGTCTCAATCTTATCAACACGGAGGCGCTTCAACCTATCCTCCCCCTCCTGGGCAGGGCTCTGCTAGCCCACAGCAGCAGCAGCAGCCTGCTTCATCATACCAGCCCTACCAAGCAGGCGGAAATCAGACCTACACGCCGCCTGCTAGTCAGTCCCCGGCTGATCAGAGCTCGCAGCATCATCAGTATACTTACACTGGCGACTCTTTCCCGCCGCCGCCTCCATCTGGGCCTCCCTCGAGCCAGTCTCCTGCAAATGCATCATACCAACCTCAGCAACAGGGCCAGACCTCGTATTATGCGCCACCGCCGACCTATTCTACTGATTCTGCGCATCAGGGCCAGTCTCAGAGTCAAGCGCCTTATTATCCACCTCCGCCAGGCCAGGAAGCATCTCACTCTAGCACCCGCGGAATAGGTGATCAACAATACGAAGGTGAACGTGGATTTGCACCCCGCCGATTCCGTGAGGAGTTCTCGCAGTACGGAAATCAAATCCGTGGTCAGCTGGCTGGTCAAATTCATCAATATCAGGATAAATTGACAACATACGGACGCCCCACATCCCAGAGCCGCGGCAACATGTCGTGCCAAATCGTGCGCAGCTGTGCTAAATGGAGCAACGGAAGTCCTCTGGAACATTCTATTGCTGATGCATACTGTGCTGTGATCAAGAACAGCCAGCACTTTGTGTATATTGAGAACCAGTTCTTCATCACTTCCACCGGTGAATCCCAGCACCCTGTGAAGAACAAGATCGGTGCCGCTATTGTGGAGCGCATCTTGCGTGCCGCCCGTGCAGGTCAAAAGTATAAGATCATCGTTGTCATTCCTTCTGTGCCGTGCTTCGCCGGAGATTTGAGAGATGACGAGATGCTGGGAACTCGTGCGATCATGGAGTTCCAGTATAACTCGATCAACCGTGGCGGAAACAGTATCATGGAGCTGATTGGCAAGGAAGGCTTCAACCCTATGGACTATATTCGTTTCTACAACCTCCGCAACTATGACCGGATTAACAACGCCGGCCTGATGGCTAAAATTGAGCAACAGAGCGGTGTCAACTATGAGGATGCTCGCAAACAGTATGACTACAACACCGTTGGCTCCGGTGGCTATCCTCAAAGCACTTCTCGCAGCGCTTTCGATACCTCTGCTCCATTCCAGCAGTATCAGGAGGCTGCTCACAATGCTCAAGCCGCGCAAGGTGGTAAATCCGCCGGTCGCTGGGACACTGTCAGCTCATGCTACATGTTGGGTGGTGAGAATATTCGCAATGTGCCGTGGGATGGGCACCCTGATGCTGAGATTGACGCTTTTGTGAGCGAAGAGCTCTATGTACACTCGAAGGTAGGTTCTGCCTACTAACCACCATGAACCTTCTTCTTTTCTAACGAGCCTAGGTTATGATCGCCGACGACCGCATTGTCATTTGCGGCTCCGCGAACCTCAACGACCGCTCGCAACTCGGCGACCACGACTCCGAGATCGCAGTCGTCATCGAAGATTTCACCCCGGTGCAGTCAACCATGAACGGTCAGCCCTGGACCGCGAGCCGGTTCGCCAGCTCTCTCCGTCGCGAATTGTTCCGAAAGCACCTGGGCCTTCTGCCTCCGCAGGACTATCAGCACCCCAACGCGAACTCCGAACCTGTCGGCATCCCCAACCAGTTTGACTTCGACTGCCCCGAGAGCAAGATCGTCTCCGACCCTCTCTCAGACACCATGCAAAGCCTGTGGAACTCTCGCGCACACACCAACACCGAGGTCTTCCGCAAGGTTTTCCATGCTGTCCCTGACGACTGTGTGCGTAACTGGGCCACCTACAAGGAGTTCTTCGAGTACTACTTCCACGGGGCGGACAAAGAGGCCGAGGGCAAGGCGGGGCTTGCTCGTCCTGCTCGCTTCCAGTGGGGCCATGTGGTGCGCGATGACTTCGCTCCTGGTGCCGAAGGCGCGAAGCAAGTCAAGGAATTGCTGAGCCAGGTTAAGGGTACTCTAGTCGAGATGCCTCTGATGTTCTTAATTGAGGAGGATATTGCCAAAGAGGGATTGACCCTAAATGACCTGACTGAGCCCATTTACACCTGAGCGGGAAGGGCATGATGATGATACGATTGATATTTCGCGTTCTATCCGCTGATGATTGTATTCTGTTTCCAATTTGAAATCTAGCAGACCTTGTGTTATCATTACTCTCATTAGATATCTCCTTACATGCTAACCTCATGACGCCTCCCGTCCTCTTGTCATCCTAGCATACATTCCCTCCCAAACGTCCTTCCGTACATAGATATCCGCATGAGTCGCCCCAGGAACATTCACGATTTCCACCTCCACCTTATCCATATCTTTAGCAATCCGCTCCACACACTTTGGCCCGAAGAAAACCTCTCCATCTGACGTATACCAGGTAATACCAACAGGAGAGTCCCGATAAAGCCCCGTAAGGAAGTCAGCCTTGACCCCTTCAATGCGCCCATACCCAAAGCGATAGTCAATATTCGACGCTTCAGCGCGCACCGGATTAGCCGCACACTCGGTTATAATACGCTCATGAATGGGCTTCATATTCTCCGACGAAGATATATAGAGGTCATTCTTCTCTTCGTCGTCCTTCTTCGCCATCATACCGACGAACTTTTTTCCAATCCACGTATTGGCCATGGTAGCATCTAACTTGGTGATAGGTTTGAACAGGAAGTCTGGCATCGAGCACATGACATTCATGATCTTGGAGTCGGTGTATGGTTCTGGAATGTGCGATGAGATAGGGAAGACATGATCCACGCGCGTTGGTGCGCTTTGTGCAAGGTGGAGTTGTTGGTAAACGCCTGCTGAGTGGGATGCAATGCTGAAATGGTCAATCTTCAGCGAGTCCAGGAGCTCTAGGGTGATGGAGGTGAGCTCGGACAGCAGGGCTGGTCCAGTGCGGGCAGCGTCTTTGCCTTGGGTCCATCGGTCGACACATAGTAGTGAGAGGTCTGCGTGGGATTCCAGAAAGGGCTCATACAGGCTTAGTACCAGAGAATTGCTGGCGGCTCCGTAGCAGAATATAAGCGTGTGTTGAGCTCCTATGTTCAGATGGGCGTAGGTTATGCTCCGATCTGGGTTTGAGGGGGACTGAAATTGTTGAATGAGGGTGGACATGTTTCAAGCGTCAGGTGATTATGTTTATCTGACAACACGATAATCAGCGATTCTGAATTCTAGCTTCGCTGTCGCTCAGCTAGTATATGTAGTGGAATGAATCTTGGAGATGTCGAGATTACCGGGGGGGTCTGAGGTTCCAACCTTCGGAGAATTTAGCCCCCAATCTGCAACGCCACAACCTAAGCATTAGCCTTGAACTATTGCAAAGTCCGAAGCAAAGCTATTGGGATCTGAACCAGAGAGTTACACTGAATAAATGAATTTGCAAGTATATTTCACCTCCAAATAAATTACCGGGCGCTGATGATTCTTTCCGATGATGATTTTGGAGTACAATATGCAACTACCCACCATCGCCGTCCAATGCACCTAAATTGTCCGTCTAATGCCAGTGAACATTCATCCAAGTCATGCTAGTCAGATGAGTGGTGATATCAGATTCCCCACACTCCTAAAGGATCTGAGCTATTGGCCGTTCTCGTCGTTTGAAGCCTCTTCACCCGCTTGACGAGGGCACCGACGCAAATTGGCCCAACAAGCGTACAAATAGATATCGCCCAGACAACGACCAGATAAATCTCAGAGATCCCATCCGAAGAGCCATTTGCGAAGATACCTTTGCTTTGCGCAAGTGAAGCAATGAGGTATCCGACCTCCCCTCTAGCAACCATTGCCAGTCCGAGGATGGATGAAGGATAGAGAGATCTCGGCTTGGGAGGGGCTGTCACTGCAATAAGCCGACTTGGCGGCGTGGTTTGTACATCTTGAAGCTCAAACTGACTTCCGGGCCTTCCATCGGATGAAGGCATGACATTTTTGTTCCTTGCACTTACATTTGTATTTCTGGCAGCTTCATCATTTGGGCTTCTTCTGCCCTTTTTGGAGGGATGACGTTCAGATTTCGCTCGCATTTCCTCTCGCTGCTTCCTGTCCTTTGTAGGTCTACAGAATAGACGAATAGAGGAAACGAACTTCCGAATCCCGAGGACCAAGTTTGATACAGGGCTCAATGAGAAGCGGATGAGCCATATCCCAGTGATCATCTTCCCAAATATCATGAGGAGAGCATATATGATGCCACGCCATATGACTCTCCCTTTGAACATCTCAGTGATTGGAATCGCGAATCCAATGGATGCCTACATGTCCTGTCAATTTCGGAAAGATATGGACAGGGCATAAAACTCACGAAGAATAATGGGATAAGGATTCGGATGACTGGCTGCTTGTAATATTTCTCATAAACCCGTTCACCTGTTGGTGCTTCCTTGAAGGCCATGTTTAGAGGCCGTTCAGTGTGGCCGTGAGTGCTGTTCTCTCGGGTTGAACTGCTAGAGCTTGTTAGAGGGTCGGTAGGATGATCCGGCATTTTCGAATCTCCAACTATCCCATCAATCCAAGAGACGATAACACCGGCAAGATAAGCAGCAAAGAGGCTTGAAGTACCCGCATAGGTGGCACCAGCAACAAGCCCCACAAGAATGAGTGTTTGATAAAGAAACGCGAACTGCATAGTTCCCACAAAGCTCGGAGTCTTGAACCTCATAGCAAGTACCTTGTTGAGTACCGGCTTCACACCGAAGGAACAAAGAAGATACAAGCCAACTGCAAATCCAATGGAAACAAAAACAGGCCTGACGACGGTAATGGAATCAAAGGAAGAACTTCTCCCTCCAATATTCGAGATGATTTGGACCATGACAAGACCTACGACGTCATCTAACATCGCAGCGCTGGTGGTGATGGTGCCTAGCCGAGTAGTGACTAGGCCCGTGGTTGACAGAATCGTAAAAGTGGTTCCAAGGCTAGTCGCACTGAGAGATGCGCCAGCAGCAAAAGACTGTAAAGAGCTCGCCCCGACCAGCTCCCTGAGAACAAAGGACAAGGCCATGGGCACTGCGATCCCTGTGAGCGCAACACATAGAGACGCCACGTAGTTCGCTCTCACGGCCTTGATGGAGGTAGATAGACCACCTAAAGTATGTGAGCAGATTACTCAGTAGGTATACATTTGAGAAACAATACCTTCATAGATCAACATGATTAAGCCAAGGTATCCTAGCTGCTGGATGACAGTTTCCGTCTCGCGATCCAGCCATTTTGCTCCCGGTGTACCCCAAAGGATCCCGACGACTAACTGTCCAATCAGCCCACAATAAAGAAACTTATCAAGACAGAAGTTCGCGAGGTTCAATACCACGAGGAACCCGGTCTGATTGAGAACTGTCGCTATTGGCGGCTCCTCGTAGGCGAAGGCAGCGTTTGATGCATCGCCGCTCATTGTCGGTTGGTAAAGGGAGTCGAAATTAATCAATCATGTGGCTGTGCAGGAACATACTCCGTCATTTCGTCGAATTTTGTAATTAAGAGGTATTGAAGTGTTCTGAGACCTGTCGCAGTGGAAGATACCTGGGCGGGGCGGAGCCTGTGTCGGCATGGAATTCCCCGGATACCGGGAAAATCGTTATTCCTTGCATGTTTATTATACTGTTTGCTTGTCTATCCCTATATCGTGGTCGGGAAACGAGTGGGCCACCCCAGAACACCAAAGTAAATACAATAATTATAAAAGAATAACTCCATATGTGGATTGGAGAAGCCGATGAGGGCGGAAGTCTTACTTCCTGATCTAGAAATAGCACTCAGGGACCGGCAGTCACCAATTCCGACATATCTCGTTTTCGGCATGGAAATGTTGCTTTCCACATACAACTCTTTTCTATGGTCAAATACATATATGAATCAAGCGCACTGTCGCTTGCAATCGCCCCAATCTGCCAACGATGTTACGAAAAGTATCGAAGACTGCTTGCCATATTTGAAAGTGCTTTGTTGGTGCCTTGCCCGGGATGATTGCACCTGCTTATGCAGAAAATACATCTGCTTCTTTCCCCGTTTTTTTGGGACCACTTAATATTGTTTATCGAGATACAGTAATATTCAATATCAGCTTTACCCTCAATCTCTCTTCCTTTATCTCCAAGGCCCAACCTACCGCACACTAGTCCATATTGGGATATAGTTCCGCCGGCTTTGTATTGTCCAGGTACCTGAAGTCAATCATCGTAAAACACAGAATTCTCATGACTTTTGTCAGTACGCGCTACCTTAATCCCCTCTCGTATTACTATACTTCGTACTCTAGCAGTCTTTGGAGGCTATCAAGAATAGCCCACACAATATGGCCCCAATACTTTATGTCTCAAAGCTCCATTTCATTCGTGATTTGACGCGCATCAGTCATAGTCTATCAAATGCTAACAAATGAGACCGATCGCATTGCTTTCTTGCAGGCTATTTACTACACTACCATAGGGACTTAAGCGTGAGTCCAAAGTCACGTGTAGGAAATGACTCAATCTGCGGGTGCCTAACCCGTGTTTTTTTTGATCCCTCTAATGACTCACCTCGCTATACCATCTTCGGTTTAGTCCGTCTGGATTGTTACGCATTGACATGAGGCTCATAGCTAGTCGTCAAAGATTTAGAATATAAGAAGCCGCTAGTTTGCGTACTTGCTGCATCAAAGTGCATTATACTTCCCTCCTTCTCTTCACTTTAATTCATATTCCGAGAGGCATAAAGTATGACAGATATTGAAGCAAGGTTGACATATCTCCAATGGCAACCCAGCTATGCTCATACTCGCCCCTATCGAATCGGGCAATTTGCTAGGCGAAGAAGGCCGGGAAAACAATGTGAAAAGACGACCAATTTAGTCTTCTGTGCGGCAGAACAAACGGAAACTATAAGGGACATCAGGGCTTTGGCGGGGGATCCCCTGTTTAATCTCGACACTAACGGTTTCGCTTATAAAAGATGCCGTGGTCCGGCTCTTACAAAGCCATATGATTATTCGGACCAAGAAAAGATCAAGAGTATCTTTTTACCGGAATGCGAGGCTATTTTGAAAAATGAGATCGAGGCAGCAGATGATGTTTTGATTTTCGATTGGAAAGTAGGTAATGCGAATCTACTTTTGCCTGCGGCCACTGACCTAGGTTTCAATGTTGATAGATCAGGAAGCGAAAAAGCGCAAAGGAGCGAAGACGGAGAAATCCAAATTTGCAGGGTTTTGCCCAGCAAGTTCATATTGGTGAGTTACAGATTTTTCTCGTCGTGATGACCGAGTCTATCGAATCAAATTAGATAACTGCTGACAATATTCAAGACACGCTTCTCACTCGGGACGAGATTGGAACTCCTATGATGGAGCGTATTCGAAATCATCTCTCTGAGGAATCTCAGCACCTTCTTTCTGGACGAGTCCAAATAATTAAGTGAGTCCCAGGATCCAGAAGAGTCTAGCTTCCCCCTCCCCCCCCTTCCTCCAAATACCTTGGACAGTAGACGGCCGATTGAATACTTGGCCCTAATTGACATAAATAGTCTCTGGCGACCAATAAGTGGACCGATTGAAGATCACCCTATTGCTGTGTGTGATGGCCGAGCCTTGGACCTAAGGAACCTGATCGAAACTGATATGATACTTGGTGATTATACTGGCACTCTTCTCTATCCACAGTACAAGCCGAATGATACATATCAATGGTATTATATGAGTGGACAGGATGTAGAAGACGTGCTTCTGTTTAAAAGCTTTGATACGAAGGAGGACAGTGTCAAATGTAAGTGGTCGACCATCCGTATTATCTGCTTAAAACCCCTATTTTATGCCCTTCCATGATTACGGACTGGAGAAGCCATTCAAAGTACACTTATCTGACAAATTTTTGCTGCAGATGCTCCTCATACGTCATTTACCTCCTTGAATTTTCCAGGAATTCCGTCTCCCAGGATCAGCGTCGAGGTCAGAGCTTTGGTATTCTCACACCACGAGTGAGAGAATCTATGGTGCAGGGCTATCAGTTGTCTTTGTGTATGAGCTGAAAATATATTTGAGCTAGATATTGACCAGATTAGGATTTGATCTGGGACCTTATTGTTGTTAAAGATACGTGATAACTGAGATACTGTACATGATCGTTGTTGAAAAGCCCCGTTACTCTGATAGCAGGATCGTGGTCACGGTGATTACCATTAGCGTTCTGTCGAACAAAAGGGGCGGTGATCCAAAGCGGATTAGCGTGTTCTACAATCATTTTCCGGAAGTCAAGTTCGAAGAGTGTGAAGGGCAAACTGATTTCGAGAAGTACTGTAATCGATTGAATGCTGACAGCTCCTGGCACCGACTTCCTCCGAATCCACACGTGTACTATGTTGATACTTATACCAATGGAAAATTAAATCCCTGTGCTCCCAAAAGTGGCGCACTTACCTGGAAGAAGTCTTTGATGAGGCCCAGCATCTCCATAGGTATTGTTCTTGCGAGCAACAATATTAACATATTCGCCTATTAAACCCCGCTACCTCCGCCCTCGTGGCGTTCTGTCCCTCCAAACTGTCAAGAAGGGTTTCAACGGTCTTCCCGATATTCTTTGAGCTACTCTGCCTATTTCGATAATTTACCCGGGCCAAAAGCGCGTTCCTGATGCCACCACGGAAAATGTTGACTCCCAAGAGACAATATCAAGAAACGCCACCAGGCTCCGGAACAATATCATCGGCCCCGCTTAGTCCAATTCTTTCTAAGAACTCCACATGGAAGCTCAATTGCTGCCAATCAACTCGAATAGCTTCATGACAGTGTATACCTATCAACCTCAAGTTGATTCCAGGCAACGAGCTATATAAGTACCCCCTTCTCTCCCGCCAAATACAACTTCTCTTCATCATCCGCTCACAAACAATCACTCCAACTCAACCCTCTCAAACCAATCTTCGCTTTTCAAGCAAAATCCCAATCTTCGCAATGGAGTTCCAGACTACCGCTGTTGTTGTTAAGGGTTAGCACCTCCCACCCTCCCAACCCACAACCATAGCAACATTGAACATCATACTAACTCAAACAGCCTCCCCCGGTGGCGGTTGTGTTGTTATGTAAATTATTTACATACACACCCAGAATCAAAGCATTTCACGTCAGCTCTATGACCCTGTTCGCCGGTCAGAGCGGTTGAAAACAATACCTCAATGATTTGATCTTCACTACGCATCCAATGGCTCAGAAAAACCATCAATCTGAACAAAATGACTATCTTTCGAAACACGACCAGCGACTTATCTACTTTGCTTTTGCGGATCCGTCCAGTTCCTTCTTTTTTCCTGGCGAGGTCGTGAAATTACTTCGTCGAATACGCTTCTTCCTGCTCGCAAAGGGCGAGTGGGTGGTTCGATGTCGGCTGAGTGCGATGGGCCTTTTGCTGTCCGTTGTGGGCGAGTGAGGGCGAAATCTACCAAGGAGGCGATTCTTTTCTCTTTCTTTCTGTTGTTCGAGAGATGGTTTCTAATTCTACAAAAAAAAATTGTACCCTTAGGGTACGGGTCGTCGGATTGTGGTGATGGTTCTGGTTTTGCTTTGTGTGCTGAGATGTATCTTGACTCGGGATTTCAATTTAGTCGGTCGTGACAGCTGAATGGAATACTGAATGCCTCCCAAATATTTCCGATCTGTAGAGTTCCGATTATGTAGACTTGAAGAAGACGAAGAGTTGAAACTACTAAAGTTTTGGAGATGTGCAATGAATTGTATGTACGATTCGACGAGCCAGCACCGACTTTCACTAGATACAGACGCTATCGGCCGTTGACCAGCCTATTTCCATCCCTCAGTCTCTTTCCGGATCTCGGCAACTCTGGTCTCTTCTTCCTGCGTGAACGCCTTCAGGTCCGAATCATCGGTTCCATAAGCATCGTGAATCGCCTCCTCGATCTGATCAAGTGTGAGCCCAACCAGCCCCGCGGACCGAGCATTGCCAACCTGACACATCTCCTTGCCGACTGCAGATTCGATGATTCCGTCACCTCCCTTGGCAGTAAGGTCGGATTCGAAGGCACGGAACAGGTGATGTAAAGGTTCGAGAACTTGACCGCGGAAGAAAACCACGGTCTTTTCCAGTTGTAAAGTATCCCTGAGAGAAGGCGACGATAGAAGTAGATAGTAGAGGTTCAATGCGGAATGCAGGCCTGGGCCCTCAGTTTGCGTAAGACGCGTCCAACTGTCCAGTATATTTGCAGAGGAAGCTGTCTTGACAGATGTGAAGAGTGACTGGAACAGAATCCAGAAGTGTAGCGGGTCATGGAAGACAGTTTCCGCCGATTCATGGACGTGGCCTATGATTTCCTCTCTTAGCCACGTCACAGCACTGTCACGGACAGATGTCAATTCTTTTTCTTCCAGAATAGAGCGGATAAGCTTGAACCGTGTGGAAGAAGACGGGTGGCTGTGCACGATGGCCGTCGGGATTTGGCGGACAATGCCATGGGTCTGGCGCGCTGTGCATGCGGTCAAAGCAGTAACAAAATCCTTGAATTCTGTCTCGTTGGATGGTGTTACAATTGGGTTTTGCATAGCATGCACGGTCAGAGCTAGTAGAGAGTCTAGCAGCGCCTGGGGCTCGCCGTAAGCTACTTCATCCACATTCTCAGATGCTCCCAAGAAATTCGTGAAGATCGCTGCTATATCCGGGAACACAGACAATGGTGGCATCAGATTGCCCGACGTGAAGAGGGTAGACCCTGCAGCACGAGCTGCAAGAAGCAGCAGTGAGCCGTGGCGTTCCAGAGGAATTTCGTCCGGGGAAGTTGGAGGCTCTTCAAAGTCCAGCGGAGGCAGGTGTTCATCGGGAGAGCGGGAAACAATTGACAATAGTTCGGTGCTGTCGATCCCAACGTCTCGCGACAGTGCCTAGAAGAAAGAGAAGATTAGTGAATACCACGGAAAGTATACACACAACCAGCGACATACCACGATCTTGCCCAATAGCATATCCCGCTCCTTGAGCTCTTTCGTGCTGGAGTATGCCTGTGTCTGCGACTGTTCTGGTAGCCGCAGAGACGGATGCAAATGCTCCTGCATGCGAATGGTCCAGGACATGCCAGGGTCCATTGGACTCGAGAAGCTCAATAGGTATGACTTGAGTAGCTCGACCAAACCAAATTGGATGAATTTCCTGACCAACAAGGTCTCGTTGGTTGCCGACGGAGACGGCAACGCCACCTCTGCTTCAGGATCTGGAGCAGAGGCTTTTGCCGTCCGCAGCACGCTCGACTCGCTCGGGGCTCGTGGAGGTGGGGCCGGTCGCTTGCTGGGGGAGACGTCGCGAAGGAACTCAAGCAGGGCCAGGGTGGTCTCGTCGCAGGGCATAGCTGTGTAGGCCTCAAGTGCTGCCTGGAGCGAGGTCGCGATGAAACGACTGGGGGATTTGGTTTTAATTCTACCATGAAGCACGGACAGCATGGACAGGAGACAGTTGAATTGCAGGATATGTTTCGGCAACGAGCCATCCGCATCGTCATCGTCCTCATCGTCGCCCTCCGACTGGAGCTGCATCAAGGCTTCGGATACACGCAGGATAACTTCTCGCGGGTTTCCGAGTCGGGCGACATCTTGAAGACACTCGGTAGACGCGGGAAGCATGGGCAGGAGGAGCTTGACGAGATCCCAACCGATGTTGGTGGTGAGGCGCTCATCTTGCAGCAGCTGGTGCAAAAGCGGAAGACGCTTGGGGGTCAACTGATACTCAAGCAGCGTGAGGTAAGTGAGGTAGTCAGTAGCCGGCGGCAAGGCCTGGACTAGCGGGTCTTCGGGGTTCATGGTTGGTGTGGAGGGTGAGGTTGAAATTGGCGCGGGGAAGTTGAAGCGAGGCCGGTGACATCACTCAGCCACCCGCGTGGATTATCAAACATTACCATGGTGAAATTGAAGATCAACAGTGAACATTGAATACTGAACACTGAACCACCCGCACTTCAAGAGAGCATTCTCTACAAAATGATGCCAGGCTATCTGCTTTAGACTAGGGCTAGAAAACACGGGAAAAGGTATGCCAGTCTAGGCGTTTTTTCTGTTCCTGGAACTGTCGGGTGCCGATCATGGTTCAGCCTTAAAGTCTTTACGGAAGTATCTTCCGAATATGTATATCCAAACCACTTTTCCAGGTGCCGAACATCCGGACCGGGCTCTTACCACGCTCTATGGATATAGTAATCTATTAAACAACAGCAACTAAGAGCAGCTAGCGTCCCAACAACGTCATGTCCGGGTCTTGATTATCTTTGTTGCCCGACTAAAGTTTGCCGAACCCGTTCTAAATCTTCAGACTCATCTACCTTGTTTTCATCCCCTCCGTTCTTTCCCTTTTCAAAGTCGTGATATGTGACTATGTCACTCGAGAGTCATCTGAGATACTCTGACCCGTGGCATCTATTCTCTATCCCTTATTCTGGCCCTCTCGGATCTTAATTCGAGTGGCCTATGCACTTCCGTCTACTTCCGGAACGAAACCTTCAGGAAGCGCCAGCGATATTACAAATCGAGTTGGCGTCATCACATGAGAATCCCCTTTTCACACGACATTCATTGAAGACCCGCGAAATCCCCAAAAGAAGGCGTTGAGATCTTTCCCTACGTACGATCGGCGAGATAGTCGCAACACTCACGATCACGATGACGCCCGAAATGCAATCCTTTTATACTCCGTCTACCTCTCACATGTCACGAGCCCCGGCGGCCATGGACCATCTCCGTAGTAGATACTCGTCGACGAGGGGCTCAAGTGCGCCCCGGCGCAACCGTCGGCGCAACCCGTTCCAGCGCATGTTCGACCGCGTCCGGCTCGAGTACTATCGCTATGAAGTCACCTTTGGAGTCTATGTGTTGACGCCTAACGAAAAGACGGTGGCTAATACCTTCGTCCTCATTGCCTTGGCTCTATTCTTTTGGGCACTTTTATACCTCCCGTCGTTGCTCTATAACAAGGCGGGTAGCCTTGTTTGGCTGCTGACGGGCCACAACGGTCAAGAAGCTGGTACTGCACTGGGTATCCTTGACCAAGATGGCGATTTCATCTCGTCTGCAGCCGAAAGCGCTTTCGCGTGAAAACCAAGCATCGGGATTGTATACCAAATCCCGAAGTATGCAATCCCGAAGTATGTCCGTTATGGGGGTCTTTTGCTCTGACATCTTGCGTAGCGGACCGACAGGTCGCATTGCGGACTGCGTTGTTTTCGTTTTTATATGTTTTCATGCCTTGACTTTGGTTCTTCACTCACCTTCGGAGTGTGTTCGCATTTGGCGCTTGGAGGGAAAGCCCAAATCACATTCATTTCACGACAGCTTGCGCCATGATTTATAATGACGCGCACTGCCAGCATCACCTGGTGGCCGACAAGATCAACACGAGTATCACGAGCATCATGGGCCCTCGGGCACCAGGGAGCAGGGAGATCCGTTCTGATGCTACGGGGACTGGACAGCATCGTGACCTTATTCCTACCCATTTTTTAATTAATTATTAATTCCAATTTTGATGGCATTTGCACTCCTCCTTAACCAAAACACTTCGAGGTACCTTGTAATTGCCAGTAGTGATCGTTATCCAGGGCTGAGCCAAAATTGGCGCTACCATAGCGCGGCCTTGGCGGCTGAGGCTGAGGAGCCTGCGTAAGAGCCGGGATCTTGCCGTCATGGCTTAAAAGCAATGTGGAAGTGGCTAGGGCTGACTAGAAGAATTAAAGACTAGAGATTGGACTAAACAAATGCCAAGTCGAGATCAAATGGTGTAAAAGTAGGCACACGCAAAGTCGCCGCGCGGCTGTGTTGATCACCCAAAAATAACCTCCACCAAATGTGACTGCCTGCCTTTCTTTCAACGACTTCTCTTCAACACCACTCTTTCTTCCATTTACAATCACCAGGGTGCCCCAAATTCCGCTCTCTTCGTCTTTCACTAAAGCGCGTTTCACGAATTCACGACTCTGACCAAGCTTCCCGCAACTTCGGCTGCCCACTGCTCGCTGCCCAGTATGGCCGCCAACGAGTATTACCACTCGAGCATCCCTGAGCCTCCGAGCTACGATCAGGTCACAGGACATTCTGGAGACCGATTGCCTGCTACAAGCTACGCCTATGGCGCCGGGGCTAACACACACAACCACGATGACCCCTCCGCCCCTTACCACAACCGCGAAAGTCAACAATCTTTGCAATCAGACAACGGCGCCTACCAAACTGCGGGGCGGGTCACAGATGGAGACCACTATTCAGAAAATATTCCGCTGAAGGCACAGATGCCATATGGAAATAACCCGGAGTGGATGCACCAGCAGACTCAGTACCCGCCCTCACCAGGGGCCCTAGAGGACCGTCGGCCGCGTGAGAACGACAAGAAGAAGGGATTTTTCAAAAAGAAGCCGGCCTGGGTAACTTACATCTTGACGTTAGCCCAAGTCATTGTCTTCATCGTGGAATTGGTCAAGAGTGGTGAGTGTTCAAGGATTCTCGAGAATGACCGAGTGTAAACTAACACGTTTTGTGCTCCAGCTGAATTGACCGGTTCTCCTATTGAGACTAAGCCCAGCTTCAACCCCATGATCGGACCCTCGTCATACGTGCAAATTTACTTAGGCGCCCGATACGACCCATGCATGAAGACTATCCCGAACCTTCAAAACAACACCGTGTCTGTCACCTTCCCCTGTCCGAACACTACTTCCAGTGCATCCGAGTGCACATTGTCAGAGGCTTGCGGAATGGGCGGCGTACCCAATCCTGTACCGGGTGGCTCGTTGGATGAGAATCCTGCGCCAAACCAGTGGTGGCGGTTCATCACCCCCATTTTCTTGCACGCTGGGTTCATCCACATTGGATTTAACTTGCTGGTGCAGATGACTATGGGCGCGGATATGGAGCGGATGATTGGATTCTGGCGGTATGGCCTGACCTATATGGCCAGTGGTATCTTCGGGTTCGTGTTTGGTGGAAACTATGCCACACAGTTACAGCCCAGTGATGGATGCTCGGGCGCTCTGTTCGGTATTCTGGCCCTGCAACTGCTGGATCTGTTGTATGACTGGCCGCAGCGTGAATCTCCATGGGTGGAGCTGATCATCATGATCTTGGGTGTGGTAGTTTCCTTTGTCCTCGGCCTGCTCCCGGGTTTGGATAACTTCTCCCACATTGGTGGGTTCATCATGGGCCTGGCAATTGGCCTTTCAATTTTGCGTTCTCCCAACTCTCTGAGGGAACGTATCGGTCTAGCTCGCCAGCCTTATGTTGCCATGTCTGGCGGCGCAGGCGAGGCTGCCGCGGCCGGTGAGAACCGGAAGACAACTAACCCGATGGACTTCTTCAAGAGCAAGAAGGGCAATGTTGCGTCAAATGAGCAGAATGGCCAGAATAAGGGCCCGCTCCACTTCTTCAAGGGCCGCAAGCCTTTGTGGTGGGCCTGGTGGCTGGTCCGCGCAGGCGCCCTGGTCGCCGTGCTCGTCGGTTTCATTCTGTTGATCGTCAATTTTTATAAATATCACACATCGAACTGCTCCTGGTGCTACCGCCTCAGCTGTCTGGTAAGTTTTGGCTCCCTGGGTCTCTTTGAATACTTGCTAACAAGTCTTATAGCCTGTCAATGGATGGTGCGACCAGGATACTATCAGCAGCGGTAGTAGCTCCTAAGCTCTCTCATTTTGTCTTCGTTCATTTGGCGTCTCGGGTTATTTGAAGTGATACCACAAGTACAAGGCATCTGTAAATAAAATACTTGTAAGAGACATGTATATCTGGCTTTTCTATCAATCCTGAAAATATATTGAAAGGTGTCTTACTCAATCTCGTAGAATAGCAACGCCGCGCTGTGTACTTCAACCATAAGGCAGACATGCCACAATCTAACCCCTGCCCCATGAAACCTTTGTGATGAATAATTAAAGTCAGGAACGGTAAATAATGAAGACTAATTTATAATTACATAGTGTAGTGGTGGAACGCATGACATACATAATGAATACAGTTGCGGCCTGAGGTGTCATAGACATCTTGGGTGTAAGCAATGGCTTCTACATGAGGATGGAGGAGAGACACAGCAGCAGCATCTGCCCAATTCATTCCAGTTGTCACCACATTCTTTGATTCATGATGCTGCATTAAGTACATTCCATATGGCCTCAGTCGGAAAACCGTACGGCCTCATTTAGGATTGCTGCGCTCAGGATTGTCCGTACGGTCCCACGACCCAACCCGTACGACCTCACGGCCTCACCAAGGACACTTGTGATCTCCACTAGGACGACCTACACTACGAGTTGGTTGTTGGTGTGTTATCTATTGGTTGTTGTTGTCCAGTCTGCGTTGCCAGACAGCCATCGAGCCATCCCCATTTCAATAGGTACCCAATACCTTTCCATAGTGATGTAGTTCCTGCTAAAAATAAAGTGGCTGAGACCGGGTGCCTCAAAAGTGGCTGAGTCAGTGCCTCCGCTTACGCAGTCTACAGATGAGGACACCGCAATTCCATCTCGTTGACGATGTCGCTCTTTCTGCCAAAATAACACCTCGATGCCCCTCGCCAACCTTCCTGTGTGATCGAGCATCCATCATGGCCACCCTGGCCTCCTCACCCCCCACATCGCCATCCTGGCCGAAACGAAGTCCACGCGCTTGGGCGCTCCGCTGTGAGCGGTACTGCTGCGCCGCAGCAAGCTGCTTCCCTCTCGCATTCGTCTACGGCTTGACAACATGGGCCGTCTACGTCGAAGCTAGTATCGGATTAAAAGATTCCAAGAACGGATGGATAGGTATGGAAGGAGTGCATGTTCGTGTGGGAATCGGATCGCTAATGCTCAGTCTATGACGGCTAGGTATCCCCAGTTCGATCCTCGGAGTCATTCTCTACGCTTTACTCAACGCTTGCTATACCGTTGCCGTCTTCACGGATCCTGGGTCGCCGTTGTCCACGCGCCGCGGCAGTAACCGGCACAACTACAGCGCGCTGCCACTCACCGAATCCCAGTTCCCCGAGTTCACATCGTACACTGTTAGCTCGACAGGCTCATCACGGTATTGCAAGAAATGTCAGTGCCCGAAGCCAGACCGCGCGCACCACTGCTCGACATGTAAACGGTGCGTCCTGAAGATGGATCACCATTGCCCCTGGCTTGCGACATGCGTCGGACTACACAATTACAAGGCGTTTCTACTGTTTCTGATCTATACTTGCCTATTCTGCTGGGTAGATTTCGCAGTCGCGGCTACCTGGACCTGGACAGAGGTCCTCAACGATACACAATATATGGACACATACCTGCCTATCAACGTGGTCCTCCTGGCCATATTAGGCGGTATCATTGGACTTGTCTTGACCGGCTTCACAGCATGGCATATCAGTCTCGCCGTACGAGGCACGACTACCATTGAATGTTTGGAAAAGACGCGGTATGTTTCGCCTTTGCGCAAAGCGCTCGACCGACGATTCGAGCAACCGCTCAATGGCCACAACGGAGACGCAAATCAGGAGAGTCTGAGCCACCGTCTCCAAGACTACGGGAACCAAATAATGGATGCACACGCGAATGCTATTCCGGGAGTCACTCGCGCAGAGGAAGGCGAGGAGCGTCTCTCTCCTGTACCTCATGCGCCCGGCCACGGGCCAATGCTGGGTGATAATCAGAACTTTACACCTGCACAACAAGCTCTCTCGCGATCCTACGCGGAGAATGAACGACAGCGCGAACGCGAACGATACCAAGAATACCTCAATGAAGAAGATAGTCAGAAGATGCCCAATGCATTCGACCTCGGCTGGCGGCGCAACCTCGTTCACCTCTTCGGTGAGCGGCCACTCCTCTGGGGCATCCCAGTTTGTAACACTACCGGTGATGGCTGGCGCTGGGAGCCTAGCACAAAATTCCTCCAGGCGCGAGAGCAAATGCGCCAGCGCCGCGAACAGGATGCGAACGAAGAACAACAATACTATCGAGACTTGTACCAGCGCAACCAGAATAATGCACACCACTGGATTGGCGGTGCCGGCACCGCTAGCCCGCAACCTACATGGACACCCAATAGACGACAGGACACCCCCGATCGCCCGCCGACCAGCGTATCTATGCAGACACTAGCGCCGGCGTCCCCACGGCCTCGGCCTGGTGATAGTGATTTTGAAGATGAAGTTGAGAGCAATGGACTGTTGGACCCGGAGAGTGGACGACGTCAAAGACGCCAAGAGACGGATGATTGGCGCGACTGGGACTGAGCTGTTATTTCCATGCATAGATCGGAGTTTGAAGGCGAGAAGGCGAGAGGCCAGGTCGGCCATTTGCTGTACGACTATGCCGAATTAAATGTACATTGAAGTGATATGAGGATTGAAGCATAGTCCAAGCGCGGTAGAATAAAACCATTGAATAAGAAGAAGAAGAACAATGATGATAATGATAATAACAATAGAACGAAAGGAGTCTAGGCTCAAGTTTCAAGGAACGAAGACTCAAGTCTCCACTTAGTACTCGGCGGATCTAATCTTAAACCTTCCACCACGTCACCAACATTCACCTTGAACACAACCAAAATGACCTCCCCGTCAACACGCCGACTTTTGAAAGAATCAACCGACCTCTACAAGAACCCAAGTCCCTACTTCACCGCCGGTCCCGTCGATGAATCCAACCTCCACGACTGGCACTTTACACTCGCCGGACCGCCTACTCCAAGCCCCTACGCCGGCGGCTTCTACCACGGCCGCATCACCTTCCCCCCAACATACCCCCTCCGCCCTCCATCCTTCCGCTTCTTAACTCCCTCGGCGCGCTTCGAAGTCAACCGCGAAATATGCCTCAGTATCTCAGGCCACCACGAGGAAACGTGGCAACCGGCATGGGGGGTGCGGACGGCGTTGCTGGCTATTCGGAGTGAAATCTTCGGGTCGGAGAGTAAAGGGCAGGTTGGGGGAATGGAGGGGGGTGAGACGCTTCGGAAGGAGTATGCGCGTCTTTCAAGGAGTTGGAAGTGTCGCGAGTGTGGGGTTGAAAATGAGGGGGCGATGCGGGAGCTTTGGGAGAGGTGTAAGGAGAAGGGTGTTGAGGTTGATGTTGAGGGGTCTGACGATGGGAAGGATTTGCAGACGGCGGAGGGAAATGAGAAGCAGAATGAAGGGATTCAGACATCGGTTGCGTCGCAATCTGCAGAGCTGGCCTCTGCTCCGGTCTCGGTCCCTGCTCCTGCTCCTGCATCTGCATCTGCATCTGCACCTGTTCAAGCACCTCAATTACAATCACAGCCTTTGACTTCTACGCCAGCTCTAGCTCCAGCGCCGGCCGCCTCACGCCCTCAGCCAACACCAACTATTCCGGCCCCAATTACCGAACCGGCGAATACTCCATGGCTGGACCGAGCCATCATCGGCGTGGTCGTCGCTCTCATCCTTCTGGTCTTGCGCCGAGTGACCGACGCCGACGAACTATGACCAACACAAGCAACAACATCTAGATTTATAAAGTACAGCACGGTGTTAGCGGGATTCGAATTCGGCGTTCGGGATGAATCTGATAGATACCTTACAAGTACTTGGAGTTAAATTGTTAAATTCTTATTCGATTTCTATTCATGTTACATGAAGTAGAATAGAAACGTAAACGGCAGCACAGAGCTCAACCCAGAATCATCCACCAGAACTCGAGCACCTTCCAGCCCGTGTAACCTCCAGTCTCCACTCGACACACGACGCCCACATCAGCCAGCCAACTCATCAGTAACTCAATCTCCCAGGCCCCTAGGGCAGGCTTGATCATTCCGCTGATGGTCTCGGCACTTGCGCCCTCTCGTATGGCAACGCAGCCGATGGCGGAGGCGATTGCCATGTCCCAGATGTGGGGAATTAGGTCCCCGTGGATGTCGAACCAGAGAGGGACCTTTTGCGGGAGGCTGTCACTTGGGAATACCGGTGACGCTGGAGGACCGACGGCTTGGACCTTCGGTTGCACCGGGTTCCCGTAGATGTATGAAGGGGTCGGGTAAACGTCAATGGCAAAACGGAGCTTGTTCTTGTCCATCTGCCGTGTGAGGTATCCGCTACCGTCAAGCAGGCCCCATTTGTCTCGTGGTGGGTCGCGTGGCTTGAAAGTGATATAGCCGGCCGCAGACAGATTGATGAGCGCGAGAATGTCGCCATCTTCAGCGGTGTATTTGACCTCGCCACTGTCTCCGTTTTGTAACTGGGGATCCAGTACGGTTGTTTTGAAGTGCACTGCGCGACGGAGAATGGTACATTCGATCGTGCGCTTACGGTTGATTTGCTGCAGGAGATGATCGGTAATATCGTAGTTGCGGCCTGGGACGATGCGGCCCCGATTGCCCATGCCGATGACTCGTTCTGTCAGTAGAGACTGCGTGGCGGACTCGACGAGTGGTCCGCCGAAACGACTCAGGGTGTCTCTCGCTTCTTCAGGTCGGTACGCCTGTTCCGGAGTGACAATGTTCGCACGAACCCATGACTTGGCGACTTCTAGGCTCGCAAGCTCTGCCTTTCGAGGCCCTGTTGTTGGGGCTTTCTTAGTGTGTATGGGAATGGCGAACGGCACCCGGGCCGTGAGAGCGCGCTTGTGGACCGTGGTGATCATCGATGTTGTTCCAAACAGTTCATCACCATTGGTAACAGGGTCCTCCCGGAGTTCGAAGATGCTATCGAACTGTTCGCGGGTCGCTGGTAAAGAAGGAGCCTTCTGAGATGTGGTGACGTCGAGCTCGATATTAGCCCACTCGACCACTGCCGGCCAGTTGTACGCCTCGAGATTCGAGTAGTCGATTGTGGGGACTCGGCCCTTTTTGTAGGCCTCGAGGAATCTCTCTTGGAAATCACGCTGCATCTTGAGGATTTGTAGTCGGTTATTGCTAAGAATCGATTTTGCCCGATCTTGGATGAAGATTGGGTCCTCGGAGGGAAATGCTGCTGACACAAGATCCCAATCAACCATTCTGGCCTCCCATCCACCGGCCAAAACGCGGACAACGACGATGGCCGCCATAACCTTTCGATAGAGTGCGTCAGGGACCGAAGCTGTGATCCGTTGTCGCCGAAGAGGTGCCTTAAAGGCATCTCGCTGGGTTTCTTTGCGGGCGTCAAGTGATGTGTCCACCGCATCCAGGCGACGTTGTCTCGGCGCAGACTGTTTAAATGACCGACGAGCCCTCCTGGGTTCGTTAGGCTGGCGAACTGCTTGAGAGGCTCTAGTCGGCTGGTCCAAAGCAAAGCGAATATTACCCTCGATTGGGGCTGCATGGAAAGTATTCTGGTCAACGGCCTGGTCGACATATGGGTGATGTTCAAGAATAGCATCGAAGAACTCCTCGTGATTAAGCTCCCACTTAAGGATCCTATCAGATACTCTTGATGGGTCTTCTGTCTGTCGTGCCAGTTGAGTCAGGTGTTGAACAGAGTTCGCAATCTCAATTGGTAGCATGGGTAACGGCTTGTTCTTCAATTGACGACTTCTGGAAAGTCGAGCTCCAGTAGCGAAAGTGCCAGACTGCGGATGGAAGGTTTGGCCCGGGTTCATCAGCAAGCTGGTAGACCCAATGGCAGAAATGATCTTCACCGGTCGTTCGATTCTGGGCCTTCCTCTTGGTCGTGGCCCAGGTCGAGAAATCGATGTATGTGTGGCGCCTGAAGTATTTTGTACCAGTCGGCGTTGAGTTGTCAAAAGACGCTTGGACTTTCCTGATTCCAAGTCGCCCTCCAATTGTTTCATCAGCGCTTTGTTGACCTGGCGCTCCTGTCTCTTCTCTTCATAGAGAGCAAATGCAGGTTTGTGGTGCAATTGAACAGTCGCACTGGCCACAACAGGCAGTTTGAACCTCTGGGTGATAGGCACGTTCGTCCTAATCAGAACAGGGTCCACCTCGACATGAGGAGAATACGAGATTCTTGGATTGCGGGGGTCAGTTGCCAGTACTTGCTGCTGCATATCCTTGATCAAAGAATCATTCGGGGACATATCAGGCTTCGCCAATATGGTCCTCGTGACCATCACGCCTTTGATATCTTTGCCACTGAAAGTCAATTGGCGAAGCTTGCCGGAATCAACGATGTTCTTGATCGCTGTTTTGATGGTCCGCATGTCTGGCCTCTCTTTTCGGTTGAATTTCATCCAATAAGTCACAAATGGATACCAAATCTCGTTACCAGATGGATATGCGCCACCGGCCTTTTCCACGAGTTCCATGATGATCTTCCGCCGAATGAGGGAAATAGAGCCGCCCCTGTCAGCTGCAGCATGCCTTTTTACGCTCTTTGGCGAATCTGGTGCAACAGATAATGTAGGCTGCCTAGACATCCTTTCTGAAAGGTCCAGTAACTTGGCTGACTTCTTTGAGTGTTCCACAGAGCCACTTGGTTGTTCCGATGAGGCAGCTTCGACATGAAGCCGATCTGGAGATGACATTCGGCGTCTTTTTGATGTTGCTTCCTGATCAACTTCAACACTCAGCGGGTGTACAGCAGCACTCTTGTCCCGGCCGTTTGTCGAAGCTGCTCTCTCTTGCGCTGTTGACTGTCCGGCCCGCAGCGAGGCTTCAGTGTCACCAGATTCAGTCTGATCATTCTCATTGGCATCAGTACGGGATCTTTTGGCGTTCCTTCCACGATACAGTCCGGCATCGCTCCTCGTGGATGGAGTAGGAGACTCGGTTTGGTCCAGAGCAGCCTGTGGTCGCTTAGAACGTCTGTCGATTGATGGGGTGAGCGTTGTGGGAGTATTTTCACGAACAACAGACGCAGGAGCGCTCGCGCCTATCGTATTGTCATTGTCAGAATCATCGAAGTCTTCGACAAACCAGGGGAAAGAGGCCAATTTGTCCGATTTGAAAACTGCAATCCGACTCTGTTTCGGACGACCTTGTTTTCTGCCTGCTGGCCTCCTCTTCCCTTGAGGCGTAACATAAACACCAGCAGTGGGTCTGTCCATGATCATGACATTGTACTCAGTCCACGTTTCATCCATGCCTCTGGCCTCGAATCTTTCTTTCTTGGAGAGGCCTTCCACTTGCCACCGCTTGCTTCTGACCGTTCTTGAAGGTGTGAAATCCATCGCTTCGGGTGGCTCCTCAATGACTCGAGTCTCCGTGCTTTGAGGGGTTCGATTGGCCATTTTGATCCGCGTTGATCGGTTCAGGGATCCCTTCGGGCGACCAGCATGGCCAGACGGGATTGGCGATTGGATCACATTTCCATTAAGGATTTTTCTTGGACCAGACTGCACAGCTGTTTGAATTTTTGTCAGCGAAACACTTGAGAATAAGTTCCCAATTACAGACTGGGAAGTTGACAAAAGATCTTACCAAAAGTACCATCGAACAGCTGGAATGCCTTGGGGTCGGCACTCGATAGCAGGTAATTTGACGGTCTACACGCTGCGACACATTCGAACAGACTAGCCGCTCCATTCTTCATTAACGGATAGATAGGTGGCACCGTCGGGAGCCCGTATTGATCGAGTTGTGGCTTGGCATCGGGGGGTGGAAGCCTGGCATTGTTTGCTTTGCCTTTCTTGCTGCCCGCGAACTCAACGGCTTCCCATGAAGAGTGGCCCGCCTCAACCATTTTGGCGAAATTTCTGGCGGAATAATTGATGTAGTAGAACACAGTTCTTTCGATGGCTGTATCTCGCACAACTGCCAAATGGCGAACATGCAGTGGCTGAGAGAGCTGCCAGCAGTCGGTCAAGCGATGCAAAATACTTTCAGAAGGTCTGCGGTAGAATGATCCAAATAACACCCGGTTAATGTTCTGCGCATCCCTTATTAGCATGGGTCTCTGAGATGGCCGGTTTAAACATACTGCATTGGTTATACCAGTCGTTCCAGCCCGGTCGATGAGCTCAAAGAGCTGGTTTCCCGCAATACGATCCGGTGTCCAAGCCGGTATGGTACGTCCGGCATCCACAATATTTTCTTCCTGTTTCACGACTACTTCGTCTTCCTCTGCGCCTAAATGGGTGGCTTGACCGACATCGTCCATTTCCATGTCGTCGTCCAGCTCCACTGTATCACCATCGCTTTTGATAATGTCGTTCCGGCTGTAGTCATGGAATTTTTCCATGTCCCTCTCTGTAGGTTCCCGAAGCAGCATGACACATGGGTGGAGCCGGTCATACTGAGACTGTGCTCTCACCCGCTTGATTACGCCGATACGCTCAAATTTGCGAAGCGCACGAGAAAGAATTCTCCATCGCCAATTGTCGTTGAAATCCAGCTTTCTCTTGAGGTCGTTGCGAGTGATAATTGAATATTTCTTGAGGATCTCAAAGAGGTTGTTGATGAATTCGGCAAAGTCGATCATGGGCCGATCTTGGGAGTTTTGATCGTTTGCTTCACCGATCACAGACTGGGAAAATCGACGAAGAGTGCAAAGACTTGTTCGTGCTGCTTTTATTTGTATTGCTCGCTTCTCAATGTATCCCTTACGCACCAATGCATCAGTTCGTTTCGGGACAGAACGTTTGTCCTGGCCACTGAGCTTTACAAGCTCTGTTTGAGCGACACCATTAGCGCCGTGTGAAGCAATGATAGAGAGTAAGGCGAATTCTGAATTTGGGACTTTGTTGTCGTCAGGCTCATGTCCGGCGATCGCGAACCACATTCTCTCGGTGGACACAAAGATCCGGAATTGCGAAGAAGGTCCTGGAGGCGCTCCATCTTGGGACTCATCAGTATTTCCCGCCTGAGAGGACTTTTTGAACTGGGTGTCCAGCTCTTCCGCTTCGTCGAGACTGAGACTATTCCATTCACCATTCCTCCCCACAGACACCTCAGGGTTACGCGTCAGCCATGACCAGACCTTCACTTTGAAGGGACGATCTACAGTCTGTTGCAGCTGAGAGTCGCCCGAGTGAGTCTGATAGAAAGTGTCAATAGACTTGAGGACCTCCGACAAGGCCGTGCCTGTATGATGATCAGCCCTGTTCCAGAATGTTCATTCGAGAGCACCGCCGAATCCCGAGCAACACGGGCAACCACCCGTCTTGCGCGTGAAGATTGGGCCCGGCGCATGCACGACGGGTATACATCGTGCTGAGTAAAGTGGGTCTGAGAGGCTCTAGAGCGCAGGTATAGAGCACGCACCTTGATTTCCGCAAAGCGCGACCTCGTTGAGTAAGAAATCTATCAGTTCCTGTAGGCTTGGCGCCATGGCTAGCCCATAATGGTCTGGAAAGTAAATATTAAGGTGAAGAGGGGTGCTTGGAGGATGAAAAGGTCCGCCAGGGATAGAATTTAAAAAAGTGAAAAGTGTGCTTCGAACTCGCGTCACTTGAATTTCGGTTTCCGGGCGCGGGAAGTCACGTGTCTGGTCGCTTTTTATGCCTTGGAAATCGGGCCATAAACTTCAACTTTCTAGTTTTACCAAAGACATACTTTGTTTGCTCACAAATTGTTTCTCTTATTGCCTGTAATGAGCAAATATAGCAGCTAGTTGTATGCAAGGAGACTGCAAGTTCGACGAAATGAAGAATTGGCAGCCATGGAGAATGGTCTTTAACAACGCCAGTTACAATGTCCTACTAACTAACTTACACAATTAACCGATTTCAGGAGCCCATCCAATCTCTTCTATGGCCCGTCTAATCCACAGTCGATTCTCACCATCCAGCAACATATATATCCCTTTTATCAGATGAACCGTTGCCGCTCATCCTATCTTGACTGCTGCAATTGAAGTGTAATCAACGGAAACCCCGAATTTCGTTCGGCCCTCATACTTGAACCTTCAATAGTTTCTTGAAAAATAAAGGAAGAACGGCGAGTCATCTTACGAAATCAGCAACGCTGCTATCTTTGATCCGCAACCTTGGGACCTGCCCACGACCATCAACATGGAGCGCAGAAACTGGGATATTGAACGAGTTCTATTTTCACTGCCTGCAATTGTCACAGGGAGTGCGTTGAACTTCCATATTGTAACTCGGAAAGGTGGCGTCATGTTGATCACCTTGAATTGGCAACTAGGTGTTTTAGGTGTTCCAGACGAAAGTGAATTCGTCCAGGATGTCTTAACGAGGATTCGAGCCCCGTTGACTGATTTTGTTGCAGTTGCCCTTTGACTTGCGTCCATTGCACCAGCTGAAATGATTGGAACGAGACGAGAATTAGAAGGCGGGAAGCAAGTTTGAAATTGGCTGTTAAGGTATCATTGGCATCGTAAGCACGAGTGGAGTCTTCGTGAGAGATAGCACTGCCACGATGGTCAGCCAATGGTGCTTTGAACCTGTTCGCTTTCAGGCCTTCCTATCTGAAACAATCTCTCGTGTCCCTCGGAATCTTCCTGATCGTACGATGAAGTATTGTAGGCCACCTTCGGATGGACCGCGGTAGAGCAGGGGCTGTTATGGTTCATTTTCTTATTCCCAAAGCAACGTTTTGGTCTTCGGTAAATTTGAGTACCTTGAACTCTGAGCGTTGGTAGTTGTGGGCGGACCACAATGTGCTGAGGCCTTGCTGTCGGCGATCTTGCCACTGGCAGTGCCTGGGTTATGCCGGCTTGTCGATAAGCTGGGAGTGAGGGGTAAGTGGAGCTGCGTATTTCCAGGGTCTTGTACTGGGGGAACCAATGTCAAATGACTGGCAACGTTACTCCAGGCCGGCTGTCAACCTTGGGATTATATGGGAGACGATATAAACTAAAGGTTTGACTGGTCGTAACTGATGCTCGATTGAGATTGCTTCAAATGTTCCAAGGTCTTCTACAGACTAGATACTGCGTGGATGGTTCAAATCTACCTCTAGGATTCGACCGCTGATGTCCATGCCTTAAATGCTTCGTCCTCGTTGCTAGAGAATTTTTGGAGTTTGTGAAAAAGATATACAATCACGTTTGCTAGAGGGTATCTATATACTTAACACAATTGAGAATCAAAAGTAAACGGCATCGCCAATGCCCAATGCCAAACCGGAATCTAATTTGCAACCAAAATGAAATCATCCAAATGTTCACACCCACTCTGCAAGGTCGACAATATATCATCAAGTCATGAATTGTACATATTAGTTTCATTTGGCTTCCAAGTCGCCGACCTTCTTTTCTTCGTGCATACTGTCGACGCTGTCCGGCATGTTCTCAAGGTCGTGAGAAACGCTATCGGTCACGTTGGCTGTCACTCCGGGGCTATGGGACAAGCCATCCACGCCATCAGCAGAAGGTGTGGAAGGTGCGCTCTGTTTGTCGCGCGTCCACGGGGTAAAGCGGTCTTGAACGGACGCGAAACGAGTACGCGCAGTAGGCGCCGCAATATCGTCAACCCAGAGAATACCACCCTGGCCACGATTCTCGGCCCAGGCCTTCTTCTCACGGCGAAGATCACTCTGGACCCAAGGAATGGTGATCAACGTCCAAACGCCGGCCCAGGCGAAAGGGAGGGTCCAGCCCAGCTATGCGTATGACGTCAGTTTGTTTCAGATCCTGGTATGATCATGCAACATTACTTACCGTGAAGGCCACGGGTTCGGAGACTGTGAAGATCACGGCCGTGATGGCCGCGGCGAAAATGATGGATCCTCCGCTCCAGAAACAATTCATCTCGAAAAGCATCCGTCGGAAGTAGGGGCTAGACAGGTATCGTGTGCGCAGTGCGTATCGGTAGATCTGACCGCCTCCGCCGTCGACTGCGACTACGTCTTCGATAAGTGCATACAGCGCGGTTGGCATGGCGGATCCTTTGGGTGTTGAGGAGATTCGGAAGGGTGCTTTGAAGCCGGCCATGCGCAGGATGTCAAGGGAAAGGTGGACGATTCCGAAATAGAACATGACGGTCGGTAGAACCATGGCTATGAGGCGGACAAAAGGTTCCGCAGGAACCGATCCACTAAAGTCTTGTAAGCATAGGCACCACGGGTTGGGCGCAATTGCGAATTAAGCTTACACAATGAGCTCGACGGCTAAGAACAGCCAAACAATGGTGAAGTTCCAGTGGAAAAAGTCCAGCTAGTAGCGATTAGCATGCGACCTGACATAGCTCGAAAAATCGCATCTTACCCGGGATTTCTTTGCGTTTAGCGGCCGGGCGCGAGAGCCCTTGCGGAAGAGGTTGTAAAGACGATAGAAGTATTCAAAGACCGAGACACCGCCCAAGCACGCGGTCACGATCGAAAAGACTTGACTAGATCAGCAATTGAACGTATGAAGCCACGTTCAAGACATGGTCAAGAGATGGTCTAGACATACCCAAGTTGTGCGATAGATCGGTGAGGTACCATAGCGTCCAGTACAAGATCAGGGGCTGGCCCAGGGTATCGATAACAAAAATGGTCCAAAAGATCGCGATGGCCTTCTTTCGCGTGCGCAGCGAGTACGGGAGCGGAGGGGGCTCGGAGGGCAGAGGCCCGTTTCCTTCTTCCATCGGGGTGGCGAGGCGGCTCGAGTGGGAAAATAGGGGAGTAGTAGGTCTAAGTTCGAGATTTTAGACACAGGTGCAGTCGGGAGGGGGTTCAGGACATGGTGGGTTTGACAGGTAAAAGTCAACCAGTGGAATAAGGATCAAGAATTAAAGGATTAAAGAAGAGCGAGGCGATCGGACTTTCATAAAACTAGTTTTTCCTAACGCCGGAAACGACGGGGTGCACAGGTACATCAGTGTCCATACAAATTTGGGCCGGTTCGCAGGTACCTGACGTAAGGTGAACCCCGTGATGTCATTTTGCCTCAACTTGATTCTCTGTCTTTGTTTATTTCCCCCTTCCTCGGTTCTAAGTTTCCTCTATAGTTCTGACGTTACGAAGTAGTTACCCAGTTAATTATCCCTTGGTATATCTCGGCGCCTAGCTCTTGATTCCTGAAGGCGTAATGATGCCCAGATGTGCCCCAGTGGTCTGACCAGCGTGCACTGCCTACTATATCCGGCTGTCTTCGGTATCACCTTAGCATGCCACACGGTTATTGGCGAAGTCCCGACACGAAGTACGCATAAGATGATACATCTCAGGCTCCACTAAAAAAGTACTCGGATGACAGAAGTATGAACGCTTGGTCCCTTTCTCCTAATGCCAAGTGTAAGTTGATACATGGAAAACAGGAAATCGGGATTGGAAGACATTGAACTCCGACGCAGCTCGGTCGCCGATCCCAGCCAGACATTCACTGCCGATCACCCGGTCCAGCCGCTGTTGGGTTTGTACGCAAAACTATCGTCAGCTATGAGATGACGTTTAATCACTAGCATCCTATGGCGAGTGAGCACTCGATTGTTGTTGACGACGAATTCTTACAAGTATAGTTCTGCAGAGAAGTGGATCAGGATGGAATGGAAGGGGATCTGGCTACTGCATATCTAACTCAGCGGATATGGGGGGTCGGCATGCCCAATGTTTTGTATGTATTCTCGGCGGAGTCGGCACCGATGTCTCCGACTTTGCATAGACATTCGGCCTAGGGTCAAGGTATACAGCCGGACCGGCCGATCCCGTTTGCAGTCCGTTCGAACCTAAACGCCTTTTTGAGGCATCTTACGGTCTTCTTTTCAAGGTAGTCCTAAACCTATCAAAGACCAAAAAGGCGTAGATGTCAAATCCACTCCGTCAAGACGGAGAAAAATATACCTTGAAAGATGTATTAAATCAGAAAAAAAAAGGTCGCCACTCCCTCTATGTATGCAGACCGAACCGAAATACAAAGTCCTCTTTTCCCACCTTCACAAGACCCGAGTACACAAAAAAAAACAAACACAGATTTCAACGCCTATATACGGGCCCGCTGGCACATAGAGGGTATCTTGGAGAAGTCACGGGGCCTAGAGACAATCGCAACAAAGGCTGCTATACAGAGGGCGTGACCCGAGGGTGGAGGTCACAGAGGGGTGTTAAAACAGATCGAGGATAGAAGGATTAAAATGGGGTAGATTATTTTGGGTGTTCGTGGAAGGTGATCACTTCCGAGACATCAATCTCCGGCCGAAGCTACGGATTGTCCTTTTATTACTAGAAGGGAATGTTAGCTTCGATGCTGATGAATACGGAGGAAAGTAGGTCATATTTACCTGTCGTCTTGTTCAGTCCCGTTGGTTTGGACCGTGGTCATTGTTTGGCCGGATGTCATGGGTCGAGGAGCATTGATATTGACAAAGCGGCGTGACTCCTCCCATCGAGAATCCACATCCACTTCACTGGCAGATCGAGAGTCGCCACGGGGGTCCGGATCATGCTCGTCACGCGTATCCGAGTTCAGAGACGTTGACCTTGCCAACGGCGAAGCATTCGACTGCGTAGACTTTCGTGAAGGCGACGGCGAGTACTCGCTGTTCGAGTCGTAACTCGTCAGACTCGAAGCCTGGCTCGGCTTGGGATTCTGAACGTTGCTGGAGTTGGGAAGGAGTTGCGACGACGACGCAAGCTCGCGGAACTTTCTCTGTTGTTGCTTGGTAGGGCGGTGGTGCGAGAACTTGTTGCCGAGAATGGCGGGTGCGTGGGAGATGAGGGCCTTGATTACATCTTTCTTGAGGCGCAGAGCAAGATCCAGGTTAGACCATGTCTTGTTGCCGTATTCGAGGATTGGCATGCGGAAGACGAAGTCATGAAGGTCTTCCAAGTTGTGTTCACCTTTGCCTTTGTAGCTCATGCACAGAACCACGTCATGTACCTTGACTCGTGCCAAGGTCATGTAGTTGGAGGCTCGGGACATCATTTGCGAAAGGTCGTCTGTGGGTTCCTTGGATTTGTTGTTTCGGGAGCCCTTGCCCAGGCCAAACTTCTTCTTTTCTTCAGCAGCACTCGTGCTGTGGGCAGACAAAGATCTTTCGGTAGGCTGCCTTCCTAGCATGCGGAGACTGTCTGCGGATTTCTTCTTTGAGAGACCGCCGGTGGTTGATGGACGGGGCTGTTGTCGAGTACTGTCCGAGACTCCCAATAGAGCAGTATTACTTCTCTGAATGGGCGTCATGGCAAGCCCCTTGAGTTGACTCGGGCGTCGACTGGATCTGCCCTCTTCAGAGAGGGACAAAGTTGGCTGCAATCTCAGCTCAATGGAGCCGGGTCCCTTGGAACCTTGCATGTCATCCATGAACACACTATCATCGTCGGTAGTGATGGACTGAGCCAGTGACGGATTGTTCGAGTCATCATCATCATCACCGTCTTCTCCATCGCCACCATCTTCGAGCGGCTTCATGTTCTTGATCATGAAAGGCGAGAAGCCGCCAGTTTCGAATGCGCCTGAGCCCATGTTCGGGAAGATATACTCGAAGAGCCTTTGGCCCAGCTCACGTTCGAGCTGGATCTTAAGTGGAAATAATGACACCTCGAAGTTATCAACGACAGGAATTCCAGCAACGGCTTCGAGCATATGCCATTTTACTCGAAGCATGAAGTCATCCAAAGCTCGCTGGTCTTCATACGGCGAGATGATCTGAGGGTAAATAGCCTCTGGAAGCAAGTTCAAGCCATTGATACGTTCAATGGAAACCAAGTTGTAATTGGAACCATCCGTATTGTCCGTACGTTCATACTCAGCATTCTTGAGTTGGAACTCAACTAACGGCGCCGATGCCTCCTTCATCAAATGCCAGACAACCTCGCTCGCAGAAATGCTCCAGCGTAAGACGCCATTCGTAGAAGAGCCGGGGTCAGCACGACGCTGGGAAGTAGTAATCGCCTTCATCATGAAGAACAACTCATCCTCGCATTGAGAGAGATCACGCTCGAGGGCCAATCGGTCCTCCCAGCCCTGCTTATCCAAGTACTTGGCATTGATCTGGAAGTAATCCTTGATCTCTTCGAGCTGACGAATGCGCGACTGAAGCTTGAACACGGCTTCTGGAGCACCGCGAAGGTCGCTGAAGTCGGATGTGAGCATGATCTTCTCAAGGCGTTCGTTCCGGACCTTTTCGAGTGGTTCGCTGTAAAGTAAAAGATCCAAAACAATGATGTACATGGAATAGTACTCTGCCGAGTCACAAATGGCTCGGAAGTGGGGGAAATCGACACTGATCTGATCCATACGGGGTTCGTCGCCAGGGTGTGGCCCCTGGTGGCCCTTGGCAACCTCCTCGTTGTACTTCAATCGAAGGTTGTTGTACTTGTCATAACGGAGACTGGCGGAGGTCTTTTGCACTATGCGAGAGAAGCCGAAAGGATTGAGTTCAAAGTCGAACATCGCCTCAAGAGTCAACCAAGGAGGCCATGCGGATCCCGGTGCATTGCCGTACTTGTTGCCTGCGTACAATTGCAGGTTGGCCATGAGGTTTTTCTGCGTTGCGACAAAGAATTGGGCACCATCCATTTCGAGAGAGAATCGACGCTGCACCAAGCCGCTGACGTCGTCCGAGACACGTTCCTTGTCCATAATAGAGACAACCTTGAGTTCCATGCCCTTAGCAGCCACCAGTAAGACGGATCTGCGGTTTTTCTCGCTCATAAACTGAATCTGAGGTGCAATGAGTCGCAGGTAATAGCTGTTCTGCGGCGTGAACTCTGGCGCGATGTTCTCGCTGGAACCGTCCGAGTTTTCGGGCGTCTGAGTGTTCGAGTCCGAGGGCTCGTTCTCATCGGCATTCACATAGCGCTTGGCGTCGTTGAGCAGCTGCTCGATACGATCGTCCACGTTCTCTTCATCGTTGTCACTGCGAGTCTGTGTCTTAGACATCTTAGGGTGCTTCCGCTCATTCTTGTTTTGCTCGTCCACGATATCGAGAATGAATTTAACCGCTCGTCGAGACATATAGTAGACGAAACCACGTCGCTGGCTGACCTGATGACTGTACCGCAGAATGATGTTTCGGAGGGAGTTGTTCCACTTCAATTGAACATTGTGGATCATGAAGCGGTTATTGAAGTCGCTTGAAAAGTCATCGGCGGCTGAGGAATAAAGGCCGTCAATTCCGGAAGTTCGGCCATCCTCCCCATCCATCCCCGTCAAGCCCGTCCGAGACGACGCATTGCTGGGAGCCGGGTGATCGCCAGGGTTGTTGGGACGCGGAGTCCGCTCGTCACGCGCCAGATTTCTCTCGAGTCGGTTGAGGGTGGAAGTCAAGAATTTCCGGCGCCTCGTAAGAGATTCCATTTGACGGAGGTAGACCTCATGTTGTTCTTTCAGAGCCGGATCCTGGTCAACATCCTTCATCAGCTTCAACTGTTGCTCGCCAATGATACGCTCGTAATTGCGAATTTGGCCTTCAACGGTCGCAAGGCGATCCTTGGTCAGTTCAATCTGTACGCGGCGAGGATCATGGGTCTCGGACATGACACATTCGTGGGTGGGCTCGTGCCCAAAGGTACTATAGCCAGTCTGCCCCGGCTCGATATCACCATGGTCTGTTTGACGGAAGTAGGTGAATCGAGGAGTGAAAGCAAGCGGGAGAATTTGGGTTTTCGGGTTTGACTCTTGAGGAAGAATCCAGTCAGGTTCCACGAA